CTCATTGCCACCTCTGATCAAGACATATGTGTTTGGATCTATTCGGTGATCCATTTGAACCTATGCTATGCAGTAATTAATATGTACAATTTACTAAAACTCTCTAATATTTGATATTATTAATAATTTCAGCTATTTCTTATAAGTTCAAATAATTCTAAAATTTATTGTCATATATTTTGTTAAATTATTCAATTTTCAGAACTTCACTGTTAGGTTTAGACAATTTTTCATAGGTTCACTGGCAAAATTAGCATCAGTTGAAAGTGATCAAATAAAAGATAAGATGGTTACTATATATGAAGAGACTAATAGAAAGACTTTTAACAAATGAAAATATTATGTGAATTTTTTGATTGGCAGTGGAAACCCTAGGGATTTAGCTAATTTTTCCTATAAATAATATACTATAATAGACTTCATTTTAAAATAAAGGGTTAAATACAAAAACACCCATGTACTATGGACTTTGTATCATATACCTGCTGTTATATTTTTTTTCAAAATATGACGAAAATACCCCTGTTATGCCTATAAATATAAGGGTTTGTTTGAGCCATTTCCACTATATTTTTTAACATTTTCGGTCAATTTTACTTGGTAAATTTTGATATATTTTTTTTCAAAACATTTAATTACTTAGATTTTTTTTAATTTTCTGAATAAAACATTTTATTTTTGTCATTTTGAATTTCTTCATTCTTTTAAATGTCTTCCGGTAGTTCAAATTATCAACAATAATACGATTGTACAGATGTATGTAATCTTAGGACGTTTGAACTACCGGAAAACATTTAGGGAAAAAAATGAAGAAACTCAAAATGACAAATATAAAAGGTTTTATTCAGAAAAAAAAAATTATAAGCAATTAAATGTTTTGGAGGAAAAAATATAAAAATCAAAATTTTCCACTGAAAATGGTAAAATATATAGTGGAAAATTAATTAATGCGATGAATGTTTTTGTATTTATGTATAGTACAATGATATATGATACAAAGTTGATAGTAGATGGTTATCTTTGTATTTAAACCTAAAATAAATAAATGGGTAAAAGATCCCATTATTATGCATACATGGTCTTATCAAAAAAAAATTATGTATACATGGGCCATGGGTAGTAGTAGATAATATAAATAAGTGATCTATGGTGGGCCCACCGCCGTTGCCTGGAAACAAGGCAATCCCATGCCATGCACCCCCTAGTCCTCCTAGGTCCCCCCTCGATTAATTAACCAACAAAAACAGTATATTGGGTGTAACGTCAGATCTGATGTGGATACCACGTAGAGCTGACGTGTGTGTTGCTAGCTGGGGTCCACTCGGTAGTTAACATTGACATCGACGATTACATCCAAGTGGCGCAACGCCAGGCGGAGATGGAGGAGATACTACTCTGCTCCACGTGTCACCTTCAAAATATATTTTTCTCCCTTTTCCGTACAGCGGAGAGATATCAATACAAAGTGAATTAAACAAAAAATATTTCTCTTTTAATTAATATTTATTTTTTGACATCTTATTTGCTCAATCGACTTCATAATTGTGTTTAGTTTCCTTTTGATATGAGTAATCAGTAATCTCAATCCTCAAATGGGCCCCCGTCGACCGTTGGTATAAAACAAAAGGAGAAACAACCAACCGCTTCTTTCTACTATACAGGACAGTGGGTAGTATTAGGCTATTAGCACGCAAAGAAAATTAATGAATTTTGCAATCAAATATTATTATTATTATTATTATTATTATTATTATTATTAATAAAATGAAAGAAACATATAATATAATATATGATATATCCATAAACTAATCGAGCGTATTTGGTTGGTGGCTTTTTCTTGTAATATAAGGATTCCCACCGCACTTTTCATCCTTACCAACTTTGACCGTATTATTTTATTATATAGATGAGATGAGATATATGAATATCTCATCTTTTTTTAACTTTCGGAAAGGCAGTGAGTGCAGACTGCAATCCAGAATTTAATCTGCCTTTTGTTAGATTTATCCATGAGATTGAACTAAAATCAATATAAAAGTGAAGTTGAATTTAAACGACAAAATTGAAGTTTCAATTTATTTTGATATTTTACTATATGTATTGGTGATAATTCTCATCCATAAGCTAAATTTATTAATTGAACTTTCTGTCTTTGGTTTTATATTTATATTATATTAGTTAACGTAGAGTTTAACGAATCTTTTTTTTTTATCACCTCAACAAATTTACTATAAATCAATGATGTCATTAAATCTCAAAAGTTTATCAGGAGCGGTCTTACTTTTATTAATAAAATAAGAATCAAATATTTTTTTAAATAATTAAATAATTTTTCCATAAAATTAATATTGTGTAAAATGACAATTTTAGTGAGAAAACATACATACATTTGGGGCCAAAAAGTTTGGATACTTAACGATATATTAAACTTGATTATATTAAATAAAATAAATGACAATTATAACTATCAAATGAGCGAGAAAAACTTTCTAGCATTCTTACTTTTATTAATATAATAATAATAATAATAATAATAATAATAATAATAATAATAATAATAATAATAATTGAAAACAAAATATATCCGCTACCAACTTAATATTTCTTTAAGTCCAACTTATCCATACTACTCGGTTTATCATCATTACATTTCTCTATTTCTTCTTACAGATAAATAATCACAAGTTGTCAACACAAATATGTATTAGTTGGTAGATGAACAGGGAAGACCGTCGGCCCCATAATTAGTCATACAAAATTTGGACATATGAATTACAAACAAGATTGAAAACTAAGGAGATAATTACACAAAAGAAACCAGTGTCCTTGTTAAATGTGAAATTATCATATGCATTAGATTGACCTGAATTTGGGTCTTTTTTATATATCAATTAACCAGGTTCAAATCGATATTAATGTGGTTTTCTAGAACAACAAAATATTGAAAAGGTAAAAAACCTGGTAATTATGATCAAATTTTTCAAATATTTTAGTTATGAAAATTTCTCTTCTAGCATTAGTTATTTTATGTGATATAAGTTATTTAATGATATGACGAATTTGTTATATTTATATTTATAATTAAAAAGAAGAGGGAAAGAAAACGTAAGAAAAGAAGTGGGAATGAAAGAAAGAACATAAGAATAAAGCATTGTTGTGGTCTATTTTAAGTATTATTATTATTATTATTATTATTATAATGAAATTAGTTAGGGAAAAAAGGAAAAATAAAAAGAGAGGGTATTTTACCCTGATTCTCTTTTTTCTCCTACTGCCGCTCTCTCCTTATAAAGCCGCCACAGCCTCCTCCTCCTTGCTCTCCACACCAAACCCAAACGGCGAAACCCCCAAACCCAAACGGCCAAACCCAATCTCATTCATTCATTCATCCCTCCTCCACCACTGTCTGGTTCCTCCGGTACTCATTCAGAGAGCCAGCCACTTTCAATTTAGTCACACAGCAATGAAGTACGTGTTGGTCACCGGAGGAGTCGTCAGTGGTTTGGGCAAAGGTGTCACCGCCAGCAGTGTCGGTCTTCTCCTCAAGGCTTGCGGTCTTCGCGTTACTTCCATCAAGATTGGTCCGTTTCTTCTCTTCCTTCTTCCTCTCTCTCTCTCTCTCTCTCTCTCTCTCTCACAAATCACTCTGCTTTTTGGATAAATACCAAGCAGAAACAACCAACAATGCAGAGATGATGATGTTAAATATGTTCCTGTTTTATTGTTAAATGAATATATGAACTCGAAGAAACTAATGTTGTTGCTGTTATTGTTATTCAGATCCTTATTTAAATAGTGATGCTGGAACCATGTCTCCCTTTGAACACGGAGAAGTATTTGTTCTAGATGATGGTGGTGAGGTTAGCAACAATTACTTTACATAAATTTGTCTCAGCTTATTTAACTCTGAATGCTACATCAGTTTGATTTTTTGGCCTGCCATATTGGGGTACCTCATTTCAGGAGGGTGTGTGGGGGGTTGTATATTGAACGTTTGTATTCCGCTTTTCCTTGAATTCCTCACTTCATTTTCTACCTTTCATTTGATTTTTCAATGTAATGTTCTGCTTTTCGTATTAATTTTTTTCTTTCTTCTAAATTACTAGTACCAGTTTGCATAACGAAAGATTGTAGGTATCATTTATTTTTGCTATGTATCTGAAAAGTTGCTTGGGATATTTCCTTAACTGGTGGATCAACTTTGGATTTTTTGATGCCAATACTTACAAAAATGACTTGAATATGTTTTTGAAGGTGGATCTGGACCTTGGAAACTATGAGCGGTTTCTGGATATAAAATTGACACGAGATAATAATATAACTAGTGGGAAAATATACCAGGCAAGTACTAAACTGATTGTTACTTGGATATAATTATATTCTTCAATTAATTTTTAAGGTTGTTACCAGTTTGGCCAAGCATTGACTTGATAGTTCACAAATTTCTGCATTTTAGTCTGTTTTTGACAAGGAGAGAAGGGGAGATTATCTGGGACGAACAGTTCAGGTCTGTTGGTCTTTCTTGTCCAACTTCTTTGTTATGACAACATTGATCGTTCACAAATTTGACACACTAGTTTGTTGGTTCAGGTTGTACCTCACATAACTGATGCCATTCAAGAATGGATTGAACGTGTTGCATCTATACCGGTAGATGGAAAAGAGGGTCCAGCTGATGTTTGTGTCATAGAATTGGGTGGCACTATTGGTAAACAAGTCTTCTTACTTGCACTTTGATTATTACTTCACAGAATTTAGTTATTTCATAACACAAGTTCTTTTGTCTTGTAGGGGATATTGAATCATTGCACTTCATTGAGGCACTCGGACAGTTCTCATACCGTGTTGGTACGTGTATATTTTGCGTCTTGCTGATAAAAATATGCACACACACAGAATCAAGTGCTGTTCCTTTCTCCAAAAAGCTAAATACTTGACCTTCTCAGGTGCTGAAAATTTTTGCTTGATACATGTCAGCTTGGTGCCTGTTCTAAATGTCGTCGGTGAGCAGGTGAAGTTTTTTGGGTATATCTACAGTGTCTTTTTTGTTAGTAAATTCTTTTCTTTAACATGAGTATGGGATTGGTTTTTACATGTGCAGAAAACAAAGCCAACTCAACACAGTGTTAGGGGACTAAGAAGCTTGGGTCTAACTCCAAATATTTTAGCCTGCCGCAGCACCAAGGTCTCTCTCTCTCAGCCAAACCATGATTTTGAATTTTGATGTTCAAACTCAGCTAGTTTAGTGAATAGAAATAATATTTGATAGAGCCCCAATCTCCCTCACGCTGCTGTCACATGCAGTTATATTTTACCCACTTATCTTAAGCTAAAGTTTGTTTCATTCCACAGGAACTTGATGTAAATGTCATGGAAAAGCTTTCTCGTTTTTGCCATGTTCCGGTAACATGTTTGATAAAATATTTTACTTTTTTTTTTGTTTTTATACATACACAACTTAAATGCTAATAAAAAAAAGTTTATTTAACATTGAGTTGCTGAGTATTTTTCCTTTCACCCAGATAGAGTACATTATCACGCTCTATGACGTTTCCAACATCTGGCGTGTACCTTTACTTTTGAGAGTAAGTAGTCATGCACCTGAATATTGTTTTCCTTTTGAATTTGAACAACAACTAACATATGTTCCTTTTATATTTCCGTTCAGGATCAGAAGGCCCATGACGCAATTTTGAAGGTCCTGAACCTAAATGGGTTCGTGAAGCAATCATCATATTTTCCATTTCATTCAATTAGGATAAGAATTCCTGCTGGTTGCACTTTCCACTTGATTTCTTGCCTCTATTTAGAATTAATTCCTTGATGTATTACGTGTAGTAAGACTAGAGAACCTGTACTGGAGGAATGGACATCAAGGGCAGATCTCTGCGACATGTTGAACAAGCCTGTAGGTTCTTCACAGTTTTGTCAAATTCCATAATAAGTGCTGTTGTGGATTTCTTAATGCCATCTCTTTCCTTTACAGGTTAGGATTGCTATGGTCGGAAAATACACTGGACTTGCAGATTCATATCTCTCTGTGCTGAAGGTGAACTTATTTCATCTAGTTTGTGTTGTTTAGGCCCCGTGAAAATTTTAACTGCAAGATGAGCAATCTCTTTCAAATGCTGAGTGCATCTGAAATATTGTTTATTCAATGGCTTTATTAAGTCGTGTAAAAAAAAGTAACATGGGACATCTAACATATTTGCCGGAGCATTTTTTTTAGGGAGACCTTGCAATCATTAAAGAGAGGATATTCTCACTTTTGGGCTGAAAAAAAAATTGTTTTTTAATGTTTTTGAACGCCAGCTTCTCCTTTTGCTTCTGATTCTGCCTCTAATTTTCTTCCTTGAATATGTAATAGATCTTCTGAGCATTTTTTGCCTAAAACTATATTTATTTTTCAAATATAACCATGCATTATAAATATATATCTAATAAGATCAACTACAGTACTCAAACCTTTAGTGAAAAAAACATTTGCTAATATGCGCACCTGTAACTGTTTACAGGCTCTTTTGCATGCTTCTGTTGCTTGTCATAGGCAATTGTGCATAGATTGGGTTCCAGCCAGTGATCTTGAAGATGCAACGGCGCAAGAGGTAAACTTCTTGTTATAATATTTTGTTGCATCCCTGTATGTAGTAACTTACATTTTGGCTATGTCTACTTGCAGAAGTCAGAATCTTATGAAAATGCTTGGAAATTGTTGAAGGTCTGCATCGTTACTCTTGATAGTTTGCATACTATTTTGGTTTCTCATAGTTGGATTACCTTTTAGAGTTGATTCTCTTGAGCTATCTGACAAGATTGTTGCCTCATAGGGGGCAGATGCCATACTAGTTCCTGGAGGTTTTGGTGACAGAGGAGTGGAGGGTAAAATTCTGGCTGCAAAGTATGCCCGTGAAAACAGGATCCCATATCTTGGGATATGCCTGGGAATGCAAATTGCTGTCATTGAGTTTGCTCGATCTGTCCTTGGACTTAGCAATGCAAACAGCACAGAATTTGATCCAAATACTCAAAACCCCTGCGTTATTTTCATGCCAGAGGTTATCTCATTCGCAATTGTTTTTTAAGATTGCTTTTATTAAAAAAAAAAAGTACAAAATGTGATCACTCGTCAATTTACTATCTCTTGTTGATTTCAGTAATAATTGTTTCCATGTTGGTTTACTCTAGCAGGGTTCAACAACCCATATGGGAGGAACTATGCGTCTCGGATCAAGGAGGACATATTTTCAGGGTACTTCAAGTAAATCTGCAAAGCTGTGAGTATTCATGTCTTTGGCTCTCCGTACTTAACATCCTTGGGGGGTTGTGAAATCAATTCATATACTGTAACTTGTGGGGTTTCAACTCTGCTGTTTTGTTAGGTCTGAATTGATTAAGATGAGAAGAAATAATAATAACATGTTGAGAATTTGAATCTGGTAAAATAGAAGAAATAATAATTAACATTTATATAGGTCAAGTTAGTGATATTGTTCTCAAAATTTTAAATGATTGGTTTTCTTGCACTTTTTGTTTTCCTCAGATATGGTAATTTGAGTTTTATTGATGAGAGACATCGGCACAGATATGAGGTTTGTGAGTGGAGCTATAAATATGAATATATGAAATCCCAAATTCCATCTTGATGATGGATTTGTAGGTTTTTATGTGAAAAAGTTAGCTTGATTTTGTCTAGGTAAATCCTGATATGGTTCAGCGACTTGAAGATGCCGGCCTCTCTTTTACTGGCAAAGATGAAAGTGGTCGTCGGATGGAGGTAGGTAGTTCCTCGTTGCTTTACTCTTTACTTTTGAGGGTTTGAGTTTGATTAATCAACTTGTTACTGCAGATTGTTGAGGTGTCTAATCATCCTTACTTTGTTGGCGTTCAATTTCACCCTGAGTTCAAATCAAGACCAGGAAAGCCTTCTGCTCTGTTCTTAGGTATTTTGCATTGCCTTGTCAGCTTTTATTATTTGAATCTGCTTGCCAGTATGGTGTTATTGGCTTGCATTGTAAAGAAGTTAATAAAAAAAAATGATATTGTTTACGAAACAGGACTTGTAGCCGCAGCTACTGGGCAACTGGATGCTGTTTTGAAGAAAAGTGCAGCAAAAACATGTAGTATGAGCAATGGTTCCTCACCAGTAAAGGCACATATATATGAGAATGCAACTAAGTTAGCTAATGGGTCTTTAGACGGCATTTACTGCAATGGGAATAGTTTACATGTTTAAATGAATGATGTTGATTTCCGAGCATCTCATCATTAATGAGTATTATTATTATTATAGGCTCATTCTATAGTATCTTATTAGTCGATGGGGTGCAGCCCAAATCCGGTCTTTTAAACGGAAAAGTTGTAGTTGTAGCATGATGCCGTGGAATAGAACAGCTGCTGGTGCTTGTTAGTGTTTTTTTTCTTTCCTGATTTTTGTTTTCGGGTTTTATTATGGATCTTGCGTGAACTTGTTACTGCTTTCACATGCTATTTTGGATTGTAGTGCTAACTATTCGATTGAAGAATTTCTAAAATGCGTTACTCAATCTGCTTTACATTGATGATACATACAGTAAAAATAGTAGGTAGGACTTGGCTGATTTCTTCTGGCAAACAATGATCAGAGTTTATGCTGCATTCATTAAAAGGATGGTACAAGTAATTTTCTTGATGTCCTCTTTGACCTAAGAAACCCATAAATAAATACATCAAGATCCTATCTATATCACAAAATGCTGTCCTAAATCCACAATGTTCTAGAATTAAAAATAAAGCAAACGAGCGAGCTCGATAAGAATCAACAGAAAACAAGGAAAAATGGAAATCAGATCCAGTCTTTGGGGTTGATACAGGCATCCAAAAGTTCCCATTCCTCTGTTCCTTCTTCTGGTTGCTGTAAACAAAAGCAATTGCCTGTTATTTTACAATTGTCTTTCACGCAAATGATAATACTAATAGCAAAAGTTATTCAGACAAGAAGAAGTTGCTAGAGAGCTGACTCACGTGGTCATATTCCCATCGTGCAGTTAATGGAAGTGAGACTAGTATACTCTCGATTCTACCACCGGTCTTGAGACCAAATGTAGTTCCCCGATCATAAACCTATCATTTACAATACAAAGAAAGGTTAGATTGTGGCTTATCTTCTTCTTCTTCTTCTTGAAATATTGGTCCAACGTATATTTACCAAGTTGAATTCCACATAGCGTCCCCGACGTAGCTGCTGCCATGCCTTGTGTCTGTCTGTAAATGGCATGTCCTTCCTCCTCTCTATGATTGGTATATATGCTGGAATCACGGATTTTGCACACTCTACAATCATTCAACAACAAGTACTTGATCATTCTGTTAACAAATAATTGTTTATAATGAAAGATAACCAGAACTCAACACATCAACTACGAAATTACCAGTAGCAAAGGAAAGAAGCATCTCTTGGTCATACGCATTCAAATCATCAAAAAATATACCCCCAAGACCACGTCTCTCCCCACGATGCTGCACACATGTTAAATCGATGAAAATGAAAATCGTGAATTCAGCTGCTAATAGAATGTGGAAATTCAATATATGCTCAAGTAAAAACAAAGTCAACTTAAGTAAAAATAGTATAGCGCTGAAAGATTATTTTCTCCTAAAAAAATTCAAACTTTTAATCCACACACCAGCCTAGAGAACTAGAGGTTGATACAATTTCAGGATTGATGTAGTTTTATTAATCACCTTCTTTTTTATAAGTTACTAGTTACTTCTTCTCTACAGTATATTTTTTTTTTGTTTTGGGGGGGAAGGGTCGGTATGCAGCCTCATTAACTTGTCAAATATATTTTGACCCACATAGCCTAAATTTGTAATGCAATTGAGTACTCAATATTAAGGTATTATTAGAAAGTCCAGTAATTCAGTCGATTAATATGCCAAGGAGACATGTGAAGAGATTCTACTAATAAAAAAAGGAAATTTACCACCTCCTTTGATGGCTAGACGTATATTAACTTCCTGCCTGAAGTTTTTTCTTGCATCAATGAAGCCAAACAACTACGAGTTTCTCTTTTGGCATCATTAACTGACGAGAAATAGACGCACCAGCAGCATAATATATACTATGCACATAAAAGACAGCAGTAGTACATAAAAGCCATACCTTGATGTAGAAATAATCATCACACCACTTCTTGAATTGAGGATAGAAGTCACCATTGAACTTGTCACACGCATCCTTTTGGACCTACAAAATGCCATAAACAGTGAATTTGTTGGAGTAGGATTCGTAATAAAAGATATTAGAAACAAAAGCTAATATGCCAGAAGAGCAGAAAACCAAGATGAAACATTCATAATTTTCAAGGATGGCATCTTCTTTAATTTTTTTATTCATGGGATCTTAAGCTATATAAACATTACTAGTTTCTAAGTGTGATTGGTGGGGGTCCCATTATGAAGTTATAATGTAACATAAATGATGATACTCATGTTGATCAGATAATTATTGGTCACGGTGTTTATACCAAATGGAAATGTTTGACGTCCTCCTCAAAAAGGTAAGCAGGAGTCAAATCTGTACCACCACCAAACCACCATTGCTTTGGTGCTCCTGGAGCATCTGTACGTGTTGAAAATCAGCGACAGTTAAAGAGTAGTTTGTAGATATATATGATTTACTTGAAGAAAATAAAACAGCAAGATTCATAGATACACTTTTTAATCAACAGCTTCTCTATGACCAATTGCAGAAGAAGCAAATTTATGATCATTCCAAATTAGTCTCGGTCAGCTTCACACAATTTTAATTGATTGATATGCAAAAAGGTCTCCAATCCATACCCTCTATATACTAACAAAACAGTTCATACAAGTCTAAATGTGAAGAAAATTTGAGATACATCTATCTAAAAACAATTGCTAGATTACTATTTCTCATGAACAGAGGAAAAGAAAACATATTAATCATTGTAGATAATCAATAATCATAAGAAAGATTTTATTAAAGGCATGATGAACAATTCATTGACAACGGAAAAGATAGTTGGAACTAAAAGTCTGTGTCAGATACTTGAAATTCACAAACAGTAAAGCGTTACAGCACCTTTAGGAGCATCAGTCTCAAAATAACGGTAATTAAAATGCAAAGTTGGAGCGAAAGGATTCTTTGGATGAAGGACCTGGAAAGATAGAGAAGTGATCAAGCGTTATAAATATAAATAGAAGGAGTAAATAAATAAATAAAAAATGGTGGGGGAGAGAGATTACGGAGCTGATGCCAGCAGCGAAAAAGGGGACGGGACCTGGCTTGAGATCGGCATTTCCAGAACTGGGTTTGGCCGCTCTATAAGCATCGGGAGGCATAGTTCCGTAAACAACAGAAACATTGACACCGGCTTTCTCCCAAACGGAACCATCCTGTAAGACCCTGCTAATTCCGCCACCACCTCCAGGCCTGGACCAGACATCTTCCTTGAACTTGGCACCACCGTCGGCGGCCTCAATGGCAGAGCAGACGGTGTCCTGTGCCTCCCTAATCATTTTCTCGAATCGTGCTCTAACAGAAGTGGATGAATTTGGAGAAGTATCGCCCTCGCTCTCCCGGAGAAAAGTGGAGGGCTTTTCAAACTGTGGAATTTCCTTTTCAATCATTGGGGAAGAAGAGGAGTGGATTCGAAAAGAAGAAGAAGAAGTATTAGTAGTCCGTGTGGTTGAAAAAGGGTGAAGGGAGAAATTGAAGCTGAAAGTGGGTGGAGAGCCGACGGTGAAGGAATGGGCAAAAGGGAGTACGGTGGTGGCGGTAACTGACGGAGTCCGCATTGCTGGAAGGCGGAGGGGGATGCTCATGGAATTGCAGAATCTGCAAATTTCTAATGATAAGGTATATCGGATCGATCGGAGTAATGTTTATTTTTTATATATATATATATATATATATATATATATATATATAGCCTATAGGTACATGTATTTGACTCGCTTCGTTTTTGCCCATGGTTTTCACCAGCTCTACTAGTTTCTAATTTTTATCCTATGGGCCGACGACAAACTCTTCTTTTTCGTAAATATCAATATACTCAAACATTAGGCCGGAAGCCCAAGTCATGAACAAATTTCAGCCCACCCACAGCAAACCCGTGGATTCAGTTTTATTCCATGGGCTGGGCCGGTCCGTGGCCCATAACGGCCTCGTCGGCCGCCCGCCAACTCAATTAGAGCCGATTTGCTTCTTTCAAGTATAAACTTATAAAAATATTTCCCATATTTCCCTCTGTCTTTTGCTTCTACTTTTCTTCTCTAACTTTCCTTGTAGTCAAGAACATATTTTCGTTCTGTAATTTTCCTTATATATGTCTTGTAATTTTCCTCTTATTTTGCAACTTTTATCTTTTCTTCTTTAAGATTATACTTTTTAATAAATATAAATATGTATCTTACTTAAATAATAACTTTAAACAATTTATAAACTTATTCTATGTAATTATATATTCTTTTTAATATATATATATATATATATATATTTTTTTTTTTTTGCTTTGGGTCCGTCGGGCCCGTCAAAATGCGGTAAAATGGCATGGGCCGGCAAGTGAAAATAGTGAGTCGGGCTGGCTGAGCCCGTGGGCCAGACGAGCCGGTTTCCATGGGCCGCGGGTGGGCCATTTACCTTGTATATTGTTTTAGACTAAAAGGTGCAAAAAGGTAATATATTGAAGTTAGGGGGGCAATGTGCATATATTTGTATATTTGAAGGGGTTGAAAGGGGAAATTAGGCTTTTGTAGAAGCCACGAAAACCAGTAGTCTTCTTCTTATCATGGCGAAGAGTACACACACACCCCTACACTAGTACTGTGTGAAGCACTTACTTATTGATCAAACCGTGGAAATAGTAGAGCACTAAGTAATTTATGCACGAGAAAATCGACGGTTGGTCGAGGCTTAGCAAATGGGGGTTTCCGCTGTATTTCAGCCTCCACCAGTGGCGGTGTTGAACCACCGTTCTCCGTGCCTTCCGATTAGAAGCATCATAGGTTGGCACAGGCGTGAAAATTACCGAATTTTAGGGGTGGTATTCGTTAATAATGAAAACACACCCTCCACATCCACATCCATTTCCAGTCCCTCACCCAGCCAACAAGAACAAACTGAAGAACAACAAGGCGATGTTCCAGATGCAGAGGACCTTCAATATGTCAACCAAATTAAAACAGTTATATTTCCTCACCCCCCACTTTCCTATGTTTTTATTACTATTTCTCTCGATTAATTAACTTGTAGTACTGTTGTCCATGATTCAGGTTTTGGAACTTCTCAAAAAAAACAGGGATATGCTCTTCAATGAGGTCAAATTAACGATAATGATTGAAGATCCCAGAGATGTTGAGCGGCGGCGTCTGCTCGGAATTGATGATGAAAATGCTCCTAGCAGGGATGATCTTGCTGCTGCTTTAGTACAAGTACCTTCATTTTTTTCTCTCTCTCTCTCTCAATGTTTTTTTTTTCTTTGACACTGGATTCGTTTTATATGGCTTTGGGTAAGTTAGCTTAGATGATTTTTTGCACTCATATTAATTGTTAAATTTCACTTCCCATAACCTCGATTATCTCAAGTATGGTTAAGCTTGGAATTTAATACCAGACAAATGATGCAGCATTTACTATGTTGTAGATATGTTTTTTTAGTACATTGGGCTAATCATTTCCACCAACATGACCAAAATATCATTTGTATCAGAAAGTCGCATGCATAGCAAATGCCACTAATCTGATTTGTTAATAATTTCATATTTCTATATGGATTTTACTTTTATATTTAGGTAAATGAAGGACAAGTACCTAAAGATCGCGTTCTTTTGCGAATGCTGGCTGAGGAAATGCTTCAATGGCCTAATCTAGAGGTAATTTGCAATGTTAAGCACTTGTAATTTTGAAAGAATATCGTTCCTAGTTAACTGCTTTTTAAAACATTGTGGTGTTTGTCCAATTTGGATTTTAGATGATGGAGACCAAATTCATGACATGTGTAGAAGAAATAACAAGTATACAAAAGATATATTGGCAATTATATGATACATGTACAGATTGAAGTATCTTCAGAATGATGTCCTTGCCGTAAGTTATAACTTATAACTAATCATGTAGATAGCGAGTTCTTGGAATCGTATAAAAAAATATATGTTATGCTTTGTCATGGGTAATTAACTGATGAGTTTAGGACATGTCGCATCATCTTAATAATATATTTGGTCAGGGAACAAAAAAGTCTTCGTTATATTTCAATGAGAAAGCTGTTGGGGTAGCTGGTAAATAACTGACATTTTACAAAAGTCGGTTCTTATACGCTTGGTAAATCATTATATTCTTGTGGTAGGTTGAAATAGGAAAGGAGAAAAAACCTGGGAAATCATTATACGCAAGATTTACGGACACGGGCATTGATCCGAAAGAGGCTGCTAAGAGGCTGAATATTGATTGGGATTCAGCTGCTGAGATTGGGGAAGCTGAGACTGATGAGGTGGAGGTGCCATCTGCTGTGGTTGGTCTTTCCTGCCTCTATATACTCAAAACATGCTGAAAATTTACATCATCTCCAATTTTTAATGCCTGCTGTGTAATATTCTTCAGCAACTAAAATTGGTCTTAACTTTTATTCTTGTGCAGGGATACGGAGCTCTTTACTTGGTTACGGCATTTCCAGTGATTATTGGTATCTCTGTAGTGCTGATTCTATTTTACAATTCTCTTCAGTAAAAAAAAAAAAAAAAGGAGCTGTGCATTGAAAGATTGCTATTTGAGTTTGTACAATACAATGTTCACAAATTCATGAAATTAAAAACAAATGGTTTGCCTCGAGATTGTGATGTATGTATGGATAGATTATTGCATGGTGGTTACTTCCTCAACTCTCTAATCACATGAACATTTATCTATTTATCTGGATGATGATGATGATTAAATAAATATAAGGAATAAGTCAGGTAAATAGATACGTGGCCATGTTTGATTTATGACTTGCACGACCATCAACTGTTGTATAATAATAAAATCTCTCTCTCTCTCTCTCTCTCTCTCTCTCTCTCTCTCTCTCTATATATATATATATATATATATATATATATATATATATATATATATATATATATATATATATATGTACTATGGGGTGAGGAACGTGGCAGCCACCCCCATTGCTTGGATAGACATGGCATCCACCTTGTCCATATATATAATATAGATATATATGTGTGCATATAAGTAGTGGTTAGCTGAATCTCCGGGTCAGGACCAATCTGCCTTGCAAGTATGGCTCAGCGTGCAGAAGCAGCCGCAGCCGCCGAGAGGCAGATTTCGGTGGATCCAATTTCTCTCAAAGAAAAAGAAGCAGCAGAAGCAGAAGAAGATGATCGCATCCATAAAAAATCTTATGGTGGGGCAAAAATGGAGGTGATCTCTTCTCCACAGAATAAATTTTTGTGTAAATTCATAAACTGCAGCCTGCCAAACTCACCAAGGCAGCAGAAGAAGAAATACGAGGAGGGGCGTGTAGGTGTAATGGCTCGGCAGCACTCGGTGGCTATCAGCAATCTGGAGCGGCTACGACAAAGCCACTTGCGGAGGAGCAAGTCATGCGGCGAAGGAAGACTATGCCAACCATCCATTGACTTTGATATGTGCACCACCACCACCACCACCACCACCACCACTACCAATAAGAATAAGAATAAGATGGAAGGTCATGGAATGAATAAAGAAGAAGAAGCAACAGAAGAAGAAGCAACAGAAGAAGAAGAAGAAGAAGAAGAAGAAGACGGAGAAGAAGATAAAGAGAAAAAGAAAGAAATGGTATTCAACAACAAGAAAGGAGGCGAGGAAACATATGAAGAAAAGTTCAAATGTGGGGCGTGCATGTTCCTTCCAGGCTTTGGCAAAGGCAAAGCAGTGAAAGCGAGAAAGGATCCCGAAACACATGAGGTATTGACAACACATATAGACATGATGGTTTCACATAGGGCGTCTCTCGAGAAATTTGAATGCGGTTCATGGAGGTCATCTGCCATGATTAATTACGATGATGAATATCATCATAATAATAAAAAAGATGGCGATGTTGATGATGATGATGATACCTCAAATCTCTTCTTTGATCTTCCAGTCGAGCTCATACGATGCAGTAGTGTCAACGATACAGACTTCCCAGTCACCACTGGTTTTATGTTCGACAATAATATTATTATTAATAATAATAATAAGGATTCTCAACGCAAAGGAGTTCTCAAAACTGCTGTTGGAACTAATAATAATGGTGCTGATAGGAAATCGAACGTCGAATCTTTCAATTCATCCCGACATGTTCGTTTCTCTACTTCCTCCTCTCCTGCTTCTCCAACTTCTGCTTGCATTACCCCTCGCCTTCTCAAAGCCAGGGATGACTTCAATGCCTTCTTAGAAGCACAGACAGCATGACTCTTTTTTCTTTTCCCACCAATTCTATTGCTCGACGATTCCTTCCTTTTTCATTTTACTTGTTTGTATCTTGGAGTGAAATTATTCATGTTCTGATTGCTCGATCATGAGGGTGCTTTGAAATCATGGAATTCACCTTTTGGAAATGCTATATATACTTGTTACTTAGTTTATTACTTTATACTATACATATGTGTGTGTGTGTGTGTGTGTGTGTGTGTGTGTGTTTGTGTTTGCATATCTCCAGGCATGTATAAGTATAACATTTGAGTTGGTATTCATTCGTCTATCAAATAAGCTCAAGTACCCATTAATTTGTCGCTGGTCACCAATCTAAGGAACACCTACCAGTGCTAGTATGAAAATTTTATTCAAGAAAAAATAAAATGAATTGCTCCCCTCTACTCATTCATCTACACATGCAATCCACCCTGTCATCAAAGTTGAAAAGAATACATACAAGTGTAATTCTCTTTTATATCAAAGAAAATATTATATCCTCCTCTAGCATTATCTATGTATGTGTGTATGCTGGTAGAAACATGAAGGATAAGAATCTGTGTAGTAGACGAAACGAAGAGCATGAAAAAAACCCGCTGTTCCTAACTAACAAGTCATTGCCTCGTTCTTTGCAATGCAGAGCCGATCATTTTGAGTTCGAATCTCTTAACAGCTCCGGCAATGTCACGCATAGTTGTATCCATAACGTAAGGAATAGTGTCGACTGTGATTTCTGTGGAATTGATAAACTGCCTGCATGGCTCACGCCGCTCAGCAATTGTCCCATGATAGTGGAAGTACTTGATTCTCCCATCTGTGTTATGTGTTGTCTTGCCCACTATGTTTTGCGACATGTGCACCCCAGTTGCAAACACACTCCTTGGTTGCACTGCGTACTTGCGGTCTTTCCTTATACCTCTCTTCACATCTTTGTACACTAGTTTCTCAAATCCCCATTTCCTACAACACCATCAATGCATCATCATCATTATATAAATATAACGTTTATGCACCCACACAAAACACGTACAATCATTGAGAAATTATGCAAATATGAGATAATATTAATTTTCTAAAAGCTAAAATTCAACCTATACCACCATCAGTCAAGCCCATATCATATGAATGTGTCCGTCTCTATGTATGTTAATTGTTAGCAGTTTGGATATTCCATTTAAAGTTTGATTTTTCTTCATGTATCCCATACATGTCAATGCCACATGTATATTTACCAAACAGAAGCAGTACAAACTAGTGTGGATCCCCCGTATTCCATCGATACGCGCTATATGTATATTAATGCCATCAACAACAACATGCAATAAATTACATAATCATTTTGCAATACAGGGATCGACCTTGAGAAAATATATACTTGGTGTCCAAAATACAAGATGAAACTAGTTTTGAAAATAACACACCAAACTCTGTTAAAAAAAGAAAGAAAATAAACGCACCAAACAGTTACAAACCAGCACCATGTTAAGAGCGAATAAGTGAGAAAACTTGTAGTAACAAAAAAATGTTATAATAATCATATGCATTAAATAATACATGGAGTTACAACCCAGCATCATGCATAAAAGAAGATGATTTACAAACTACATATGCATGGAAATCAAAATAACATTCTACGGCTTCCACAGCTTTTGACAGAAAATAAAGACGAATAACGCAATATGTATATAGTCAACACTTTGCAATCCTAAATTGAAATTAAACTAGCTAGGTCAAATGCACCAGACAACAAAGACTTAATCAATATGGTTTGCGAAAACAAATCATACATTCCCACCAGCCAGCACACACATGAGTGTTGTGGTGCAGCTCTTGATTCCATGAATCTCGTAGAAACAATATGACACAAGTATTGCACCAATTGTCAAATAGAAACAATCAAGTAATTTATTAACAACAAATAGCAATAAAAGGAGAAGGACATCCTGAAACTAGAAAGAAACAGAAAGAAAAAGGCAGATGATGAGTATATATATATACCTGAAAGCGGTAGGAGCATCCTGGGAAAGGCAGAGCTTATTGGACATGGGCATCTGCTCAAAGGTGAACTGAGTGAAAGAAGAGAGTGAATCCAAGATGGAGTTGATGTTGCTCTTCTTGGGCACAAATATGAATTCGTCCACATCAAAAAAGAACAACCACTTGGCAGCAAATCTATACCGGTGCAAGCAATCATTCACTATAAGGAACTGATTGTGGTAGTAGCCATCGAACCTCTCCTGATCCCTTATGTCTTGCACAGTCACGAAACCTTTCTCCATCCACGGCCTCAACACATTCATTAGTCCATCGTGCACACCCCCTGCGTCGTGTATCACAAAATGAGACCTCCCACCAAACAGTCTCACATGATATGCCAACCATTCTCTCACTCTCTGAGGACTCAGGTTTCCGTACAGAGACGACCCGCAGTAGAGATAGTCGTACTTTGGCTGCGATGTGAATTGTTCTTTGAACCTGGCGAAATCTTCTGGGGTTTCATCCAATGCAAGGATGGTGTCGGTGGTGTTTATGTTGCGGTCGCCACCTCCGTTTGTGGTGGCGTGGATGAGTAGCTGACCGCCCTTTCCATCGGCGCCGGCGGAGGTAGGGAAAGTGCAGTTGACGACAACGACGGTGTAAACCCGGCCGTAACCCCAATCGGGGAGGATCTTCAGACCGGCCGTAACCCCAATCGGGTCGTGGTCATGAGGTAGCCAGAGGCATTGGTAGGTAGGGTTGCCGTAGAGGTGGAGGGGCTTGGAAGAGAGACCGACGACGGCGAAGGTGTCTGGGCCGCCTCGGTAGGCGGACATGAAAACGAAGTTGTATGCAGCAGAGCCGTAGGGGTTGAAAGCCCGCTTGAGCACACCATTACTGTTAAGCAACGTCTGATTCTGATCTGTGTGTAGTAACAGTTGTGTGGTGGTGAGGGGGGAGGATGAGGAATAATTGGGAGTACTGAGGGTATTATTGGAAAGAGAAGTAGAAGTAGAGGTGGAGAGGCAGTGGCGGAGGTCGGAAGGGGATAGAAAAAAGCTCCGGGAAGGGAGGAATTGGAGGACGGTGGCAAATGAGCACAGAAAAAGGAGAGCGGTGAGTACTAGTTTTAGTTCAGCGGCGCAGTTCCACACGATTCCAACAAACATTCTCCGATCTTTTATTTCTTTACTACTAGTGCTGCTACTGCTAATAATATCATCACTACTGCTACTCATCACCATCAATTGAGCTTTGGTTTGGGCTGGGTTTGTAGTTGGAAGAACTTTTACAAGAGATGGTGAATTGAAGATCAAGAAGAAGAAGAAGATATTCTTTTCCTATAATATTATTAATAATAATAATATAAATTCTGTTTATATTAATCTAATAATGACCTAGAGAGAGAGAGAGCGAGAACAAACAGCGTGTGTGTGAGAGAGAGAATATGTGTGGGCGGTCCACAGGCCACAGCTGATGAGCTGCACAGCACAAGGCAACAAAATATATATAACAATTTCGATCGACACACCTTTTTCCTTTTTCCTTTTTCTTCTCTCTCTCTCTCTCTCTCTCTCTTTTTTTTTTAATTTATTACTTTAATTTGGAATATTTGTTCCCTTTATCTTCTGTCAAATTAGCTACTGTCCACATTGTCATTACTCATTATTAAGCATCTCTCTCTCTCTCTCTCTCTCTCTCTCTCTCTCTCGTAGTCTGTAGAGATGATAATACTAACCACCGACTTCATTACACATACATATTGATATTATGGCGAATGATTAGTGACGTGTTTGTAGGTTAATTATGTATAAATTAAGTGGTCGTATAATAATAATTAACTAATGAAATAAAACTAGTCCTTGTTGCTTTTACCTGGGAAAGGGTATGTCCGCGAATTCCTTGCATATTGTAATTTTCTATAACTGCAAGTTGCAACCCCACTCATTAATCATCATATTTTTTATTCTATTTTTATACTTTTACACCATAACACCTTGTATCACTATTTTAAATAACGGTTGATATGAGATGCTCACTATAAATTATGGGAAATACTCAAGTTAAAATTACGTTTATGGATATTCCTTTGAAGAGGGAAAATTTTTATACTGTCTTTGTATGCAATAACAAAATTTACCATTGAAATATTTATATTATAAATTATGCCATAAACCAATGAAATACAAAATTATATATATATAGTATGATTCTGTGGTAGCAATTAGTTTGAGTTTGTAGTATGGTAAGGGTAGTCGGCAAGACCAAGTATTAAATTAAAGAAAACAAAATTAACAAGTGACACGTGGAAGAAGAGTAGTTGATAGAGGGAAGTCGGACATATGTCGTGCTGACCACCGTCAACTGGCCCATGTTGGCGCTATTAGCAATTGGTATCCCAATCCCCTTCGGCCTTTACTTTAATTTGTGCCCTACAGGCTACACTCGATACAACACGTATTCATTTTTAGGGGAAATATGCAATACCCCCCTCAAATGGAAAATAATATGAGTAAAACCCAATTGACTTTTAAAACTTTTGCACAAACCCACATCCCAAACTTAATTAGTGAAACCCCCTCAATTAGACATAATAAGACGTAAGTACCCTTATTAACAGTTTTTTTATAATAAATCAAATATTTAATCACGATATCTTTCCATAACCGTTTCCCTTTATTATAGGCGGATATAGGCGGACGTGATTCTCGTGTGTATTCAGATATGTGTGTATGTAGAACCGAATTTTTATTGCGTAAGAACACATTTCTTTCCCTCCGGTTCTCTCCATCAGGTTCGTGCAATGTCCACTGACTCTGATTCTTCTGCACCATTCAAGAAAGTCCAGATTCAGAGAGATAATACGGTGACCATCACTACTTCTCGTTTAGGTTCCATTCTCTGGTTGAAATGAGCATTATTTTCATTTTTGCTTTTAGGGCCTGTGTTATATTCCCAATTAGGTCTAATTATTGGGGGAAATCTGAGATTCTAGTAAATTTCCATTTTTTTTACAGTTGATTAATTGCTTGATAAAGATGGGACAATTAGTGTATGTTTCTTTTTGGGTCGTCTTAATTGGTGTAAATGATCGTTACTGATTGAAAAATTTATTCCGTTTTACACAGAGTCACGTTGTGACTACTCTGTAAATCTTTTGTTCGATTTGTGTTAATTGATACGCTAGTGTAATTTTTTTGTAATTTATTTTTTGCATTACTTGATATGTTAGTGTAAGTTTCAATGTGTTTGTTGTGGTTGAATTGAATTCACATAATATTATGTGATTTGCATTTACAGAGTAGTGCAGATTTATTCATCAGCAGTAGTCACATAGTAGTCACATTCTCATTTTTTTTGTGTAGTGCTGTACAGCATGTCGTCAACCTTGATGATTGTGTTGAAGTATGGGGGCTCGTTTGGGGTGAAGATATGTCAGGGTGATTTTTGTGTATGAAGATCTCGTTGGCTGTCACTGATAAGTGGTGCAGTTTGAATGCGAGGGATGTATCGATGACTTACAATGTTGATGGATATGGCGAGGGTATATTCTCACTGACTGACTTACTGAATATGACTCACGTAATAGTCATATTCTCACTGTTCTGTTAATAATTATGACTATTGTTGATTCACTCGATTAGTGATTTATGAATTTCTTGTTTGTTCCCCACTCTCTCTTTCGATTTTTTTTTCCAGATTTGAACAGCAACAGTAACATGACTATAGTCATACTATAGTCATATTTATGTATTTTTCGAATATGAATATGACTATTGTTGAATATAATCTATCTTCTGATTTCAAGTTACTTCTAGTAAGTAGATTCAAATTGATTTTTTGTGTGGATATTGATTGGATTGTTTTCGTAAACAATAGGGAATATTCGTTGTTTTATATGATTTGGTAAACATGACTATGCCATATAATCGGAATTTTTAATTTCAAAAAAAAAAAAAAACAACAATGTAAAGAAAGAATATGACTACGGTTAATATAGTCACATATAGTCATATTCAACTATAGTCATATTCGGGTTGTAAAAATATTAAAAATAAAAATAAATAAAAAATGGCTAAATAAAGTCCGAAAATAATATAAAAATAAAAAATAAAAAAAATAAAATCCGAAAATATATTTTTCTTTTGATTTGGTAGCATTTTTTTAGGAATTTGGAAGCACATTTTTTGGAATTAAATTGTTATTATAGAAAGAGAGAAAAAATAAATAATTGAGATAAATTATACTAATTAATCCTAATTAACGGGATTTAGGTGCCTCATTAATAGGAAATTTGTAAATAGTAGATAATTATAATAAAAAACGTGGATTTAGTTTCCTTATTAATAGGAATTTTGTTAGTAATAGATAATTATTAAAAAAAGTAGTATAAGGGTAAAATTGGAAATAAATATTCTAAGGGGTTTTCACAAAGGAAGAATTATGGCATGGGCATATCACTATTTTTTATCTATAGGAGGGGTGTATTGCTAATGACCCCTTATTTTTATTTTATTCATTCATTGGGTTCAAGTTTGTGAAAATCATTCAAGCAAATCAAATATAACTTTCACTTGGTAATTGGCAAGCCCGGTCCATTACACTAGTCCAACTAATTAAGCGTGGCCCACTGCCCCCAATTTTCGGCTTATTTAGGCCCCCTAAAAAACTAATAAATCTTGTTTGCATATTATATATACGGGAATACATTCTAAACGGACGCCCCGTTAAAACAATAAAAATGGACTCCATTCACCAATTGACATGTGGACAATTTTGTATTAATTATGGTGTTAATTATGCACTCTCTCATATGGGACCCACTGAAGTACAAAATTCATTAACTAGCTATAATTAGTTTTCTTTTTACCCATAATTCATTTCGGCCATTTAAATTGCCAACAGTTTTTTTTTTTTTTTTTTTTTTCATTTTCTTTTAATATTTGCAGTTTTTCACTCTATATTTATTTTATTTTGCCTTTTCCTTTCTCGAGTTTTAAATTTTACTGTATAATGTGATTATACAATAATTAATCCTTTTATTTTTTTTTTAATTTATTTTACTGTATATTGCATGAATTGATTTTTGACGGTAAATAATCTCTTTTTTCTCGAAATTTATATTTAATGTATATTTATATATGATTATACAGTAAAATAAATAACCTTTTCTCTTGAAATTTATTTTATTTTTCTTTGTATATTTCCTTTCCTCAATATTTATTTTATTTTTACTGTATTTATTTTTGTATAAATAATGTGATTATATATTTACTGTTGTGCACTCTTCTTTTGCCTTTTATGTTGTTTAATTGGTCAAGAAGTAAACTCTCTTAACCGTAAATTAACCATGGTAATTACTAATTATAACAATTAATTAAGAAGTAAAACATGTTAACTTGTCCACATGTCACATGGTGAATGGAGTCCATTTTTATTGTTTTAACGGGGCGTCCGTTTGTAATGTACTCCCTATATATACATATATATATATAGAATAAAAAATATTGTATTTCTAAAAAAAAATATTAATAATAATACATGAGCCCCAAAAATTGTTTTGCCAAGTGCGCCTTATTATTCTGCCGGTTCTGGTTGGTTAAGATAATTAATGTTATCCCATCTTCCATGCATTTGAGAAAATAATAACTTTAAATGTTTGCAATTGAAGTTCAGTAACTTATAGATAAACGATTAAACGTATTCCAGCGAATAATGGGAAACATGAAATTGAAATTGCGAAACGTAAAGGAAATGATATATCATATATATGATGTGCATGCAAATCAAAATGAAAGCAATCCATCAATATTGATCAAATTACATAATAAAGTCCAAGCAAATTAAAACAAAGCCAAAGCAAAACAAAAGAAATCTCTCGCTCACACGTACGCAGCAAACACACACTTGAAGCTGCTACATATATATATGAGCTAGCTATATATATAAACACAAGGTTTGTGTCATCGAATGTAATTAATTAGCTACTACCTAGTTGGATCCATAAATATTCCTATAAACGTAGAGATATTAATTATAATCAACATTTACATGATGTATGCAGCTAATTAATTAGTAGCTAGCTAGAACTGAACGATAATTAGTAGGTCGTATTAAATATTAATAATTCCAATGAATGAATTCATGATTAAGTAGATATGGATATATGATGATGATGATGATGATGATGATGATCGAGCAGAGGAAGATGGATGAATTTATAAGATCTTAGTATTAATGAATGAATTAATGAATTAAGTTGATGTGGTGGGTTGGACAAGTGATTAAGTGGTCGTTGGTAAGGCCGGCAGCCTGCATAAAAGAGTGTATGATGGTGGGTCCCACATGCCGGAAACCTCTCCTGACCATGTCCTTGCTTATCGTCTCCGATTTTGATGTCTTTGCCGGAATCTTGTGGCACCACTTGTATTGAGTCACAATAGGCTTGTCATTCACAAATCCCCACACATACTTGTCAAATGACCCATATTCCTTCTTTATCTGTCATCACTCATCATAGTCATATATATATATACTCATATATATAATTCACAAAACAAAAACACTAATTTAATTATATTAAATGAGAGATCAACAGCTGTACTACTGTCATATATATATATATATATATATATATATATATACTATAGCTCCATGCATGTGATGTTTAATTTATATATATGTACTAAAGTATATATGCAGGCATCAATTAATTGAAGATGCCTATTGCATGTGCTTCCGAATATTATTTGAAGTGATCGATCGTTAATCCAGCATGGCATCCATCACACACACACACACATATATATATATATATATATATATATCAATTGATCACAATCACATGGATGAGCCAATAATTCAGTAATAAAGTGGGGTCCACGATCGATGATCGAGTAAAGACATTAATTAATTACTAATAATCAAATTAGACTAATTATATATTAATAAGGAACTGAAAAAAAGAAGAAGAAGAAAAGAAATGATGAGAGAAATAAACTAGGTAGGTAGGTACCTCAAGGATCCTTTTGGAGTTGTCGACGACAGCCCTGACGAGGGTCAAGTCGAGAGCATAATGAGAAGTGATGAGATTAATCTTCTTTTCCTCGGAGAATTTGGAAACAATTATATCTGCATCAAATCTCGAGAACGCCTTCCTAAAATCTTCTCTCCTCCTCAACACTGAACTCCAATCCGATCCAACTTGTGCACCGGTTAAAACCAGCAATTCAAACAGCATTCTGTATTTCGAATTGGAACCACCCCACACTAATTAGTAATTCATTCATATATTATTAATTATTGGAATAATTCAAATATATATATACATATGTACATACTTGTCATCATGGACAGGCACCCCCCATTCTTCGTCGTGATAAGCCACATAGATGGGATCTGCATTAATTAACAAAAGTAAATAAGGAATTCTATAAATAGAGACTGGAGGTTATTATATTGTTCAATTTATTGAATAATTAGCTAGCAATATATCGATGGATGGAGGCGAACCTGAATTAGGGGTGATGAAACTGCATCTCTGAATGAAGTGATTATTATTATTATTATTATTAATGGTGGGAAGGGAAGAGGAATATTGATGATGATGATCGGAGGATGAAGTTCTTCCGTAATGAGAGATACGCAATTTCCTCTGCTCTTGAGTAATGGCGACCTGCTCCCTTCTGGCTGCTGCAATGGTTCCTGGTGCATCAACAATGGCAGAGGAAGTGTATTTGAAGCTAGTGCTACATCTGGATGATGACGATGAAGAATACGGTTGATGATGATGATGATCGATGGACCTGGACTTGGGGGTGAGAGAAGATTTAGATGCAGGTTTTGCGGAGTTAACAGCAGCTGGTTTTGTAGTAGCACCTTCAAATTCAATACTAATACTAGTAGAATTGTTGGTTGGAATTGGAGAAGAAGAAGAAGAAGAAGAAGAAGAAGAGGAGGATGAATTGTGGATTAATAGAAGGGGAATGGAATTGAACCTTTCAGTTTCAAGGAGAGGGCTCCGATTAATGCAGTTAGGCTGAAGCACAGGGCGGATCAAGCCATTGATGCTACTGCTCTTCTGCTTTACTACTTTTTTAGACTTTGACGAACACATAATATTTTAGATCTAGCTACTACCAGCTGTAAGTTAAGGGTGGATTGATATATATATATATATACTAGTAAAAAGAAAAAAATGAAATTGAAAAAACAAAAAGAAGAAGAAGAAGAAAATGAAACTAGTGTAGGGACATGTGTAACATGGGGAGGTTGGCAATTTTTAAGTTTGTGGGGGCAGGGCATGCCATGCATATTATGTATCTATACAGTGCAAACATATATAGATTGTCGATATTTTGGGGGTAACACATCATAAATTAATTCCCATTTTATCTTTTAAGTGTGTGTAGCTCTTAACATTTGAATATTTTGAACAAATGACTTGATTTTTCCTATATATCCTCCCTCAAAAGGTAAATTAACCTAATCAACATACAGCTTTTGAGAATAATTCACGAGATATAACAGAATCTTAATTAGGTGCTTGCTTTATCACAACTCAACTGTTACACACACGCCCCATGTTGAGTATATCCATTTTCTCACCCTTTCTTATCAGAATCACATTGTAATTGTATACATACATATATCATTTTGTAATCAGGTGAATATTGGAGAATCTTACCTGCATGTGTACTGACTATGTATATATGTGTGTGTGTATACATTTATATATATAATAATAAAAATTAAATAAATATGTATCGATGTATTTTCATTGGATAAAGGTGGGGGTGGGGAGGAAACAGAGCATGTGATCCATGACTTTTCCAAGAAAGAAAGAAAATAATGCATCTCATCCATTCATCATCACAAGACCAATAGAACCCACATGCAGATTGATTGCCTGTCTTCCTCAATATAATCTTCCTTACACTAATAATAGTAATTAAGAGAATGAATGAATGTACCACTGATTATTCAAATTTTTAGTTTCTTATCTTATCATCTAAGTAAGATTAATTAGTAATTTTGATCTCATCACACTCTAATTGCTATCAACGAGTAGGGTAACAACTGCACAAGAGGCAAAGCTAATAATCTACTCCCATTCTCAGACAGAATTACACAAGTCTTACTCACCATGCATGCTATTTCTCTTCACTTTTCCAATTTTATACTTACTAATTTCAACCACCACACACATACACACACAACAATTAAAAGGAGAAGGAAGAAAACTAGTTAGGCAAGCTAAACAAGGAAAAAAAGAAGTAGAAGAAAGAATTGATTTCTTCATCTTTGATCATGTTAAGTAGATAGTAAAAGAAAATGACGGTCCTCCAAAGCAAGAACTCATTCATATAGGTTTATATGAAGAATGATTAGAATATGTTCGGACAACATCAAGAATAGGAGCTCTACATATTGGACATTTGCCGCTGCTCCACTGCAGCTCATGGGCACACTTGAAGCAGGTGCACATGTGTCCGCACCTGGATATTTTATTCACCCAAAAAAGAAAAAGAAAAAGAACATGTGGAATTACTTAGTATAAGAATTTGGATTATCTATGTTACTTACAAATGCCAAACCGATCAGGTTAACACCTACCTGTATAGAAGAGAATCAACTTGCATCTTGCAGCAAATACAACATCTTCCTCCACTTGTAACCCTTTTCACGGGTTTTCGTCCTCCATTCTTTGGATCTGCACAACCTAACAATAATTGTATCTTTCAGTTGACATGCATGGCAATAAAGATATCATGGAAAAGCAATACGGAACAAGCTCATCAAAACTAAAAAAGTAAAAACCTGAATGATTCAGAGCTACTGCATTTGCAACTTCATTCTTGATGGAACGTTGCATTTTCATCTGCATATCCATACAACATTTGATTGATTTTCTGAGTTCCGACATTTCTTGATGCAGCTGCTCCATATGCCCTCTCAAATCATATATGAGTTCCATTTCCTGTTTTATCATAATCATTATTTCTATTTCAACCAATATATATATATGAACTCTGATAATTAGTGAGTAGATCACATAAGTGAGTGACTTACGATAGCAGGTTGGGATCTATATGAAGAGTTAGGTGCATTATCCTGAGAGTAATATGATGAAGACTGTTGGGTACAAGGAGATGCAGCCTGATAAGAATAATCACATAAATCATGAGATTGATTCTGGGGCCATGATGGTGCTGGTGAAGCTGTGACATTATCTGCGTAATCATCACACTCATCATACTGTTGCCCCACTGAGCTTTCAGCTTCTTCATATTCATCAAAATAATCCCCATAACCTCCCCCTTGTGCATCTTGCTCTGTATCTTCCTCGGATACTAGTGCTTCTTCTTCTTGTTCAGGCAGCCCTTCATCTTTTCCTTGTGGTGTGTGATTATTACTCTTTAGATCACTTTGTTTTCCTTCAGAACGAGATATCATCACTCGATCTATTCTCTCTCTTAGACCACTAGAAAGAAAGGTTGAAACACTTCTTCTGCACATTTTTGTTTAGATAAATTATCACAGATGTAAGTATGAATTGTGATCACACACATTCATTATTTAAGAAAACAGAAATCTGAAGATAAAGAGTGGATTTTTTTGTTTTTTCTAATCTGTAAAGGAAAAAAGTGCAGACCTTCCAAGGAGAGCACGTATTTCTTCATTGTCGACGAAAGGATCAAGCATCTCCTGATATCTAGCTTGCCTGAGATCTTCCCAATCACTGCGTGGTCGTGAAACCTCATCAATCCAGTCAGTGTTGTTTCCTTGTTGTTGGTAATCAGAGTGCAATTCTTGCCATCCAACTTCAGGATGAGAAACATCACTTACCCAATACATATTTATATTATTATTATTATTAAGCTCCTCACTAACTTTATGAGGATCATCATCACAATCACCTCTCAATTCATCATCATAATTGGTTTGTTGAGCTGTAAAATTATTGATTTGAACAAGAGTGGCGGTCTCTTCTTCTTCCTCTTTGTTTTGGAAGGTTCTGTCCAAGCTCTCGTTGCTGCTCTCATAGTTGGTCTCTTGACTCATAAATCTCGATAATGGACTTGTTTCACGATGGTCGAAATCTTCATCTTGCCTTAAACAACTTTCAACTGAGTTAGTAATAAGTTGATTGGATTCATTTTCTTTTCCCTGTTGATACAAACTTGCTGCTGCTGCAGGATCCGAGACATTTTGTGCACATGGATCTACTCTTTCCCTACAAATGCTCAAGCATAGATATATCAGTACACACCAAGTTCATAAAAATTATAAATAAGATAGAATGATTATACGAATAAGAATGATGAAATATAAGATGAAGGGGAGAAACCTTAGATGCACAAGGGCGGGGGATGGCATAGGTTTGTTGTGTGATTGAATTGTGGTGTTTGAAGGGCGGCCTTGTTGAGGATGAGGAGGAGGTTCCATCATGCTGCCACGGCGTAAAAATCTAAATCGAAGCAAAGCCTATTGGTATTTGTAATCAGTAATTAGTAATAAGTAACATTAAATAAATAGATTAATGATACAAAAAATGAATAAATGTAGTATTTGATAAGTAGTAGTAACCTGAATGCGGCCTCGATGAGAGAATTTGGAAACGGGTTTACGGGCGATAAGTCCCTGAAGCTCATTTTGCTTATCGCGCTCCATCTGAGTGAGGAGATCATTGTAGGCCTGACGACCCCTAATGCGAGGTGAGCTCAGGGAGAAACAACACCTCTGTTCTGCTGCTGCTGCTGTTGTTGTTGTTGTTTGATCCACTGATGTTCTAGGACGTGGCGGTGACTCCGACGACGTCACAACATCGTCAGTCAATTTTCTGATGATGTCAGCAACCCTAAGCCTCTCTATTTCGGTAGCATCAGAAGCTGGAGCACTGAATGCCACGTTTGGTGTTGTTGATGATGATTCCCAATCCTCCCCAAAAGGATCGTCTTCCCCACCTCCGCCGGCGCTGGTACTTGTCATGAGCACAGGTGGGGCATTATCGGGGGAATTAATGGTGTTGCTGGTCCTGTTACCGCTGAACTTGGCCTCTGCCTCGAAGCCTCTCCATTTTTGAACCAGGGAAGAGACGCCCCGCAAATTAGACACCTCCTCATCCACCAATCTCTCCGGCTTTGGATGACGATGATGATCGAAAACAATTTCTCTAGCTCTTGCCCATTTATCATCTGTTTGTTTCTGCTTCTGCTTGTGCTTGTCATTATGCTTACCTCTATTATCATTATTGTTGTTGTTAGTATCATTAACGGGCGTGGTTTTGGTGGTTTGCCATTGGGGCTGGTGAACCCATAAATCAATGTGCCGAGAAGAAGAAGAAGAACTAGTATTATCGTTGGGAATGACGAGTTGATTGAAGCACGGATCACGGCGCCGGGGGTTGTGGACGGCAAACGGGGATGAAGGGGCAATTTCCACTTGGGAAGAGGCCATCATTATAATTATAATCAACAACACTATGATAGAAATTATATTCATGAAACATAGAGCCAATAATCCATTTTTATATGAAAATGAAAAGGAAGAAGAAGAGAATGTTTGTTTTTTGGGAAAAAGAAAATACTTGCCATTGAGATATGGAAAGTTGATAAATATGTGCGGCAACCCGTCGGATTTGCTCCAATAAACACGCCTCTCCTTCTTTCTCTTTTCTTCATTTATTCAACTACTAATATATCCTTCTCTCCACCTATTATTCTACTATTACAGTATTACTTATATCAACACAGGGTTTTTATAGGAAATTTATTCTAACATTTTTTCTTCCCTTTTTTTTTTTTAAATCCAACTAGTAATCGATACCCGTGCGATGCACGGGAAAAAAAAAAAAACAATTGTAACATATGGTAAAAGGAAAATTCGGAAAAAATCGTTGATTACATATCTAAAGTAGAACCAGTGTACTTAACTCGTGATATATCGCGATATAATACAGTTTCAATCAAAACAATATAACGCAAACGCAATATTCATATCTGAAAACCGGATTTGAGGCAAATCTCTTCGATTTTCTTGAATAATTCAAACCCTAGTGATGTGTCTCTTCACAAAACAATTCTTATATACCCTAACTAAAAAGGACATATCTCTTCAATTTCTTCAAGAAATCTCCCAATAACGCAACCATAATTCAAATTTTATAGATTTTTTGCAGTTAGAACTAACTCGTGATTTTGGCTGTGATTCGCGCAATCAGGGTTGGGTTTGTTTGATTTTGTGATGGGCTCATTCAACTTGATGTGGGTTTGCTGATTGTGGTGATTAGTTCGATTTTTATCTTAGTTGGGGTGTTTGTGCGATTTTCTGCATTGATTGGCATCGCTTGTGCAATTTTCAGCATTGTTGAGGGTTGTTTGTGCGATGTTCAACACTGTTAGGGTGGTTTGTATGATTTTCAGCATTGTTGGGTGGTTTGACTTTAGATTATATATACATACACAAACACACGATACAAAAAGATAAACAATATCAAACGTATGTGGAGAAAAACGATGTGCGAAATATTTCCGATTTGATAGTTAACTTGGCCTTAATTGTGTGAAATACAGCTACAAAAAGAAAATAAATTTATTGCAATTAGTACCCTTCTGTTAGCTCGAATGCCAAAAAATACACTATATTATTTTATTGACAAAACCTCCATTATGATTTAAGTTGTTTTTAGCAATTAGTACCCCTGGTTAGGGGGTCGTGTGCTAAAAATATTGAATCATAGGGGTGTTTTTGCTAATAAAATAATATGGAATAGTTTTTCAGCAATTTGAATACTCCATAAGCAAGTCCTAAACCTACATAGTAAAATTGAACATTCAGTACTCTAATACTGCTACTTGTACCAACCAAGCAATTCATATTTTTATGCTTTTTTCAAACAGTTGCAGACTCGAGCAAACATGTAACAATCTTTCTTTCACCGCATTGTCAAGTAATCTAATTAACTATGACGACAACATAAAACCCGTATACTAAATTCATCAGCTTCACATATTATATTACACATTAGAGTATGCTATGTATACCAACCACCATGGCACCATCATTCAACCAAATCTCTCACATACCAAACAATCTAATACCAATAAATTAGTATGCAAACACAGTTTCAGCAAGCAAATACATCTTCAGCACACGATTAGCACTGGAATCATCATATGCTTAGATGCTATAAAATTATAACCCATGGTGCGTTTATATATAAAGTACGGTCAATTAAATACATGTATGTATATGTAAATATACTCCATGTATGTATGTCTAGAAAATGAGCTGATATTTGTCCGTGGATAAATTCATAACAACACCATCCTTAAAAACCAAACTACTAACTAAAACTCCCAGCCCTTCAAATTAGATCCTCAATACCTCGTGAAATGAGTACAAATTAAATTATTTTCCCTAAGAAACTGTAAGGAGTTCAAATGGTAGCATGTTAAGAACATCTTTAAAACGTTAATAAACATCATATCAAATAATGATATCATAACTTCGAGTTTTATGTTAAACTGGATTATTGACCTCCATGCTTATGCTGTCATATAAATATGGCTTCAAATTAAAATAGTACCTTCTTTAAGATGGAAATTCCGGAGTAAAACAGAACCATGGCGAGCAAAAACCCGACAAAAGGAAACATCTGTTACAAAAACATAAGCATTGGTATCGTATCAAGTTTCAAATCAGGTATTTGCATGTTGTCAACAGAAGCCAAGGGCAAATTAGATTCATAGACATAACGTATTCAATCTATTAATTTACTTGAGAACTGAGGCATCCCACGTTTTGTGCGGAAAAAAATAATTCTCTTTTCCCAACCATAACAGAGGATAAAAAAATATCCATTTTTTTTTCAATCTCTTCTTCTCTTCCTTTTCTTTGTCTCTCTCACTCTATGCCTTTCTTAAGTTCTTTGAACAACTCACGAAACCCAAATTGAAATAAAGGTTGAATCTTTGTTTCTTGATTATGGATTCAATTTCATAGAAAATGAAAGAACCCAATGTACACATCTTATACCTCTTGAAGTTTTGGATTATCCAGGCTGAATGAATGGGGAATTGGGAATTGTTGAGAATCTGTGAGTAAGTGATTTTAAACGGAGATGAGAGATAATTGTGCTACCGAACCGAAGCTGCTCTCTGTTCTGGTTTTCTTTTCTTCGCGCAACCGATAAGGCCGGACTTCGATTCATGCCATATGCAGCTGAAGTAGCAAATGCTCGGAACAGATGATCGCTAGTTGCCTTTTCCATTAAATGAAAATTCACTGAGCGAGCGAAACGACAGTGACCATTTTGAAGTTGCAAAGAACTATTTTCTAAAAACAACATACAAAAGGTGGGAATTCAGAAAATAATGATAAGGAGGAACCATCACAAATGAAGTAATTTTTGAAAAAGAACGACAAAAAACGTACAGTCAGAGAAAAATGTGATGAGGTGCCGGTGATTTAAAAATAGTCGGAGAACTAATTATTTAGTAATCTTTTTTTTCCGGCACACCAAAAATTCCACAAAATTTGGCTTTTGCATCTCACCCAAAATCATACCGCAAAGCCACTGCCACAACATCTCATCCAATTTCTTCAAATTCAACCCGTAATCTCATGTGTAATGAGCCAATTCGCTTGGTTTATTCAAAATGGTCAATGGCGAAAAGATTCATACCTTCAATCAAGCGGAAACGTCAGTTTTGGCCAATCCTCTTCTATTTTTGATTGTTGGTAAAATCAAATTCGACATCTCAATAAAAAATCAAACCTATATACAAAGCACCAATCATGAAAAAGAATGAGAAGCTCATTGCCTACATTAAAAAAAAATGGAAGAAATGTCACAATAAAAGAAAATTGTAGAAAATTAAATGAGCGAGGGAATCTAAACATATCGTGGTAGAATCATCATATCCATTCATCTGGAATTCAGATTTCCCCATTAGCCATACTTGACATTGGAAAATTTCAAGTCCAAATTCATACAAAGACTGGAATCATTAGAAATAACAACAATATCACTAAGATGGATATTGTTTTCCCGTCAATTGAGATAAAAATCGAAACTGAAAAAAAAAAAGAAATTTCATATAAATCATACGCCGTGCCGCTGCCGTCGATAGTCGGCGTGAATAAAACATGAAGAAAGAAGACTTTTCAACTGTTCAATTTCTCGACCACTGCAACACAAAACATAAACAAAACGATAATTAGATAAATAATCAAATAAATGTTTGGGCTTCTATCTCTATTAATATATTTCTTGCTTGTCAAATAAAAAAAAAATTAAAAAATTAAAAGCCTCCATAGCTACAAATCCAAACTCCAAATGGAGTCCCATGTAAGTCGCAAACAAAACACCCCCAACAATTATTATAAATGTTTACAGAGAAAAGGGAAGCAATGAGTTGAATCTCTTCATTTTCTCCATCTGTTTGTGAGCTAGAGAGATATTTGCTAGACAATTAATACGTGAAAGGAGGTTCAAAAGGAATTAAAAAAGAAAAATCAACTGGTGGCTGCTGCAGTTACTCACGCATATTTGCTTTTTTTAAAGTGGACAGTTAATTGTTATTGGATAATAGTAAACATTTGAAAAAAATCAGATCGTGTAAATACTGCGCAGTTAATTAAATTATGAAATTATTACGCGTATAAAAGGGAAAAAAACTGTCAAAATAGAAAATGACTGAAATGCCCCTAAATTTAGGTCTAGGGTTATAGGTCAAAATATCTTCTTTTTATTATATATATATATATATATATATATATATATATATATATATATAAGATTATAAAATAATAATAACAATTATCCTTTTATTATAGATAAAAGTAAATGGGCTATAAAGATAATTAGAGATAAGTAAAGAGGATGGTCTGGACTTTACTTATTAATTGGGCTTCATGTTCAAAATTTTCCTTATTATTGTTTCGTAACTAAATAAAACTTTCCTTATTTAATTTGTATTTTTTGGTTAATTTTAAACAAGTAATATAGTTCAATGATTTTTTTTTTTTATTATTATTATTTATTTATTTTATAACTGAGGGTGTGCAAATTCACGAAGCAAAACAATTTAATAGTCAATTACAATATGTTTTATTTTTTGGGTTTTTTGGTCGGGTACCATTCTTAGAGGACTAAAATTGAAAGTTCGAAACAATGTGATGGAACTTGTAAAAAGTATAATAACTCTTCGAGGATCCAAACGCAAACATTACCAACAAATATATTTTTTATTTTATTTTATTTAATTTAATTGATAAAAAAGAGAGAGAAAGTGAGAGAAGGAAAAGGAGAAATCGAGAGAGAGTGAAGGAAGAAGAAGAAGAAGAAAATGCTGAGCGCGACGGTGGCAGGAGCCCTCCTGGGATTTGGGACCCAGTTATACTCTAACGCCCTCCGAAAGCTCCCTTACATGCGCCGTAAGCACATCCCTTACATTATTCTCCGATGATGATTTTCAATTTTGATTCTTTGATTTGAAATTTTTGATTGTTTGATTTCTGAAATTGCAGATCCGTGGGAGCATGTGTTGGGAATGGGTTTGGGTGTGGTGTTCGCTCACCAATATGTTAAGTTCGACATCAAGGCTAAGGAGGACCTAGACAAGATACTAATCAAGGCCAAGCAAGCCAATGAACGCCGCTATTTCGGTAATCAAACCTCCCTTTTTTCCTTTTTCTTTTTCCCCAAATTCCTTCACCCTAGTTTATGGATTCGGATGGGTTATTACTTATTATTGATTATATGTTCACTTTTGCTCTTCATGCTATCACCGATTATGATGGATTGATATACAATTATATATAATCATTTGGCTCTCAAAAAATGAAATTCATACCACCACCTGATGATAACTAGGCATCTTTGACTACCATAAAAATAATTAATTGCTAGCTATAGCCTCTAATATTGCTCCACCTTGTCTCTCATTTAGCATCCATCCTCTCATCCTCTTATCGGCACTCTCTACTTTGATAATAGCTTCTTTAAAATATTCAAAAGAATTACGTTTCAAAGTATTCTGTTTTATTTATTGAATCTATTCCCGAAATAACTTGTACTCTCAAAGAAGCTTGTGTGAACAAGTTCAATTTTATTTTTCATTTACTAATAAAGGCAGTTAAAGATCCTCAATGTGCTATTAGTGTTCATTACTGAGAAATAACAACTTAAAAGGATTCCCTTGAAAAGCCAGTGTCATCCTAATGGCAGCTTGGATACTATCTTCTTGAGTGGATTTGGGGTTTCTTCTGAAAAAAATGAACTTTTCTGGTCCACGAGTCAATATTTTATCTTTTTAAAATTTGGCCCACGAGGCAAGATTCAAATTAAGAAGAAAAATAAAACATTTTATTTACCTTGTTCATGTTGCGGTCCTGAAAATTGGGAATGCTTTCCAGATTATGGTTTACACCTATTAATGTGGATAAGGATCATTGGATGCATTAATGTGATGCACGGAATACTAACTATTTTTGTCTGAAACGAGACACGAAATGTAATTTTTCACAAAGTAGTTGGTCTTCCAGAGACTCTACCTTCATCTCATGAATTTTTTTCACAAAAGTAGGTCCTCAAATTTCAGTGAGAATCACCTTTATCTGTGCCCCATTGCCAATTTCAATGTCAAAGTTTTACTACATGATATCTACGGAAGGGGCATCTTAAATAATTGAAGGTCATGAAGATTGATCAGAAATATTGGAAACAGATGATATGAAAGTAGACACCTAAATCATTTCTCAGAGATTGGTGATGGTAATCATCTACGTTGTTGAAGTGGAGGTTGAAATGAATACCCGTGCCTGAAAGAAAATTTCCAATATTGGCAATAAGAGCAGTTTTCTTGAACTGAGCGTCTAATTGCTTCTATATCTCATTGGTGTATACTTTTTTTTTTTGCATGCATTCATTGATCATATTGTTGATGTAAATTATTTTTGGATATTTGATTGCAGATGATGATGAAGATTAGAAGATGTGGTACACACAAATCACCTTTGTATCAGAATCCAATTTTTTTTTCTTCTGAGAATTATGTGCCAGCTTGTGCTTTGGTTGTAAACAATGTTTGCCTAATTTGTACTTTGGTTCTCTCTTAGGAGATGTGCACCGAGTCCAAGTGTTTTTCTGAGAATAAATTATGCTGCTGCATATTCGTTTTCTGTACCTGCAGAATACTATGTTCTTTATTTGTTGATTTGTTGCCCTTCATTTTCCTAGTACTAGAATGCTGAAAGGAAAATTGTGAGCGACAATGAAGCAAAAAAAATGTGACACATGATGATGTTTGCAACAGTTGCTGAGTTATGTTAATAGCAAAATACATCAGAATACATTTTTGCTTACTTTAAAAGGACGGAAAATCATGGAAACTCTTGAAGCAAGCTCTCATTGGGATATACCAGTTGAGCATTTGGCCTATTAGCAAACTCATCTTTGTAAAAAAAGATGACAAATTGAAAAGGAAGAAATAACAAGTGAACGGACACTCACTTCTTGCATCTGACATCACAACTTAGTGAGATGCTGGCCTGCGAGTTATGAATTTTACTAGGATTGACACAAATATCATTAGTGACTGAAAGAATCGTGAGCTAGAGATTTGCATTGGGGCTTGGTTTCTCAAAGTGAACCCTAGTATCATTGAGTACATGCACCAATTGATGGCATGCTTGTCGGGAAGATGGCCTTTCAGCAGGTGCGGTTTTTGTGCAGAGCATTGCTATTTCAAGCACTTGGAGCATAGCAGTTTCTTCATTGGGTAAGAGCGGTTTTAGTAGTGGATCAACTATTAGCTGCAGCTGAGTTTCAATGTGGGACTCAACCCATCTCACCATGTCTACATTATCGACACCAAATCTCCCATCTGTTGGCATTCTTCCACTCACCAGCTCCATTAGCACAATCCCCATGCTGTATACATCGCTCTTCTCTGTCGCCTTCAACGAATATGCATACTCTGCACCAAATACACACACACACACACCAGTCATTTCTCAACGTACATGTCTAGTTTTTGTAACAAGAAGAGTAAAAGCTGTCTAAAATACCTGGAGCAATATAGCCGTAGGAACCTGCAAACCACATGTTGGAGTCTGTGTTAAGGGAAGAATCATTGTTATCGGTGAGGGTTTTGGCAAGTCCAAAATCTCCTAGATGAGCCTCCATGTCGGCATCCAACAATATGTTGCTGGACTTAACATCCCTGTGAATTATCTTAGGCACACAGTCGTGATGAAGATACTCCAACCCTTGTGCCAATCCCACTGCTATTTTCAATCTTGCTTCCCAGTCCAGGATCTTCTTCTTCTTTTCATTCACCGGTTGCTTATACAACCAGTCCCACACGCTTCCGTTCTCCATGTACTCGTATATTAACAAATTGGACCCTTCTTTTTTGTTGCTGCAATACCCCAACAATCTCACCAGATGCCTGTGTCTGATTCTCCCAAGCGTTTTGATTTCTCTTGCAAAGCTTTTATCCAACAAGGGCTCGTCCTTCCTCAGTATTCTCTTTATTGCCACCGTCTCCCCACTAAATAAATCAGCCTTGAAAATAGTTCCTGATCCACCACACCCAATTATGAACTCCTCACTCAGATTATTTGTAGCTTCCATGATGTCCGGCCATCTTATCTCGCACTTGTTTGCAGCACCGCCATTATCGAAAAGAGGCCGCCTTTGTGCTTGGGAAGAAGAACTAGACGAGTAAGCCGAGCCCAGTTCACTTCCCCTTTTCCTTCCTCCCAAAGCTTCTCTTCTGTGTTTGAAAAACAGGGCAGCTCCGAGCAGCAGCAAAATAACAGCAAATGCGGTTGATATTGCTGAAATGATCAACACAGACGATTGACTATTGCTGCCAAACCCTCTTGTCTCTTTGCAGCTCTGAAGAGGGCCTCCACATAGATTCAAATTGCCATCAAATGCAGTGGCTGGCCAGCGCACATACCGCTTGTCCAGCTTTCCTTGAAGGCGGTTGAATGATAGGTTCAATCTTCCCAAGCTGCTCATTTCACCAATTTGAGGAGGGACTTGTCCATCGAGTTCATTGTGGGATAGATCGAGCGCTTCAAGCTTGTCGAGCGTGCCAATGGAAGGTGGGATTGGACCTGTGAGGTTATTGTAGCTGAAATCCATGAAGCTCTGCAGATTCTGGAGCTGGCCAATCTCCGACGGAATCTCTCCGGTGAAGCTGTTCCTCGAAAGACGTAGTTGATAGAGCTTGCTTAATTGACCAATGGTGGGTGGAATGGGACCGGAGAACTGATTACCGTCGAGATCAAGAACATTGAGAAACTTGAGTTCACCAACTTGGGGAGGAAGGGTGCCATTGATGGAGTTGCCGTTGAGAGAGAGGACCAGCAGATTCGAACAGTTGAACAATTCACGAGGAAGAGAGCCGGTTAATTGATTGGCAGAGAGCTTGAGCTCACCCAACAGAGGAAGACGCCCAATCCAAAACGGGACAGGCCCGGAAAGACGATTGCGGTCAAGATCAAGATGAGTTAGTCTCCTGCAAAGGGAGAGCTGAATGGGTATCTGCCCGGTCAGTAAATTGCCCGACAAATCCAAAAGCGATAGTTGTTGAATTAACCCCAGAGTCCATGGGATTTCACCAGCAAACATGTTGTTGCCAAGCCTTAACCTTTCAAGAGCAGGTGAGTTCCCAATTTGATGTGGAATCTCGTGATCGAATGCGTTGCTTGTAACATCAAAGGAGAGGAAATTATGGGAAGTGCAGAGTGGGGCAATGGTCCCATTCAACTTGTTGTGGGAGAGATTGATCCTCGTCAAGTTGGCAAGTGCAGTGAGCTCATCGGGTAGGCTGCCTTGGAGAGAATTGTTGTAGAGCATGAGCTGTTCGAGTGCTACAAGATGCCCGAGAGTCGATGGGATGCTGCCGGACAATTGATTATCGGCTAAATCAAGTATGGTCAGCTGACGGCAGTTGCCCAAACTAGCGGGAATCTCACCGGAAAGATCATTCTGTCTGAGATGGAGGAAATTCAGCTGCTTGAGCCTCCCAATGGTGATAGGAATATCCCCTGAGAAGTGATTCCCGAAGAAATCAATCATCTGAAGACTGGAGCAGTTGCCAATCTCAACAGGGATCTCTCCCGATAGTTGGTTGTCGTAAACGTACAGAATCTGGAGATTAGATAGCATCCCAATCTCTTTGGGAAGATTGCCCTGTAGATTGTTCTGGTACAGTGCCAGTGTCTGCAGATTGGTCAAGTTTGATACGAGTGGAGAGATGGAACCGGAGAGGCTGTTGTTGTGGAGCAAGAGGTCAGTGAGTTGAAGCATGCCGTAGAGCTCCAGTGGAATGAATCCATCAAGTGTGTTGTTGGACAGATCAAGTTGCTTAAGAGACACGCAATCGGCTAATTCAGCGGGGATGGGGCCTTGAAGTCGGTTCTGGGACAGCATCAAGTGTTCCAAACTGGTGGCATTGGAGCATATCCCCTTGGGAATGGTGCCTGTCAGATTGTTGCCTGAGAGTACGAGGTAAACAAGCTCACCCATGCTTCCAACATCTCCTGGAATTTCTCCGGTGAGCATGTTGTCGGACAAGTCGAGACTGCCGAGATTAGCCAGTTTCGCGAGGGACTTGGGAATGGGACCTCGAAGCTGGTTGCCGAGGAGATTAAGATACTGGAGCTGAGTCAACTCACCGAGTTGGGGAGGAATCTCACCGGAGAGGGTATTGTTGGCGAGATTCAGCGTCTGAAGATTACCAAGGGAAGCCCCCAACTCCGCCGGGATAGAGCCGTTAAGATGATTATCAGCGGCGGTGAAGACAATGAGGCTGGAGCAGTTGGCAAGCTCTGGTGGAATGGGTCCTTCGAGGTGGTTAATCTGCAAAATCAAGTGCTGAAGCAGGGTGAGGTTTCCAAGCTCCGGGGGAATGGGACCGGAGAGACTGCAGGAGGCCAAACCAAGAAAGAGCAAATTGTGAAGGTTGCCGAAAGAAGGAGGGATTGGACCGGTGAGGTCGGGATTGTCGCCGAGCTTGAGAAGTTGAAGGTTGAGGAGGGAAGAAAGTTGAGGGGGAATGGGACCGGAGAGTTGGTTGGAGTAGAGGAGCAAAGATTCCAAAGAAGAGAGGTTGGAGAGAGCAGGTGGAATGGAGCCAGAGAGTTGATTTAAAGAAAGATCCAGGTGGAGCAGGTCTGGCAAAAGGGAGAGAGAGGGTGATATGGACCCACTTAGGGAACAGTTGGAGAGATTGATACCCACCACCACCACCATTTGATTAGAGGAGCAAGAAACACCTCGCCATGAGCACACGTTTGTGCTGTTCTCCGACCAGTCTTGAAGAACATTGAGTGGGTCTTCAAGGAAAGATTTTCTAACCTCCAACAGAATTTTCTTATTAATTTGAAGAGATGATGATGTGAAAGCGGAGAAGATAAGGAGGACATGAAGAACAATTAGGAGTGGGTGTGGAGTTGCCATTGCAAGATGAAAAACGACGACGATGATGATATGTAGGTGGGTGGGTGGGTGGCAATTATATTATAGAAGAAGAGAGGTAGCTAGCTACTGTTAGTAAAAATATCCAAGAAAAAGAAATTGTGTGTGAGTAAATAGTAAATGAGGTTCATCTTCGGCAGTGTTGTGCAGTGCATGGGGAAGAGAGAGAGAGAGAGTTGACTGGTGTGTGAATCATGAAGAGAGAGAGAGAGAGAGAGAGAGATTTGTTGAAGGAAGGTGGTCTGGAATGGAGAGAAGACGCGTGGTTTCTGTACAGAAGCGCGCTTGCTAGCTGCCACAAAACAGAATTGATGGTGGCTTTGGAATTACTCCATATCCATCCATCCAATATTATTGTTATAATTATTATTATTATGGGCTCAAAGGATCGGAAGAAAGTCTGTGTGTGTGTGTGTGTGTGTGTGTGTGTGTTGATTAGACAAGAGAATTGGCGGGGCATTAATTTCCACCGATGTTGCAACCATTTACACAAGGAGAGAGAAATTTTTACATATTAAATGATGCAAAGATAAGAAGAGACAAGGAAGGAATTGAAGATCAATTTTTGAATTACTCCACCATAAATTATTATTTAAAAATACCTAAATAGTGGCGTGACAGAGACAGGAGAGAGAGAGAGAGAGAGAGAGAGAGAGAGAGAGAGAAGAAAGCAAGAAATCCCTCCCTCCCCCGCCTACGAATGAATGAATATGAATGAATAAGAATGGAGTTTTGGTGAGAGATGAAGTGAGAGAGAGAGAGAGAGAGAGAGAGAGAGAGTAGCTAATATAATTATAATAATAATTATAAGATATAGTATTTATTTGCATAAAAGGAAGAGGAGAGGAGGATAGGATATCATCATATATATCATCATATCAGATATGGTAGGGTGGTTGAATATAACAAGCACACACACCACTTATTCCTTCATTCTTAAAGCGAGCGGTTGGATTTCCATTTTTTTTTTTACTCATTCTTTCAAAAATGGTATTCCAAGATTATAATTTTGTATGCCCCTGCACTGCACTAGATAAAATTAAATATTCCCTTTTAAGGAAATGATGATGATGATGATGATACAGACACCAAATCACCAATAATATAATATAGGTACCTGCTGCCTGCCATAGTATGTTTTCTTTCTTTAGATATTAGTTATTTCTTCCATTTCTCTGCAGAAAGAAACTACCTAAGAAAGAAAGAGTTAATTAGTACTAATTTTATTATGTTAATTAATTAACATGGAGTGAGTAGGCAGTTAGAAATGGTAGAGTACTGGAGGAGTAGAGAGCATAATATATGTATATACTTTTGACTGCTGCTAATGGTTATGGATTGAGCCTACCTAAATTCGATCCCAATCTATTTGAAACCCACCTCTCTCTCTCTCTCTCTCTCTCTCTCTCTCTCTCTCTCTCTCTACTCCATTATACATAATAAATGTATGATGGAGTAGTGAATAATATTGTAATGTTTTGGAGTGTGACTTACTATTTGTTCAACAACTCCTTTTTCCTTTTTCTTTGCTTGTTATGATATTAGTGTAGTAAGGAAAGACTTGTTACCAATTAATATCTCTCTACAATAATCAACATTATAATTTTATATCGTCCCATCCATCCATCTTACATCAACTTCTCCTTGTGCAAAAATCACACAGTTTATTACATCAACTTCCTCTACCTACTCTGTTTATTACTCTCAATCTATATATTTCCTCCTCAAAACTCAATAATTGTTGTTCTGAAAATAATTAAAGATAAAAAATTTGAGACAAGTTGTTTATATTTTTGTATTGTTGCATGAGTCCAAAGTCCAACTAATTGAAGAATCATTATCATTAATGTGAAGGTGTGTTCGTGTGTCTTGTAGTTGTGTATACAAATAATTGATATGGTGTAGCATTGACTTTGTTGGTATAGCTTCCTCTGTCTTTTATTCATATTAATTAATATATCTGCTACTTTACTTGTCTGTATATGGATGGATCACGGGCTACCAATCCGAATCCGCCACCAGCAGTTGTTCATCACAAACCTTGCAACTATGCCTCGCCCACCCCATCATCATCATCATCATCATCATCACATACATACATTATTGGTACACGAATCTACATAGTATATATTCTTTAACTTGGCCATACAAAAATTTCAACTATAAAAATGATATCGTAACTATTGACCACGTATGTATCATGTTTTCTGTAAAAATTAAGGAACTGTGTCTGTGTACGAGGTTTGGGTCCTATAGAGAGAGAATATCGGTTAAAATTAATTTGTGATTTCTTCAGTATGAAAATAACTAGTCATCCATCCACTTAAGTCAACTTAGTCCATTGATAATGAAACTCACCCACCATTTGGCGGCGGCAGCAGCAGCAGTAGCAGCATTTGGTTTGATCACAACCAGTCCATGTAAAAGATCCCTTCGTATGACCCAACCCATGCGCCCATACCATGCTCCTCCCAGTAACTTCTTGTCTTTTCTTTTTCTGCCCATTCAATCACACACAGAAAGAGAGAGAGAGTGAGAGAGAGCGAGAGAGAGAGAGAGAGTGAGAGAGAGCGAGAGAGAGAGAGAGAGAGAGAGAGAGAGAGAGAGAGAGAGAGAGAGAGAGAGAGACTATCAACTAATTACTTACTTTCCATTAAATCAATCAATTAGACATGCATACAACTATTTCTGCTAATAATAATAATACCTCTACTTGTTGACCAGCACACAGCTGACGGAATCGAATCCATAAATCTATCCCTCAATAGCAGTTCACCTGACTTTATATTCCACATACGCATATTGCAGTCCTCTCCACCTGACACCATCCATCATCATCATCATCATCATCATCATATTATACTCAATTGCAAATAAAACATATATATACACATATTTCTCACTTGTGTGCATCATTTAAAAATCATCTTTCACCTGACATGACAACTTTCTCTGCTGGGTCAACTCCAAGTTGTATGCGAGTGTGCGAATTTACATTTCCTTCATATGATTGAACTGCTCCTCTATGTGTTAGACGCCGATCGTACAGCTTCATCTGGGGATGCATAAATCAATCATCAGATTTATCAACATATACACAAACTCCTATGCACAACATATTTTAGGATCTCAATATACTCTGCATTGCACATCTCAATATACAACCCTCCCTCAAATTGTACAAAGACTAACCGATCCATCCATAGAGCTAGCCAAGAAGTACTGATCCCAATGCTCAAGTGATGTCAAACTACAATTAAAGGAAAATCTCACTCAATATTACAATTCTAAAGAAAAATTTAAAAAAATCAGAGCTTCACATAAGGAGAAGCAAAACTGATAGGTGGAAAGCCAACTAACCAACAGACAGATGAAGGCATCGAGATTACGGAAGAGCTACGCGCGCTCTTTTTCATCTGTGCATAAACATAAGACCAAGATTTTGTTTGTTATCACATAAATTGTTTGCACCATTTAATAGCTTTGAAGGAAAGAGGTGTAGCTGAATCAAAGACTCGATGAGGGTTTACAATTTCAATGTCTACTGAAATGTCTGCTTAATCTTTGCATCTCTTTTGTAGAACTGCGGTTCACAAATCAGGATTCTCTCGACCCTTAACCTTAAGCGTCCAAGCGGTTACAGTTAAGGGATGGAACCACCCGGTTAACCATTAAATTTTGAGCTTAAATATGAAAATTATTGAAATTTAAAATTTGAGATATTTTTAATTAAAAAAATAAATTAAATGCTCTATCCAATAAAAGAAAAAAAAATATATGAACACACTCATCTAAATACAACAACTAAAACTTGCGAGTTGGGTAATACAATAATTGATCTGAAATACACACAACTAACATCCAGAATTTTTTTAATTCTCTTTAGCCAGTTTACCAGATTGGCAGATTGACCTGGCAGTAACCACCGGTTAGACGGTTCACCAACCCATCAACCCTTAACCATCGCTTATACCCACAAGCCAGTTACGGTCCAGGGTCAACAAACAGCCGATCCGGTTAGCAGGCTGTGTGCAGGATCCTAGTCCAACCCTTGGTTAGGTCTACTTCTATCATATAGCTCCAAACCTCAAGTTTAAACTAACTTCAACCACACTTCAAAATAGCAACATTGTTGTATAGAGTATTCCACAAGAAAATCAAAAGGTTGAAACTACTGTTTACGGTTTCCCTATTATACACATAAAAAACAAAAAATGCTTGATGTGGCATTTAAATATAGAAATCACAATGAAATTATGCAACAAACGAGGATAATGATAATATATATATATATATATATATATATATATATATATATATATATATATATATATATATATATATATATATATATATATATATATGTCTGCAAAGAATATTTCAAGCAGTCATGAATTAAAAAGTACAATGTGGATAAAAGCTCACTTGTCTTTGGCGAGTATCAACGGTCACAATTTTTCCATTTCTTAACCCACAAAGCATTGAGTTCCCCTAAAACAAGAAAGAAAAGGTAAATCATAGAAAATTTAGCCATATGGTGTTACTTTAAATACATCTGGCAATTGATGGTGAAGTAAAATCTTTAGAGGACCCCAAAAATCATACTATGTGTTCAAACAAATTACAAAGGTTCTGCAGATACATTTTTGTACGTGCACGATTTGTACGTGTCCGTTTATAAAATATCAAATAACTCTTCACAAAGCAGGTCCTGAAAACTTACAGACTGATTGAGCTGCAGGGAAAATACATCGCTTTTACAATCAAACGCCCATGTTGATGCTCCAGTTTCAATATTGAGCAAGACAACCCCCTTACTGGTTCCTACACCAATAGAAAGCTCGACATTTGTACAAAGAGGATTTACAGTGGATGGAATCACTATAATATATTCTCACATATTCAAAGAATCTGTAACTTTAAGAACTTCTATGCAGAAAAGAGTTTAGGGTGATAAACAAATGCAGAACAAAACTGAATCATGTATAAATCTTGAAACAAAAACATCGAGTGACGTATTTAAGCTTGAGCATAAGGCAAACAAAACCTAAACTACCGATGATCAAGGGCAAACTTCAAAGTTTTGTCTACTGCAAATTCAGGTAAAATGGCAAAGATATGACTGACACGTATCTGCCATGCAATTGTAGTACATTAAAATTCAAAGATATGATTAAGAATAACAAAGCACAAGAACTTGCCGATTGCAGCATGCGTTCCTCTAGGGTCAGAGTCGGCTGTCCAAAGTGTCTGTTTAAATCCAGCAATCCCATGTAACACACTCCCTACGAGAATAGGAGAGCTAAAATCAAGTGGTTCACTCAAGTCTAGAAGGTAGACAGATCCAGTAGCAATGTCCGAGCCTAAGGTTGTTATCCTGTTTCTTATGTTAAAGTCTTACAACTTTAATTAATGAAGAGTTGCAAGAAATAAGCACAATTTCAGTAACCTTAAAATAATTAACACAGCAGAAACCATATGAACCCAACCCTTCCTGTAATGACAATATGACATCCACTCGCTGATGGAAATATCCTAAATATGATGTTCATTCTTTAATGCTCCAAAGAAATTTAGCACGAACATCATCCCAAATCCATATATGAAAAAATTACTATATACAGTAAAGAAAAAATTTGCTCAATTAAAACAAAATAAGATAAGCTTTTCTTCTGAACAGTTGAAACGTATAAAAAGCATAAGCCGTGTTTCTATTAAAGACAGCACCACAACTACTTATTCATAAGAACACGGTTCCAAAAGGATACAGGAAACGTTTTGACATGGTACCATCAGTTGTTAGAGAACTTTTCCCCAACATCGCTAAACAAGATATGTCAGATGTCAAATATGATGTAGATCCAAAAGAACTACCAAGCTCTCTTAATAGTTCTGTTTGCCTGGGTGTTTGATCTAGATTGAGAGGCCGTACACGATCTGCTTCGTACATATCTGCTGAATTGATTTCTTGTCGAAAATTTGCAGTTTGAAAAACACTAAAGCATACAAGAGTTCAGAATTAGAAATAATATATTAAAAGATAGGAAATATCAAAATGTGTAGAAGAGATAAGGATATTAGCCACCATAAATTAAGAAACGAATAGTTACCACCATAAGTTGGTAAACTTAAATTATATTCAACCAACAAAAGGTAATAATTGCTGCAATGATAGAATCCTGGAAAAGCATTCAATGGCTCAAGAATATCAAAATTCAAAGTTAATCCTACAAATAACACTCACCACACTAAGCCATGTGCGCCGCAACTCAACAATATATCTCTTTCTTCTAGACCATGGGGCAAGATCACATCCGCAACAACATGTTCCAATGAGATATTTGCCATCTTTTTGGTACGTTTGTATTTCCATATCTGAAAATGTGCATAACAAATTACATGCTAATTTGTGAAATTCTGAGTTAATTGCTTTGTGCTAACACTGAGTTTGCTTAAAGAAGCAAGACAGGCCTTTTAGTATGAACTGATACAAAGATAGACTAGTGCATCACAATAGTTATGAGGGAAAGATAAATAATAAGATGCTTCATATCATCATATGAAAATCCTGAGCTCAACTAAATTTTGTTGAAATTCTAAGAATAAAATGAGGAAGAAATTCTTACCGTTGGTTGCGATGCATGTCTCTTTTGATATTCAGCTTGAAAGCTTAACTTCTTTTTGAAGGAATAAATAACATTACCACAAAACTCCCGTGCATGAAGCAGCCCGGGTCTTATTTTAAAGGTTTGACATAAGTCGTCAGCCTGAAATTGTGAAAAATGAAAAGTTCACCCAAAAAAATAGGTATGCAAATGAAACCAGCACGTTGATAGTAGCAGAGCTGCAAGCTAATTATTCTATCATAAACCAATAATAATTTCCAGGTGACTAATAGCAATAATCTTGGATGGGTTGTTCTAGTTAATTACATTACATTTAAGAAGGGCATACATAGAGAGGCTCACAAAAGTCGCTTATAAATGGGAAACCTCTGAACCCAACTGGCAACAGCCTCTTCTTGAGCACATAGAAACACAAATATGACGGAATCTACAGTTACAAAATTACCTGCTGTTTGGGGTCTGAGGATGGCCGTATTGGAGGAGGTTTTCGAGAAGAACCCGGGATAGGGCCTTTGTAAGGGAAGTATCGATTCTTCTCTTCGTCATAGTAAAATCCCGGAAGTTCTGCCGCCGAAATCAAACCGGACAACTGATACTAGTTAGCGTATGTATTGGTGAACGAGTAACGTAAATAAAGCCGTTTGTACTTTGTAGAGAGAGAGAGAGAGAGAGAGAGAGAGAGAGAGAGAGAGAGAGAGAGAGAGAGAGAACCTTTGGGCATAATTGTGAAGTTGCTTATTGCTATGAATAAGTCGGTGCGGAGCAATTGTTGAGTAGTGTGACCTAAATAAATATAAACGAGTGAGGGGAAGGAGCGGCGATACAAGGCGGTGGGTGCGCTCAATTTAAAAAGACGGCCAGGCAACGATACCGCCGTCTTCTTTCAATTTCAATGTTTACACGCTGCTATCTTTGTGATGCCAGCAGAAAAAAGTACTACTAATGGACTAAAATACCCTTTTTATTATTTCTCTCTCAAATAAATCTCTCATTAATTAGGAGGATGAGGACAAAATTGAGAAGAAAATAATAATAATAATAATAATAATAATAATAATAATAATAATAATAATAATAATAATAATAATAATAATAATAATAATAATAATAATAATAATAATAATAATAATAATAATAATAAATGTATTATTTAAATTCGAAAGTGACAGAAGAATTAATTTAAAACATATGGAATACTAATTTATCGATTGTTGTTTTCTGAATAAGATGATTTAGTAGCATGAAATATATAGACATCTCCAAATATTTAATTTGGCAATAGTGCAGCATATTTGAGTTGTAGTGGTAAAAAATATCATTTTATTGATGTAATGAAATCATATTTGTTTTTCAAAGAGAAATTTTAGAGGGGAGATAGAAAACTTGTTTGAAGAAAATATTTGTTTGATCTTCTTGATTGATTGTATGTTGTAAACCTCTTGTTCTTATTGAGTGAATAAAGATCTCATGCACTTACCCTCCATTGATTGTGTGTCAGAATTACATCTGAATTAATCTATTTCCAAATTCAGTTTCATGCAAAATTAGGCCGATTTTCTATATATGTGCTTTGTTATGTGCATGATCTGTACTCGATTGTGGAATTTGATATGAGTGATTGTATTTGTTGGATTGAGCTTGATTCACAACCATCTGATTTTAGATTGGAGGAGTTGAATGAGAAATTGTAAAAAGTAGAGATTTTATTCGTTTTGTATGTAATCAAGAAAAAGTTATTGGGCGAAATAAAGCTGTGGAGACGTACGCACACTAGAATTGGTAAAAGAATGAAAGTGAAGGTAATAAATATATTAACAGTATTCAACAATCCCAAGCAAGACGTTGATCATCGTCTAAATGAGTAGTAGTAGTAGTATAAACCGGGGGAGGCAGTATGAATGCAGAATCCACAAAATCGAAATCAAAGTGACTAGTAATACTCCCATGGAAAGTATGAATATTAGTATTCGGTTGATGATAATCCGGTTCTTGGTGATCATGATGAATAATACCCGATGAGTTCAATAATATACTTAGTTGATCATCGTCATCATGATGGTTATAATAAAGTAGTCCACATGATGAAATCTGCTGGTGTTGCTGCTGCAATGCATTTGGCAAAGGATCAACGAGGCAGCGGCCTGAATAATGATCCAAATTATGAATAATATTATCGAAGTTATAGGGATGATGATTAAGTAGACTAGTACTAGTAGTGAATCCGCAGGTGGATGAAGGAGAAGAAAACATCATACTAGGAGTAGTAGTAGTTTGAGTTGAATTATTAGTAAGTACTAGTCCGGAAAGGGTGGTTGATGATGAGGCCGGGTCGTTTATTATAAGAAGATCATCATTATTATTTAGTATTGGAGGAGTACTCCTCGAATTATTATTAATGATAATATTGGGAGGAGGAGCAGTAGAAGATGATGAATGTTGATGGACGGAGAAAGTGGTGATGATATTGTTGGAAGAAGAAGAAGAAAGGAGGAGATTGTGAGTGGTGGGATCCAAGCCTTGAGAAAGGAGCTTCTTCTTGATGCAAGAATTCCAGAAATTCTTAACTTCATTGTCAGTCCTGCCAGGCAAGTGCTTAGCTATTTGAGACCACCTGTTGCCTAATATCCTGTGTACGTCAATGATTGTCATCTCCTCTTCCTCTGTAAAACAACCCCTCTTCACGTCTGGCCGTAGATAGTTTATCCACCTCAATCTGCAGCTCTTCCCGCACCTTTCCAACCCTGCATGTTATATATTATTAATTCATCAATCATCATCATCATTTTTCATCCATCATTTACTATTACATATATATAGAGAGAGATGCACCTGCTAGTTTAGGAACAGAGCTCCAGCAGCCGTGGCCATGGGCAGTGATATGGCTGACAAGCTTCTCATCCTCTTCCGGAGACCACAGTCCCCTCTTTACTTTCTCTTTGCTGCAGCACTGATGATGTACTATTTTATTTATTATCATCTCTCTCTCTCTTTCTTTCATCTACCAACAACACACTTACTTCATCACCCATATATCTGTGTCTATATATATATATATATATATATATATATATATATATAAATGAAACCAACTTTTTCTCAATCAAACTAAATTTTAAAATTGTATTATTAATTGTTTAGCTAGCTTGTTTTAGGAACATGTTATATAATGGTGAAGTGTAGGAAATTGTATAAATTAGTATAATATACGATGACTATTGACTATAATATACAGCTAGCTAGGATTAATTTTACTGCTGGCTGCTGCATTCTCTCTCTCTCTCTCTCTCTCTCTCTATATATATATATATATATATATATATATATATATTGATTGCAGGTCCACACTCCATATATATGGTCTTTTGTAACAATTAATATATATGTATAAATAATATTATTCTACTAGCTAGTCTTCCAGATGATTTTATGCGTGCACTGCAGTCACACAAACAAATGTATTTTTCATGCATGCTAACTCTGACAAGAAACCTTTTTTTCCATTTCGCAAAGTTTATTACATGATTTTCTGATCATCATAAATACGTAGTATGATAATGCCAATTGGAGCTCATGTACGTTAACATCACAACAATTACGATACACATATAGAACAAACCAAAAAAAATAAAAAATAATTAATATGAAATAAGAACATGATTAAATGTTTTGAATGTGTGAGCACAAGAAGTAATGATCATATGATGCGAGAATGTGGGAAATTAAAGTTGATTGCACCGGTTTATGACTTTATTCATAAATCATAGAGATGGAGCCACTTAATTTGCTTTTTTACGTAATTTTCTCCAATATATATATATATAATAGCATCCGTTGCCGTCGGCAGAAATTAATTAGATGCATGGGAGATCTTCAAGGGTTTGTGTTTTTACTTTATGTAAATAATTACTAGTACTAACGATGTAATTTATGGTTGAATTTAGAACCATGAAATGATGAAAATTCCCCTAATTATTATCGTCATCATAATCATTCATTCATTCTAATTTGCGATTTCCCTATACAATACTAATATTTAAGGTCTCTTCATTCATTCACATTACTCATTACTCATTACTACTATATTTTGGGTTTAGTTAATTAATTAATACCCCACTGAGATTGATTAATATCTGCCGACAATTTGCAATCATCTCTCTTACTCCGATCCTTTTCTCAACTTGTTTTAATTTCAAAACAACTTCTTTTTACATATAAGTATAATTGTATTTAGAATCCAGATAAAATGATTTTAGAGAAAACCAAAAATATAGTATTAGTACGACTATGTCTCAGGCTATTAATTTCTTGTAAGAATGGTTGAAGCCGAGAAAATTGACATAATAAATCTCTACAAGTAGAGGAAAGCGACATACATTATAAATTATAATAATAATCTCAGATGATTAGCTTAACTACAACAGCTGGATTTGGATTAATTGCCCAATGTCTTGCACGAAATATTAAGTGCATCGGTGTAATTTACACTCAAAATAAATATTGTTTTAGTGAGGTAAAAACATCATCTCTCTATTCTATTGTGTATTAGTTAATAAATATTTAAAAGTGGATAAAAATTTAAGAAAATAAGTGGCAACGATAATTTTGGTATGGGTACGTAGTTAAGGTAAGATCCATTATTAGGTCATATTTGGCCCATATAAATTATCCATATGGGATGGGACGAGTATTTAATTTTTTAGTTTTAAAAATTAAAATAGAATCATCAGCCATTAATAACAACATATCATCCATGGTGTCCTTGCCAATCATCAATCATCCATGGAGTTTTCTGTTCAGAGCCCGCTTCAATACTTGGGCTTTTGCCATTAAGAACGCCGCCTCTTCCTCTTCTTCACCTCTCAAAGCCCTCCAACTCTATTCTCGGATGCACCGCCAATCTTTGCCTTTCGATACCTTCTCTACCCTCTACGCCATCAAGTCTTGCACCCATTTGGGGCCCCACCACAGCCTCAACAACATCTTACGCCACCTCCACGCCCACATTCTCAAACTCGGTTTCTCTTCTCACGTTTACGTCGCCACTTCTCTCCTCTCTGTCTACGCTTTCAATGTCTTTAGGGACGCATGCTTCCTGTTCGATGAAATGCCCATTAGAAACACCGTCTCTTGGAATGTTATGATTACTGGATACTCTCGTCAAGGGGATATTACTACTGCCCGCCTCTTTTTCGACAGAATGCCCCTTCGAGACCTTGCTTCTTGGTCTGCAATGATCGCAGCATATGTCGACAATGCCCTCTGGGACAATGCCTTACCACTTTTCCGCGAAATGATGGTCAGTAGGAATGTTACTGGTGATTGCCTAAAGCCCGATCAACTAACTTTAGGTTCCATTTTAGGAGGCTGCGGTCGAATGGGTTCTGTTGGATTGGTGTTTGGAAAATCCATACACGCCTTTGTTATTAAGAACAAGTGGGACTTGAATGTGGAGTTGGGTACTTGTTTAGTTGACATGTATGCTAAATGCGGGCTTCTAAAAACTTCTTCCCTGATTTTCAGCATGATGAAGGGCAACAACGTGGTTGCCTGGACAGCATTAATCTGTGGCGCTGCTCAACATGGATTTGGACAAGAAGCTATACAGATCTTTGAGAATATGAGAGAAGCAGGGGTGAAGCCTAATGAGTTGACGTTCACAGGGATACTTACTGCTTGTGTGAAAGCAGGGTTGGTGGAAGAGGGGCGCATGTATTTCAGGATGATTGAACAGTGTGGGATAAGGCCTAGGATTCAGCACTATGGCTGCATGGTTGATTTATTTGGTAAGACGGGATTGTTGGGGGAAGCATATGAGATCATTAACACAATGCCGTTTGAAGCCAATGTGGTTATATGGGGTTCATTCTTGTCATCTTGTAAGCTGCACAAGCAGTTTCAGATGGCTGACGACAATGTGATTGATAAGGTGATGAGGATGGTGACTCCAGAAAATGATGGAGGGGTTTACTCACTTATATGTGATTTATATGTATTAAGCGGCAAGTGGAGTGAGGCAGAAAGAATAAGGAATATGATGCTCACCAAGAACGTGCGGAAATCTCGGGGATCTAGTTTCGTCCCAAGTGGTAATGTGAAGTCGGAATCCTAACAAAAAAAAATCCTTCTTCGGACTTGGGCAAGTTCAGGCGATGCAGGATGCAGCTATCAATACAAGGTTGACAAAACTAGAGTGGAATAGGACAGTCAATCACAAAGCTTCGGACAAAGACGAATTACTATTATTAGGCATAAAAAACTAAATAATGGAGGTCACTGCTTCACAGATGGCTCAGCGAAGGCCTTTGGTGATATTTGTAGATGATACATGAAAGTTGATGACATCACTAACATACTCCTCCTAAGGTTGTTACATTTTGCTGACTAATAAGATTTTCCTTATTAGCGCAATGTGTAGACTTGAGCATTTTTCTGAGTTTGCTATATAGTGCTAATGCTTACATTAGTGTTTCATTTATTATGAATTGTTATCTGACAACCAAACCAGATTATATGGTTTTACTGATTCGTATTATTTCTGGATAACAAGGGTTTCAAGGAGAAATGCGAACTAATAGAAGAAAAAATCGACCTTTTCTTAATAGATGAATGAATATGTGTCAAGTACAGCAGCAATAAGTACATGAATGAAATTATTCTAGAAACAATACCAACATCTAAGGCTAAAGAAGTTGCCAAATTCACCACTTGAATGATGAGAGAAACTTTCTTCAACATCGAATTTCCTGAAAGCCACCATCCTGAGAGTCCACAAAAGAGAGGTATCTTAAAGTCTCGTCCATGGCAAGCATGAGTTCTGCAGAACATGGATTAGGAAGGTCCACCTATTATTATTATTAAGCAGATTTCTTCTGATGAATACAAGAAATAAATATTGCTTTCAATGCACACAATAAATACAAGCCCACCCTCCATACTTGCATCTACTACAATCCTCCTGCTCTCAGTAAATAGCAACAGAATAAATCAGTCAACTTAACTTCATCTTCTTCACAGTAGCCTGCTGAGAGACTTAATGAGCAATTTCAAGTTCTTTCTTGTGGCTTCATCCCCAGTAAATCCCAATATATCAGAGCTTATATTCTGCATACGTTGATACTCAGTCAAGAATATAGAAATTTAGGAAAAGTATTAATGACACCCCTAGGCAAAACCTACCTCAATGTTCTTCAATGTGAAAATGAGGGTATAAATAGACTTCTGAATTAGTTCCGTGTTTTCTGGAGTCAAAATTGAAGACTGCACCCTTCTGTATAGTTCACATAAAACGCACCGTGAGCCAATTACCATACAAAAGATGTTTGAAATTAGCAGACCACAAACATCCTACATGATCAACAAGCCATTTTGACCTGAAATTACAGACTAAACCATGTTGTACCTCATACGTGGATCGCACAACTGTGCAACTGCTAATGAAAACAGATTTGTGGACATAGATGAAGTCAATGGACGTGTCCGAAATCAGTAAACAAACAAGACATTCAATTGTCTGTCATCTGTTATTTCCTAAATGAAGGAAATGCTTAAAGTAATCTGCAAAATGTTAATCTAGTGCGTTTAGGAGTTGATATTATATGAATATACTTGGTTCAGTTTCATCTATGTGAGTTATGTAGCAATTATTAGAAATATATTTTTAAACTATTGGTAATATAGGAACAGTCATCTGAATATAAATGCATGTTATCAACGTCCAAAATTTCAGCGGAAAAATGGGACAAGATTAAATGATACATAACTGTAATTGCATCATGGAGATTGTATGTTCACCTCAGATCGTCGGAAGCTCGTGTAAGGCTTTTGGTTAAATGTTCAACTTCCTTCAGCAACCCACGGTCACGAACTTCAGCCAGCAAAGGTTCTATATCTTCAGCTATGGCTTCAATCTGAGAAATCACTACATCAGAGGCAGAATATTGCATGAGAATACATTCAATGCCACAACACCATAACTAATGTATTTATATGTTGAAAAAGGAATCAAGATGAATGCGTCTGGTAACAGATGTCAAGACTTTGCATTTTGCAATGCCCTTCTAAAGTTTGCACACTACTTTGCTAATGCTGGATGCACAATAGAACCGATACATAGTAGGAAAAACATTATTCAATTGAAAACAACTATACAGATCATTCTACAAGGCAAACCGAAACAATTTTGATGTGAGAAAAAATCCTAAGCTACATAGACCACAGTGCAGTTATAGATAATGACAGAAGCATACTCTTTTATAGATGGTTGATGACCGACTAATATTTAGTTTGCAGAAGTTCAATTACATAAATTAGGGGAACAGAAACATAAGCTCATCACTTCCAATATGCCATCAGCACAACTAAAACAAGCTGATTTTAGATTGAACATATTTAAGTAACTAAAAGCACACAGACCACACCTTTGAAAGCAGAGGCCGTGCCTCTCCAATGACGGCGGCAACCCGTTCAGTCAATGAATAGGCATTCGCAACACCAATTTCCTCAACTTCACGCCCAATGCGAGTAAATATTCCAACCAATGCGTCCAAACTCACACCCTGACGTCCCTTTATCTTTTGCCTGTCACATACAATTAAGCCCTCTTTAACACAATCTGCATGAAGAGGGCCAACTGAAGGTTCTGGAATGGGATCTCGTGGTGTAATATCAATGAGAGTTTCCATGAGAAGACCAGACTGATTGACTTCAATCAAGGAATTTTGTGGTACTATAATCTTGTCATCTTCAATCTATGGACACCATGAACAAGACAAACAAGGAAATAGTCAGAATGCATTGAAGGCACATGTAAGAAAATAAGTTGAAATATTCTCCCTTCTCCTCACCTCAACTACCGCCTCAATATTCCTGAGTGAGGAATTGACGCGAACCACATTCCCAACATTGACCCCTCTAATCCTAACAGGTGTTCCAGTGCAAATGCCACTAGCCTGATCAAACTCAATGACGGCCAAATATTTGTTAAACTTCGATCTTAATTGAAACCCCCTCAACCAAGCCAAGCTAAATGCCAGTATAAATGCTCCGGAAACAAGAAACAAGCCGACCCCACCCTCCCAAACGCTTTTCCTACCAAAACCAAAATCACTCAAGGGTCTCAAAGTTTGCTTCCAAAGAGTGCGAGGAACATCCAGAATCAGAGAGAAAGGGTTTTTGGAATGAGAAGATGATGCAGCCTGAGGCTGGGCATTAATATCATCAGATGAAGTAGCTTTGACGAAAAAAGGTTTCCTCTTCTTCTTATGTCTAAGATTAGCAGTGAGAGATGGCAAGAAATTCAAAGTAGGTGAGATATAATAGGAACGCGACAGTGCGGAACTAGCTAAAATCAGTGAATTCCCTTCCATATCTATCTATCTATCTCTTTCAGACCTATGTTGAAGAATTATTCGAAAATGTATTCGTTCACAAAGAATACTTGCCAGCAGTGAGAGGATTCCGTATTCTCTCCTTGATCCTTGACATTGGATGGAAATCTAGGAGAAAATATATCAGCACAAAAAAATGATTAATTTGAGATGAGGAGATGAAAAAAAGAAAAATGATTAATTTGAGATGAGACGATGAAAAAATGAAAAAAACATCTGATGAGGGGAAGGGAAAAGAATAACATAGAAAAGATACCGTAGAATTGTTTGGTCGGAATCCGACGGTGCAGAAACAGAAACCCTAGATAGCTTGAGAAAAGGGAAAGAGTGAGTGAGTGACAGTGACGAAACCAAAGTGGGAAATTGGGCTGGGCTGGGCCGCATGTAGTATTGAATTTGGAGGAGGAGTTCAGCCCTATCCAACATTAATTCATTCATTCATTATTAATTAGTATATAGTTCAAAAAAAATCTGAATGTTAATTTTGTATACTTTAGGCCAAGACAAAAAAAAATATGATTTTGACTTGGGGGTATTTGGCAAATAACAAAAAGAAGAAGAAGAAAATAAAAATAAAAATTGCAAGTCAAATATGACCGAGTCTTTTTTATAAATATTTTGTTGTTAATAATGTTGTGTTATGTTGAGTGAGTGGAAGAGTCATACATATATCATAATTATTACCAATATTCTAACCATGTAATCTAATCTAATTAATACCTCTTCCACACAAATCATTATTAATGTCAGCATACATTATTTATTTATTTATTTACTGATGATGGGTATATAATTATGTACCGCCTTAAAAAATTATGTATCTGTATGTTAGTTGAAGCTTGACTTGTATGCATGTTTTACCGCACCCCACCCAAATTTATTTTATTTACTGGGGATCAACTTTATTATGTATATTAATTCATGAGATTCCTTTCACCATTAATTAATTAATTAATATTAAATTGCATTTATTATTAAAACAAAAATTAAGAAGACGACGTGGGTGTGGGCCGGGCCGGGCTTGAAGGAAAAAATGAAAAATGTTAATTTAGGTGAGTGGAAAAAAACGTTGCACCAAACTGGCTTAATAATGAAGGAATACCTCTCTCTATATATGTATATAAAATAATATGATGAATGAATATAATAGTCTTTGATTCCAATTGCCTTTTGTTTACCAAGTCTATAGCTCTATCGTTCACTTCACGTCATAGCAACTACATATATTTTTCTAGTATTTTTTTGATATCCTCCCTCCTCTTAGCTAGCTACTACATGATGATATGATGATGACCTCAAAACCCAAAGTCTTCTCTCTCGTCTATCTATTTTAAGTCTCCTTCTAATTAACTTTTCTAGTTTCTGCAAATTATATTTCATTTCGTAAAAAACACAGATGGCTATGAATACTACTGCATCTATGTTTCATGTATTTATTATCATCTTAACACAAGTCCTTTTATTACTAGTAGTTGAACAAGTGGAATCCAGATTTGTTGTTGAAAAGAGCAGCATAAGCGTCCTTTCTCCAACTGACCTCCGTTCTAAGCACGACGCTGCTATTGCCAACTTTGGCGTCCCCGATTACGGCGGATCTTTGGTCGGCACTCTCTTCTACCCTCCAACCGGCTTCACCGGCTGCTCTCCCTTCGACGGAGACAAACCCTTCAAGTCTAAGTCCCCACGTCCCTCTATTCTTCTTCTTGATCGCGGAGGTCTTCATGATTCTCTCTTTTTTTATTTCATTTCTTCCTTCAATATACATACATATAAATAAAATATTTGATTTTTGGTGGTCTCGTACGTCCATCTCCAGATTGCTACTTTGCGTTGAAGGTGTGGAACGCACAGCAGGCCGGAGCATCGGCGGTTCTAGTGGCTGACACTATAGACGAGCCCCTCATCACCATGGATACCCCTGAAGAGAGCACCGATACCAACGGATACATAGACAAGATCGAAATCCCTTCAGCATTGATCGAGCGCTCCTTTGGCCAGTCGCTCAAAGATTCCCTCAAGAAAGGCGATGATGTGGTGGTCAAAATAGACTGGACTGAGTCAATGCCCCATCCCGATCAAAGGGTCGAATACGAGCTGTGGACTAACAGCAACGACGAGTGTGGGATTCGGTGCGATGACCAGATGAATTTCGTCAAGAATTTCAAAGGGCACGCACAAATTCTTGAAAAGGGAGGTTACACGCAGTTCACACCACACTACATAACTTGGTACTGTCCAGAAGCTTTCATTCTGAGCGATCAATGCAAGTCTCAGTGCATTAACCATGGCAGATATTGTGCACCTGATCCAGAGCAGGATTTTACACAGGGGTATCAGGGTAAAGATGTTGTCTTTGAGAATTTAAGGCAGCTCTGCGTCCACAGGGTGGCCAACGAGACCAACAGATCATGGATTTGGTGGGATTATGTGTCTGATTTTCATATCAGGTGTTCCATGAAGCAAAAGAGATATAGCAAAGAATGTGCAGAGGATGTCATGAAATCACTAGGTCAGATATTTTACAGTATCGCTAATAATAATAATAATAATTATCATCCAAGTCTAGCTGATACATAAAAAATGTTTGCATGCATCATCAGATCTCCCAACAGAGAAGATAAACAAGTGCATGGGTGACCCTGAAGCTGACACTGAAAATCAAGTCCTCAAAGCTGAACAAGATCTTCAGGTTGGACATGGATTGCGTGGTGATATTACCATCTTACCAACAATGGTCATAAATAACGTTCAATACAGGGGTCAGTCATTCATTCAATTAATTCATCACTTCTTCATTAACTCTAACACCATATATGTATGTATCTAAATCTGATGTTTTTGACACTCAAGGTAAGTTGGAGAGGAGTGCAATATTGAAGGCTATATGTGCTGGGTTCAAGGAGACGACTGATCCTCCTATTTGCTTGAGCGGAGGTCGTTATCATAACATTCTTATGTTTAATTATAAAATACTAATAATGATACATGCCTTGTAAGATTGAGTAACAATGATATATGAACAACAGATTTAGAGACAAATGAATGCCTTGAAAACAATGGTGGGTGCTGGAAGGATTCAACATCATCATCAAATATAACAGCATGCAAGGTATTATTTATTGCCAACCAAGATTTGCACATTTATATATATGCATATAGTTTGCAATATCGAGTCTGATGTGATGTATGTTTGCTTAATAATTAATTGAAGGACACGTTCAGAGGAAGAGTTTGTGAGTGCCCCATGGTCAGTGGTGTTCAGTATGAAGGAGATGGATATACGTCATGTCAAGGTGCTTGCAATACATAAATATATATTGTCTGTTATAACTTATAATATATGGATTCCAAAAATATAGTAACCTGCATGCATATTAATTAGTAATGTAATGGGGGAATTCTCTACTTGGATTTGTAGCTGTTGGACCAGGAAGATGTTCGGTGGACAATGGAGGCTGTTGGTTGGGTACAAGAGATGGAAATAAGTTTTCAGCATGCTTAGTTCAGTGAAACTATACTTGGGGGATTTCATTATATACTTTTCTTTGAAAAAAAAACAACTAACTAACTAACTAACATGTGTGATTGTTCGTATGTCAGGAATCGAATTTAACGGGGTGCCATTGCCCGCTTGGTTTCCGTGGGGATGGTCACCAATGTGAAGGTGCCTGCTTGATTGGTTTCACCTATTTCTTTTATTTTAAGAATACATGGCTAGTAATGTTGATGAATGAATGCAGATGTGGATGAATGCAAGGAAGGTATCGGTTGCCAATGTGAAGGGTGCAGCTGTAAGAACACATGGGGTGGGTTTGACTGCAACTGTAATAGAGGTAAACTCTACATTAAGGAACAGGACACCTGTATCGGTAAGTTTTCATATTCTTGATTCTTCAATACTCATCATCATCATCAGGAATTTTAGTTTCTTCCTATTTATATGTTTTGTGTGAATAAATGAATGTACAGAAAGGAACAGCTCTAAACTGGGGGGAATTCTTACCTTGGTGGTGGTGGCCGTGGCATTGGGTGCCGGAGTAGCTGGTTACATATTCTACAAATACAGATTCCGGGTAAGTCTATTACGCACATACATCTAATTTGTTTTCTATTGCAAATATAGATAGATATAGTAAGTACGTGTTTTTGTATGCAGTCTTACATGGACTCGGAGATCATGGCTATCATGTCACAGTATATGCCACTCGACAGCAACCAGAATCAGTCTCTTATCCACCACGAACATGACGACCCCCTAACAAAACACACTTCTTCTGTTTAAGCCTTAAGCTGCCGAGTGACAATGACGAGACACTTTTTACACAGATTTTCCAGCCAATAGCTTAAATACTTGCGGTTCATTATTAAACATACAAAAGATTGTAGGACATTTTACTTGATCTGTATATAGATTGTTTTTGAGTTGTAAACATGGCAACAAATAAGAATTATACACGCCAGCCCATTTATACATTCAGACTTTTCATTCCACTTTTACTTTTTTTTTTTTTTAACTTCATAGTAATTGGAGTTCAAGCAACTGTGCAATCTTTTGCAACAGACGAAATTACCACTGATATATAGGAATCTATTAATTCCTCACACAGACAAACCATATATAATAAATCAGATCACTTAAAAATTGATACCAAGATCTGTGAAGAAGATAAACCATAAAAAGTTAATAAGCACAGATACAAAAAAATCCCAACCCCAGGAATGGATAAGCAGTCTCCGCTCTGTACAATTCCAAGCCAAGCTGCAAAAAAAAAAACCTAAATAAAAGAAAGTATAGTTTAAAAAAAAAAAAAAAGCAAGCATGAATTTTATTATAATAAAATTCCATTTGCCTTATTCTGATACTATTTCTGCAAATATATTGTATTAGGACAAGTAGAATATTTAAACACGAATTTGCATACGTGGGCTTTTTTGTATGAGACTGATTTTGGGCCTCAAACCAAAAAACTCAAGCGCAAAAATAGTACGGGCTGAGCTGATGAAATGCAGTACCACTACCGGGCCCAAAAATAACATTTTTTTTTTTTTTGGACAAAATTTTCTGTAGTAGTTTAAGGGTTGGGCAGGCTAATGAAATTTTCTACAGTAGTATGGGCTGGGCTAATGAAATGCAGTCCACTACTGGGCCCCATTCCTTAATTTTTTTTGGACAAAATATTCTATTTTTTTTATACATACATCTATGTACGTGTGTGTGTGTGTGTGTGTGATTTTTAATTTTTAAATTAAGCGAAAATAAAATAAATTTAATTTGATTAATTAAAACCACAAAATAAAGCATAAGTTATAAATAAACATATAAATTATTTGAAAAGTAGATATATGATTTTTTTTTTTGTTTTTTTGTAAAATGACAAAGTAGAATGAATTTATTTGCAAAATGAATAAAAAAAGGAGGAATAGTTTGCTTATAAAGAAATTGAGAAATGGTCTACAATTTTAAACATTCTTGAATTTTGATGTTCAATAAATATATATATTATATTTTGTACACAAAAACGGACAGGTATTTGGGTCACGGTTGGACCGGTTCAACCCGGGTTTTTTTATATTTTTCTATTTTTAATTATTTTATTAGTTTGAATAGTTTAAGAGATACTATTTTTTTATATTTTTATATTTTCACTCATCTTTTTACACTTTGTTACCATATTTTTTTTATTTAATTTATTAATTTCCACTTTTCTTTATTTATCTCTCCTCTTTTCCTTATCCCACTTTCTCTCCCATATCGGGCACCTTCACGCACCAGTAGCACCCCTTTCTCCCTCTCTTATAAGTGAATTGCATTACCCTTGTCTTTTCTTTTCTATTCCTCCCACCAACAGATCCAGTCAACCGTCAAATAACCGGGGTCTCGGCTGGTTTTTGATTTCTCCGGTTTTTAGCATCCAACCGGACCGGAAATGTTACGAGTCGCGGTCGAACCGGCCGATCCGGTCCGGTTCTGACAACATTACAAATAAGTTATGCAACCAGGGGAGTCTGCCTCCGGTACTGTGGTGGATAACGTTTTGGTTTTCTACAACTTCACACACACAGTAAAAATGTCCATCTCCGTCCTTAATCCACCGGCATCCTGCATTTTAAACCACCACCACCAGGTCAGTCACCGCCCCTCCATTCCTCTTCATGTTTGTACAATACTTGTTCACATTTGGAGTTAATTAACTGCTACTTATTTCTTTACAGTTACACAAGTTTAATGCGTCTCCGCTACCTCCCATCAGTATCAGTGTGTGCAAGTGCAGAATTAGATCCGCTGTTATGGTTGCTGATGAAACTTCTTCTTCACTTGATTCATCTCCAATTTCTACTTCTACTTTCCCTCTTTTTCACCCCTCTTTACCTCCGGAACCTACTCCTGCTACTCAGGTACTTGTTTTACCTTTTGCTATTTCTTTCGCTCCCGAGTTTATGTTTCCACCTGACCTGTATTCATAAGATTTCCGTGTAATTAATGTTCAATAGCAGCAACTGTTTAGTACCAATTGCACATAATTAATTATATTCCATGTGTGCTGTTTGAACTTTGAATGCAAGCATTTTATTTTACCAATATCTATGTTGATTATCTTTTTTGGAGACAAAAGATACTCATTACCTGTTTACAGTTGGAGCCAGCAGACCCTGATTTCTATAAGATAGGATATGTTAGAAGTATGCGAGCTTACGGAATTGAATTCAGAGAAGGCCCTGATGGTTTTGGAGTATATGCCTCCAAAGACATTGAAGCTCTTCGTCGTGCCAGGGTACTTCCTCTTTCATTGTGGCATAAGTACTATTTGGACAAGAATTTATGTGCTTCCTTATATAATGTTCTATGGAATTGAATTCAGAGAAGGCCCTGATGTTCGTAATGCATCTTTGACTGTGTAGGTGATTATGGAGATTCCATTAGAACTGATGTTAACTATTAGTCAAAAGCTTCCTTGGATGTTTTTCCCCGATATCATACCAGTGGGTCATCCTATCTTTGACATCATCAACTCAACTAATCCTGAGGTAAATGTGGGATGCCAAATTTTCTTCACAGATGGAAATTATATTTTCCTAGGGTGACTCAAATCACTCTTTAAGGAATTTCAGCCCTCTACACACATTTTCTGTCTATTTAGTCGAGCACATTTAGCGACTGGCCGGTCTTATTTTGCAGTTCCTAATGTATATAACACTTTTTGGTTTCTGTCAGACAGATTGGGACCTGAGGATGGCATGTCTTCTTCTCTATGCATTTGATTGCAAGGGTAATTTCTGGCAGCTCTATGGTGATTTTTTACCCGGTCCAGACGAGTGTACTAGCTTTCTTCTAGCTACAGAGGTTTGATTTCCACATAGATTACTCGCAAATATTTAAAAGTAGATCCAAGTATAGAAGTTCCATGTCTCTAATATCACCTTGTTTTATTATCTGAGATGCTTTGTTTACTCCAACTTTGACCAATCGCAGGAGGACCTTTTGGAGTTGCAGGATAAGGAACTTGCTTCCACTTTGAGAGAACAGCAACGCCGAGCTCTTGAATTTTGGGAGAAAAATTGGGTATGAAGCTTCTTTTATTATTCCATTTTCTAGTCTCCACTGTTGTTTTTAAATCCCTTCCTCAACTTTAGCGCTTTACTTGTCAGCACTCTGCCGTACCACTTAAAGTAAAACGCCTTGCTCCAGAGCCGGAGAGATTCATGTGGGCATTGAGTATAGCACAATCTCGATGTATCGACAAGCAAATAAGAATTGGTGCCTTAGTTCAAGATTCGAATATGCTTGTACCTTATGCTGGTTAGCCTCTCTGAAATTGTTTTCTTTTTTCAGCAATTTTTTCAGACTTGCTCACTACCTTGGTTGCGAGGATTTTTCTATGGCTGCTTTTACATGGTATTAGAATAAATAGGAATTTACTCGGACCAAAGTTAAGGCATCACTCACAGAAGTCTAAATGACTATGAACTGCTGTTTAAGATATATAGATTTGACGTCCTGAGCTGATCGAATTTCAGAACCTACTAGTTCCATAAATCAAGCTACTAAAAATTTCAGTTTTACTGTTGTTAAGTAGGTTCACTGCAGATGATCAGAAAATATGTTGCTCATAATCGACTGTGATTGGTCCTTTTTCTGCAGATATGTTAAATCATTCTTTTGAGCCAAATTGCTTCTTCCACTGGCGCTTCAAGGATCGAATGCTTGAAGTGATGATAAATGCTGGGAAAAAAATAAAAAAAGGAGACGAGGTATGCAATGCTACATGCTTCTTGATGAAACAAATATGTCTTTGTTGGAAATCCATGCATAAAAACCATTAAAAAACCATACATATTCAACCATCAATAAGCTCAATAGGAATGTTCTTATGAGAATTGACATTTAATTATTTCTTGTTATTCAGAAGCCCCATTGATATATAGTCGAGACTAGCAGTTCTTTAGCTGTAAGATGATATGAAGAGTTATGTCTGAAGGATCTGTACCACTTCAAATATTTTTTGGGAAAACATGTGAAGCGAGACTATTGCTTGATAGATATTTCTGAGAAAGATGCGGAAGGGAAATGCCTTAAAAAAAAGATTTTGAAAATGATTAAAAGAAATCATTATGGTCTGGTGCTTAAATGAATGTTCTTGAATGGCCCTATAACCAATGGAAGTATAGTAAAGTGCGTTTGTGAAGATTTATTAGGATGATTTGTCTCTGTCCCTATGATGCTTTTGGCAAGCAGAGCAGTCTTTTTGTCACATTTTTTTAATTTACTTTTCATAATTGTGATATCTATGCAGATGACAGTTGATTACATGGACGGAAAGATGAATAACCTTTTCATGCAAAGATATGGGTTTTCATCTCCAGTGGTAATTTTCTATCTATCAACTCTTTTAGTTGATGACTGCTAAAATCATGATTCTCATCCCTGGCCTATCTCTTAGCATCAATAGTATAGTAACAGCTGCCCTCCCATAAAAATAAAACTTGTGTCATATGTTGCTCAAATATGTCCGATGATCGAGAAAATGCACGAAAACAATAAGTAAAACATTTTTGTCAGTGCCCTGGTTCGTATTAGACTTCAAATGCTAAAAAATCAATTTTCTGGGTTAGTCTTTTGACACCTGTTCTGATTCTTTTTTGTTTGTGTGTGTGTGTGTGTCTCAATATTAAGTAAGCATTTCAGGTGTTTAAGTATGGGTCAGTTTTGTTTTACTTATTAGTTGACAGAAGCATTTGCTTTAAGGCTGGATTTCCTTCAATGATCTATATTTTACATGACTCGTATGGTAGGCAACATTTAACAAGAGAAGAAAAATAGTACTGTTTGACATCTCACGTTTTGGTGTTTACTTTTAATGTGCTCGACTACCTCCCAAGGTTTTGCATAGTCTTAGTGACGTCAAATTTGTTATGGTTTATTTGGTAATTTCTTCTAATACTATACCTATGTGACATGAATATTGCAGAATCCTTGGGATGTTATCCAATTCTCTGGCAATGCACGGGTTCATTTGGATTCGTTTTTATCCGTCTTCAATATATCTGGTCTTCCTGAAGATTATTATCACAATAGTAATTTTACACCCTCCTCGTAAATATTCGATGCTTAACTTATATTAGCAAATATGAGTTGATTTCTGTTGTGACTCAAAATAGAGATTATGGTCCATGTCAGGTAAGCTATCTTATGACGACGATCGGTTTGTTGATGGGGCGGTTATTGCGGCTGCAAGAACAACACCCACTTGGTCAGACGGAGACATCCCTCTGATACCAAGTTTGGAAAGGAAAGCTGTAAAAGAGTTGCAAGAAGAATGCCAGCAAATGCTTGCAGGATTTTCTACAACTGTGGATCAAGATCAGAAAATTTTAGGTATACATAGTTGATGGTTTTTAATTTGCCAACACCTAATAAAGATTCTGCTTTCTTTGAAGTTTGATAGTAGTCGACTGATTTCCTGTTCCTGAAGGAAGATAATAATATATTTCGGAAAGCAGTAAACCTGTTCTTTAAAGTTTAATTGTCATGATCTATAACCTTTGTTAATTGTTGTAGAGTCTATTCCTGAAGCTACGAGGACGCATGAAGCTGCAATAAAGTACGTACAGTTTTCATAAAACTTATAGTCGTATAGAGTTTTCAGATCTAGCTTACTTGATGTTGGTTTCTTGTATGCAGGTATAGGTTGCACAGGAAATTATTCATAGAGAAGGTTATTCAGGCACTGGATATCTACCAAGAAAGGATATTATTCTAATCATTAGACAAGGTTGTAAGAGAATTTTGGCTCACCTCACACCTAAAATGTCTGAAGATTCAGTGCCTGGAATGTCTCGTCCGTTTGGTTGCTATGAAGTCCAGAGTTTTTGGTTTGAGCACAGAGATAATTATAGATTGGTTTGAGTCCAGAGTCGTAGTTTATAGAGAGCAACTTCATGTATAATAATATTATGTATGTTCTGTTAAGAAATTCAAATAGAATTAAGGTTGCTCATCATCTCTATTATGCATTCATGTCCTTAAATAAATACATATGTTGATCTAACAATCTGTTTACTCACCAACTATAATTCTGAAATACCTGAATGGTTATAATTTGATAAGTTTAAAATCAATTAATATTAAGTTTATCTTTTTCATTGTCTTCTGATACTGTCAACGATTATATATTTATATACAAGGAGCATTGAATTAAAACTTTTTCCAAGTAAGAATAAGAATAGTAAAGAGGGTAGGAATGTAACTTCCCCCAACTCCGGGCCCAAAAGAAAACCTTTTGTTTGGGCTTTGTGTTTCGGTCTTGCCCATTTGTAAAAAGTGACAGAGTGGGGGTAGGAATGTAATTTTCCCTACACCCAAGGCCTGTATATAAAAAAAAAGAAAAAGAAATCCTCCTGCTAGGGTTTTCATTTTCGTTCTTGGCATCAAACAATTTGCCTGCCGCTCCAACTCTGTGTTCTTTCGTTTCAGGTTCGTTCATCTTCGATAATATGTTTATATCGTCAGTATATTTAGATCATTATGCCGTTATTTCGTTCGTTCGTTCGTTCGTTCGTTCGTTCTAATAGATGCTGAATTATTTTATTTTGATTTCAGTTTATGTTCCCTTTATGTTTGTTTTTTTTGATTTTACTGTCTTACACTGTGCAGTCTTATGGTTAATTTCATGAATGTAATGTTTTATAGGGCAGAATTATGTTGATTTTAATTATTGAAAATATTATTTTCGGTATTTGTGAGGTTAATAATCAAGAATCAAACTCTGTGTTGTAGTATGTGGATCAGTGGATGTATAAACTCAATTGTTTACAACTGATTTTTCATCATCGAATATACTGCTACTTACTCTGTCTATGTTTCCGAGTCTTTGTCTGCATAGTTTGTTAGTATATATGTTATCTGCTAATGCTGAGGTAGTTTATTGTGCTTTCTAGACAAGCTTTTCTTAGCTGTTTCATTAGTCTCTTGGTTAATTTTGTTTTTTGTTGGGTGTTCTCTAATAATTTTGAGCTTAAGTCTCAATGTGCTTTCTCCATAGACATTGCACAATATTGCTACCAGTTAAGCTTGATTTCCTGAGAGTTTTTTTTTTTTGTTTTGGTTGGTGCAGAATGGAGTCGCAAATTAAGCATGCTGTAGTTGTGAAGGTGATTGGCAGGACAGGTTCACGTGGGCAAGTTACTCAGGTGAGGGTGAAATTTATCGATGATCAGAACCGTTTCATAATGAGGAATGTCAAAGGCCCTGTTAGGGAAGGAGATATCCTCACCTTGCTAGAGTCTGAACGAGAGGCTAGGAGGCTCAGATAGATGATTAATAATTGCTCTCGTATCATCATTATGTTTTGCTTGCTGATGCATTTCTTTTTGAGATATTAATTTCAATACCAAGTATTTTGATGTAAGCTTGATTTGGATTTGCGGGGATGTATCACAAGACTTGACTTTTGTTTCTGAATTGAGACTCTCTCATGTTTACTTGTTTGTTTTGTTTAAAATGGTTGTCTAATGTCTATTGTTTTTAAGCAAGTTGGATTTGGTTAATTAGTCTAAATTTTGGGAAGATGTACTCGAAGTTGAGCAATCAATCTTGGTTCCATTTTCTGGTAGAATTATGGAATCAAGTATACCTGGTGTGAGGATCTAGCGATGAATTCTTTTAGATTTTTTGATTGTAGAGATGTGATTGGTATTTTAAATTTTTGAAGATGGAGATCTAAGTGAAGCATGAACAGTGAAAGAATGGAGTTAAAACTTAAAAGCAATATACTTACATAAATGTGGAATGATTGGATAGTAAAATTAGTGACGTTATGATGTATGTAATTGTTTGTTTAAACAAGATGGCATACATACATACTGTTGCAGACAATTTAGTAGTAAGTAAAACACGAAATAATATGACATCTGTGCTTCCTCTTTTCCTCTTTAAAAAGCGGGAAAAAAAATAAAAATAATAAATAATAAAAAATAAAAATAACGGCTTAAATAAATCACATCATTCATCTGGACCACACATTTGAATTCATCTTTAATTTCAAAGCAAATAACCGCTTAAGTAAAGTATCTCAGAAGACAATGCAATAACAGACACTAAATATGTTTTCCTCGATTCTAAATTCAAACTTCTGAAACAAAACCCTAACAAGAACCACAACTCAGATTTTAACCTCTTCCTCTTTTCCGGTGAATTAGGGTTTTTAAGCACCTCCACATATATTTTCTTACAGAAATCCCACTGTGTTTTTTTAGGGTTATGTATAACGTTTCTTCAATGGACATCGACGCAGACATTGCGCACTGGATGCTGGATTACCTGCTCAGACAACCGCTGGAGGAGTGGAAATTGAGTGCCTTGATCGACGCACTGCCTCTGTCTAACACAGACACGAACACTAGGTTGGAAAGGCTGATTTTACTGAAACAATTGGAATATAAAGCGGCGCGTTTTCCAGTTTCTCGAAGCACGCTTGTACTGTTCGAACAACTGGAGGAGTTGGATTCCAGACAGGGTAACATGAAAGTCTCGGATGGGATGAAGCATGCCTATTGTGCTGTGGCAGTGAATTGGACGATGGAGGGGGCAATATGCCAAATCGAGTTTTTTCATGCAGTAACGGGTCTGATGGAGAGGATAGAAATGATGGAGAAGCATGTAGAAAGGAACGGGGCTTTGTGTTCTGAAGAGCTTTCGGAATGGATAAAAGACATCAAAGCTTCCATGTGGAATGCCCATCTTTTCAAGAGCATCATGAAGAAGGTGGAGGGTCTTGATGTTCTTGATGCAGTTAGGGTTTTTGTGAAGGGGGAGAGGGAGAAGATGGGCCCTCCGTTGCTGGAGTTGGTGAAGAAACTGAAGGATGATGAATATGTTATGGAATTTCTACGTGGAAAAGCGAAAATTGTCGATCCTGATTCTGGTGATGAAAATGCAATGGGGCCATCATATGAGACGAGCTGCAAATCGCCAATGAGCGAAGAAGTTCGTATTGTTCGGCGAGCCCTTCATAAGAGTTTATTGGATCTTGAAGCAGTCGTGAAGGATCCCCTTCCCGAAGCATTGAAATATTCTGCTGAAGTCATGGCTAAATTCATGGCCCGTACTGGTGGAAGAAACATGGCTCAAGAAGAAAACATGAATCAGGATACTGTAAAAGAAAATGCTGAATCCATGGCTGGTACTAGTGCGAGGGAGATGCCCGGAAAAGAGAATCATCTCGAATTGAACCAAATTGATGTGGTAGGTGATGGAAATGTTCAAGCTACTACTGGTATTGACAAGGGCAATGTCCGTAGACCAAGTTTGATGGAAAGGAACAAATCTGCTCGTACCTCTGAGTGGACTGAATATGAACCTGAAGAAGAGCAAGGGTCGAGGTTACCTAGCCCAAGGACGACAAAGAATGCTCCTAACAAACCTGGAAAGGAAAATGGAAAGGATAGGAGAATACGCCGGCTCTGGACTTCTGCTGAAGAGAAAGCTTTCGAGACTGCAGTAGAGAATCTTGGAGTAGAGAAGCCTGGAAGCATACATTGGAGGGCTATAGCTACCGAGTACAGTGACACAATTCAAGATAGAACTGCCGAGGATTTGCGGTACAAGTGGAGAAACATGACGAAAGCGAAAGCAAAAAGATACGGTTGATTTACGGTTAATATGGTCTTTTTTACATGGAACAAGTATCCATATGGTAAGTTGCTTCTTTGTTTGTATACTTTGGCTGGTTTTATTGATGTATTTGATGCTCTTGGCATCTGTTCATTTTGTATAGAGGGCTGTAAATCAGTGGAGTAGTGCCCTTGTTAGCACATGAGTGGGTTTTTTTGAGTATATTTTTGTATGCCCTAGTATGTGTGGTGTAGTTGTGCAGCACTTTTGATGTATAAAATTTTCAACATTGTGTTTCTAAACAATTACTGAACGAAGTCGTGGATAAACCGATGCTTGTGGTTTTACAGGCTGCGTATATGACTTCCTAATCTCTGTAGCAGATTTTAACAGGCGATGATTTGTAGCAAAGTAGAACTTTTACGGTCCGAATTCATTCTTACTGTGTGTTCTCATAGAAGAAAGTTTAGCTTGTTCATGTTTCTCCGATTGGGATCTCGTTTAATGTTCGAATGCATTTCAATGCAATTAATTATTACAATGTATTTATATAGTTTACACTTTACAGTGTCAAGCTTCGTGCCAGACGGAAAGAAGGACTTTAGAACAGGCCTTAAAAACACTCTCTGTTGAACTTAGCCCGTCGAAGAAAAATCTCCATCCCTGAAGTTTAGAGCAGAACACGTTCTGATCCGTCTAGAAGGAACGTTATCGTGATATTATTACCAGGAGCCTTTCTATTACATTGTATAAGCATGTATAACAATTTTGGTATAGTAGAATTGGCAGGAGCAGATGTAATTGAATAGATAAACCAAGTTGTTGGACGAACAAGCAAAGCAAGCAGATGGATAGGCATCACGACAAACCTTCAATTTCGAGACACAAATTAAATCAAAGCAAGCAGATGGATTTTACTTGAATCTAATTATTGAAAATATTATTTTCGGTATTTGTGAGGTTAATAATCAAGAATCAAACTCTGTGTAGTAGTATGTGGATCAGTGGATGTATAAAGTCAATTGTTTACAACTGATTTTTCATCATCGAATATACTGCTACTTACTCTGTCTATGTTTCCGAGTCTTTGTCTGCATAGTTTGTTAGTATATATGTTATCTGCTAATGCTGAGGAAGTTTATTGTGCTTTCTAGACAAGCTTTTCTTAGCATTGTTTCATTAGTCTCTTGGTTAATTTCGTTTTTTGTTGGGTGTTCTCTAATAATTTTGAGCTTAAGTCTCAATGTGCTTTCTCCATAGACATTGATCAATATTGCTACCAGTTAAGCTTGATTTCCTGAGAGTTTTTTTTTTTTTTTGGTTGGTGCAGAATGGAGTCGCAAATTAAGCGTGCTGTAGTTGTGAAGGTGATTGGCAGGACAGGTTCCCGTGGGCAAGTTACTCAGGTGAGGGTGAAATTTATCGATGATCAGAACCGTTTCATAATGAGGAATGTCAAAGGCCCTGTTAGGGAAGGAGATATCCTCACCTTGCTAGAGTCTGAACGAGAGGCTAGGAGGCTCAGATAGATATGTTCATTATGTCTCGTATTATCATCATTATGTTTGATGATGCACTTCTTTTTGAGATATTAATTTCAATACCAAGTATTTTGATGTAAGCTTGATTTGGATTAGCGGGGATGTATCACAAGACTTCAATTTTGTTTGTTTCTGAATTGAGACTCGGTCATGTTTACTTGTTTGTTTTGTTTAAAATGGTTGTCTAATGTCTATTGTTTTAAGCATGTGGGATTTGGTTAAATAGTCTAAATTTTGGGAAGATGTCCAGGAAGTTGAACCATCTATCTTGGTTCCATTTTCTGGTAGAATTATGGAATCAAGTATACCTGGTATGAAGACCTAGCAATGAATTCTTCTAGATTAGTGATAGGTGAGATGTGATTGGTATTTCAAAATTTTGAAGATGGAACAACCGAAAACTGATTGAAGCTTGGATGTATTGGCTAGTTTACTTTCTGTGAGCACACTGTTCATCTTCACAATGATGGCGGTTGCGCTTCTTGTGAGGAGATACTACGTAAGAGGAATCACACCTAAGAAAAATCTGGTGAAGCTGGCTATATTTCTGCTGGTCATTATTGCTTCTTCAATGGGGACTTGTGCATGTTGGGGAATTAATCCAGGAGGATGGGTCGGGTACACAGTTACCATACCCGTTTGGTTTTTAGGGACTTTGGGAATTACAGTTTTGTTGCCGCAAGAAAGAACACCTACAGTTTGGGGAGTACCACTTGTTCCATGGTTTCCATCTTTGTCTATTGCTATAAATTTGTTTCTGATGGGATCTTTGGGAGCCAAGACATTTATAAGGTTCGGGATATGTACTGTTGTCATGTTGGTGTACTATGTTTTTTGCGGCCTCCATGCTACCTACGACACGGCCCAGCAAATGAACACTGAATCTGCAAAGATTAATAGAGAAGATGACAAAGAAGCCAAAGTCTAGCCCTTCAAATGGAATGGAGGTATTTCCAGCTCATCCACAATCTAGAACCTCTCCTGCTCCAAAATAAATATCATCAAAAACAGTATTATTAGGCAAGGCAATTTCGAAATTAAAAAAAAAAATAGCTTGATTATCAAAACTCTATCATCAATTGAATTAAATATAATTACACTATGCCCACCAATTCTAGTTCATTTGTTGATATCTATATATAAAATTCTCGTATGTGTGTAAATTTGTATATGAGATATATTATAGCATTTCTAGTTTTATTTTTCAGATTATAAAATAAATTACTTGCAAAGAAGAATTCATCAACTGTCGATGTTGATATTCTTTAATAATGTTGGAATTTTGTATCATATCCTGTGTTTTCCTATTAGCTGAAGAAATCAGACGAGCTTAGGTTTCTGAAGCAAAGAAGATTGATTCCAATTGTCCAAGAGAATTAGGTTAGGGAATAAAATTACTCATGTTATCCCGAAAAGAAAACCAATAATATAATCTGATTATATGTTGATAGTCCCAATCAGCAATTGGCAATTTTAAGGCTCATAACAAGTGACAAAAAGTCTGCAAATTTATTATTGACGAATGAATGTTTAATCTGTCCCGAAGGGCAGAGCGGGGCTTCCTAAAATGATGCACTCGTCATAGGAGGAGAAGGCCTTCAAAACACGCACATGATCACCCACTCTGATTGCCTTTCCTGTTTCTCCACTATAATTCGTGCACACCATAAACTGTCCCATGTAAACCTACAAAACATTTTACAACCAAAACCATGTTGATTATATTATGCCTGTTTCGGTAGGAAAAAGAAAAAAGAAAAAGATTAGGCAGCAGTTGTATATCATCTAAATATCATTCTACGCACCTTTCCCTGGTGTTTCTGAGCACTAGGACGCAATATTTTGTCAGAACGGAACTTCATCAAAGTCTTAGTCGGCTCAGATCCCATTTCTGCAGTTTCTTGATTAATTGTGGGGACCTGAGATTACACTTGTATTAGATAATCCCCCATTTTATTGGTATCTATCTACCATGTTTAAGACATGTTTACCTTACAGCGGTCGCAGAGCTCTCCCCCATGGAAAACTAAGCCATTTATTTCAATCTCATCCCACAAATCCTCAGAGAAAGGTTTGCACCCATCAACAATGAGGCTGCCAAAGAAAAGCAAAACAAACACCAATGAAATGGAACATTAGCTAGCCCATTTCTGCATGGAACGGGATATTCATATTATGATGTCGGTTGAAAGATATATATAAGTACAACAAGGAGGCAAGCCAATTACTTGGCTCTAAATCTGTTGAGTGATACAGGTTCTGAGAGATGTTCGTTTAGTTCATTTACTGATTCCTGCAAGAGAATGAAGTATACAAAAGACCGATCTAAGATTCTTGTTCAAGGCAAATGTAATAGTTTTAACGTTTACCTTTTCTAATTGCACTTACTTGGGATAGCAGCAGGAAGGGATACATATCGGTGAAGTTGACTGTGTGGGTGCGGGCATAATCAGAGTTTACAGGCCTGTAAGCAGATGCTGCATTCACAAAACAAGCACTGCTCATTTGATTTTCCAAGAAACAAGGAAATGTGGAGATTATGTATATAGTTGTATCGAGGCAAAATAAATACATTCATCGAAACGAACTAGTCGACTGGGTTTCCCTAAATAATGAGAGAACCAGTTAGCAGCTTCATCACCCTCGTCCAAGGCAGAGCCAGACCATTCCCAGACTGAGACACCGTCGGCCACTGCAGAAGGTACAGCTAATGGAATCTTCAGAGCATTCATACCAGGTCCATTTATCACTGTAAGAAGAATTGGTAAGTGTAAATAACTTGAAACAGGGGAAAATGTAGTATATTTTCATAAGTTGAGTCAAAAAATATAGTTAATAGGGGGATTGACACCTAAGAAGGAGGTTTGATTAGGTATCCAGGCAGGAGAAAAGGCTTCAGGTGGCAAGTCTACTTGAATTAGGGCAAGTTTTGGTTGGACTCTCTGAGTGTACATCCTGCCTTTGGAGTTGATAACCATCCATAGTCGATCCCATCTTAATCCTGACCATTAACGATCATATTATTATTATATTATCGATCATTAAGAAGAGCCATCCATGGTAATCTTGAAGAAAAAAAACTATTAGATCAAATATTGATTGATTGATTGATGATAAATACCGTTAGGTGTAAGAGAGGCTTGCGGGGTGGAGATTGGACGGCATGACTTGATCGGGTAGACGAATATCGACTTGAGCTTAGTCACCTGTTCTCCGGCATCCATTATCGGCAGAGATTATCTTCTGTAATTTTTTCTTTTCTTTTTTATAAGAAAGTGAAAGTGAACTTGATCATATCCATATCCATATCCCCCTTTCTATCATATTTTTGTCTGTGTCTCTTTTTCTGTGTAGTTGGTATATCATATTATTTCGTGTTTTACTTACTACTAAATTGTCTGCAACAGTATGTATGTATGCCATCTTGTTTAAACAAACAATTACATACATCATAACGTCACTAATTTTACTATCCAATCATTCCACATTTATGTAAGTATATTGCTTTTAAGTTTTAACTCCATTCTTTCACTGTTCATGCTTCACTTAGATCTCCATCTTCAAAAATTTAAAATACCAATCACATCTCTACAATAAAAAAATCTAAAAGAATTCATCGCTAGATCTACATACCAGGAATACTTGATTCTATAATTCTACCAGAAAATGGAACCAAGATTGATTGCTCAACTTCGAGTACATCTTCCCAAAATTTAGACTATTTAACCAAATCCAACTTGCTTAAAACAATAGACATTAGACAACCGTTTTAAACAAAACAAACGAGTAAACATGAGAGTCTCAATTCAGAAACAAAAGTCAAGTCTTGTGATACATCCCCGCAAATCCAAATCAAGCTTACATCAAAATACTTGGTATTGAAATTAATATCTCAAAAAGAAATGCATCAGCAAGCAAAACATAATGATGATACGAGAGCAATTATTAATCATCTATCTGAGCCTCCTAGCCTCTCGTTCAGACTCTAGCAAGGTGAGGATATCTCCTTCCCTAACAGGGCCTTTGACATTCCTCATTATGAAACGGTTCTGATCATCGATAAATTTCACCCTCACCTGAGTAACTTGCCCACGTGAACCTGTCCTGCCAATCACCTTCACAACTACAGCATGCTTAATTTGCGACTCCATTCTGCACCAACCAAAACAAAAAAAAAAACTCTCAGGAAATCAAGCTTAACTGGTAGCAATATTGTGCAATGTCTATGGAGAAAGCACATTGAGACTTAAGCTCAAAATTATTAGAGAACACCCAACAAAAAACAAAATTAACCAAGAGACTAATGAAACAGCTAAGAAAAGCTTGTCTAGAAAGCACAATAAACTACCTCAGCATTAGCAGATAACATATATACTAACAAACTATGCAGACAAAGACTCGGAAACATAGACAGAGTAAGTAGCAGTATATTCGATGATGAAAAATCAGTTGTAAACAATTGAGTTTATACATCCACTGATCCACATACTACAACACAGAGTTTGATTCTTGATTATTAACCTCACAAATACCGAAAATAATATTTTCAATAATTAAAATCAACATAATTCTGCCCTATAAAACATTACATTCATGAAATTAACCATAAGACTGCACAGTGTAAGACAGTAAAATCAAAAAAAACAAACATAAAGGGAACATAAACTGAAATCAAAATAAAATAATTCAGCATCTATTAGAACGAACGAACGAACGAACGAACGAACGAAATAACGGCATAATGATCTAAATATACTGACGATATAAACATATTATCGAAGATGAACGAACCTGAAACGAAAGAACACAGAGTTGGAGCGGCAGGCGAAATTGTTTGATGCCAAGAACGAAAATGAAAACCCTAGCAGGAGGATTTCTTTTTCTTTTTTTTTTATATACAGGCCTTGGGTGTAGGGAAAATTACATTCCTACCCCCACTCTGTCACTTTTTACAAATGGGCAAGACCGAAACACAAAGCCCAAACAAAAGGTTTTCTTTTGGGCCCGGAGTTGGGGGAAGTTACATTCCTACCCTCTTTACTATTCTTATTCTTACTTGGAAAAAGTTTTAATTCAGTGTTCCTTGTATATAAATATATAATCGTTGACAGTATCAGAAGACAATGAAAAAGATAAACTTAATATTAATTGATTTTAAACTTATCAAATTATAACCATTCAGGTATTTCAGAATTATAGTTGGTGAGTAAACAGATTGTTAGATCAACATATGTATTTATTTAAGGACATGAATGCATAATAGAGATGATGAGCAACCTTAATTCTATTTGAATTTCTTAACAGAACATACATAATATTATTATACATGAGGCATAAAAGGTTTTAAGTTGGATGTCTTTGCATGGGCAAAACCTGCTATTATTACAAATATAATCACCACTGTGTTGACAGCTGATGCAATCCAGTTGAAGTATGAGGTTTTTTTCGCACTCGTCATTGCAATCGTCGATGCAATTATGAGAACCCCAACAGCAATCGGATCCAATAAGTTGAACCCATCGGTGAGATTTGTATGTATACGTAACGAGTTGGGGTGGCGGTCCAAAAGGGTAGTGAAGTAAGAAGTCCAAGATCTAGCAACTGCTGCACTTCCGACAATGGATTCGAGAAGTATATTACCTGCTGTAATAAATGCGGCGAGATCTCCTATTTAGACTCTCATGTAAGCAAATGATCCTCCAGCGACAGGGATTTCAACGGCGAATTCGATGTAGCAGAAAACAGGGAGCATGGCAGAGATGCCTGAAGCCACGTATGAGAGGACAATGGCGGGCCCCGCATGGTCGTGTGCTTCTTGGCCGGTGAGTACAAAGATGCCAGCACCGATGACAGAGCCAAAACCGAACCAGGTGAGGTCCCACCAGTTGAGGCAGCGTTTCATGCTGTTTTCGCTCTCTTTGCGGAGATCGACAAGCTCCTTTGAGTCGTCGGACCTGCTCAGGAGGCGGTCTTTGAGTCTGGATTTGGTCTGAGAAAGGGCGGATACGTAGGAACTCCAGTTGTCGAAAGACTTTTCTGGGAAAAAGTCTTGTTTGCTCCAACTCCAGTAACTCTTCGGTTGGGCATCAAAAGTTGTATCTCCTTCTACTTCCACATATATATACATATATATATATATATATATATATATATATATATATATATATATATATATATATATATATATATATACATATATTTGGCTTTTAGCTCTTGATATGTGTTCTCAGCGACTTGGTATTAATAGCACAGTGGGTGTGATCAATCACAGGGTAGATGAGAGCATTAGTTATTGCTGTGGGGTCTTGCATTTACTTTTCTTGTAGAATAGACAATTGATCAATCCAAGGAAGTCGGCTATGTGGGCGGCTGTCCCATTGATATGTGACCTAAATAGGCATCTACTGGATTTTTTCAATACAAACAAAATGGACTTTTATAAAAATCAGTGCATCTTAAAACAAGTGAGATTAAGTTGTTTCAGATATACGGTAAATAATTTCAAAAATAGAATTATAATGTCTGCCCAAGCAAAACCAGTTGCATTTTCTGTTATAACTAGAGCACAAAGAGTCGCCCTACTACACTACTATACTAACACCCACCCAAAAAAAAAAAAAAAAGAAGAAAAGGATTACCACCATGATTTCCATGCCTTTTGCATTTTATTTCCAACGTATCTTAATCCATGCACTGCACCGGCAGTCAGTAGACCTGCAACAGCCTGTCTTGCACTGGAAATCATTACTTTGTTTCTCAGAATCTTCCGCATGCAATATGCACCCTCTTCCTTTGATTTTATTAACATTTTTCGTGTAGCTCGACCTGTATGACAATGTATTCAATAGAAATGTTAACCTGTTGGCTGTGATCAAATCATTAAAACATACTATATCAAGAATCTCATTCTATAGGAAATACATTACCAACCAGCGTATGTAGTTAAGCAAATGTTAAAACCTTAGAACAATACTATTAATTAAGTTTTTTATTCAAAAATAAAACATAGCAAATAACTCTTAGATCATACCAGATTCATCAAACACTTTCTCCTCTCCGAGCTTGATTCCCATCTTGCTTCTGAGTGGCAAAGGAAGGGAAGACACAAGGGAGCAAGTGCTAGACAACCCACAATCCTGATTTGACAAATCAAGTACATCAGATATTTCGACAGCAACTTTGTCTATATTCATCTTCTAAATAAATTAGAATAAATCCTTGCCTAGATGCGGCTTAGTTTTGCTCGTCGTCAGGTAAAAACCGTTTCTCAAATTTACTAATTCATTGATAAATTATCAATATGGGTAACCAACATATGATTGAAATAATTAAGAGAGCCCAAGAAAGAATTTAAAACTTAACTGTAAGAGGCGGTTTCCTATAAAGTTTGAAAATATGGACCAACCTGAATTATGTTTACTTTTTGATCAACAAAAGGCGATAGTCTTAATAAGTCCCTGGCTGCAAAGTCTTCTAAAAGCGGTTTGTACATCGTTTGAAATAACTTAAATTGCCCTTGCACAATCTTTTTCACCTGGGAAAACATAAAGAAGTTAGTTCTAGCATGTCAAGAAACTACTCTAGAATTGTGTTGATATTTTTTATGGAACTGGACCAGATATGAGAAAGATATATTATTCTACTTTCTAATATGTAGTGGAGACGAGCAGAAAGAAAAGAAGCAGATTTATCTCAAGTCTTGATATGCTATCATATAAGGACTCCTTCCGAATTTCCCGCTTGAGCGTCAATCATATTTACCTTATTTTTATCCTCTGCAAAAAGCATCCGAAGATCACCCATGTATGAGAGGCTACATATTTTGGCATATAACTCTTCCTGAAAATACATCATATCTGATTTACTTGTTATAATTTTCAACTTCAAATGATTGCGGAAACTGAAAAGAACCAAACCTCACTGAACTTTGACGGCAAAAGAAGGAGAGCGGCGGAGGTTGCAGCCTTCAGATTTACAGAGTTGAGTTTTTCTATGTCCAAGTTATCTATTATGACTTTAACCTGAACCATTAAGATGTCTCTGGTGTTACATATGAACAATTAGTACGTAAGCCCATGTCCAGTAAAATAAAGACATGATAAAAATTAACGGCGGAAAGTAGGACTGAAGTATGAAAGGTTATGTATTTTTTTTATTAAACCGTCAATGAAAAGCAATTTTAATATATGAATTCCGTCGAATTGAGAACTACAGTAAAAACATGCATAAAGAAATTGATTTCAATTTTCAAGTGAGTGTGCCCATTCTAGAGTTGATAGAGCTGATTTTGCATACATTAACTTCAATATGACAGACTACTAACAAATGAGTTCAGAGGAGACAAATAATAAGCAAGACATACTGGTTTCTGCAAACGACCACTCATGTAGAACCTCTCCCATCCCAGAATGTCCTGAACAAGATCATGCATTCGAACAACACCGTACTTGAACATCTGGAGGAGTATCTCATGTCATATTCTAATGAGAATACACCAAAGAGTAGACCCATATAGAGCAACTAGATAGAGAATATATATGTAATAAACCTAGACAGCTTCACAAAACATCATAACAACAATCGTGATGAAATAAATACCCGATCCTTGTGAGAAACAAATGGATTGAAGTGTACACCAACACCGATGTCATCTGCTACCTCAGTAATCTACCAAAACAAGTTCAAATACATATCATTGTAAAATAAACTAAAAATCCAGAATGAGAAGATAGATATGAAGTAGCACCAGCCGCGATCCGCCAAGGTGGACCATCCATGATGCGTAATGATTCCGGTTCATCTTCAGATTCTTGATCACAAAAGGCCAAATCATCATCAGTTTCTAATCCACATTCATACCACTGAAAGTGTAAAAGATGAAACAAATACCTCAGTGTGCCATTGCTGGGGATCTGACACACCAAGAATGTAATCTATCATGGATGCCTGGATAAACCAAATCAAATCATCCAAGTGAAAAATAAAATTGAACGTGAAAGTGCGAAATTTGGAAAAAAATAAAATTCGACTGCTAAAAAGTATAGGCTCAAGCAAACAAGAAAGTAAAAAGAAAATATAAAAATGGGACCTTGTTAAAATTGTTAGGATGGAGGGAGGAGCCATATATGCAGGCAAACTCAACTGGGGGCAGAGCTTGCAGGAAACTTGCAGGGTCAAGTCTATCTGGACCATCCATTCACTACAATGATCAAAACTTTGTTAGACATTTCATCAAACAGGTCAAGTGCATGACTTGTTTGGCTTAAAAAAACTGCAATAGTCAACTGACAAACTACCAACTGTAAGCAAGCAAGCTCACCGTTGGGGTTGGGATGTATTTGGAAAGGAGGATTAATTACAGGGAGAATTCGAAGCGGTGCTTCAGTTTTAGAAACAACGGTATGAGGAGGAATGTGGATCGGCGGCAATTCTTAAAAAGATTATGGGCATGTTGTCTATGGGCCCAAAAGCAGCAGTAGTTCCCTTATTATTAATTGGGCTGCTATTGCCACTTTCTATATTCCTAATCCAAAGGTTTATTTAATTATTTAATAATAAAAATAAGGTTTTAGAAATACATATAAAGAGTAGGTCACTTATGTGAGGTAGTAGGACAATAATACATCAACCATGTAACATATCGAAATTGAATAAAAAAATGTTTAGCTTTCAATGGCCTAATAAAAGTAGTTTTTGTTAAGATTATCCAAATTTGTGTGTATGGTGTTTGTGTTGTTACCTTTCTCAATCTTAAAATCGTAACTCGCTTTTTCTCACGTTTTAGCTAATAATAATTAGTAAATAACTAGTAAATTATTGAGTCAAGAAAAGATAAAAAAGAAAAAAAGAAAAAGGAAATATTGAGAAATGAAAGCAGTGGGTAGAGAGTCCATGGTTTTCAATCCCACATCGGTAAATCCAAAATATTCTCTTCTTTTATTGTGAATATTAAATTATTTGGCTTTTTATACTTGCTTGCGGACACAATGCTCAATTTCAATTATTTTTAGTAAAAAAAAAAAAAAGGAATTAAAAAAGATTCTATCTTCGGAGTATCTTAAGTAATGAGTATACAGCCAAATGTTTAAAAAATTGTGAAAAAATGAGAAGGGGAAGAAGTTTTTGTTTTGGTGTAATTAGTAAAAATGGGAAGTTGACAAGCAGGAAGCAGCATCAGAATTAGAGACTTGGTGAGGAAGATTTTCAATTAAAATCAATAATGGAATGGTTGTCCATTATTGATTAAAAAAAAGATTTTCATATAACCAACCAACCAACAATTGAAGTCCACACCAATTTGCAATGGAGCTAAGCTACTAATTTTTCTACCACTCTCAGCTTCTCTATCTATCTATCTATCTATCTGGGTAACTCTCTAAAAAAAAGTTTTCCTTTTTCTATCCTTTCTCGTTTGGTTTGTGTTTGTTTTTATGTTGATGATTCCTTGTGATATATCTATCATCTGGATAATTAAAAAGGCTAGAGCTTTCCGCATTTATTTGTTAATTGTTAATAATAATCCTTGTGATTTTTGAATCATGTTTTCATTCTGTTGGATGAGATGGGTTCCATGTATTACTGTTTATTGATCGAAGCACAACGGACTTTCACATTTACTGTTTGTGTGTATGTACTGTACCAGCCACCAGGATCCAAGTATGTGTGCGGGGGGATGTTTGGTATTTTTCCTTGTGATTGAGTATTAATTTTATCTCTTTTTAATTTTTTAATACATCATGCCTTTAGCTTGTTTTCCATTCCAGTTAGGAGTTAGGACCCTTGCTATGTCATCTCAGACCTTCTTTCTTCTTTTACCTTTATACGCCCGCCCTGTCATGTGAATGTTCTGAAAAATCATCAAATCAATTTTGTTTTTTTATTCATTGTGTCCCATGCTTCATCTTCAGGTATGCCCATACTAGCATATGTGATTCCGACCTTCCTTTATGTTTTTTGCCTAATGCTTTTACCAAATATAGAATTATATTACTTGTAGGATGAATGATGCAAGAGTTGGTTCCTCTCTCTCTCTCTCTCTCACTGATATTTCAAAAACATATTTCCGATTGCTTGGGAAATTTCATGTTAAGTGACGTATTAGAACCATTTCTAACCATTCAAATTGATGTGCTATACTCGACGCAGGGTTGTTTTGGAAGAGTTTGATACGAGTCTATTTGTGTGATACCTGGCTCTCGAGCATTCTACTGCAGTTTTGTTGAAATGTCTATGCTAACAAAGTTACGCTTAATTACGGTTGATGTTACTGGCACACTAATTGCTTACAAAGGGGAGCTCGGTGACTATTACTGCATGGCAGCCAAATCAGTTGGACTCCCTTGTCCTGACTATAAGCGGGTACATGAGGGTTTTAAACTTGCTTACACAGAGATGGTAAATAAGCACCCTTGTTTTGGATTTTCAGAGAAGATACCAAACATTGTCTGGTGGAAGACATGCGTGCGGGATTCTTTTGTCCGGGTAAGAGGAGATTGAACTATCGTTTATTTCCTAGGTTCTCACTGTCCGGCCCACACCAGAAACTTTCCTAACGAGTTATGCAAGTAAGATAAAACATATTAATTCTAAAATTATTGATCTCCTTACAGGCAGGATATGACTATGATGAAGAAACATTCGAGAACGTTTTCAGACGCATATACGCTACCTTTGGTTCCGCTGCACCATATAGTATCTTTCCAGATTCACAGCCATTCTTGAAAGGGCTTCGTGAGAAGGGTATTATTGTTGGAATCGTGAGCAATGCAGAGTATAGGTATAAGGATGTAGTCCTTCCAGCATTGGGTTTACATGAGGTAAACATTTTGCATATGAAATGTCTCAACTCTTTTTCTTTCACTGCATAAAGTCTGATAATTGCAAAATGTTGAATTCAGGGATCGGAATGGGACTTTGGCGTATTCTCAGGTCTCGAAGGTGTAGAAAAGCCAGACCCAAGAATGTACGAGATAGCCTTGGAGAGAGCAGGGAACATAGCACCCGAAGAGGCTCTTCATATTGGAGATAGCATCCGTAAGGACTACCTGCCCGCAAAGAGTGTTGGAATGCACGCCCTTTTATTGGACAGATTTAAAACGCCAGATGCTGAGAATTGGAAGAAATCTGGTGCTACTGTACTGCCCAACTTGGTTGCTGTACAAGAGTGGCTTTCCTCTGAGGAACATGGTCGCTAGTAACTTGTTTTCGAGTCTACTACAAACAAATTTACTGCCATTTTTCTATCTGACAAGTTGTAGTAGCAAACTTTTGTAAGGGATATTGTTTTATCTTGTTAATGATTAGACACTGGTTACCTAATTTAATCAAGTAGCTCTCAGTTTCAGTGAGCATAAAAGTGATGTTCAATGCAGATTTGTAGTGAACAAAGTGAATCATAGTTTTACTGAATATCATCTTCTGAAGGGTATGCATGAAGCAGATCTTTATACCCAACAAGAGCAACAAAAATACTGCAACCAAATTGAATGCATATCGACATTTTGAACTGAAAACGTTTCCTGCCCTCTTTGCAAGGTAATAAAATCAGTCATTACATAAACATAAGGGGTGCAGAAAATACGGGAAATGAAGAAAGAAACTTTAAATCGTCAACAGCATCACAGATAGAATTCAACAACATTGGCATCAAGTATTTAATAAACTAACAACTTTGAAATGCAGCAAAACAAGTCTGGTAGACCAAAATGCAGGCTTAAGAAGTCTCTGCAGCAGGTTGAGTAACTCCCGAATCGAGTAACAGCTTAGCCAACGCCTCTGGCGAGCAAACCTGGTACTTAACTTTACCATTAGACACGAAGACCTCAGCCAACTCAAGCTTCTCTGAGGTGAGACTTGTGCTATCCATTGTCTTACTAAGCACCTTGATTGCCAACTGAACAGCCTCTTTCCTCGTGATTTCATCCTTGTAGTCTTGCTTAAGCATCGACTGAGCGGCTTGATTATTTGCTCCAATAGCTGCAGCCTTCCAACCACTGTAGTTTCCACTAGGGTCACTCATGTAGAGCTGAAAGCCATAGTTTTTATCCCAACCTGCAAAGAGAAAAGAAACACCAAATGGACGGAGCCCACCAAACTGAGTGTAGCCTTGCTTGGTGTCGCACAAAGACTGAACCAACTGTTCAACCGGCATTGGCTCTTGATAAGAAAAAGTGTAGCGCTGGGCTTGGACTCTGGCTGTGTTGATGAGAATGTTGGCATCAGACATAATTCCAGCCACAGCACAAGCGACATGGTCATCGATCTTGTACATTTTCTCAGTGGCAGCAGAAGTCTGTAGAAGCTTCGAAGTCACTTTTTTCTCACCAACCAAAACAACCCCATCTTTGGATAGAATGCCTATGGCACTCCCAGCATTGCCAATTGCCTCCATTGCATACTCAACTTGGTAAAGACGGCCTTCTGGGGAGAAGATTGTCGTACGGCTGTCATATCTTCGAGACATGTTGTATACTACACATAAATACTTGATTATGAGATCAGAGTCCAAGTCAAATTAGCAAATAAGTGACCTAAGATAAAGATAAAACAGTTTAAAACATGGATATGCTGAACCAAAAAAGAAGAGAAATGGGATTGATCATGCACGAAAGAAATTGGTAAATTCACATAGACAACCTGCAACAATTATCTCGAGGCAAAATGGAAGATAGAGAGAACTGCAAATGACTAGCCCTTCCACAATAATATAGGCGATTTAATATGAAGCTTAATTAAAAAAAAATCTGCCACTAACGGAAACCCCCAAATATCAAACAAAAGATTAGGTCTGCGCAGTTGACACAAAGGTGTAACAGAAGTAAGTGGACCAAGTACTGAATATATGCGTTGTTTTTCCTTTAGACAATGTTGATAAAATTCAATCACCATTGTTACAACTTCCGAAAAGTATGAAATTCCAGTCTGTGAAAGTTGGGCTATGGGTTTGTCGTGCTTAATTGATTTTTCCAATAAATTGGAATTATTTCCATTTCATCTGCCCTAATCACAAAATTATAAATTTACCAGCAAGAAAACCAATCAGCAAACATGTTCGTGCCGATGTATTTTTCCCAGAAACAGAATAAGAAAATTATAGGGACAGATAAAGAGCTGATAAATGAAATTACGGTAAAACACAATCGAAAACCTAAGCAAATACATAGAGAGAGAAACGAGAGGAAAAAACCTGATGAAAGATCTGGATACGGATCTCGAGAAAGTAAACAAAATGTCCGGGCACGAAAGGATTTTGATGAGAATCGGCGCTTTGGAACTTCACCGGAGCAGCAGCAGCAGCAGTATATATTTTGTTAGCTGTCTTTTCTTCCAAGCCTTGTTCCGTCTTTGAAAATAAATAATGTGGAATTTTCAGTTTGACCCCAAAAGTTTCCATTAATTCATTATCAACCGGCTCAATTCTTATTAATTTTTGTTAGTTACAATGGGCCTTAGCCCAAAACAAAAGAGGATAAGCGCATGAGCCCAAATTTAATAGGCTTTAGCATAATTGAGATCATTAAGTTTAAGAAAGGACCCAAGCCCATATTATCTTAATCAATGGTAAGTAGCCGCTAGCTGTGACACGTAGCAATCTTGGCATTTAGTCAAACAATATTGAAATGCAGGATAATTGGAGTGGGTGTTGGATGACTGCAAAATGGCCCACTTCAGCATCCCCACCCTTTTAAAATAATAATAATAATTATTATTATTATTATTATAAAATCATTATAATAACACATATATTTCCAGTACCATATGCAGTGAACATAGCGTTGAATAATTGAATCAAATCTAGCCAAATGGGCGTGTGATGCAAACTAGCAGGGATATGCCCCAAACTCTTGCTTTTGTGATGGAGGATTTACTTTGTTTGATTCTTGTAATTTCAACTTTGTTTAATGAAATATGTTACTCATAAAAAAAAAAAAAGGCATATCATATCATCATCAAGCCAAACGCAATTATCAAGAAGCAAAGTAACGACAGCATACAAAAAAAAAAAAAAAAGGATGAGAAATGTATGTCTGAAAATTAACTTGTGTCAAGGCCAAAAACATAATTTTACTTGGTGGTTTTATGATCTTCATCTTGATCCTGATCTTGCTGTTCAGAGTGGGAAAAGAAAGCATCATACCAAAGACAATGATGGTCTTCTTGTTTCAGGGCGTCAGAGGAGCCCGAAGCTCGAAGTCTCTGGTCGGCAATCATTTCATGGCTGAGTCCCCATTCTGTGAGCTTGTGATCATTGTGATTTATGGAGAGGCTGTACTCTCCACCGGATCCTAACTGCATCACTATAAACTCGCAATTATCTGGATTCTTGAGCCTCTCGAATTGATCCACACTCCACCTGAACCACCTCATCATAAATATCCTAATCGCCAGACCGTGCGACACTATCACAAGATTCAGCTCGCCACTCCCCCCATCATTATTATTATTATTAGGAATGCACCTCTTCATCTCTATGTCCCTCCACAGTGATTCAAGAAAATCTGCATCATACATCATCTACCAATTTACTAACATAACATGGTCATCATACTAAAACAAAAATAAAACAACATACTTGACACTCGATCGTACACATCAGCACCCGATTCTCCATCAGGGAATCTATAGAAGAATCTTCCAAATTTATTCCTCATCTCGTTCAGCTGCTTAATTTTGTGGGTATCGTGGAAATTCCCCAAGTCCTGTTCTCTGAGCCTGCACTCTTCTCTCACTCCAGCTATCTTGCTCTCCGGAAAAGCCCGGCCCATTTCCCTCAGTGTCGATCTAGTGCTTTTATAAGGGGACACATATATGTACACCTTCCAGTTGCAGTTCTCGTCCAACAGTCCCTTGATCAATACACCTGCTTCCTTGGCTTGGTCCATGCCCTTTTTGGTCAATTGAATGCTGTGATCTGGCAAAACCCCATCTTTGTTCTCCATGGTCTCACCATGCCGGACCAAGATTATGCGCTTTGGAAGCCACCTCTGCTCCTTGGAGCTGCTGCTTTCAGCCATTGATCTCTTCTTTATCACAATTTACAACTATTGTATCCCCTTATCTATGCTTTTAAGTAACAGATATGTGTTTGACTGCTGACCTATGCCCCCCCTTTCTCCTTACAAGCCGATCAATTCTCTTGGTCTTACCCACATATATAACCTACTGCTGAACAGCAATAAACTATCAAAGTGTAAGATCTTAATGAATATATAAAAAAAAAAAAAAAATATTGTCTTAGTGAAATGATTGTATATATAAAATAAACTGAGAAAACATCTTTCCAGATCAAAAGAGAGAATGCAATAAAGCTAGAAAGTAAATAAACTACTACCTCTTCTTTAGGTGGTCATGGTCAGGGGGATGGGTAAAAAGCTGTTAATAAAACATACCAGTCTTTGTGCCCATAAATTGTATATGCTCACTCGAGCGGGTGCGAATTCTCAGCAAATGTGAAGTAAAATACCCTGAGTGCTCAAGTATAACAAAAGAGAATAAAGGAAGAAAGGTTTCACTAGTAATTACATATTCAACTGTACATATTATAATATTCACTTTTTTACACATGCAATTTTATATCAGTTTAATCATATTCAATCCTGAACTCAAGTACAAACTTGTATTTTTAGCTCTATGCTTAACAACATAGAAGGGGATTCTAGGGCCAATATGAACTATGAGTTTGCAGTTGGTGAGAAATAGTGATCAATACTAGAACCCCTTTTCACAATATTAGCACGCTTCTGTGGCTGAAAAGAAGCACGCACTTCTGCCTGAATTTCCGGTGGTAATTCTTTCAAGACACTAGGGTCAATCTCATCACTCTTGTAGCTCCTCCACGTATCACTTCTTAAATCATCTTGTCCCAAGTTGCATGTGCTCAGGGTAGTCCCACTCATCGGCTGCTGCTGGTTTCCTTGAACCGACATACCTTTCAAAAAAATCACATCAGCACTTCGTTATTACTTGAAAATCAGACCAAATAGATGCAACAAAAGACGAAGAAAATTGACATGCATTCTGGCAGGGGTTTGGGGGATTCACAGGATAACCTTTAATCCGCAAAGATTAATAATTACCTGACGAAGATGCTCCTCTCTCTTGAAAAGTCTTAACATGGCGAGGCTCAGGAAAAGAGCAAGAGTTGCCACTAGCAAAATATTTCAAGATAGATGAATTTCCCTGACAAAACAATTGATGAACATATTTAGCTAGCATAAGGTGATCAATGTCAATGAGACACGAGATGCTCCCAGAGAGAATGCTCAAAGCAGAAATATCGCATATCACAATTTTTAACCCATAATGGAACAAGGAATGTGTAACCTTTTCCTTTTCAAACTTCCTTTTCTGTTTCTCTGATTTCAAAACAGGTCCAAGGAAATCCATCTTTGACTGAGTGACTTTTGATGCCAAGCCCTTTTCACTACCTGATTTGAAACCCTAACTGAATCAGGAGAAGAAGAAAACAGGAAGCACGGAAAAGAAACGATCGTCAAGGAGGCATGGGAAATACCTGAGCATGATAAAGAAATTTCTTCTGTGATCCCATTACTTTGCTCTTTCATCCCAAACAAAGTTGGATCTTGTTCTGCAAATTTAGTCGTGAATACTGAATCCTACAGAGAAAAGCTAAGTGAGCAGAGATAAGCTAGAAATACATCATAAACAATATCGATGGGAACAATAACAATATTGCCCGTTTATCTGCCTGGGAAAGCACCCAGGCACCATCAGTAGCACTAAAAGACTATAATACATCTAAGCTCAACTTCATTTTCTACAAACACTTCTACATATGAATCAAACCTTGCCTTACACACTTCCGTTTCATCTCCATCTGGATTAAAACATGGCATGTCATGCTTATCACTTGCTTCATCTTCATAATTTGCTATTTGCGGTTCAGACAAATGTAGCTCCACAGAGCTTCCAATACCTAAACCAAAGCCACATGCTCTTATGATTCTGAAAGATAAACAAGTAGTTACTTAAGACCAAAATCATCAAAAGCAAAAAATAGTACCTGAGGATGATAGATATGCAGCATCCTGAGTGTGTATGTCATTTGATTCAAGCGCAGAACTGCTAGTTTGATTTTTATTACCGAAGTACTTCGTAATTGAGTGTGTTCCCTAACAAAGCATTGCAGAGAAAAGGGAGAAATTTAATAAAGTCTAACAGTATAGGAATAATCCAAATTATAAGTCAACTTTCCATCCAAAGACTAATTTGATGCAGAAAAATCATAAATTAGATAGGCAGGATAAGACACATGGGTATTAAGGAATATAATTAAACAGAAATATATTAATTAAAAATATTTATTATAATACCAAAAGCTCACCACTGTTTGGATCGACCTTCAAAAATCTCTAATGCATGCAGCAAGACTATAAATAATAAACATGGTTTGTAAAGGATCCATCTCACAAATGGTGGCACATCACACATATATTGAAAATTTGAGTCTTTAAAAGAGAGTTTGACATTAAGAAAAAGTTCTAAAACTAATCAAATTAACTTCTCCAATATACAAAAACACGCAGTCAGTTAAGTGTAAAATAGTTCATAAGAAATAACTATACAAAAAAGAAATGCAGCTAAACATGAAGTTTGCTTTGACTCACAGATGGGGTCGCAACTATTTTACTGGCTGAGACAGAGAGACCCGTTATTGCCCACTCATTGTGTTGCTTCATCTTAGCATGGTGGATTCCAATATATTCACGTAGCCCAGCATGAAATAGGTTGAGGGCATCCTCTTGAATCTTGGCGATCCCATATCTTAACGGACAGGACTTTGAAGGGAACTTTTTAAGTGATTCTGAGTCATTCAACTGGAGGATGAAATTCATAAACTTTAAATACATAACTACAATAATATTTCTTTATATCAAAATGTTAAAAACATCCGGAAAAAGAAGTGAGTTTTTTATGGTATACTGAAACGGAAGCTGAAACAGTAAATACCTTGTGCGCACTTGCATGCAAGGTAAGAGTATGAGCAATGCGTTTATTTTGTTCCAGATCACGAACAAGACGTTCACTCAGTTCTTCACAAAGTTCATATATCCATTTTTGTACCTGCAACCATGGCAGCAATAAGAAAGGTAAATGTATTGAACACCACCACCAACCATAACTTGAATAACATCTAGAAAAAATACATACAGAGGAGATGGTTTTAAGAGCTTGACGTCCAGGAAATGTTTTCCCAGAACCATGACTCTTGGGCAGCAGCCGTCCTTCAACCTCTTCCCCGCAGATTCCCCTGGCAATATTCCATAACCAAGTACTGCATTGATAATAAACAAATCCAAAATCAAGGATATGGCTAATATTAAAATGAGTTCTGCAAAAAAAATCCTCAATGGCAGAATCACATATAAGAAAAATACTAGGAAACAACTAAAGCATCAATCATAATCTTGGAATAGTCATAGCTCCCCGAACAGACCAATATGTTCATACATATAAGAAACAACTAAGCATACATAAAGCAGATAATAACCCAGTATTTATGCCATAGCGTTCTTGAAGCTTATCCTCTGAGAACTGCAATAGATCCCCGACAGTGTCCACACAAAGGTCTGCCTGCAAAGAGTTTCCAAGCTTCCCCCCAAGCTGCTTCCTGAAATAAGTTATTCCTTCAATATATATTTCTTTCATAATGTTTGCTAAGTAGTAATGGATCATCTGAATGGAGATAAATTGAATAACGTATTATTTTAAACTCATAGGTGAGGGATAGCATGGGTGATCCTTACTTTTTGGAATTGAATTTTCTATTGTTAATTATACTAAATATATTTGCCATGAAATGATTCCCACGTACCATTTCACCCCTTCAGACACTTTGAATCAGAAATCTGAAAGAAACTCAACTTACATCTTTTTTATAGGTAGGGATTCAAGCAGTGTCGAAACAGAAGACAAAGGCACAATGGTTTGTTGAGCAGGCTTATTCATACCACTTGCAAGTTTAGCCAGCATCTGATCAAATCATAGAGTCAAGAAAGACACATGCTTCTGCACACTGATTAATATATGCCGACACGTGCATAAATGTGAAATTGTGAGTACTCCCTCTGACCTTATTATGAGCTATGCCAGCAGAACAGGTATATTCAGTCTCTTTCAAGACTTCCAGTCTAAGCTCAGCAACAATAAGGGCTCCACAGGCTAATAATTTATCACGGCGATCAGCATCACTCATATAAAACCATTTCTTCACAGAATCTTGATTGCTGGATCCATCCTGGGTTAAAATAAAACAAGACTAACATAAGAAAGGAAAAGAAAGAAAGAAAAACAGAAAAGAAGCAAAGCCTACCAAATGAAGCCCCAATACATGAGATTTAAAAGCTTCTTCACAAATTGTTTCCAATCTCTCTGGGGGATTTTCAGCTAACATTGTTTCTGCAACTTCAGTAAGATCTAGATACACTTCATCTATAGAAGCGCGCTCACATCGGCCCTTTCTTGAAAGGATTGATACAACCTAAAAATATGATCTCATAATCAAGCAGATGCATAACTTTCATAAAGGATGTGTTACAAAGTTTTACTATTTAGACCTCTGAACCAGCATCTCTGTACACAGTCAGATCCGCTTTACCGCGAGCCACAGGAACTTGGACAAGCTGAATATCAGGACATACTTTCTTTGCTTCATCGCCTCGCATAGAACTTTCAACCACATAGAAAATTCCAACATTAGTAGGTCAGTGACAAGCAATTTTGTTATCTAAATAATGTTTCAGATTCTAACATTTACCGTTTGACTCCATATTTACGAGCCTCATAACCCACAGCAATAAGCCCTCCTCCTTTCCAGGAGTTGTACTGTACGACAGCAGTAGGATGACCTCTTAGAGTTGGCTGCTTACGCTGCTCAACTACAGAAACAAGGAAAAGAACATTTGCGAGAGATTTAACCTAAGAAAAATTAAATGTTGAATAACATAAAATAAGAGCCTACATGATATTGGTAAGTTTCAATATAGTAAATAGTTCAGGCAAACAACTCATTTTATGGACAAGATGGCAGGATTTAACAATAGAAGTACAACTCCAAATCAGTGTCATTAAAGGGTGATTGGTGAACTTGGCTATAAAGCAAACAAAAACTGCGTATGAGGCCCAACGAATCATTTGTTTTGATAAAAACATGATTTAACAGGCATCTCTCACGTTTCATATGTTCATAAGGATTTTTCCACTAGAAGTGACATGAAAAGGCCATATCCAACGAGTTTCCCTCCCCCTTCTGATCAGTATTTAGGTGTACCACAAGTTTTGGTAAAGAACGGATATAAGACCACGCACCAAGGGATACAAGAAAAATCAATACAAGTGAAAAAGCAAGAACATTTAAAGGACCTGCGCCAAAACAGAAAGCAAGAAAGTTCAAAAGAAAAGAAGCAAGAAGGCGGGAAGATTCACAGAAAACCAAGAAATAAACAGGGAATACCACCAATCTTGATATTAATTACCAGAAATATTGAATGAACAAAGAAAAAAGATGTGTCCAGTAAGAGCTGGACCAGACAGAGAGTAAGCAGAAGTGATGAAAAGAAGGTAGTAAAGAAATTCAGACATTTAGTTCAATTCGGGCAATAATGATGATACACAGTCTGTATACGCGTGTGCCCAAAGAGAGAAGTAAGAACCTTGAACATAGAAGCAATCCATGTCAATGTGAGCAATAACCCTGGAATCCGATGATTCTGGTCTTGCCACCGGCATCTTTTCAATTTCCCCCCAATCTTCAACCCTCCTCTCCTCCTCTTTTCCCTCCACTACTACTACACCCTCGACTACGTTTGGAATTGAATTCTGGAAGATGGATGAGAACATGGGCCATTTTATTGGGCAAAACGCAAAACTTTCGTTATTGTACTTTTTAATTAAGGCAACATAAAACTTTTCCTTATTAATTTATAATATTACCCGTTTGGAAGTTAAAACGCGATTTTAAGAGGAAGCGTTTACTTGCCAAAAAATCCCTTCACAACTCTCTCTCTCTCTCACTAAACCCTTGAAAACCCTCCCCCCCTTTTGTCTCTCTCTCACACACACAGACGGACATCCGCAAGCAAACTTCACACCAGTGAGACCATACTTTATCGCTCCTCCCAATACATGTAGATGCCGGTTATTACAAATCAAGAGAGTTCTTCTTTTTCCATTAGTTAAGAGTTTCAGATGAAAGCATTAAGGGTGCTAAGAACACTGTCCTCAATCACCACTGCTCAATCTCCAAACCCCCAAAAATGTTTCACAAGTTCCTCTCTTTTTAACCGATTTTACTCTGCCCAGCCGCAACACGATGACCCATTGCCCCCAACCACCGACGAATTCCACGCCGACGCTGTATTTGATAGCTCCCATTTTGATGATTTAAATCTCAATTCCAGTAATATCGATAACGGCAATCAAAAGCCAACGTGGGACGACAAGTATAGGGACAGGGTGAAAAGCCAAGTGTTTCAGGAAGACATCTCCCAATCCAGAATTTGGAAGAGAGAAGAGGAGAAGAAGAAGAAGGCTGGCAGGCTCGCCGAATCTCTGCTAGAGGCCGCATTGGATGACGATGAGTATGACGATGTGGAGGTGGGGGAGGTCAAGGATGAGGATCAGAAGTCGTTATCTGTCGGGATAATCGGGGCTCCCAATGCTGGAAAGTCTGCCCTCACTAATTACATGGTCTGCTCACCTTTGTTCTTATTTCTTTTCATTGCCTTTTTATTTGAATGGGAAATTAAGAATAAAATCCAGGCTTATATTTCTTGGTTGTTGAGGAGGTGGGGGGATTTCAGGAATAAAAATCATCATAGTAGACCTTGAACTTGTAATTATTTTCTTGTTGGTTTTAGGTTGGGACTAAGGTTTCTGCTGTTTCGCGCAAGGTAAATACCACCACTCATGAAGTGTTGGGAGTTTTGACCAAAGGAGTCACACAAATGGTATGTTCTCGGATCACATGACTCTTTTCTCTGCTTCCAAATGGTTATAATGGATTATATTTTTACTCACAAAGTTGTTATCATCCAAATATTAGCTTAGCATGCATTTTCACATCCGGAGCTGTACATCATAACACAACTTATGCCTGCAGTATTTGGAATGATATCAACATTAGTTCAAGCATTTTTCTTGTTGAAAATTCTATACTTTGGCTAAGTCCTGAGGATACAGGATATGTTCTTGAACCTGGGGCAGCCAAGGCAAAATTGTTACGCCCCAAGATCCTTGGAATCTGACCTATTTATACTAATCATTTGATTTCCCTCGAGTATCTCGGATACTTTAGTAAGAACAAATTGACTTCATATACTTTTAAACTTGTACTGGTGAGACTATAAAATTACATTGTTGTCTTGTCCCTTGGAAACCCAGAAAAATGTATGCCTCGTGAACTACATAGAAAAATGTATGTCAATTGATAAACTCCTCTTCTCAGTTTAGTTTCCTTTATTAGAGAGAGTGGCCTTCCTTATTTAGTTGGGAGGCTTATCTTCTTGGATTTTCTATGGACTGAGACTTTGAAGCAAGATTTCATACATCCAGCAAAATGGAACTTTTAGAGTTCCGAAAATAACTAGTCACATCCGAGATTCATGATTCAGATCATTGTCATATTTAATAACTTGCTAATTCGCCTTAGTTTTCAGTATTCAATTGAAATCATCTTTTTTTTAAACATAAGAAATGAAGCTCTATTATCTTTAATATTTTTAGTTAGCATGTGCCAACAAGTTCTGTTGCAAAGGGAACGGAGTTTGTTTCTTGCTGTTTGTATGGAAAAATGTATGTGCCTTCAAATTTATCAAAGATTTCTTACTTTATCTAATGTCTATGCAGTGTTTCTTTGATACTCCCGGACTTATGTTAAAGAAAAGTGGATTTCCATACAGCGATATCAAAGTTCGAAATGAAAGTGCATGGACTTCTGTTAACTTATATGATGTGCTGATAGTTATCTTTGATATTCACAGACACCTTACCAGGTTCCAGTTTGGCCTTCTTTTAATTGACTCTTACGCTTTTATTATGGACTCAAGAGTGAGACTTGATGCCTATACGTGGACTTGGTGCAATGTTTTGCTGTTTTTAACGTATTGTGTATTAGCAATGTAGTAAACATCTGAGAAACAGTGCCCTGCCCTTATCATCTTGATTTTTCATGAATTTTAGACCCGACTCGCGAGTGGTAAGACTGATCGAAAGAATGGGTTCAATTAGCAACACGGCTCAGAAGCGTGTGTTATGTATGAATAAGGTTGACTTGGTTGCGAAGAAGAATGATCTGCTAAAGGTTGTTGAGGAATTCAGAGACCTACCTGGATATGAAAGGTATGTTCTTCATTTTCATTCTTTCCCCCTGTTAATTGACTCTTCTGATGTCATGCCTGATATCAATCTTAATGGTTTTATAGATATTTCATGGTCTCGGGATTGAAGGGTGCCGGAGTAAAAGATCTCACTAAGTATTTGATGGAGCAGGTGAGTTTGAAAAGTTGACTCCTTCCTATAACTTAAGTTAGTAGTATCTTTTGAATGATATTCTAATGTTTGTGCAATCATCGGATGGATGAAGACTATAGGAGATATATATATTTTTTCAAGGGTTGTGTAATGAAAAGCTTGAAGGATTTTATTTTACTTTTGTTTCTTGTAGTAGAGATTCATTAATTGAACTGTTAGGAAACACCCTATGGCCTATGCATATGAAAGTAGAAGCCCCTCAAAGCTTTGCAAGTGGTCTTATAATGTTCTTTATGCATAGGCAGTAAAGAGACCGTGGGATGAAGATCCATTCGCCATGAGTGAAGAAGTCATGAAGAACATATCACTAGAAATTGTTAGAGAAAAATTGTTGGATCATGTGCATCAGGTAATGGTTTGTTTTCACAGTTCAATGAGTATGCAGATAGAAGGCAGCTCTGGAAAAAAAATTCACTGAGCTGGTTAATTTTCGTCAATCCAGGAAATTCCATACGGTATTGACCATCGCTTGATGAGCTGGAAAGAGTTGAGAGATGGGTCTCTGAGAATTGAGCAGCATTTCATCACTCACAAGATTAGCCAACGCAAGATATTAGTGGGGAAGAATGGTTCCAAAATAGGGTTAGTATGTTTGTGATTTGAAGTCACTTGCTCTATATAAATCGATATATTTATTACCTGTTGGCTTCACTCAAAGACATCCTAGTCTTGATCAATACTTGTGGTTTAATTCTAGTATAGTTGAGTCTGGAATTTGAATTGGTATGCAGGAGGATAGGTGTTGAAGCTAATGAGGAGCTGCGTGCGATATTCAAGAGGAACGTACATCTCATCCTCATGGTTAGAGTTAAATCATGAAATCATCCTTCACAGTAGTTCAGAAGGGGGAGCCAATTTCAAAACACATCCAAAAAGACTTCAGCTTCTCAACAGAGTGTTCAAAAACTGTTTTGTAAAGGCAACCTCCGAATACAGCGTTAGTTGGATCAGCTTCTTTCTGAGTTGATTAATTCGAACACTGCAATTAAATATTTTCTTAATTTCTCTCTATTTTTGGTCGACATCCGTGGAAGAATTATTAATATATATACATGATAAAAAACGAACATACATTATCATATTGTTGTTTGTATTTTATTTTTTGGTAAATAGCATTAAACCACCTAAATTTTGCTCATTTTGCAAATCGTATATCTTCAACTAATTAATTACATAAACAACACACAAGACACTAGACAGGATCCTAGCTAGTTGCAAACAAGACTAGTTAGTTAGTTATACCCAAACTAGAAATGCCTAAATTAACAACATAATTAGCAACAGAATAATAATAATATATTCGAAATATAGTTTCTTGGACAACCTTAATACATACAATAAAGACCATTTTGCCCTCGGAAAAGCAAATTAATATATTAGCCATGCAAACAAATAAAACATAGTAGGTAGGTAGGTAGCAACTGCATGCATATGGTATCAAATATGAATAGCGCGCTAGGCAATGAAATTGCTGAAGGGAAGTGTAAGCTGTTCAAGAAGAGCAGTTATTGGTACGGCCAACCTAGGCTCGTACGGAAACCCATGCAGCTCATCTTCTCTCCCGCCACCACCGCTACTCATATTAATGTACGGACATGGAGGAATCCAAGCCCACTTCTTCCCGACAAAATCAAACAGGAGTGCCTTATCCGCCGACCCTTTAACCTGTATCACAACAAACTGACCATGTGCAACACTGTTGAATCCACGTCCATCTTCAATCTCTGCAAACTGATTGTACAGCTGCTGCGGCATCCTCTCCATCTCCACCCACATACTCCCGCATTCCTGCAGTGTCCACAGCCTCATACTCTTCGGCACGTTCAGCTTGCTCTTCTCCACCGCCGCCACCAATATCAGCTTCCCTCTGCTCTCCACCAGGCTCGGCGACCTCAGAAACCTCCTCATCGGCGCCTGTATCTTCGACCACTCATTCATCGATATATCGTACGCCAGTACACTGAACGGGCTGTAGTTCATGCAGTAGAATCTCCCTTCAACGTGAACCATTCGCCCCGATTCCAGGCTGCACAGCCTCGGCAGAGAAGCTGTTGTTCCCCATATTGAGTAGAATCCACCGCCGTCGATGTGGAAGCTCTCCGAAGTTAGATTCTTGACGGCGTATGGAGATATGAGGTCATCTCCTGCAAAAGCCAAGTCTATAGAAGAGTTGGTGATGGTTAAACCTATTGAAGGACATAGCCTAGGCCTTAGGGTTGAAGGGAGTTGCACTAAAGAATTAATGAGCGGGTTGCAGAGGAGAATACTCTTTGAACCACCCTCTTCAGAAACCCAACAGATTAGTCCACCGGAGGAAGAAGCCGGTGAGAATCCAGTTGGGATTAATGGAAAAGAAATGCGGTACCATTTTAAGTTATCGGGATCGAAAAGGTAGCCTTCGCAATGTGCTCGGCAACAAGTGTTGTTGTTGTTGTTGCTGGTAGTAGTAGAGTTGTTCTTGAGGATGTGGTTTTTGAGGCTTTGTTGCTTAAAGAAAAGGAACCAGTGGCGGTGGGGAGATACTTGGAGGTATAATTCGAGGAAGGTGTTGGAGAATATGAGAGAGTACCATCTTTTACAGACGGAACGAGCTCGAAAGAAGGCTGGTGGAGGAAGGCATGCTATTATACGATCGATCAATCTGTGTGGGAGTCTGCTCCATATTCTGCAGTCCATTCTTGGAGGGTTCATTGAGGTATTAGTAGTGATTGGAATGGAGGTCATGAACCCGTATGGAATATTGGGTATGCTCATTGGACTAGTGTGGAATGGATCCATTATATTGTTTTTTTTTTATGTTAAAACAAAAAAAGATTCGAACTTTAAAGAAAAAGAGAGTGTCTGATCAGATCTTGAGTTGGGTTCTAGAAAAGGAAGGGTTTTTTCATGTTTATTTGGGCAAAAGAAACTGAACTTGTCTGAATTTCAGTGGAGGTATGAATAGAGAAAGAAATGAACACTAGTGGTGAGGAGGAGAAGAAAAGGACCAAAAAAAGAGAGTCTTTTCTTGGGTTGGAGCTATTGAATTACATGAAGGTTTGGTGACATTTTAAGCTTTGTCTTGTTTTTTGTTGTTTGAGTTGGATTAATGGCTTTATGGATATGTTTATATATATAGGAAGAGGCAAATGTGTTTGTTGTTTCCACTACTATCATTCATCCTTTTCACCTTAATCATTATTTCTTGGCTGAGGGAAAAAAAAAAGAAGAAAAAAAGGGCACTGAAAGTCATTTTGATAGATGCATCTATCATTTCAGTGTTTTCTTGTCAATGCCGAGGAAGGAAGAACGTGTAGCAGAGCAGATCTGACAAGTGACAAATGACTAGTTTAAACAAGAAGAAGAAACACAAGCAGAAAGTTAATAATGCCATCTTCTAATGAAAGACTGTTTTTTTCCTACATGTCCGAAAAGCTTGCATACATATAAGTATAAAAAATAAAAATTAATACTACTCCAATATTAGAGAAGAAAACTTGAATAAACTGCAATAGAGAACCATATTGTTCATAGATAATATAATGATTTGTGAGCCACATAGCTGTAAAGAGGCTTCTAAAAAAATGAATCATTTAGCAAATTTTATATGTATTTATTTTAACTATGAGGGATTAAAACATGCATGATGTGGTAGTGCAGAGTAATCAGATCATTGGTCCAATCCATTGTCAGTAAGTAAATGCATGGTGTGTGGGGATGACTGATGAGTTGTTAAAAGTGAAATAATTAAGATGAAAAAGAAAGACGATGAAATCCATGAGATATGAAAAACAATAAATCAGAGAGCAGTTTCTGTATTGAGTGAGTAATGGATATAGTCTTTCTGTAGATGAATTGGTTTTAGCTTGTTTATGTGAATCAAGTACTGATCAGTGTCTTGTTTTTGTCAATTGTCAATCTCTTTCTTTTTTAGTTTTGCTCTTCCATAATAGAAAAAGTTTAGGTGACCAGATATGGAAAATCGTGTTTTCCTCCAAGAAATCTCCCTAAAAGGAAAAAGCGTTTCTCACCAAAAATGGAAACTTATGCAGTCCTTTAAGAAACCTCAGTTGCCAAAACAGTATTTATGTCATTCCCCCAGTTCTGACTTCTCACTCACTCACTACTCCCCAACATTATTAATATTATTTTTTAATTTCATCTCTCTTTGTTTTTCATGCCTAGTATCTATGTATCTATCCATCACCTATGCTAGTTTGCTGCTGCTTCTGCTTACACTTTTGATTGATTCACATTTAATATAGTTTTGACTTGGTGATTGACTCCCTCTTTTACCCTTTAATTATTATCTCTTGGTTACAATAATATCACCATCATCCTCGTCAACTTATTTTTTATTCACCGGTCAAATTTGTTACATAATTCTTTTAACCTTCAATAAACACCCGGAATAAAGTAGCATTCTTGATCAAGACATAATCACTTTGTTATGTCATTCAAATAAATAGACTGTAATTGAATACAAACGTTCAAGACAAGGTTTCAAGCCCATAATATCAAACAAAACTTGGACATGGGAAATTCAAAGATAACCCAAATGCATAAACCTCATTAGGGCAACAACGTACTTGGTCTATGATTTTATATATGACTCATGATTGGATAACTACTAATACTGTAAGGAAAAAAAATTTGATTTGAGATCTTTTAGATATAAAGGGGCTATCCTGCAAACCCATTCCCTAAATATTACAACACTTGAATAAACAGAAAGAAGTGCAACAAAGATAGCCGGTTAGAGCTGGCAGATATTTCAATTAGGATCTCTAAAGACACACATTTCCCACCGTTGCACCAAGTTAGAATGAGGCGTGATCTCATTTAAAAAGCCATACGACCAGCAAGTCTGCTCTCCGATATCCTTCTGTCAATTGCTGCATCAATTGAGCTCATCTGAAACAAACGTACAAGCAACTCAATATTAGGGAACCTAGAAAAATCACCACTATATAATAGGCAGTGAAATATTAGAGTTTTGCTTGTGACCAGTAGATACAAACTTTGCCAAAGGAGCTGACCTGGAAAATCGAATTCACGTTCAATCTAAAAAAGATATTGTATGACACGAATGGGCAAAAATCTGTTGGATAGTAGTTGTTCCATCCGAACCAAAACACTTACGGTCAAGCATGGGTAGAATTCGCAAGTTTTGAACAAACAAAATGTTTAAATAGTAAATACATACACTTTGTTAACCTTGTATGAAGTTAGTATAAAATCCTGAAGTGAGTCAGAATTAAATTACTAACTATACGCAAAGAAAATAAAGGTACCTACTTGAACCTCTGTTGAACCATAAAATCTGTGAGATTGCTTGCCAACCGGAGAATGGCCAAGAAAGGAAAAACAGCCCATCACATCAATGGGGTTGAAAATTAGCGATAGACATGATCAAATTATTATGCATATTGTTCTGTTCTTTACTTTTATCAGAGAATTGTGAAGCACATATACAACAGCCTTTATATAAATGAAACAAAGAGTAAACAAGTTGAATCGAAATCCAAAGAAGCAAAGCCTAGCACCTGGATATTTGAACAATTCAACTCAGTGTCCATGCCGAAGAAGAATAAATTGACTTACCTGGGTATTCTCATCATGCACCTGATACATCGACAATGACATTCTTCTTTCCTCCTGCAAAATTCAGATGAGAAGTGAAAAAAAATGCTTAAGCAAAATTAAGAGCCTCTAAAAATCATACTAGACATTTACAGAAGAGAAGAAAAACTAACCATGGACATAGCCTCATCATCCCACACTAAGTAGACCTCATTAGTTGCAGACTGAGTAACTGGAGCCTTATTTGCAATTATTGGAGGTGGCCCAATAGACGGACCACCGGTATTTGGACCAGAGGCATAAGAATGTGCATTCACAGGAGTTGCAGCTGCAGCAATAAAGAAAATTGTGAGCACTCAGACAAAGTATCATACCCAGGTTTTCTAAACTGTACCCCAATGGAATAGAAGGTTAAACAAATACTAAACAGAGAAGTGTTTAGTTTCTCCAGAAGATGCCAATAAGTCTCGGAGTTCCTGACATATGTTTTGTGTTTGTATCAATCAATATCCATTTTTCTTTTTTTTCAAAACTTTATTTTCTAGAATAGAAGGAATGACACACCATTAATTAAATAGCTAGCCTGAAGTCTCCCACCAGTCGTAGTAAACATGATTATAAAAGAGCTTGCCCATGAAATAAGTCAAAATTCAGCTAATTATGTACTACAGCTATGACCAAAAAAGAGCTAAAGAAAACAGTACAGAAAATTTGGGAACAGAATTTGGTGTTCTATCTAGATATTTGACAAAACGGAGCAGCAGAAAAAAATGGTTGCCAACTCTATTACAACAGAATTATGCACAAACACGGCGCAGTAAAGTTATCCCTACATTTTTATGAATCTAACAACAGTAAATTATCGTCTTAATCAGAGAATAAAAAATATCATATATTACAGGGAAATACCGATTGAGAAACGAACCTGTAAGTCCCAGAGTGTGATAGCTATTTGTTGGCAAAGTGTTGCCAAAGTGAGATTCCGCACTCTTAATTTCTGAAGAAGAGCTTAAAGGTAAACTCATTGGAGGCATAGGAGCAGAAAATGGCGAACTTTGAGGAGGAATATTGTTGTTAGGAACAACAGGAAATAAAGGTTGAGAAACAGGAACTGATGGTGTAGTTGTGGGCATCCCTGGGGGAGTGATCGGCAAGGATGATTGAAGCATAGGAGGTGTTGCAGATAGCATATGCGGCCGCATATTATGAACGGGGAACAAAGGTTGTGGAGGCAACCCCGGTTGTGTAGGTGGAACTGAAATAGCTTGATGTTGATTAAACCAGTGTTGTGGGCGTGGTGGACCTTGCCAACCAACTTGGGGCACAGGTAGCCTGGGATTATATCTGCATTCGCAACAAAGAATTCCAGGTAAAATACATTTTTTTGTCGAACACTGGAGTGGTACTAGAAATATTTTTATACATATCACTTGACAAAGGTTACCTTCTAAATACTTCAACTACAAATGATGTAAAAATTCAAATGACTAATATAAACAATGCATTATTGACATGAAGTGCACTCTTCCGGAGGGACTAGAGATGCCATAGGGAAAATTTAACAACACCTGTCTATGATCATAAGTAAAAAAACAATCCAACCTTCTCCACTTTTTTTAGAAAACTACTTAAGGCCTACATAAGAAGCATATATTTCAATGAAAAGTATCAACAAAGGAACTTACGGTTGAGGCATTGATCCCATAGTTGTCTGGGGAGGATACCCGGTCCTTGCCATTCCTGGCATCACACCACCAACAATTTGGGAGGTCTGGAAATCAACTTTAGCTGTTTTTGAAGGAGTCTCATCATCTGCAAAAGAGAAACAATATAAAATGAGATCAGCCGGACGAAGATAACAGGACCAAGACACCGAAACTCTCTACCATCATTCAAGCAAGAATGACTTTTTTCGTTTTCCACTATAATCAAATGATTATAACTAAAAGTAAGATGAAAATTTGATAAGTATAGACAGATGGAGCTTCATAAGTTCTAGTTGATGTCATTGTTTCAGATGAAACACATTTACTTAAAGACTACCGCGAAGAGAAACAAAAATTACTAATTTACTTGAATTCAGTAAGGTTTGTTTTACTATTCAAAAATTAAATAATGTATACTTAGGTTCTTTCACTCGATTTGGTTTAGGTAAAGTTCTGAAATCCAATATGAAGACCAAATCAAAATAAACAGAACTGTAATCGTATTACTGCCCACCACCCAGCCCGAAAGAGAAGAATGAAAAGTGTAAGTTGAGATCTCAACAACCAATGCAATTCAATGGAGGTTAGAGAGAGGATTAGTAGAATAAGCAATACCATCCTCTCCATAATGAGAAGCCAGGACATCGGGCGGAATTCCTTGCATTCCATAAATTTCAATCTCCGTTGATTCTCTTCCAGGTTTTGCATTTGGAACCCTGAGAAAACAATGCCGTATCAGAATAAGAATATACCAGCATTACTAGTATAAACTATACAATTGAAATTGATTTCGCCAGGAAAGCCTAAGCTAGTAAAGGTTTCCATCTCAAAAACCCTAGATAGCTCAATAACAGCAACAGCATCTAAAAATAATAATAATACTTTTAAATTTCAACAAGTAAGTCGAGAACCTGATGGTAAGACAAAAAAAAAAAAAAAAAGATGAAAGAGAGCAAGAAGAAAAGACGAACTTGGCAACTTGTTCCTTGTGAACCTGGAGAACATGGATGGCCATACCGCCGGCGGTGGACAGCTTCTTGTGGCATACGTGGCACTTGAAATGCTTGGCCTTCTGATGCTGCACCAATATCTTCTCATCTTCAAATTCTCTATCGCAATAGTAGCACCATACTTTATCTACGGCTCCTCTCTTCTTCTTTTTCCCCATTCGGCTTCTTTGTTTTTTTTTTTAAAAAAAACTCGAATCGATATCAATCCACCAAATCAAACGGTAAGATCTAATCTGGATAAAGCACCAATTCGTTCTTTACTTATAAAAAAATAATTGGTGATTTTATCGAATACAAGGTGAATTGAGAAGGAAAAATTGAGGGGAAGGGAGATTAGGGTTTGAGAGGAGGAGGGAAAGGTATTCTTCAGAAATTTAGTTTCGTCTCCTCCTCCGCCTTTAACGTACCAACTTATTTCTATTGTAGTCACACGAAAAAACACGTTTTGTCTCACTTGGTTTTCTTATTTTCGATTTTATAAAAAATAAATAGTTAAAATGCCCTTCACTTTATATTATAATTACATTTACACTTAATTTATAAAAATTAAGTGTAAATATATTTTTTTGACCGTAAAGATTTATAAAACCTCAAACAATAAACATAATATAATCATTCACATTCACATTCACATTCACACAATAAATATATTTTTTTGATTTTCTTCACACGTTCGTCCTCATCTTTAATGATTTTCAGCTAAATTCTCTCATTCTTGCTTCATTTTTTCATTAAAAAAATACTTTAGTTAAAATAGAGGCAGTGGGCTTTAATTTAATGTAAAGCTAGAACATATGGGCCTTGAAAGAACAAAAGTGAGGAAGGACTTGGAGCTAATTGTCACATTGCCACTTCAATTAAAGAAATTTGTAACTATAACGTATAAAATAAATATGCAATAATCAAATATAACTGCACTCTGAAGAAGATGTTAATAAATGTTACACATAAAGACCTGCAATAAAATTCACTTACAATCCAAATGTAGTGGACAATACATAAAAACTAGTACACATCAGACAAATTTGTGATGGTTCACGAAAGAGAAGAAAGTGCACGTAATACATTTGAAGATATTCTGTCATGTATCGGTTCCTGCACAGAATGCAATGAATTCAAGAATTAGTCTATCAGTATTAGGCCACACCAAAGAGTGTCATCTATCTACATCATATTTTTTTTACCTTTGCCAATGGCATTTCAAACTTTGATTTTGTTATCGTCTCAAACAATAGTATATATCGCCAAGCCAATTCAGAAACTAGTTCTTCGGGTGCTTCGGGCAAGACCTAAGAAAGTGTTCCGCGGAGTTAGATTCAACATATAAATTGATCGAAGAAACAAAATTATATTATCCACATTATGACACGTACCTCATCTTTGTAAGGATTGCAATGATCTTTGAACCACAATCTCAAAAATTCCTACAAAATGTTTTTTTTTTTTATTATTCAGAGGACTTTCGTCTTTAGCTAGTAATTTCATACTAAATAGAAAATGGAAATATTTCAGACGTTGGAGTACATTATTAATATCAATTTTAAAGTCAAGAAACCATCACAAACCTTGTCAATATTTTCAGGTTCAAGAGCATTTTCAAAGCGTTCCTTGTAAGAATCGGCAATCCAATACCTGCTAGAGTCTGGTGTATGAACCTAAATAGTTGGCAGGAAAAACAAAAAAGGATCACAAATTCCATGCAATTGAGCTTTGCATCGAATGTACATTTATTGCAGTTTCAGTAAGAAATAACCTCGTCTATCAGAAGTACGGTGCCATCAGATCCTTTTCCAAATTCATATTTAGTATCCACCAATATAAGGCCATGTTCCAGTGCAACTTGCTGCAATATCAGAGACAAAAAATTAAATTAAAAAATTCAACCGTACATGACAACAAAACCTTAGCAGAAGGCTAGAGTAATGCATGCTCGAGTACCTGCCCATACTCGAACAGGCTTAATGCTGCCCTACTTGCTTCATCATAATCAGCTTGAGTCATCAGTCCGCGCTGAACAATCTACAAAAGCAAATTAATCATCAAGACAAGAAAACCTCTCTGTTATTTGACATTGTGAAGGAATCAATAGCTCACACCAAATACGCAAAAGGCATAGTTGACTGTCAATATCACACAGATCCAGTAAACTCAGCAATAGTGCAACGTACTCAGTTGAGTAGGTTTGTACCAGAGTTGCAGAAAGCAGCATTCTTTTGAAATATATATAATCACAATATTAAACGGAACAAAAACAGGCTGGTTGATGGGCTTAAAAGTCAGGTAATATAATAGGATTGGGGTTGTTAGTGTTAAAGCCGATAGATGAAGAATAAAAATATTCAAGAAATGCAAACCTCTTCTGGAGTGATTGGGACATCATGGTCTGCAGCTTTGGTAGTCGGTGTAAGTATATTTGCTGGCAACTTTTGGTTTTTCACCATACCTATTGCAGATGGGGGCAGAATTGTCAGTAAAATAAGATACATGTATAAGTTGGACTTGATATAATTACAGACCTCACCATCAGGAAGAGGATTGCCACAATAGTTCCGAACGCCTTTCTGGTACACAGTCCAGACTGATGTATCGGTACTTCCAGTCACATAACCTCTAACTATGAACAAAGCATCGTAAAAGTGTTAATTTTACGTAGATAGATATACTAGTAAATCAACAAGACTTATATGCATATGCGAACGTGTAAACTTAGACGAAATGACTTCCCAATTGAGGCCATTGTCTGATAAATGCATGAAAAGAAAGAACTGCCATCATAGATTGAAGGACTCACCAACAAATTCAACAGGAAATACGGAACATTTCTTTGCAATAGTTACATTCCTATCTGGAGAGGACACAACTGCATTTGGAACAATGTGCTGAGTTTGAGCAAACCACCACAAACTTGTCTCATTGAGTACCTGAGAAAATAACAGCGTTTCATAAACATCTATATATAATGAAATAACTTTGTTATAGACTCAAGGCTAAATGGAGAGGTAAGTACCTGACCCTTGAAGGGAATAGAAGCAAGAACTCTGTCGAAAGCACTTTGCCTGTCGGTCGTGACCAGGACAAGATAGTCTCCTCCATCATAAATATCTCTCACCTTCAAAACCAATTTATTTATAACTTCTGTATCTAACTCTTATCTAAGTTGCTGGGCACATATAAACTGTATTAGATGAGAAATCCTAGTTCATCTGCTATGAGCCATAGCCATCAATTAGGGTTTACTGTTTACATACATGACTGCTGATAAAAATTAGTTTTTGAATTCATTCTGAAATTCTGAAGAAAACAAGGTTAGACACAGGACAAGCACGCCAAGACACTATTTTCAGATAAAATGGAAAAAAATAAAGTAGCAATAAAAAAAAACCAGATAAAAATGATGATAATAAAAGAAAGAAAAAAGGAAGAGGAAGTGCACCTTGCCTCTGGTCTTGGATTGGAGACCGGGAACAGTTAAATCGAGATGGGTCTCAGAAAGACAGTTGGATAGAGAGCCTTTTATATCATCCATCACTTCATTCTTCCGCTCTCCGTCCGCCAATTTTTCCACGGCGCGTGGTGCTTTCAGGGGTTCGCCGGAGACTGTTGATGATGCAGAAATTATCATTGAATGGAACTTCCTACGAGTATTTTTATTCGGCAATAAAGTTATATGCGAGCGTGGGGATACTGACGGAGAGTTGGTAATATGGATGAAGGGTTTTCCGGCGAGATTCCTCGGAGGGTTTATGCAATGAGACTGAGCCATCACTTTTACAGCCTTGTTCGTCTGTGTTTCTTGCCGGTGTTGTAATAATATACAGAAGCTCTTCGGTGCAATGGGCTTGGGCTCCTTTAAAAAGCCTACCTTTTTGTTATCCGAGTTTGGGCTGGACTGGCGACCCGGATAAAGGTCGGGTCAATACCGGGTACGACCCAACAACAGCAACAAGGACAAGAGAAATAACTGCCCCTGTCAGAAAAATCACCAACTTCAACTTCCACAGTCAATTCACCTTAAATTCCTCGACCCCAATATCAAAACCCTAATTGTATTTCTGGTATCTGCGATCTTGCTGCTGTTCAGTATGAATAGCAGCTCAAACCCGCAGCATTTCTGTCCGTTCTCATATATGAATTTTCTTCGATTTAGCTTGTAATCTTCCTTTTTGTTTTAGTAAGGGTTCCTTGCTTGAGCAGAGTAATACCTTCATGGAATCCAAGCTGGAGATCCACGTACAGACTCTCACACTGCTCATTTCTTGCCTCCTGCTTTCACTCGGAGCTTCCAACTCGGTCAGCCTACTTACCCAAACTCTAATCTTTCTTAAATTACATCCCTTTGTTTTTCAAGTTATTATATACGTCTTCGGTTTGAATCTTTTTTTTAGGGATTTAATGAGTCGCTTGATACCTCTTTAATGGCTCCTCCTTTAAATCAAACTCACACACAAGGTTAGACTTTTTGTTGAAGATTGGTTTGCTTTACCTGTAATTGATTAATATGGGAAGTAAAGTAAAGCATTTATTTGGATATACCTGAAATAAATTTACTTTCCTTGTTGTCAAATGTACTTGCACTGAGAAAAAAAAATTGTCTTTACAGTGCCATGCCCTTCTGGTTGGAGTAGCAACCCTAGTAACACAAAGTGTTTTATGTATGCTGCAAATAATTTATCTTGGGATGAATCTGAAAAGCAATGCAAATCTTACGGTGGGCATCTGGCAGCAGTAACATCACCGCAAGAACTAAATGCGCTTCAAAAGTTATGTAATGAAAATTCCAACGGATGCTGGATCGGTGGAAGATTTATCAACAAAAACTGGAACTGGTCTGATAATACATCTTATTGGAATTCGTCCACCGCTCCTATCTCATTCGCCCTCTCTGGTTGTATCAATCAGTCTTGCTTTAACAGTAATTTGACAGATTTGTGCACACTGATGATTAATGGAACTACGTCTCTCGTGGCTCAAGCATGCAATACGTCACACCCTTTCTTGTGCATGCTTGATAACGGTATGTGCTCTATTTGTTGTTAACCTGTACTCGCATAGAATTACTTTGTTTGCCTTTCGTCTGAAAGGTTGATTTATATTTTGTATCAGAAAATAGATGTTACGGTATGCACTGCCACCAGGAATATCTGATAATTCTTGCTGTTGTGAGCGGTTTCATCTTCTGCACTACTCTTGCTGTTGTACTATGGCTTCTCTTATACAGACGTAATAAAAGGCGTAAACGATCTCGGAAACAGTCAAATCCAGCAGAACTGGCATTAGTTTGTCCTTCATGGAAAGTTTTCACACGCGAGGAACTAAAGTCGATCACAAAGAATTTCAGCGAAGGAAACCGTCTTATCGGTGATGCGAAAACGGGGGGCACTTATAGTGGACTTTTACCAGACGGGTCGAGAGTAGCAGTTAAGAGGTTGAAGAGATCTGGTTTTCAGAGGAAGAAAGAGTTCTATTCCGAGATAGGAAGGGTAGCAAGACTGCACCACCCAAATTTAGTGGCTGTCAAAGGATGTTGTTATGACCATGGAGATCGATACATTGTCTACGATTTTATCATCAATGGTCCTTTAGATAGATGGCTCCACCATATCCCCAGAGGTGGCAGAACACTGGATTGGGCCATGAGGATGAAAGTTGCCACAAGTCTCGCACAAGGAATCGCGTTAGTTTTTTCGTTCTTTCTTTCTTTCTTTCTTTTTTAAATATATTATTATGTCTGTAATTTTGATTCATTTGTTTTAATCAACAGATTCCTCCATGACAAGGTGAAGCCACAGGTGGTGCACCGTGATATTCGTGCAACTAATGTACTTCTTGATGAAGACTTTGATGCACATCTAATGGGAGTTGGTCTGTCCAAGTTTGTTCCGTGGGAGGTGATGCATGAGAGGAGGGTGATGGCAGGTGGGACCCACGGATATCTTGCTCCAGAATTTGTGTACAGAAATGAGCTCACAACAAAGAGTGATGTGTACAGCTTTGGGGTACTTTTGCTGGAAATTGTTAGCGGGCGTAGACCAGCACAAGCTGTTGATTCTGTGGGTTGGCAGAGTATATTCGAGTGGGCCACACCTCTGGTGCAATCACATCGGTATTTAGAGCTATTGGATCCTCTAATATCGTCTTCTTCGTCTTCCTCCTCTGTAATTCCGGAATCCGGAACAATCCAGAAAGTTGTGGATCTTGTGTATTCTTGCACGCAGCATGTGCCATCTATGAGGCCGCGTATGTCTCATGTTGTCCACCAGCTACAGCAGTTAGCACAGCAGCCTTCTTTGAAATAAAATGTTGAGCTGATTTGCATTTTTCTATATCACTAGAAGAATACAGTTATATGCTAGCAGTTACGTTTATTCGCTGATGCTTGTAATGATTCGAAACATATATGAAGTGTTGCCTCGCCTGTTGAATTTTTATTAAGAAACATTGTCCGAGAGTTGCGAAACTAACAACTACTGTAAGAGGCAGTGAGGAAAGATTGATGAGAGATATATACATTTTTTTTTTTCCGTTTCTTGGAGACAACAATATGTTGTTTTCCACGAAATGACTAATACATCACAATTTTGGAGGAGGTAATTAACACGAGTCAGGACTAATTAATTACAAAAGAGTCTCAAGAAATGAGAGGACCGCCATTCCAGAAGCCCAAACATCATCATCCGATACATGCTCAGCTGGAGAATGACTAACACCGCCACGGCATCGCACAAATAACATTGCCACCTTTATCAGAAACCAGCAGATCTTCAATTAGAAAGTGAAAAAAAAAAAAAAAAACTATTCATCGGTTCGGAAGTTAAAATGGTAATAAAGTCACCTACCTTAGTTAGATGAGACATGGCCATTGCATCATGTCCAGCTCCACTCATCAATACAGGCACTTCACCAGGATTCTCGCCACTTAATCGTTTCAGAGCAGTATAAGCCGCGGATTTGAGCTTCGAACTCAGTTCAGGGTCACAAGCCACTCCATTAGCATCATGCTGAAATTATCCCAAAAAAAAATTACATTTTCGGCAACAAGTATGAAAAGATTTAGACGGAAAAATGTCACACCTTGCGTTCAATAACACAAAGAACAGAACGCTTATCACAAATGTGGTACATTCTATTAGACATTTCGTAGATAATTGCCTCTCGTCCTAAATCATCCATTGCACGTACGTCAACCGTGAAGGTCACCTGTATAGACATCATTCCTTATTACACCAACAAAAAGATACCCTTTGGAAACAAACAGTTTCGAGGTGAATTCGACTACTTGCCTGTCCGGGAATTACGTTACTTGCACTTGGCCAAGTTGAAATTTCTCCAACAGTACAAACAAGAGATCCTGCAAGAGATTGTACTGCTGATGTTGTACACTGACTATCATATGATAAATAATCCTGAGGTTGTTTACAAAGACTCTCCATAAATACAATCATTTCTGCAGCTGCAGCCATTGGATCCTGCCTCATTTTCATTGGTACTGTCCCTGCGTGCCCTTGTGAACCTTTCACCGTCACCTGCAAAATTACGAAAATTTACCTGATTTTTTTAATTAAGATATAAATTAAGACATAGATAATCTGAATCGTGTTGCTAATGCAGATGAGAATTACCCTCAAGCGTGTCTGCCCTGCAATCCCTTTAACCAAACCTAGAGGAAGTCCTACAGTCTCGAGCACAGGCCCCTGTTCAATATGAACCTGTCGTGCAAAAGATAAATACTCTTTCAGTCTTGCATGAAAATTGAACATATCATGTCTTTATTCCGAGTAATGCTTTGCATACCTCAATATAACCGAATACAGAATCAGGGTCATATTTGAGCTGCACGAGATTCTGCTCTGTAATTTCAATGGAGTTCTTTCTCAAAGCGCCTTGCACTGTGACGCCACTGAGAATATCTATCTATTAGAGAACTTCCGAAATAGAGTTGAGTACAACTTCTTCAGTTAATTATGTAAATAAAACCTCTTGTCATGCACATGCAGTGTTGAAACAGGTAATACACCAGCAATAGCCGCACTTCCTAAGAAGGTAGACTGAAACCTAACTCCTTCCTCGTCACTAAACGCAATAACCTGAAGAAAAGGAATAACCAAATAATCAAATGTGATGTTCGGATAAGTTTCATCTACGGAGGATTTAATGTAGCCTAAAGCTTTGTTACCTCCACTGGTCGCGTAAGTTTTCCAAGCATTCCTCTGGTTTTCAACACCTTCAATGCAGACACTGCGCTAATAATTCCCAATGCTCCATCGAACTTTCCGGCATCAATGACAGTATCCTACATAAACGCACTCTAGTTAAAAAAAAACCATCTATAATAGGTATATTTGGTGAAATGAAGTAGAGAATATGGTGGTTCACCAAATGAGAGCCGATTAACAGAGCTTTCTCACTTGGATTTAGTCCTTCATGCCGACCATGCACGTTTCCCATTTGATCAGCCCATCTAACAAAAAGAATACGGAAATGTCAATATTGTAAATTTTTTAGCACGGTAATACTGAGAGAATAAGTTACAAAATCTTACGTCAGCAAACCAGCATCTTCCATCCATAGTCGAATAAGATTTCCTGCTCTGACAGAAGCTGGAGACTGGAAAGTCCTTTCAAGATATTCCTCTGTATCACTCACCTACGATGCCGAAAGCCAAATTAGCTTGAGACTAACTGTATCGTATTATTAACATTAAATGAGAATCTACAAAATTTATAGCCTGTCGACAAGAGTGAAGCTTAGTGGTGTACCTTCCCAAGATCAATTAGTCTTGCGACTGCTTCGTCCTTGAGTATTTCTGAATGCAAAAGGTTTGCCCCTTCTGTATATATGTTGAACACATAATGAATTGAATATGCAGCATAAAACAGAGTGCTGACTACAAATTTCAGTTTTACCACAGCACAACCCTTCCAAATCAACTTAAATTACATAATCAAATTAAAATATTTATTTAATAATCCTACATGATGAAGTTGGTAATTTCTTGAAGCTCAGCTCAGCCGCCAACATGCTCCCAACCAATAATCACAATAATAATAAGAATGACAATGACAAATAAATATATAAATAGCATAAAACAACCGACGAATCGCCACTGGTTCAATCTGGAATCTCAGATAAAAAGGAGATTTAGACAAAAGGAAAATGAATAAAATACTAATCGAGAATCCCATAATGAATGAAAGAAGCAAGTAGAAGAAGCAAAGATGGTGATTATGAAATTGGGTTGATGAGTGAGATGGAAGAGCGGGAAAAGGAGATAATTACCAGATAATCCATTAGGGGAAGCCAAGGCATGTGGGAGTGGGAGAGCAGCAACTATTATTATTACGAGCAAGAAAGATAAAACTGACACGAAAACATCGGGAACTGCGACGAATGAATTGGGTCGGGACGCCGCCATGGGTGGTGGGTTGTGCTGCTAAGCTTCCCTCGGAAAGAGAGAGAAAGAGAAAGAGAAGGAAGCAGCGAAATGGGCCACGCAATTACACACTAGAAAATTAAACCGCTCAGCAAAAAAGGTAGAGTCTTTTCTGTGTGGTAATGGCGGCCAGCCAGCAATTGTGGCTTTCCGTATCTCGTGATTGATTGTGTGACTGTGTTCCTAATTGTGGGCCCCACTTGCCATACTGGGCCCCACAAATATGCATGTGAGCCCCACTAGTAGTTATTTTTTGGCCTTCTTTCCCCCTTATTTTGTTATGATGATGAATGTTCAGTTCGTCGTCTTCTTTTTTGCTTTTTAATATATTAATGAATTTTGATTCAGTATAAAACAAGATTCCAATGAACGAATGTAATTAATAAGGAAGATGGATAGACAGAAGAATGAAGATTCAGATTCAGATTCATCATACATACTTTGTCATGGGAATCATTGTCATCCCATTATATTCCCACCATCAGCAACTAAAATATAATAATTAATTAATTAATTAGTGTGATTAGTGCAATCCAACGCTGCTAATTAATGCGCCACCTTTCTGTTAAGTCTGTGTTAACCCTTCCACCCCACTCGCACATTAGCGGCCCATATATATATATATATATATATATATATATATATATATATATATATATGTCTGGACATAATTGGGCCGGTCCGTGAGTGATTTGTCCGAATTGGGCTTCTTGCATCCAAATAGGCTTTTATTGTAAATAATATAATATATGTGTGCGATTTTCTTTAATTAATCAATTAATTCCTACCACATGCAGCAAGCATCTTTAACAAGTAAATATTTGTTCTAATAATAACGCATGGTGTGTAATTAGTGGGCACGTACGTACGGCCTGCGTGAACTCACTCTGTTTCCCCCAAATATTTATATTTATATTTATATTCATGCATAGTTTCATTTTACCCCTTAATTCCATTCCATCTAATTAAATTAAGGTCCAACTTCTGCAATCTTTTATCATTCATGTCAGTAACTTTCATTTTTTCCCTTTTCAAAATTTCTTCATTTATTTTAATATTTCCTTCATCGATTTCATGTACATATATATATTTGCTTTTCTTTTTTACAATGTGTTGAAACTTGAATCACTTTTCTCTTCCATTCACAGTTTCTTGTGCACATTGCTTTATTGGAAATTAATGTATTATTGTCATGCTACTTAATCAAACCAACAGATGGTTGGTTTGATGTTGTATGATATGCATCATCCACTTTAATATTGTTTGCTATATATATATTGATTGTTGACATAATAATTAGTTCCTCTTGTTTGGAAACATCAATTAGTACATATAAATTTTAAAAAGAAAAAAAAATCACATTTTCTTATATATTGATTAACCAATCCTCTTATTTTCTTGGCCTCAGAATTTATTTATGCACCTAAAAAGTGAGTTTAGATGATCAATTCAAGCATTTAGGACACCTAACATTACCTACCCAATCAAACAACCTTCTGAGATATATTGGCAATTGTTTTTATTTATTTATTTATTGAGGAAATTAAGAGATGCAGACATTTCAAATAATGACCAATTCAAGGAAATCTCATTTCCTCCACCACCCCTTAAATTCTTACCACATGCACTCATTTTTCTCTTCAACTGTAATTAAATTCTCAACCAATTGATTCTCAAATTCCAAGGTGCCTAACAGTCTTTACTGCACTAAAGTACATTATTAGTCAAAAACAATTAGTGGGTGGGTGGATCAACCAGAAAATAAATTTACTGTTCATCATAAATACAGATCACAGAAAATTAATCAAGAAACCAAACACAAAGAGGAGGAGAAGGTTGTTAGAAAGATTATTGAAGTAATAAATATAGTTTCCCCTGTTAGAAATTATACCTTGCACGCATCTCTAACTTTGTTAAGAAAGAATTGCATAATTTTGGTGCCATGGGGTACACGACACTTTAAACAACATTTCTTATATTATTATTACAACATAAATATGTATGCATGATACTCCATAAAGAAACAACATCAAAAGAGAGCTTCCTGCAACAAATTCAGGTGTTAATCTCATGATGAATCATTATGACATTTCTTTTTCTTATTTTCCACTTTTTAGTTGTGTCAACTTCTTTTCATTCCATGCTTACAAATTAAATCAGTTTTTATGTCCCTATTCCCCTGCCTGCATATATACATATAATAAATACTAAGTCGTCTTATAAGTAACATGATCAATAACGAAAATTATTCCGATCCAACAGCACAAGGTTGCCCGAAGGACAAAAGGACGACGATGGGAACCTTAAGAATAGCTGTATTCTTATTCATTGTGGCTGCTATGAGCAGTTTTATCTCTATTCAAGTCTACGGTGAAAACACCTCCCCAAAGCTCGATCATTTTGAAAAGCTACATTTTTCTCGCGCTCATTTGCACAAAATTCAAGTCCTTCAACGCGATTCTGTTTCAACTCAAAAGCATGCCAAAAAGATCCCAAAAGTAAGCACTTAATTATGTATATATCAGTTAAAATCAAGAACCTCTAGTCTTTTTTTTCGGTTCATCTACCTTATTCATCACCATCGTTAATTAATATGCAGGCAGCAAATGCGGGCCCGCTTGTGTACCACGTGACATCATACGGTGCAGACCCTACCGGAAAATCAGACAGCACAGACGCGATTCTTGGAGCTATATCGGATGCGCTAAACGGGCCTGGACACGGCGTCTTGTACCAGGGAATAGTGAATCTTGGTGGGGCCAGAGTTGATCTTGATGGTGGCAATTACTTGATCAGCCGCCCTCTCCAATTCCCTCTCCCTGGAAGGGGAAATCTCGTCGTAAGTTTCTCAACCAACGCACTTTCGATTCATTTCAAGATTTTCTTGAAACTAATGACTAATGTAATAACAACAGATTCATGGAGGCTCACTAATCGCATCGGACAATTTCCCAAACGATGGCTACTTGATCGATCTATCGCCTGCCTCAAACAACGCTACCTCAGCATATAACTACGAGTTTGTAACAATGAGAGATCTCTTGCTGGACTGTAATTACAGGGGTGGAGGAATCCAAGTCATCAACTCCCTCAGAACAAACATAGACAACTGCTACATCACACATTTCAACACTACAGGAATCTCGGTACAAGGTGGTCACGAAACCTACATACGGTACTCTTACCTCGGCCAGCACATCACAGGTGGGGGCGACCCCCTGGAGAGGAACTTCACAGGCACAGCAATTGTCCTAGCTGGCAACGACAACTCTGTGTCCGAGGTTGTCATATTTTCAGCAGCCGTTGGGATAATGATCACGGGCCAAGCCAATTTAATAACCGGTGTTCATTGCTATAATAAGGCAACGGGGTTCGGGGGAACAGGGATATATCTGAAGACGCCTGGTTTAGCACAGACAAGGATCGTGAATTCTTACCTGGACTACACGGGAATTGTTGCGGAGGATCCTGTCCAGCTCACGATTTCCAACAGCTTTTTCCTTGGAGATGCTTATGTTGTGTTGAAATCCATAAAGGGTGTGGTGAATGGGGTTAATATAGTGGATAACATGTTTTCAGGATCGAATAGCGGGGTTGAGATTGTTCAGTTGGATCAGAGTAACGGGGGTTTCAACGAGGTTGATCAGGTTGTGATTGACAAGAACAATGTGAACGGAATGAAGCTTAAGTCGACAGTGGGAAGAAGCAGCATTGAGGGAAATAGTAGCTCATGGACAGCAGATTTCAACTCGGTGTTTGTATTTCCGAATCTTATTAAGCAAGTGCAGTACAGTTTCATAACGAACGACGGTTCTTTCCCAGTTCACGCATTGCGAAATGTGTCGGGTAATACAGTTGTGATTCAGTCTCAAGTGCCAGCTGCTGCGAGTGTTTATATTACTGCCGATCAATCAATCTAACTAGGTTCCTCTCAGCAATGGATATATATATTTTTACATATGTATTAGGTAAGTGTTATAGGCATTCATGCGAGTCATCGTCCATGGCGTTAATGGTCGGTGGGTAACCAATTTTCGGTTGAATCATCAATCAATCAATCAATCAATATATAGAGAGCATTTGAATGTAATCAAGTAAGAGAAACAAATGTAAATATAAAGCAGAGTTGACAGGACAGGATTCAGTCCAAATGTATGGTGATATTCAGTCCAGACATATTGATGTATATATATACATGGGATCGAATATTAGTATTACTCATGACTGTCTGTATTGAAGCATCAAAATAAAAAACTGTAATGAATGGGAAATGTAATGATGTAAAGAGACCCAAAATTATCACAGATTGACTCTTGCGGAAAAAAATAATAAAGTGCAGTAGTACACACGTCAAGAAATATAATGTGAAAAGGCAAAATTTGATAAAGTGAAATATGCAACTTCATTTCATAAATGGTATTAGAAATTAGATTATATTTCCTCTTAAAAGAATGGATATAAAAATAAGCACTAAATTAATCAATACGCAATCTCACCAAATTGTTGATGATTCCATCCCCAGTGCCAGTCGTGTATATATATATTATACTTGTCTCCCTCCCTCTCTCTCTCTCTCTCTCTGTAACTCTCTTTCAAACCACCGGCCAGTTGTAACAAATTAAAGAAAATAACAAGACAGTAGAAATGAGAAATTTTTCCTTAGCATTTATAATCTGTGTGTTTGTTCTAGTACTAGTGTTGAAAGAAGCACAATGTTCAGTGAGACAAGTGAAGCTGCACCAGTTTCAAACAAAGCTTCTACACAAAACCTCTCTTACAGCATCTACTGTGCCTTCTCCGCCAGTTCCAAAGGTTTCAAATTATATTTATATAATAATAATATATGCATTCCTCTCCACATACAATATAATATATATAATCCCTTTATTTTATTTTTTTGTGTGTTATTAATCATATGGATCCATTTTTGCTTAACTACATACATGCAGAGCAATGGCAGAGTGTTTTATCCAATCGGGTACGGTGCCGATCCCACAGGGGCGCAGGATAGTACTTCCGCCATAATGGAGGCCTTAAACGATGCCGTAAAAGTGCAAAACGGGCTTTTCTTGCTCCCCGGAATCACTGATTTAGGCGGCGTAACCATTGATTTTCAAGGCGGCAATTTCAAAATCAGCTCTCCCATCAGATTTCCTCCTAACATAGGCAACATTCTGGTACACATTTTTTCCTAATAATCCGCCATTAAATGTATATGAAGAAGCTTCCACTTTTTCAAAGTCCAATAAAGCGCGTCGTCCACACCACTATTTTTCAATGAAATATTATTAATTATACACATATAATATATATTACTCTCTTGTTTCCCGTACGTTGCTGTATTTTCTTTAATCTCTTTTTACTTTCCAACCATAAACCAACTCCGTCTCCGACAACCTTTTCTTAAAGTCTGCTAATTCAAACACGCCTTAATTAATGCAATATATCACTCCCTTTAATCTTCTGATTTAAAATCTTTTGATCAGGTTAAAGGAGGCACACTCCGAGCATCAGACAAATTTCCAGGTGACAGGCATCTGATCGAACTATGGGCACCAGATTCTCACCAATCCACTGACAAATTTTCAGACAGAAAAGACCTAAACAATGGAATGAAATACGAGGACATAACTTTCCACGACATCCTCTTCGATTCCACATACAGAGGAGGAGGCCTTCTCATAATCGACTCAGCCCGAATTCGCATACTCAACTGCTTCTTCCTCCACTTCACCACACAGGGAATCCTTGTCCTTAGAGGACACGAAACCCTGATATCAACTTCCTTCCTCGGACAGCACCCAACCGTCGGTGGAGACAGAGACGAAAAGACTTACACAGGCACTGCTATAGATATTGCCAGCACGGATAATGCGGTTACCGATGTTGCAATCTTCTCTGCAGCAACTGGAATTATACTCAGAGGCCGTGCCAATGTAATAACCGATGTGCATTGTTATAACAAGGCTACGTATTGGGGTGGAGTTGGAATTCTAGTTAAATCAGCGCAGAACAGGATTGTTAATTCTTATTTGGATTACAATAGTATTGTGATTGAAGATCCTGATCAGGTTCTTGTTTCCAACGGTTTTTTCTTGGGGGATGGGAATATTGTGCTCAAGTCTGTTACCGGTCGGATTTCGGGTTTAAATATTTTGAATAATGTATTTTCCGGGGACCCTAAGAATAGGGTGGCGTGTGTGAAACTTGATGGGGCGTTCAAGGGCGTTGATCAGGTGGTGGTTGATCAAAATGTGGTGGATGGGATGAGCTTGAAATCAACGGTGGCTAGATTGGAAGTGGCTGGAAATGGAACTAAATGGGCGGCTGATTTTTCGGGAATTTTGTTGTTTCCGAATAAAATAAGTCATTTTCAGTACTCGGTTTATGTAAAGGGAGGGATTGGTGCTGGTGGATTTCCTGTGCATGCTGTGACGAATGTGTCGAATAATGTGGTGGTGGTTGAGAGCCAGAAACCGGCTGATGCTGTTGTTTCTGTTTATGTTGATCAGCAATAATTCCATCGATCGGTTGGGGTGGGAATTTTTGCAATCTAGGAAATCACGAGTTGCATATGGTTCACAGTACTAGATATATATACTTTTGGAAATAAATTTGATGAGCAATATAATTATTGAGAAATCAGATTTAATTTCTTATTTATTATATTATTAGCTCATGATATTAAGATGCTGGCATTTTTCAAGAATACACAATGTAACACAGAGTGAAATAGATGATTATTATAAAGTTGCAATCTTGGCGTTCTATGTTCGACTAATCAGAAACTCCGTTTTTTAATATTAATTATAGTGTAATCCTTAAATAATTATATAGTGAAAACAACACCTCTTCATGATTGTGTACATATGTATGTTATTAGAGTAGAGTCCAAATAAAATACTATCTGGCAATATTTGTAAACTGCATGTGATATTATCCTTGCAACAAATTAAACCAATATATATTCTGAACACATACATATTAAGGTGCGTACACATAAATCACAAACAGTGCTACGATACTAATGTAATGGACGGACCCTATTATACTCTATCAAACGATGGATGACATCGATCTAATACAAATAAATCAACGGATTGGAGCACCAGTTGATTGAACAATAACTAAGAACTTGATAATTATCTCATGACCAGCTTAATTAACCTAATTATTAATCAATATGCATGCTTACCATCTTAATAATCCTAATTATATCCCCAGAAGACGGGTTCGTTTGTTGTTCCAGCAGCTGGTAATGCAGAATAATCTGCAGGGCCTGACATGAGTTGTTGCAAGTCAAAATCATCTAAAGTCAACGGATGATGATCATGATCAGGTGGTCTAGCTGGCAGCTCATAATTATTCACTGCGGAAACATGATGAAGCAATTCATTATCACGATCATGATCATGATCAGTAGTTGTAGAAGTAGTAACGACATCAGCCATATTAACATTATTGGTGGTGAATGAGAAAAAACTTTGTTGATCTACTTGTTGTTCATCAGCTGCTGCGGCCACGCTCCACCGACCAAGATTGCAAGATTTATGCTGGGCGAAGTTCAAGTTGATGGGGCCTTTATAATTAGTAGTAGTAGTCATGATCCCAAATGGTGATAGTGGACTACTACTACTACTGTGGCACCCCGTAAATTGTTGGACCAGGGCCCGAAAATTGCTGGCGTTAGCGTTGAGGAGTGTCGCCGGAGACTTCCTGGAAGCCCGTGACCGCCTTCTGATGGGTTTTACGACGCTGCCTAATTTGGGCAAAACTTTCGGGCCCCGCGATTTGTCGCCTCCAATGACCTGGCTTGCACCTTCACTCATATTAATGGCCGCGGGAAACGGTTCGTCATCATCATCATCATCATCAAACCCTAATTCGGGCATGAACGTGTCTTGGGCCCACTCATTGCTGCTGCTTTGCATGTTCTTAATTATATGTATATATATAGATATGATTGATTGTGTGGTAAGTAGCTAGGTTGTAATTAATTACCTGGGAGAGATATTAATATAATGTATGATGCGCTGATCTGCAGTGATATATCACCCTCCTTAATATTAATTATATGTATTTAATGTGTTCCGTGGATTCCTTGTCTGGGAAGGAAATCAGGAATTATATTGAATATAATGGGAGATTCAAAATCAAAGCTTGTTAGCGCTGATGATATGATGTAGTAGCTAGTATTAAAATAATGTTGAATGTTGAATGTTGACTCTTGTTCAATTCAATTCATTATATCAGTTAACTGTGATGGATATTGGATATATCATATATGGATTTGTTGTCACAGAAAGAGAGGGACTGGAGATGCTTCCAGGAAGCACCAATTAATGTTTGTCTTCATCATCACCACCTATATCATATATAATGATCTTACGTCATTGATCAGGATTAATTACTAGATTAATAATAATGCTTAATGGGGTTTCTTTTGACCTAGTTCTATGATCTCACTAGCTACCTCTTTTTATTCCATGCATCCCACATATTCCACAACTAATGGAGCCAAAGGTCTAAGTCTAATGTGAATGCCACATTATTTATTTGATATCATCCTACCTATAATATTTTTAATTCTATCAAATTATATCATCCATACTTGGTCATGAGTCTATCCAATATTTTAATTATCTTTTTAATATATATATATATATATATATATATATATATATATATATATATATATATATATATGGCTTTTCGATTATCCGACGACTAATCAATTTATTATTTTTTCATAGAGGATCATGCATGATACTTTTCCAAGTATTCTAACAGAATTAATAATAATATCGAAAAGTTAACCAAGGAACAAATTAAATTGTCCTTTTCCCAATAATTAAACAAGTAGAAGATTTGATTTGTTAAAGTACTTATGCTAACAATGAAGGCCAGATAGAGTTATTTATTTTATTTTTATGAATTATTATGAGCTAGGATAAAATTAATTAATTGTATTCGCAGCACAGTATTATTATGTATATTATATAATATAAAGATACGGGAGTAGTCAGCATGATGGAAGAAGCAAAATCTGTTACTGCAGATATTAGAATATATATGTGAACGCAATCCTGGGGTGCCAATAAACTAAACTAAAATTGAACTTCCAAGTAATTTCATGTCAACATGTCTTTTTCTGTACTTCAACTCCCCATGAAAACCATATATAGACATAGTGTTCTAGTACAAATCAAATTATATAAATTACAAATTACAAAGTAGAACGGGTCTTGTCAGTTGAATTTGCGCAACAAGGAACTTGCCGGAAAAAAAAAATTAATCGAATCTGGTCGTAATTTTACTTTCTTTTACAAGGCCCGTACGTCATGGATTTATATTGCATAGTTGTTTAAACCTTTTTCCCGATATGGAGATAGGATATGGTATTACAACATACACATCATGTGATCGATGTGTGTCGTTGATCGATCGACAGGAAATTAAAAAGTTGATCTGCATCGATGAAGCTAATTAAGGTAGAGGGTCAAAAAGAGCAAAAAAAAAAACAATGACTTTGAAGTTTGAACAAACGAAAAGAATTTTGTCAGAACGTGCCTGAGATTAAGACATGCAAACAACCCAACCCACTATTAGCTAGAGATCGATCGTATCGATCAGCTTTATTTGGTTGTTGATCGAGTAATTCATTAATTAATTAACATGCATGTTTGTTTATTATTTAACCTAGCTACCAACCCAAACAAACTTTATGTGCAGGACCAAGAGCCTAACTACTTGGCTAATTATTGTATACTATATAGCAGTACAAATAAACTCACACATCAAACCACTCGCAATCGAACAACACACTCACTGAATAAGGCAAACATATATAAAACCCTAATTTTGCATGAATCTATATATATAATAACATGAGAAAACTGAATTTGGAAATAGAATAGTTCAGTTCGTAGATCGAATCGATCTCATTCATTAACACCAAGGATGTATGTTTTGTTACATCTCAGTACATTATACGAAGAACGGGGATAATTAAAAAGGGAAATTAAAGAAAATACTTTCTGAATGATTAATTAGGATAGTAATTTTGATGATGAGCTTGTGTGGAACTAATATTGGGCATGAGTGAATTGGGTTCATGATGATTGACAGTTGATATTGATGAAGAGGAATCAAAGCACAAGGTGATTGGGCCTTTTCTGGAATTACTAATTGATCCATTATTACCGCCACCGCTGCGGGAAGTGTGTTGCTGCACCAATGCTCGAAAATTTGTGATGCTCGCGTTCAGAAAAGTTGTCGGTGACGATGTTCCTGCTTTACTTCTCCTCCGTTTGTTAGTCGGTTGGAAACATTAACTGCGGCATTTGCTGTTGAAGTTCTGACATGATCACCACCGGGGATCAACAACTTGATCCGATCATCATCCGAAAAAGGTGTCCGGTAAACAATGGCAGGTTGGTGCAGCTGGCCGTAGTATTCATGTTCCCAAGTTCCACTATAATTCTGCATTTCGTCACTACTCATAATTCTACGTACCCTCTCCAGATTTTTATTAATAAATAAATAATTAATATCTTTCTTCGACAATAGGAATATTAGGAATAATACATAGTCGATCAGTCTTATTATATATATAATAAAGAGAATATAATTAAGCAGTGAGAGTAATTAAAAAGATACGGTTAGATATGATCGTGATGACAATTGACATACATGCTTCTAGGAAGCACCATTACGAATTGTTACCTTCTTCTTCTTTTTCTTTTTTGCGTGGGATAACAAATGGTGACAATTGACTACAGTGAAAAGATCCATTTCATTCAAACTTGGTGGTGGAATATAATGCTGCTGCTAATTGAAAATGTAGCCAAAGTTGACATTTTTGACCGTAATTTAGATGCACAATCCCACCCCACCCCACCCGGATCATCAATCACTAAAACACACTCATGAAAGTAACTTGTATATCTTAAATCAAGTAACTTGTATATCTTAAATCAAGTAACTTTTTTTTTCCCTTTCCAAGTTTTGACCACTTCTCATGAAAGCAAAAGAAAGCAAAAGAAAAATTATATAAATTGAAAGTAAGCAAAGAGGGACGAAAATTCTTGTTCAATAGAAATGCAACATTAAAAATATGAATCCTGCCCGAGTCATGAAAGCCAAGTCTAATTCAACCATTCATTCTAAATAATCACTATTTCTGCATATTCTGAAACAGATATATATTTCACGACAGCACAGCATATTCAATATTAATACAAAATTCTCCATTACTGTACAACAACAACTGAAATTTACATTTCAACAGATATCACACGTCTTGTTCACAATATAACCAAATCCAAGACTATAGAGGAGGAAATACTGAAATTTAATCAAGGACCGATAAAAAAAACCCCAAGCAATCCCTTCATGAATTCCTCCATTAGGCTTTCCAAGAAGCCAAACTGATCCCTAACATACATTTTCTCTCTGTTATTTTTTTCTTTTCTTTTTTTTTTTCCTTTTTCATTTTACATCGGTCTAATTCCTACTCAACGGTGATTTCCAGTAAAGTGGTAAGCCTGGGTTTTCTATACCTCCTAAGAAGCAGAGAAGAGCACACAACAGTTATAGAAGACAACGCCATACACGCACCAGCAACCCACGGCGGCAACTTGATTCTCAGCCAAGGATAGAAAACCCCAGCAGCAACCGGTATTGCAATAATATTGTAAGCACTGGCAAAGATGTAATTCAACCGAATCCTCGAGAAAGTCTTCCTCGACAGATCAATAGCTGTGATGACATCTTCTAAGTTGCTTCTCATTAGCACATAGTCCGCTGCTTCTATAGCAATGTCTGTCCCCGCCCCAATCGCCATACCTACATCAGCTGCAGCCAATGCTGGTGAATCGTTAATCCCGTCTCCAATCATTGCCACAACACTCCCATCTTTCTGGAACGAACGAATAACATCCGCTTTTCCCGAAGGCATCACTTCTGCTCTAACATCTGTAATCCCAACCTTCATAACAAATCACAATTTTCAGATTTATATTAATAAATGAACTATAATTAAATTGTCATAATTATGGACTATAATAAAGGAATTGTCTCTTCGACAAGGTACCAACCTCCTTTGCAACAGCCTTGGCTGTTCTCCAATTATCACCAGTAACCATGACAGGGGTGACACCCATTTTTTTTAGGCCTTCAATAACAACTGCAGCTTCTCTCTTTAGTGGATCTGCTATTCCCATAACACCAATTACATCGTTGTTGCAGGCCACAAGTACTCCAGTCTTGGCACTTTCTTCCAACTCTACAACAAAATTCTCCACATGGTTCGGAATAGCAACACGGTTTTCAGTCATCAACTTCCGATTACCAACCTGTTAAAAAGGGATAAGAACCTTGGATGAGTATAAAAAGAAACATTTTTTTTTCTCCAACAATACAGAACCTTTTCAAAGATCGGCATTATAACTCGTGTGAACTACTCACCAAAATTTTATTTCCGCCTATAAAGCACTGTACTCCTTCTCCAGGCAAAGCAGAAAAATCCGACACATCAAGAAGCCACGCGGAGGACTTAGATTCCAGCCCTTGGATTTGAGCATCCTTTATAGCAGAAGGCACATCAAAGAAATGGAAATGGCGGGCATATCCAAGTATTGCTTTGGCCAATGGGTGTTCACTACTAGACTGTGCCAAATGAAAGCAGCAACAATAGTTCAGAAATGTTGCTACACTTACGCAAATGCAATGATATTAATGGACACTGGCTTAAAAGAATATCAATACGAAACTTTGCAACTTTACCTCTGCTGAAGCAACTAATGTTAGGAATTCACCACGATCCATGTCTGAAAAAACTTTTGCAGTGGTGACTGTGGCTTTGCCCTGCGTTAATGTTCCAGTCTTATCAAATATGACATACTTGACCTTCTGTGCCTTCTCCAATGCATCTCCTCCTTTTATAAGCACACCATTGTTAGCTCCAACCCCTGTTGCAACCATGACAGCAGTTGGGGTGGCCAATCCTAGTGCGCATGGACATGCAATCACAACAACTGATATTGCAAACATAAGGGAAAAGACAAAATAATTGCCATTTTCAGGCAGCCACTCCTTAGGGTAGCCTCCAAGAACCCCGGCAAAATACCTGCGTGGAGATGCCATATATTAAGTAAGAGTCAGAAGACAGAGCAAGATTGTTACTAATAGTTCATTAATTGTTGAGCAAGTTTATATGGAAAGCATACCATCCCAGCAATGTCAAGAATCCCAAAGTTACTACTACAGGGACAAAAATGCTTGCAATCTGTAGGTCAGAAAAGTGCCCAACAATTAGGAAACCATTTTGGAACTAAATATAGTGCAGGACAAAACTAATTAATGCAGTAGTAAAAGTTCATGGAGCCAGGTGAGACACATGGAAACCTATGGACAAACAAAAAGTATTATATCGCTAGCATGTGACAGAACTCCATATCAATCTATATCCTATAGTTCTAACAAGCTTACAACATTTTCTTCATGTTTGACACCATAGTCCATATATGATTTTCCAGGGAAGATTTAACTGATAGTTCTCCATTCACTGCCGGGGTACTACCATTATAAATGAGCAGGCAGATGAACAAAAATTGCCCTTGAACAATGCTGGACAGCTGGAGATCTTCTTATTTCCCTCCATTTTAATTTTTTTTCTTGTCATTTTTTAGGGTAGGAGGGGTGGGTAGCTTCATATTTAGGGAAGCACGGGTTCATCAGTTTCACAATCAGCGCGCAACAACAAACTCGAAAAACACAAAGAACATGTTAAATCAGTAAAAGTTAAGACTCACAAAGTCGGCAAACTTCTGAATGGGAGCTTTAGACATCTGCGCAGTCTCAACCAGAGATATAATTTGGCTTAAGACCGTGTCAGAGCCTACTTTGCTGACTTGTACGTGAAGCGAACCATGCAAGTTTATTGTACCTCCAATAACTGAAGAATTGACTTCTTTCAGAGCAGGAGCAGATTCACCAGTAACCATACTCTCATCTACATAGCTTGAGCCATTTACAACTATGCCATCAGCAGGAACCTTTGTCCCTGGGATTACTTTCAATATATCACCAGGCTGAATCAACAAAGCATCAATTTCTCTTTCTCCAGTAACTTTTCCACCTGCAAAATCCGAGTGTTGTTATTCAACAAGGTCTCGCACCAAGGAGCAGCTGGTCTCAATGTGTCAAAAAAAACTCGCATTTACTCTGTTATACTCGCATTACCTCGTGGAGAGTAAGAAACTCGTACCTTTGTCTTTAATAATCAATATAGCAGTAGCAGGAGCAAGCTCCACGAGCTTCTTGATAGCATCCGAGGTCTTCCCCTTTGCAAGACTCTCCAAGTACTTACCCAGAAGTACAAACGTGATAAGCATAGCACTTGCTTCAAAATATGTCGGGGACCAGAACCCAGTCATCGCACCATATAGTAATGCACACACAGAATAGAAATATGAAGCTGAAGTTCCCAATACCACCAGGACATCCATGTTTGTTGAACCGTTTCTGAGTGCTCTGCTAGCTGCAACATAGAAACGTTTGCCGATAACAAATTGAACAACAGTTACCAATGCCCAATTCAGCCAATCACCCATTTGGAATGGACCACAACGCCGCAGTAGTAGAGAATATAACAGAGGTATGTGAGGACAGATGACTTTCATAAAAATGACCGGAACCTGGAGCAATTAAGTAGGATAACAAAGATTAATTCGGTAAAAGAAAACCTCATTAAATAATTAACTTCATATGTATGACTCTGCATGGTTTAATATGCTAAATTATTGCCAGATAATAATACCGAGTAGCAGCCCTGATTAGTGTTACAATGCTAAAAAGAAAAAAACAATGAAGCATAAAAATAGAGTAACTCACACTCAGAAATAAGCTCGCCGTAAAAAGCCGAAACATATTTGAAGACTCTTCTAGATCCTTGGAAGTCATTCTGGTATAAGGGTTCTTTACATGTAACTTTAGCTTTCCGTAGCTGCTACTTTCGATCATGTCAACTAATGCTCTGGAACCGAGGAGCTCAGGATCAAAATGAATTGCTAATTCTTTAGATGTTCGATCATAATGAAATTGCCTCACACCCTTGAAGGTGCAAAGATTTCCTTCTAACATCTGCGCATCCATTTCACTAGAAATCCCAGTAACGCCGAGCACAAGTTTATCCTGTTCACTACTCTGTACAAATGAAGCTTCAAAACCAGCATCTTCGATTGCAGTGACTATATCATCCTTATTGATAGCAGTTGGGTCATACTCAACCTCACCTAAAGATGTGGCCAAGGCAACTACAGCTTTTCTTACACCTGGTAAATTTCTCAGAATCCCTTCTACGGAATTTACACAAGCAGCACATGTCATTCCTCCAATTGTGAACTGACCTATTACGGTCCCACCTGGTTTAGAATGAGATGTACTTGGTTCAGGTAGAATTTCTGCGTCGAATCCAGCATCTTCTATTGCATTTTTAATATCTTCATCCTGAAATGAGAACTGGATCAATCAACTTACGGATATTGGGAGGAGAGCAAAATTTGAATCTTTACAATTCTTAAAAATTGAAGGAGTACCCAGAGAAATCAACCAGAATTTCCACCAACGAAAAGAAACAAATTAGTTTCTGCCTGCTAGAAAATAACACCGGTTCCCCCATTAAGCCAGAAACATCAGTTAAGGACATAACTAAAAACGATCTAGCCACTACAACTAGAAAGCTAAACCGTAATCAAAAACACAAATTACGGTTACAAAATTTAACAACTAACAATATTATCAGGGAAAGTAGCCTTCCGATCTCCCAACTAGGCTAATCTACCAGGATTTTCAAAGTTATCACCAAACCAATAGATTGCTATAATAATAATACAGTCCACTAATGAACTAGCATACCAAATACACAGCATCTACATGCGTATGAACATGATGATTACACGAGTTAGGAAAGGGGGATTGACCAGACCTTTACTAAGGCGGGATCAAAGGTGACGTCAGCCTTGTTCTGAAGCAAAGCGACGGAGGCTTTGACAACGCCGCTTAGGCTCATGAGAGCCGATTCTACGGAATTGGAGCACGCCGCACACGTCATCCCGGTCACGCTGACATTAATTCTCCGCAAATCGGCAGAATATTCTTCGTCGTACGCACCCAACAACCTATCCTCTTCTCCGGCATCCTCCGCCGATGCTCCCGAGCCTTTTCCGGCAACGGCAGTTAACTGCAGGCCGGTCATCGTCAGCGCAATTGTAAAACCCCCTCCTCCTGGACCGCCTCTAACAAGAAAACAGCGAAGTTGTATTTGTCCGTTGATACTTTAATCAATCAATAGGAAATTAATAATTAATTAATATATTTTATATGTAGAGAGAGAATTAGAGAAATCTGTGGGTGGGGGGGTGGGGAAGGGAGACAGGAGGGAAGCCAATATAGCGGATTTAAGCAATTTATAATTTTCGTAATCCAGAAAATTGTGAAATTACGAAAACAGGATTGTACTACTTAGCTGTACTGCATGTTTTTGGTAAGTAGGGATTTTTTTTTTTAATTTTGTAAGAAGGGGTTTGATTGGTTGATGGGGGTGGGAGAAATTTCACCAGCACAGACTTTATAAAATGAATTAATGACAAGGCAAGAATTAATTTTATCTTTTATAATTATTTTTTTCCAAAATTAAATTAAATTATACATGTACAATTTAATTTTATGTTTAGACTTTAGATAGGTTTGACTTAATGGAAATAATTAAATGAGGGCAGTTTAGAGATGATGCTAGAAAAACAGTAGCATCTATTTGTGAAATTGTGTGTTTGAATGATGATAAGCAATGATGGTGTGTTTAGTTTGATAAAGTTGGTTTCTTAATTGCTAAATAATCACATATGACATAGCATTATATCTTTGCAACTGCCTATTATGATTAGCATCTTTTAATTTGCCATGAATCTCTTGTAATTAATTTTTAGTTTCAAGTTTAGCAAGGCGGAAAAAAGTAGTCAAACATTAATCTTGTTGTGGTCTTCTGACCTCGTCAATGTTCAATTTTCTTTGGCAATAAAAATTAAACTCAGGAAAATATTAATATATGCAGAAAATACGTAAGACGTGTTATAGGTGGAGTTATTAGAAAGAGGGCATATATGGAAAACCAAGAAATGAGGAAGGTTGTTGTTTGGTGGTGGTAGCCGTCGGGAATCGTTGACCCAAATTCTCATGTTACTTCTTACGAACACGGAACCTTCCTTAATTTTTCATTAATACATTATGACATGCTTAAATGGGCCAAACCCAATAATTTTTTTAATTATTGGGCCACTCGTCCGATTTAGAATATTACTATGACGAAAGCCCAATCACTTTCAAATGAGGTTTGTGTTCAATAAATTAATTTCATCCCAATCGATAAGGTATAAATAACGATTTAATTAATTTATTGAAGGAGGCCCTATTATCTAAGCAATACTACATTCGTATTCTCTCAACTACTTATATATATTATCAGCACGTCTGACTTGAGCGTTTGAGGGGTTTCCGCCGGATCAACCCGACCTAGTTCACATGTTCTCTGTTCGCAGATATCTTAGGACCATCTAGCTCGTGTAATCCACTTTGCTCTTTCACCTCATCCTACCTCAATTACTTAAGTTGATCTAATAGTAGCATCATCACATTATTAATAATATATTTTAGTTTATAAATAAATGTTAAATAATGGTTGGACAATTACCCGGTAATTTATTTTCATATGAAAGTGGATCGACTCTCGTACATTTATTATATTTTGGATTGTTACAATTTTTTAGTTTTTACTTTGACAGAAGAAAACCAGAAAAGAAAGTAATAAATAAATATCTTAGCTTTGTCCCCCATTAAGTGCTTGCTTTTGACAAAAATATAATGGGAATGATCAATGTCATAAATCCACAATCCACAATCCAACGTGTACTTTTCTAATTGGAACATGACTTTGTTTCCACTCCTTATAAAAACTTCCTAGCTAGGAAAAAAGAAGTACCACTAACTAAATTTTGTACTAATTTACAATCTTAAATCGTTAGGGGTATTGTTGCAACTACCATATCTTCTTCCATATAAATCCAAAAATAAAATATATATTGTATGGAGTGAGTTAGCCAGGTTGATTATATAATTAGAAATAATAAAAGTCTGATATAATAATAGACAATGACTTGGAATTTCGCCAAGGAAAGCAGGTGAGTAAGAGCACATCAATCAATGTGGGTAATTAGACCAAGAATTTAGGTACAATGTTGCAGCAGTTGGACCAGATCATATATCCACTATCAACCTCACTTTCAATTTACGAAAACCATTCTTTCTTCATCCAATTTTTCCTTCTTTCAATACATATATTTTTTTCTTTCAATGTTTCCCCACTTCCATTTCTTTAGGCTAAAGTTACTTTGGTCAATTGGATGGATGACACAATTCTTTAAACAATTATGTTATTTTTTTTTTCATTTTTACCTTTGATTATCTTAAAATTAAAATATTTATAGTCAAATATTAACATTAGAACATGAAAAAAAATTGAAATTAAAACTATCAAATTTGTCCAATTACAATAATTTACATGGTCTATGTTTGTGGGCCTTTAATAAGCTCAACAGGCCCAGTTTTATAAGTTGCCTTTTGTGGGTTTATTGAAGATAAAAAATTAAAAGCCCAAAGAAAATAAAAGGTCAAATCTTACGTACAAGATATTCCGATTCTTCCCAAATTAAAATCCAGTGTAAAAGCCCTTTGTGCAATTTGGAGAAGACGAGAGAGAGATGAGAGGGATGAACCAGATGCTACGTCGTTTAGTAAGCCGTAGTGCCACGTGCGTAGCTGCTCGATCGTCTTCCATCACCGAGAACGTCATACTCTCCTCCGCCGCCGCCTCCTACTCCACTCTAATTCTCTCCGACGAAAGGACTTCTCCATTTTTCTTTTCCTCAATTACCCCTGCCCTCGCTACTGGTTTTCACCCTGCTCTCCTCAATTACTCACGGAACTTCTCCTCTCCACCATCCTCAGGTTTCCCTCTATCTGGATTCTGAAGAAGTTTTGAGGGTTTTATTTAACTTTCTTTCCGTCTAGATTTTTGGCTTCAGGGTTATGTGAAATTTAGGTCTGAATATTGATTTTAGAAATTTATATAATTAAATAGTTTGCATTGCTCTTTCTGCTATCCGTTACTCCTTTTAAAGTTAACAGCAGTTGTCTGCCTTTCTATTGAGTATTCTAAATTCTTTGCAGAGTGGTGTGGTAGTTAGGCTGTAGTTAAATATTAATACTAAGATTTTCAATTCGTGGATGAAATGATCTATGCTTCTTACTTCCCAAAGTAAGGGGTTCTGTTAGTTTTATCGTGTTCGTCGTCAATATGTGAATCTAGAAGGTTGCTCTACTTTGATATTCACGAGAAGATTCTTAGTGATTGTAACTTGAGATTACAGATTCGTCAAAGGTGGTTTCGGTTGAGTCTGAAGAGCAGTTCAACGACTTACTTCGCAAGGTCCAAGGTATAATTGCTATAAAGATGCCTCTTTTTTTACATGTTCTGCTTTGCTAATTTTACACACCCGTGTTAAGCTATGTTAGCATGATTCAATGCTTATACTTTGTCAAATTTGGTGTAGATGAATCTTTGCCTGCCGTATTCTACTTCACAGCAGTTTGGTGTGGTCCCTGTAAGTATTGGTATCGAAAGTTTTTTGAAGCTATTAACACGGTATGCTTCTTACTTCTAAGTGCATTGTAAATGTTTCACTAATCCTTCTGCAGGTAGATTGTTGTCTCCCATAATTGGGCAGCTTAGTGAGCAATATCCCAACGTCACCACATATAAAATTGATATTGATAAGGTAGAGCACATAGTGAAATCATTACTTTTTTGTATATTTCTTTACCAAGCATTTCCACCTGCTGTTGACAAAATTAGTATTGCCATTGTCGAACTTTTTAAATGTGCAGGAAGGGCTAGGAAATGCATTGAGCAAGCTAGATATTCGCTCTGTGGTAAAAACTCCTCTCTTAATATTTAGTCTTTGTACTGCTTTCTGGTACACTTTGTGACATTGGAGGTGCACAAAGTTAATTGTAAAAGAATGTAAATAGTCTAACTGAAAATGTGCTCTGAATTTGTTAGTGAATCTTAATAGATGAGATAATAGTACAATAAATCCTTCTAACAAGCTATGCATGCTGGAAGACAGTATGAACAACACAACAATAATTGCATTTTCACATTCGTAGCTTGGCGGTTATAACTTATAAACAATAACTTGGTGGACCAACTCATGGGTCGTCTATTCATGACTTGTGTTAGACTAAAAGAATGATAAAAAATCCACAAGAATACGAATTAAAAGAAGGGGTGTTATTATTTGTTTTCTTGTAATTTCATTTTCGAGGGAATGCAGTTGTGTAATTGCAAGTATGTGTCAAGAAATTTACTTGATGTTGTTTCCCTGTTATTAATTTTCTGAGAATGCTTCCTCAATGCAGCCTACATTGCACTTTTTTCAAAATGGTAAAAAGGCGTCTGAAGTCGTTGGTGCAGATGTTGAACTCGTGAAGGACACTATGGAAACACTATATAAGTGATATATATGTATTGTGCTTTACCCTTTGCTGGGTATTTATTTCCAAGGTTCAATAACTTCCAAGTTTGGCCTTCGATTCCATTTGCTCAGCCTTCAGAATCATTTTAATATCTGCAAGTATAATAGTTTTGTTGTTTTAATTACCGGTATCAAACAACTAGATACTAGCTTTATTGTGCTATATCTTTCGTTGCAGTTTCACCTTTTGTTGTGGTGTTATTTTTTCTTTCACATTTTTTACCATTTAAAATTCATCTTTCTTTTTCCTTTTTTTTTTTTTTGAGAGTTGAAGTTATAAGATTGTGATTTTTTCTTATTTGAAAAAAAAAATATGCGAAATGAATTATTTTCTATAATATTCGGCAATGGACACCCCCCTTCAAAATATTACTGTTATGTGAGCATTTATCTTTGGGCTTTTTATTTTTGATTTGTTTCTGTGATGCATATTAAGCGGTTGTCACTAATTTGAGTTGGGCGGAGTAAGGCCCATAATAAGTAAAATCAACTATTCAAATAATTCCGAATCTGTCCCGATAAAATCCCCTCCATTTATCGAAAAAGAAAAAAAATAAAATAAAAAAAAACAAGGAAAACCACGCCCTTTCACTCCGCAGAATTTCCATGGCATTTTGAGTAGCGAATTCCACAATCCACATTATTCTTAAATCAGCTTTTTCACTTTTCCTCCGCCGCCTCACTTCGCAAGAGATGGTATGAGTGTGGTATGGTTTGTTGCATGTTGGTCCAGTTTTCTCTGATTCCTCGGTTATTTTGCTTTTGTGATTATTTTGTTGCGGAATTGTATCTTGTCATGGAGTGTGTATTTTACTGTAGCTATACGATTCTTATGTTCTTATTTATACCCTGATGAACTCATCTCCCTCACCCACGCCACAAGTGCTGTCATATGATTCTAATTTATTTCTTCACTTTGTATTTGCTCTTATGTTCCTTTGAATGCCTCTAAGCAATTTTTTGATTTGATTAATGTTTAAACCATTACTGTATGATCTCGTGGTGTTGAATACTTGCCTTCATTTAGTAGTTTGAACTATATACATGAATGCCGCATTGGTGTGTGTGTGTGTGTGTGTGTGTGTGTTTACTTCTTTAATTTGTACAAGTGCATACTATTGGTTTCAAGATGTTTTATGAATACTTTGTGATGACTGGACACTCAACTGTGCAGAAGGATTGAAGTATGACCCAACTAACAATGTTTCTGATTCAAATTTCTCAAACCATGGAATGTGATCAGTGTCCCCCTTGCATACTAAAAAAGATGCAATCTACGATAAATTCGATCAGTTGGGACAATAGATGACCCGATTTTGTTAAAGCGGTACGTTCGCTTATCCATGAGAGTGTTTCCATTTTCCTCCTCGATAAACATGTCTTTACTGTTTAGTGATCCTATTATTGCTTCTGTCATTGAGCTGGTGCTTTACAATTGCTCTCTTCTGTATATCATGTCAGCTTCACTTTTGATCGGTCTCTTATGTTTAATAGAATATGCGAGTAACTTCATTGCTCTGTCATTGTATTTTTTTCACCATAGTTTGAAGCGCCTTGCACTATGGTTTCTATTGAGAAATAATAACTTTGTTATGCATTGTGCGTTCATGTTAGAACTAGTAGTAAGTGACAGTGTGTTATTTAATAATCATCAAGTGTACTCATAACAACTGATCCTAGCGAAATATGTTGGATCAACTCCATTAATCATTTGGAAGATGTGAATTAGGTGCAGAGTTTTGAGCCTGAAAATTGAAGTCAATTTACAATGACAAGTCATGGTTACTGCTTACTACATACTGTCAATGACTTGCGTATCTTTGAGAAGCATGAATTCGTATAAAATGCATGAGCATAAATTTTGAACTCTATTGACTCCATACGAACCTTTTACTCTTAAAACCTAGTGTTAGAAAGCTTAAGGATGTCTGAGAATCAAGCAGTGACTGCAAATCACCGAGTGTAATTCTTAATTTTCCATTAGCTTGGCATCATATATTTGTGAATCAGGCAGTCTTGTCATGTCCTTCATAGTTATGGAAATTTGCTCTTGTCAATCTTGTTATGTCTCTGAATAGCGGTTCATTATGTATATTACAGAAGTTTCAATGACATATATCATGTAAATTCTCATACTGTTCTAAGGTGCCATGCAAGTGCACATCAAGTTGAGTCACTGCAGATATTCTATTAATTCTAAACATTTATTCAGTTTTATATGCTCTGCTTTATACGCATTGCTGAAATCTGGGGGATTGAATATTGTATTCTATTTTGAAGGTGCAAAATATGTTTGCCGTCAAATTATGTACATATACCGTTATGAAAGATTAGTTAGTAATTCTATAAGGCAAAATCGAATATGTCGAAATCACATTCCATTGAGATACTTGGTCCTGAATACACACAATTCACTCATACATGCTTTTCTCTACAAGAGAAAATTGAGACAATGAGGAACGTAAATAAGAAAGAATGCATGAACCATGCAGCTATTTGCTTAAGCCAAACAGTGAACCGAGTCACTAGATTTCGAGCCTTAAGCACTTAAAAAGTACATAGTTGATTTTTAATTTTTTTTTCAAAGGACAGCTTATTGAGGGGGGTTTAAAGGTATGACGGTAGTCATTTTCCGGAAAATACTCTCCATCGATTTGATTCGTGCGTACTTGTTGTATAGAAAACTAAAAATGTTGTAATGAACTCTGTTTTTTAAGTGACTGAAACTTGTTCATTATGTTAAAAGGATTGAGCGAGTAAGCAACCATCAACCATGTATGTGAAGCTGTGCCTGGAGAGATCTTCTGAAAGAGATCTTCTGAAAGAGGTATGTTCATTTGATATTCTCTCCATTAAAGAACATATGAATGTGCATTTGTGACTAGTTGTTACTTGGGCCATGAAACTTAAAAAATGTGCATTCTGTGTTCTTCTATGTGTAACGTTCTGTAACAGTGTCTGAAACATATTATATATATTTCAATAGTAAGATTTGACAATGAAAAAAAGGATGTTTCATTGTCAGAGGCAATAACTACTATAACATACAGCCATCGGTCAAGACTGGGGGATGACATCTCATTCTTCCACTCACGTCCAATCCTATCTCCATTTCCTATCAAAAAAAAAAAAATCCTATCTCCACCACAATTTAATTCACTTCCTTTTTTATTCCATTTTCCCTATAAAAAAATAAAATAAAAAATACAACGGTGGTTTTCATGTATGTATCACAAATGAGAAAGTATTAAATAATTAAAAAAAACCACTGGGATAGACCTTAGGGAATTGCCATCATAAATTTGTAATAGCCAGTGTTGTCTTTATTTAACTTAGGAATTGTCTTTCCAATACATGTAATTAATTCACCTGTAAAAGATAAAAAAATGTTTGAGGGGGTAAATATTAATTAGTTGTGTAAAAGTGAATGGGAATATGGGTGGCATTGATTAGACATGACATGTATAGAGGGATAGGTTGTAGTAGCAGAAGCTGTAAAAAATAAAGAAAAAAAAAATGGTAATGGGAAGACCAATAAGCCGCCAAAGTAGAAGAGCAGAGAGGAGAAGATGCTAGTTGCTCTAAAAGCCTGCCCCCTTGAAAACGATTGATCCCAGTGAGACGCTTTTTACACAATTCAAACACAATCTCACTTCTTTCTCTCTCTCTCATCAATCTGTCTCTCTTGCACAGACACATACTTTTATGCAAATTCACATATTAATGCAAGTGATTATTATGTGTTAATTTCAATTGAAAATTGAGGTGATACATACGTATGCATAGTGACATGATTTGATTAAAAGGGGGCACGTCCTTGAATGTCTGAAAGACCTCTTGTCTCCTGCATCTGGTCCCAGTTTATGTTTGATTTTGCAACTCTATTTGATAATTGCTTCTGATGTGCTCCCAGTTTACATATCAATTGTTGCAATTTTGATTTAAGAGAAATAAATATTATATCATAATCATCTTTGTTTCCCTAATTACAACCACATTAGAACATTTGTGAGTTCTAATTGAGAAAGAATGAGATTGATTTGGTGAGTTTATGGATGAAATCTGCTTTGCAATATTGGGACAATAATTCAAGGAGGATAAGTCTGTGGTACTATTTTGGTCCTTCAATTATTAGACAGACCCCATTTCAATTTACTTTGACCAAATATTGTTCTGTTCCTACAATGATTTTCGTTTATTTATTTATTTTCTCTCTATGATAGTTATTAGATGGTGACTGAACATCTCCATGTGTATGTGAAATTTATTTATGGGAAATTGGTCAATTTCTTCTTCTCTTGTTTGTACCCCATTATAGAGAGAGAGAGAGAGAGAGAGAGAGAGCTGTATTTGTGTTTTTAGCCTGTCATCTTTTTGCCTCTTTCGGACCCAGACACCTCTAACTACTACCTCCGATTTGATGGCCTTATTCATCACTTAGGAGATGCTCTGATATATCACCCAATTTTATCTCAATTTTGAATGTTTGACTACATTACAATTTTGCAATAATATCAAGGATAATAAAAAATGCTAGAGTTTTATTCTAGTTTGAGTATTTTTAGATCGAGCTCGTCGCACTTGGTTTACCTCCTAGATTTACAGTCTTCTTTTTTATTTACCAGGGTAAATTGAAAAGGAGAGAGCATGTTTAAAGACAGGGAATCCGATGAATGAGGTGAGAGTAGTGTTTGCTAAAGAACAAGGACTTCAATTTCATTATTCTCCTGAATTTTCTCGAACCTTGAAATGGGATGAGAACCAAAACCAAATAATAATATTAATTAATATTGTCTATTTCTGCATGAAACGCCGTTGAGATCAAATACCTAGGAATGCTCGACAATCCCATAACTTGCTGCTCTGCAGACAGTCGCCTCCTCCTATTGGTAGAACTCCAATTAGGTACTGCGCGCACCGTTTGTTTATTTTATTGATGTTTCTTTTGTCTGATTTCTCCTCAATAACCTGATACTTTAAAAGTCAGTTAAATTTAATATTATACACCTAAGTCTAATTAAACTTGTAAATTTACAAAAAAAAAATATAATAAATTGAAATTAAATGTGGTATAATAAAGTGGGGGTTGAAAAAGTTAACAGTGAAGTCAGTAAATGGAAAGAGGGCAGTTTGCAGGTAGTGTAGGGTCTTGTTGTAAGGAGGTTAATTTTTACTTTATAGTATGTCAAATTAACTCTTAAGGTAATAAAATCAAAGAAGAGAAAAGTTGAATATCACATAAACGGGGGGTTAGGAAAGAGACTGGTTGGCGGTGGAGGTGTTGCCACGTGCCTCTTCCCCGTTATACCTCTTCTGAGTCGGTCAGCACCTACATATGTATCCTGCAGAATAAAGAAAATTTTAATAAAAACTCAAAACCCGGGCCCCACCCATCTCACCATCATGTGAACTTCTTCAGACTCCACAAATCCAAAAACTCGTATAATAATCTAACATATATTTATTGTCCATTGATTTACATATGTGGTCCTAATTCAATCTTATAATATGTATCCCACATAGTTTCTAACATGTAAAACTGATGACTTGGGTGTTCTTAATTTCTGGTGCATGAGTTACAACTCCTTTCTCTTCTGAATTCGCCTGCGTATATATATAATATATATATATATATATATATATATATATATATATATATATATATATATATATATATATTTGTATGTATCGTATGCATGTATGTATATATCTTGATTATGGTACGTACGCATGCTCTCCTGATGATATCTACTCTCTGGCCTTTTTGTCTGCTGACACGGCTATGGCCCATACCAAATTCTCATTATTCAATTTTGTCTAAGATTAATTTAATTAAAATTTAAAAACATTCTCATTGCATACTATATACAATACTATAGACTTGAAATCATATTGATAAAAAGAAAATGATATCACAATCAAACATGTTTATATATATATCGAGCATAACCGGTGCAAAAATCGGTGATAATTGAGAGCTAATTATTTCGTACTCAATTACAAGCTACCTATCACCACCCATGGCTGATACTTGAGACTCCCTTGCAGAAAGAAAGCCACTAATAATTGATTCCATAATTACTACTAATACAACACCGTTAAATTTGAAACAAGGGACAGCCTAATATAGTATCAGTCCAAACTAAATAATTAAACAGATGATTTATTTATGATACTAGTAAATAATTTTAATAAATTAAAAATGATGGTTTCTTCAGGAAAGAGGAGACCTTTGGGGAGCTCCTTTTCTTCTGCTGCTCAAAGAGATCACAATACCAGGGATTCCATATCCACCACTTTTGTTCTTGGACTTCCTTCTCGTAATTCCCGATCCGTTGAAACTTCCAGAATGATCCGTTTTTGCGTAATCGGAGCATCCGTACTGATCAAGTGGATCCTCCAGTATGGAGTCGGGTGTGACTTGGCCATCGTCTGAAACGTCCATTCTCAGGCCTTCAAATTGAGAGATGGAGAAATCAGATCCATCAAACCTGTACAAGATGCTTGATAAATCCTCCCCATGATATACCATGTGATCCACCTGTAATTATTTGGAGTAACGTTGTCTTAATCCAACAATAATAATAATAATAATAATAATAACAACAACAAATATAATTGAAGGTTTGGAGTAGAGTGGTGGGTGGGTGGACCTTGCAAGAGAGGGAACAGAAATTGAATGGGTCCTGAAGAATTCTGTCGCAGGTGAAACAATTGTTAGCAGCAGCAGCAGCAGCTGAAGAACCCTTGCAAGAAGATCTTTGTGCTCTTTCGTTCAAGAATATCACTTTGGCACTATTTATTGTGTACGGCTGCCACAATACAATAGAATATACTACTATGTTACAACGGAGGTTGTCGGATATGAAACTACTGTACATTGTAATTATTTGTTTATAAATATAATCATAATAATAATAATTATTACAGATTAATCCTACCTGAATGTAGGAACAGTCAATGAGCTTTTCCAGGTCGTCCAATCTGATTACATCTTGGTACACATATCTCCTCACCTGTATCATCGTACATAGTATTTAAATTTTTTAATTTATTTTAAGAATTAATTAAGGTGTTAACATACGAGCCAAAAACTAATAAATCATCATTAGTCAATTAAGTGGCCTAACGGTCATGAAAGATCCCATTTGCTACTAAATACACACACACACATAATATATATATATATATATATACACACACACACACACAGAGAGAGAGAGAGAGAGAGAGAGAGAGAGAGAGAGAGAGAGAGAGAGAGAGAGAGAGAGAGATACTAGGTTATAGAGGGAGGTTTATTGAGGAAAGAAATGAGGAAGTAGGGTATTTCATTAAATATGTGATGGGGGAGGTGGAAGAAGTATAGAGAAATTGGAGAAGAAGGGAGTGGTGTGTAGTAAAAAGACAAAAAAAGAGTAGAGGGGGTCAAAGCTAAGTGTGTCTGAATGAAAGCAACGGGTGAGAGAGAGAGAGGAGAGCCTTTCCGGGGAGAAATGTATATTTAAAATTAAAATAAAAAAGAAAAGAAAAGCTACTAAAAATGGGTATAAAGACAAGTTGTTGCTTATATGTCCATCCATCCATCCAACCACTCTCCTTTCCCCTCTTCCCATACACACACACACACACAAACACACACACACACTTCTGCTCTCTATTTATCATCTTATAACCAATACCTGTACCTTTTAACCTAATTTCGTACCTCTCTAATTAATTGTACTTACTCCATGAATTAACTCAATATTTGTATTACTCAAACCTCTATTTACCTAGTTTTATCACTTTACCAATTCCATATTATCATATAAAAAGAAAGGAGTAAACTGCAAAAACTACCCCTGTGTAATCCCAAAATAGCAAAAACCCCCCTGTGATAAATAAACTAGCAAAAACCCCCCTGTGAAATTATTTAAATAGCAAAAACCCCCCTATGGAACTATTTGAAGGTTGACTTGATATAAAAAGACACAAATACCCCTGGAGTCTTGCAATTAATAAATTCTTATATTTTATAAATATTTTAATTATTTTATTTAAAAAATAATCAATTTAGTTGTTTACTATTTTTTTTAATTTCTAAACAAATAAATTAAAAAGAATAAATATACATATAATATGTATATATATAAATACATTTTGAGGGTCAATTTTGTCATTTCAAGTCTAAAAAATCAGCTAGGGGGGATTCTGCCTTTGACTAAATTTCACAGGGGGGTTTTTGCTAGTTTATTTATCACAGGGGGGTTTTTGCTATTTCGAGATAACACAGGGGTAGTTTTTGCAGTTTACTAAAAAAGAAAGCACATCAGTAGCAGTTAATAGTTATTAACCTTAACTAATTACTAAATTAGTAGGTATGATGTTTTTAGGATAGCAGTTAACTGTTATTAACATTAATAATTAATTGGTAGAGGTCATAATTAACATATATACATATACATATATATGGTGGTCTTAGCAGGTAATTAAGACAGAGCTACAGAATTGAACATGTGAGATATTGAAATAATCAGAACTGGAGAATTGGAATAAATCAATTAGCCATGGTTTGAAATTGCAAGAAATATATATATCGTGGATGGTAATTAACCTGCAGGTGAGAATTCACATATATATAGCTATAATTCATATTCCTATGTATATATATAAAAGAGAGAGAGAGAGAGAGAGAGAGAGAATTATATATATATATATATATTAAAGAGAGAAATAATAAAAAGAAAAAGAAAAAGAAAAAAGAGAAAAAAGAAGAGATGGAGTACCTGGAGAAGAGGGTGGGAGGGATGATGAGAAGGGAGACAGTGAGGGCAGAAGCTGAGGCAACAAATTAAGCAGAAAATATTCTTTTCATTTTTTCTGAGATTAAGGTGGGCCCCACAACCACCAAAGAATGTTTCCGCCATTAAACTTTGCAGCCATGCAGGCTGCTTCTTAACCATCTCCTCCTCCTCCTCCTCTTCTTCTCTTCTCATCATGCCTTTCTTCTCTCTCTCTCTCTCTTCTGATTCTCTCTCTAGCTCTCTCACACACACACACAAACAGACACACACATACACATACACATACACAGAGAGAGAGAGCACACAAAAGTGTAATTGTAATAATAATAATAATAATAATGATAGTAGTGCCTCGGTGTGAGCTCAATTGGCTAACTATAAACTAGTACGTGTACATATAATATATATATATTATAAAAGAGGGGAGCTAGCTTAGGGGTATTTTGATCTTTAGCCTACATTAATCATAATTCATATATATATACGTGGGATATTACTATGCCTGTCCTCCTGACTTATGCTACCCATACATTCTCTTTATTTCTAAACTGCTACTTTTTTATTTTTTTTCTTCAGCCCTTTACTTTGCATGATTTATTTAAAAAAAGAAAAAAAGAGAGAGAGAGAGAGAGAGAGAGAGAGAGAGAGAGAGAGAGAGAGAGAGGACAACGTCATGTTTAAATTGTCATTTTTAACACCTGGAAATGAATTAGTGTAAAACCAGTCCAACATGTTTTAGGATGAATACATACATACATACGGCCAAATCTTGCCTATGGAAATTCATTTGGTCACTCGCAATATTCTATAAATTTGTTTAGTGTGTGTGTGTGTATTTATATACTATATTATTTGGGATAATTCTATTTGGTTTATCATCAATTTTTTTTTTTTTTTTTGAATCATCTAGAAGTAAAAGAAGTATGGAAATGTCAACAAATTTAAAGACCCTCAAAAAAACAAATTAAAGATATTTTGAACTAAAAATTTATCGATAAGAGAAGACAGAGAGATGACAAATTGTCCTTTAATATAATAATAATATTTGATTAATTGAATGTTGGTAAACCCATCAACGAGCATTGAACAATTAAATCACAGGATATTTTATGATGTGTTGATAAACTCGAAACGCCGTATTGTCGTTTCACTTCGTTATCTGTGTCCCTCCCTCATATTATTATTACTAATATACATATCCTAATATATACTATACTCATACTTGGATTGCTTTGCTCCAAATTGAATTCGACTTTTCAATCCATATTCTTAAAAAAAAAAAAAATCTAATCTTGTAATAATAATTTTAATTTTGAATTCTGAAAAATTATGATATCCAACATTTTCGATTTTATTTTTTTGAATTGAAATTGAATTTTATATGAGAATTCAACTTCCGATCTATTTTAAATTTTTGGAATTGATTTCGAATATTAAAATACATATGGGAATTGGATTTTTATTTAAATGATAATTTTTGTTTCAAATGTTCCAATGTTCACCTCAATAAATTCGTAAACATATACCTACCTACAGGCTATAGGCTAATGCATGAATAAGCCCATCAAGAGCGGTAGTAAATGTGTTCAAAAATAAATAAATAAATAAATAAAACATAAACGAAATCCAACGAAGCCCAATGCTTGATTATTGATTTAACGAGCCCAATTTGTGTTGAAGCATGAATCAAGAGTCGGTGGTTGTTCGTTTAATTATATCGTCACCTTTTTCTGTTCAACAATAACATCATTATTTTTGTAATTTGTTGTTTTTTTACAATCCCAGGAAGGGGTAAAATTTGATGTCGGTGGTGATAAAAGTAATTTCTAGAACAAATTATACGCAACAATGATTAGTATATATATGTGATAGCTGTGAATGCCTGCCTAGTAATTATATACTATGTAACAACTGTCGGGTGATTCCAAACCTAAAGTAATCATTTGGGGAATCGATTTCTTGGATTGCACGTGAAAATATATACTCATCATCATATAAATATGATTTAATTTTCCTAAAGATAATTATGTTGATGATTAATTAGGTGAGTGCTAATCATAATTGGGTTGTCACTTGTTGTGGAGTATATGATTTCCAAATATATATTTAAGAATTAAGATTTATAATTCTCAACTGAAGTTTCAATATTGTGACATGAATAAAGAAATGAATGGGATAGTTAGTTAGTAAGTATATTTGCTTACATACTACTCTTGAAAATTTCTTGTCTGAGGTTGAAATATCAATTTTCAAACACATTTTTACCACTAAATTAATAATACAACTGGTACTTAAAATTGAACAAAGTATTGCATTAGTCCCAAATTAATAACAATAATAATAATTAGTCCATTATATTATTCAAACGGCCGCCGACAATAGACAGTAGGGCGATGGAGGCATATAAGCAAGTAAATTGGTTAATAATTCATTCATTCCTCTCTAATTCATTCAGCCACTCCAACGGTTCTCTCACATTTAACCAACAACTGAATCTCTCTCTCTCTCTCTCTCTCTCTCTCTCTCTCTCGTTCTACAGTACCGCACCTATAGATAGATCTGACGAAGATCTATACACAAATTACGCAATGAGGGAATCGCTCTCTGATAACAATACCCCGTCGCCACCGCCGCCGCCGCCACTTCTGCTGCTCGAGAGGCTCAAAGATTACGGCCAGGAAGACGCCTTTGCCCTCTGGGAAGAGCTCTCCCCCGAAGACCGCCAACTCCTCATCAAGGACATCGAGGTTGCTCTCTCTCTCTCTCTCTCCTAAAATATTTGGGTTTTCCTACTTGATCACTACTGTAGACAGTCTTCGATTTAACTGGAATTGTTTCTCGTAATCAAGTTAGGAATTGATTCTTCAATATTGAAAGTATTTCCTGTTTAATGATCATTGATTGCGATACATTAGCTTTTTCCAGTTACATGTGGTGGCGAAATGTCGGATTGTCTTCTTCGAGTAGTTATTTATGTTTATTGTATTTCTGTATCTTTTAAGTTTTATGGTTGATTGTATTCTATTGCAGAACTTAGATCTTCCGAGAATTGACAGGATTATTCGATGCTCGTTCCACTCACAAGGTTCTTCTATTACTCTTTTTTTTTTTTCTGTGCATTTTTCATACAAAATGAAATGTCCCTTTTAATGTATAATTGACGAAAGTTACTCTATTCTAGGGCTTCCGGTAGCAGCAATAGAACCGGTTCCAGAAAGCAGTGTTTCGACATTAGCAAAACGGACAGCGGAAGAAAAAGAAAAGTGGTACAAAATGGGATTAAAAGCCATATCTGATGGAAAGTTAGGTGTGCTACTTCTATCCGGTGGACAGGTTGGTTATTATTTCACCACCCGTCCATCCACAATCAACTTTTTATTAAGCGTAGTAGATCGGCGGAGGAAAAAAATATGATATATTTGATGACATCTTTATTGTTTGATAAACCGAATTATGGTTATTTGGTATAGAGTTTGGTCAAATGTCGCTCTCTGTATCATGTCACTATGGCCATCTAATGTGGAATTCTTGACTTAGTGTAGTGAAGCAAAAGGGAAGTATTCCTTTATTGCCTTTATGGATGATGAATCTAGTAAACAATCTATTTCATGGTACAATAGATGCATTAAGTTGAGTTCTTTCGGTTGAAAGACCCAAGTCAAAATAGCTTTATTAAGGGTCCACTACGGACCCATTAATTGAACAACCTAAAATATGTCTGGTGATTGTTGGCAATTTGCTCTTCACTATAGCCATGCACTGCTTATCATCTAAATGTCAAAACATGACATACTATTTTGGTTATGCATCTAATAGCTGTACTGTGCAATACTTTTGTCATGTTTAAACAGATTGTTCCATTCTCGAAAAATTACTTTACATAAATTATTGTTACTTTGGTAGTCTATAAGGATCATCTGCCTACATGATTCTTTGAATATTCTCGTGATATTTGATTTTTTTGGATGCAGGGAACTCGCCTTGGAAGTTCTGATCCAAAAGGATGTTTTAGTAAGTAATACTGATGTTCGCATGATTAAGCAAATGGACTTAAGTTAGAAGTTGAGGGAATTTGTGTTGTATGTACAGTTACTGTCCACTTTTGATCTTTTATGATTTCTTGCCTGTGTTTGAGAAAACAGGAAAAAGAATAAAAAAAAAAGTAAAAAAAAAAAAAAAAAAAAATTTCAGAGGAAGACACATCCTTCCTCCCTTTTTGAAAGCATTTGGAGACATTCTTCTAAGACACTTTTTATGGGTTAAATTGACAGTTCATATAATCCTTTGAAATTTGTCCTTGTCTTGATTTTGTGAATTCTGTAATAGTATAAGAGAGTATCCGTGAGTGTCCTTTTACTTTGCTTACTATGTCCTCCTCTTGATCATCGAGTTTCTTGTCCACATTTTAGACATTGGACTTCCATCTGGCAAATCACTCTTCCAACTTCAAGCAGAGCGAATTTTGTGTCTCCAAAGATTGGCAGCTCAATCTGTGAACGAGGGTGAGTACTATGTTCCACATCGTGGATTCTCCTTAGTTATTTATTTGACCTGCATCTCTAATCACTCTGGTTCGTGCAGGTTCTGTCAGTACTACACCTATACATTGGTACATTATGACTAGTCCATTTACTGATGAACCCACCCGCAAATTCTTTGAGAGCCGCAGATATTTTGGCCTTGAAGCAGATCAAGTAAGAACTATTTTGACATTTTCAACTGACTTATTGACTTTAAACACCAGTGGCTTATTGTGATAACTGAATTGAACACAGGTCACCTTCTTCCAGCAGGGAACGATTCCTTGTGTGTCAAGAGATGGTAGATTTATAATGGAAACTCCATACAGAGTAGGGTTTTTTTCTTAATTACATCAGCTTACATGAAATATCACTTACCATGCATATTAAGATACTTTGATGATTCACTTAATAGTTACTCTGATGAGTATTCATTCTTTTTTCTGTAAAAATGTCTTTGCAAAAACATGTAAATAATTACCCGTTCTGGTCATAGGTGTATTACTGCTGATGTTTCAGTCTAACGGGCTTGTGATTTTCATTTACGTTTTCTTTGCTTGTTATTTTTTTTATTACGTCTCCAGTTATAAATATCAAATTTTGTAAAGCCAGGTAGCAAAGTCTCCTGATGGAAACGGAGGAGTTTATGCAGGTACACTAAATTAAGAAATTGCATTCATCTCCACTGTCTTGACTTCAATTAGTATATTTGCTGATATATTTATTTACTGCAGCTTTGAAATCTTCAAGGTTGTTGGAAGATATGGCTATGAGAGGCATAAAATATTTGGATTGTTATGGAGTTGACAATGCTCTGGTGCATCATTTCTTTCCTTCCTTTGTTTTCCGTTCTGAACTTATCTTGAGATATTCTCTTTAACTTAAGAGGAATGTTATTTAAATAGGTACGTGTCGGGGATCCAACTTTCTTGGGTTATTTCATTGATACAGGTGTGGCTGCTGCTGCCAAAGTTGTTCGGAAAGTGAGTAGGTTCACATATTAAGATTAATAAGACACAAGTCTTAGAATTATACATCGTCACTTATGGTTTCCTTCTCAATTTACTGGATTATAGAAAAACCCACAAGAGAAGGTTGGTGTATTTGTTCGACGAGGAAAAGATGGACCAATCTCTGTGGTTGAGTATACTGAATTGGATTCATCACTGGCTAGCTTAACTAATCAGGAAACAGGTGGCTTGCGCTTTTGTTGGAGCAACGTATTGTCCTTCTCTGATTCTCTATTTGTATCTTTTGAAATGGATTCATGTATTATTTTGTAATTATTTCGCTGTCTAACATATGCCTTCCTAATTTCAGGTTTGCCTGCATATGTTCACCCTAGATTTTCTGAATCAAGTAGCAAATGGTCTTGAGAAAGATAGCATGTAAGTAACTCTGTGTGTGCATGCGTGCGCACGAGTGTCTTATGCCCCTAATTTTGCTTCTAAATATATAAGCAGAATGTGCATGCACTGTTATTCCATTACTGGATTATATAGCTAGTGTTTTTTTCTCGGCAGCTATCATCTAGCAGAAAAGCATATTTCTTCAATTCACGGACAGACAGTAGGATACAAACTAGAGCAATTTATATTTGATGCTTTTCCTTATGCACCTTCCACGGCACTTTTTGAGGTATATGTTATAATTTCGGGAATGTTTCCCCAGGATGGAAGAAAATAAGAAATGATCTGATGATACATTAAAGTAAAAGGTTAACTCCATAAATTTCTTATTATGAACAGGTGTCCCGTGAGGAAGAATTTGCACCAGTGAAAAATGCGAGTGGATCACAATACGATACTCCAGACAGCGCTCGCCTTCTAGTCCTTCGTCTGCACGCTCGTTGGGTGACTAATGCCGGTGGCTTCTTGACTCACTCAGTTCCCCTATACTCAACTGGTACAGAGTTTGTGTTTATTGTTCGGTTGTACTACAAAAATTAAATATACCTTTTTGCATATATAAAGTTTGAGTTTTGTCGATCAAATATGCAGATTCTTATATATGATTTTGAATCAGGTGTGGAAGTTTCACCTCTTTGTTCATACGGAGGAGAGAACCTTGAGGCTATCTGCCGCGGAAGAACTTTTCATGCTCCCTGTGAGATTGGATTTTAGTTGCCAGAATCTGAATCTGATATATCGAAATATGCTTCTTTTTTTTCCATTTTGTTCGCTGAGGCTTTATATATAAACGGCAATCTCTGGTGGTGAGTGTAAGGTGGAAGTTGCTGAAGCTGTCATGGTTTAAAAGCTTGTATGAAAGTTGTCAAATCTTTTATATAAGATGTCTCTATTTAGTTGTGGGTTTGTGACACATTTGATTTAATTTGCGTCTCGAAATTGAAGGTTTGTCATGATGCCTATCCATCTGCTTGCTTTGCTTGTTCCTCCAACAATTTGGTTTATCTATTCAATTACATCTGCTCCTGCCAATTCTTCTATCCCAAAATTGTTATACAATGTATTAGAAATGCTCCTGGTACTACAATGTATTAGAAATGCACGATATCGTTTCTTGTAGAAGGATCAGAACGTGTTCTGCTCTAAACTTCAGGGATAGAGATTTTTCTTCGACAGGCTAAGTTCAACGGAGAGTGTTTTTAAGGCCTGTTCTAAAGTCCTTTCCGTCTGGTACGAAGCTTGACACTGCTACAGTGTAAACTATATAAATACATTGTAATAATTAATTGCATTGAAATGCATTCGAACATTAAACGAGATCCCAATTGGAGAAACATGAACAAGCTAAACTTTCTTCTATGAGAACACACAGTAAGAAAGAATTCGGACCGTAAAAGTTCTACTTTGCTACAAATCATCACCTGTTAAAATCTGCTACAGAGATTAGGAAGTCATATACGCAGCCTGTAAAACCACAAGCATCGGTTTATCCACGACTTCGTTCAGTAAGTGTTTAGAAACAATTACATTTCTTTTTTCGAACCACAATGTTGAAAATTTTATACATCAAAAGTGCTGCACAACTACACCACACATACTAGGGCATACAAAAATATACTCAAAAAAACCCACTCATGTGCTAACAAGGGCACAACTCCACTGATTTACAGCCCTCTATACAAAATGAACAGATGCCAAGAGCATCAAATACATCAATAAAACCAGACTTTGGCTGGTTTTATTGATGTATTTGATGCTCTTGGATACTTGTTCCATGTCAAAAAGACCATTTTAACCGTAAATCAACCGTATCTTTTTTCTTTCGCTTTCATCATGTTTCTCCACTTGTACCGCAAATCCTCGGCAGTTCTATCTTGAATTGTGTCACTGTACTCGGTAGCGATAGTCCTCCAATGTATGCTTCCAGGCTTCTCTACTCCAAGATTCTCTACTGCAGTCTCCAAAGCTTTCTCTTCAGCAGAAGTCCAGAGCCGGCGTACTCTCCTATTCTTTCCATTTTCCTTTTCAGGTTTGTTTAGAGGAGCATTCTTTGTCGTCCTTGGGCTAGGTAACCTCGAAGCTTACTCTTCTTCAGGTTCATATTCAGTCCACTCAGAGGTACGAGCAGATTTGTTCCTTTCCATCAAACTTGGTCTACGGACATTGCCCTTGTCAATACTAGTAGTAGCTTGAACATTTCCATCACCATCCACATCAATTTGGTTCAATTTGACATGATTCTCTTTTCCAGGATCCTGATTCTTGTTTTTTCCTTCTGGCATCTCCCTCGCACTAGTACCAGCCATGGCTTCAGTATTATCAACTTCACTTATTTTCGTTTCAACTCCGCCCTGTCAAATTCATATTATCAGTTATCACAATTACATGAAATAAAGTTCACAAAAAGACCAAGTATTACCAGTTACCTTAAACCCGGTCCTTCGACATAGAGAGTGAGCTCCTGCCTGAATCTACCCAGAATTATCGAAGAGGGATTTTATTAATGTCTACCTCCTCACCTGAACAGCCAAAAATTGAAAGAAAAAAAAAAGTTCGTTTCGCTATCTTTTCACGTTTTTTAACTACTGATTCTATGTGTAAAACTTAAACCAAAAAGAATGTCGTTCAAATGCCAACCTGCATATTAGGCTGGACAAGTAAAGAACTCTGAACATTTTGTGATATAAATTGCAATTGCCCCTGCAAGCATGCAAACGTAAATATTAATCTTTCCATAATAAAAAATATGTTATTCATCAATATAATTATAGTGCCATTCTGTTGGAAATATTGAAATTTCCTATGCCCCGTGATATCACACTGTACCATTTGATACAACCTTTCCAAACTGGCAGGATGAACATCGCTACATGGAGCTGTTGAGTTCAATTGTTGTCCCTATGAAAACCACAAGATACAGGATACTGTCATAAAAATTTGGAGAAATTGTAACAGCATATATAATACAGAGGAGCTGTCTAAAAATTAGACCACCTGGCCCTGTAATTATCACAAAGTTCTACATCCATATAATGAAATATATATTAGTACATAAAATGACATCGTACTATTATCCCTCTTGCATTTTCTTGTGATCCATGAGAAAAATCAAGAGTTGATGATCGAACATTCAAATATCCCTGCACCGTGGAAACAAATTACAGGTCATTTTGTTGCAGCCTATATATATCATTCTATCTTAAGTTGACAAGTGAAGCAAAAGAAAACTAAGACCTACCTACCATTTGATCCCAGCAATGCATCACCGCAGTCGTTGCTTCCTGATCCGGATGCAACCGAAAAGAAAGAAAGAAGAAGATTACTTAACATAACCACTAAGAGTATTATATGGTAACAAGAACTGGAAGGGGAAAAAATCACCTTTTCTTTCCTGATGCCCTCTTTTTTAGTTTTGCTAGTAAGCCTAGCTCGAGTCACTTCTTCAAATTCACGAAGAACGTCATTTGAGGGAGAAATGGCCCCTAAAAGAGGTTGAAGTGAACTGTTAATGCTCTCACACTTTCTGATAGCCTCTTCCAGGGCAGTAGAAGCAATGATAAAGGTCTCTTGGCATAACGACCCTTCATCGCCTACTTTACAAGCAAGCTGGCACAAGTCCGTATAGCGCAGATTCTTGGAGCCGGCCGAGTCAACTTGTTTCATCGAATCTCCATTCTTCGCATCCTTTGTCCACCGTTTCAAGATGTACTTAGCTGGGATGTTATTCACACCAGAAATTTGGAGAACAATCATCACATGTCGACAAAGGAAACCATTGTACTCAAACAAGAAGCACATACAAGATGAATCGGATGTCTTTTCATTCCATGTCACATTATATGCTCGATTTTCTTCAAAGTCTTGAACCTTGAATGTTGTGGTTCACCATCTTTGCCTTCTAATTTCGGGTGACAAGCAACCACTCCCAAAACCTCAACTTGGAATTTCTTGAATACGGCATGGGTATATATTGTTGACATTTGTTTTCCGTAAGGCGAGGGAGATTCAATCCTGGTTGCCTATGCCAAGAATCGAAATCTTGTTTAGCTTCGTCTTCGTACTTCTCCTGTAACGTTATATTATACTGGTGCAGAAACTCTTTCACACTAGTTTTTCGCAGTAAGCTTTTATCTAAAAGAGAAGTAACACTTTCCGGACGCTGTGTCGAAGACAGCCCAGCCAAAAATAAATCTTTCATAAATGTCGGAACCCATCTTATGCGGTCATCGTACAAGGACTGAATCCACTTGTCAGTTCCCAAGTCAAACCGATCCACCAATTTCCACCATCGTTTTTCGAATCGTGTTTCAGTTTGTGACTTCAATATGCACTTATAAAATTTATTTACAAAGTTTTCATGCTGCCTTATCACATAGCCTAACTTTTCCTCCATCTTACCCAATATGTGCCACAAACAAAAACAATGACGAGAACCCGGAAGAACTTCAGCTATGGCTTCTTTCAGTACTGAGTCTTGATCAGTCAATATAACTCTTGGAGCTTGACCATGCATTGACTTAACCCAAGCACGAATCAGCCAAACATAACTAGATTTGCTCTCTTCAGAAACAAATGCACATCCAAGTAACAAGGGTTGAAAGTGATTATTCATGCCGATAAACGGAACAAAAGGTAATTTGGATTCATTCTTCATATACATAGTGTCAAATAACACTGCATCATCAAAGCTCCTGTAATCAACCCTCGATTTTGCATCAACCCAAAACACATTTTTCAGACGCTGTTCTCTGTTCAAATCCACTGCATAGAAGAAGTAGGGATTCTCATCTTGCATACAAGAGAAGTACTCAAGCATGACCTGCACATCTCCCTCACGAAACCTTAATCGCAATCCACTAGAGCGCGAGCCAGTGATCTCATTCTGCATCTGTTTTCTCCTAACTCTAATAGCATTAGGCGCATCTAGGTTGTTTTGACATAAAAGATCATGGTTGTGCTCCCCTATAAAACTGCTAATAACCCATCTCCCATCTTGCCTTATCTTAACATGCATACAAGCCTTACAATCTGTTTTTGACCACGATCTGTTAATTCTACCTCGTTTTTTCTTCGCTACTGCGACATCTGTATGTTCTGAATTTTCAGACGGACAAGTGCCGCGCTTGCTTCCGTACATAGAACACACAAATTTTGCGTCGATAAATTTCCCAGAAATTCGTGATCGACGACTGGCCTTTATGATAGCAGAAAATCCAACAGATATGGCGTATTTTTTGTAAAATTCGAAAGCATGCTCTTTGGATTCAAATTCCATGCTACTTGGAGCAGCAAGAGTTGCTTTATATCCATTGTGCAATTCAACTCTTTCAGTGTCGGTGAACAGTAGTACACTGTCTTCATAATTTGCATCTGATGGATGCTTAAGATCGATTCTCATTGAGAAATTAAATATATTCCTTATATGATAATGAATTACTTGCAGCAAACCTGCAGAGTAGAGATATAGAAACTTTCACTAATCTTACGCAAAAGAAAATGGAAAGAAGACATAACCAGAACAACTTTTAACGCAACTACACACAACCATTTCAAAAATTGATTTGCTAAAAAAAAATTATCCATGAATAACGTAAAAGGCAGACAACACAGCGAAGAGGAAGTATATATTTGCAAAATTAGTAGCAGGAATTACAGTTTAGCGTTATGTAGTGCAGTGATTACGAGGAAGTCGGAGTGGAAGATCACTGCAGAGCGTCGTACTCGTAGAGAGAATTGGGGGCGAGTACACAAGTGTATTTTAGAATTCTCAACTCGCAGTCTTTAGTCGCCGAGGCCTTATGGGCTTTATATTAAGGGCCTGAGTCCAATTATCAATGTCTTAAATATATGGGCTTGTCGAACCAACATAATATAGTTTCTTATCCTAGTATGATACTACGATTATAAAAGTGTTTTTTTTTTTTTTTTTTTTTTAATTAAATAATCTGAATAAATAGTTGTTTAGTATGGCATGAGTTTAGTGGTAGATTCATTGTTTTGTATGAATTTACATGTCATTGGTTAACCCACTAATTGGGATTTAGAAAGATAAAAGACAAATCACTCCCCAAGTTAATGCATGTGTGTTGCATATATATCAACGTTCATGCACTCCAAACCCACTGTTTTGGATATATTTTAAAACAACTCATTTTTATTTTTTTCTATTACAGTTTCAATTGATCCATAAGACACAATACAGAAGACATATTTATTTTACACCTAATTAAAAGAGAATAAAACATAATCGAATTGTTTACCGAATTATTTGACCATTATATTTAAGAAGAGCACAAAACAAAACTGGGTCTCTCTGCCTACTGTTTTGCTTCTATTCAATCAATTTTTATTTTGGGAGGCATGAGAGCAAGATTCCCTATGAAATTTGTGTTCCCCAAACAAATAATAATATTTCTTCTTTTATTTTCCCAATCAAAATTGAACTCCCATAATTATTATTTTATTCGAATTCAAGATTTGTAAGAATACCCCACCTCACAACAAAAGAACAGGATGTTGGGTGGTAATAAATTTCAATGTCTTTAATATATATAAGTTTTTTGAAGGGATGAGGAGGTATGGTGCTTCATAACTATTGTGTGCCTTGTGAGACTTCTGTGAACCAACACCTAATAATAGTCTCTATGCATATATACCATATATATATACATATATAAACTGATTCTGGAATTAAGATTCTTATACTATTATTAAATTAATGTTAGTAATTAATTGTGCTAAGATCTGCATAAAGTAGCAACCTGTAAACGGGATATAATAATCTCCATCATGGCTGACAAATTGATCTACTAATCTTTTCTAGGATGTGCGAAATAGTGAGCTTACTCAATTAGTAGTGTTGGCATTTAATAATAAAAATAATAATAATTAGTAGGGTAAAGATCTAGGTTCGAATCCCACTCCGCTACTTTCCCTTATAGACTTGAATTTACTAAAAAAAATAAAAAAAAAAAAATAATAATAATAATAGCATAGGGGAATATAAAAAAATTCTGAGACCGAAAAAATCCGCGTCATCACACAGTCAAATTGTTGTTCTATTATTCATCTGACGCTCCATTATTCATCTTCACCACTTGCTCGAATCTTTTTCTTCGATTTTCGCGACAATTTCAAATCCGTTGTTTCTTTTCAAAATATTGTAATAAACTAATATATTCTCAACAATAATTATTTATTCTTATGAGATTTCAATTGATGAATTTTATGGCTCAAGACTACTCTTAAGAAGGGTTTTCTGATGAATCACTTACTTTTTCGCAGTTCACTAATTAAATTTTATGAACAACAGATTCAAATGTCAATATAATAGAGTCCTGGCTTCGATATAATCGAGTTTAGCTGGAAAAAGAATATATTATTTCACACTAGATAAATATTAATAATATATAAATAACTGTCTCACATTCACAGCTAGCCGTTGCTGCATATCCTACAGTCTAGTAGTAACAAGATTCACTGTATTTGACCAACATATTAAATAAGATTAATAAATTAATGTTTTCTTGACAACATAGGATGCCAAAAACCCAATTGAAATAACCGCTTGTCAAAGCTTTACTAGCTCTACCAACATTATAATTTCATTTCTTCTTTCTTTCCAAAGTCTTTAACAATTCTATGACATCTATACCCTTGGCATGTGCAATGCATTTCCTAGCTCTAGATCTTATTATATAGTATAATAAAATACTAGTTTTAAATAACTAAACCTGTGTTTTATCTTTCTCTAATCACACTTGTCCACACTTGACAATTGAAATCTCAACCTTCCTAGGTTTCCACAACCAATGTCATCTACTCACATGAAAAAAGTTTCCATCTTCTTGCTTCATTCATCGTACTACCATCTTAATCTACACATAATACATCTCTATCTATATGTGTCTATAATATATTTATATATTATATATAAATTCATATTTGGACAATCAATCCCACCACCCCTACCCCACCTCTATCTCTTTCTCTCTCCCTCTCTCTCTATATATATGTATATACCCCAAGAGATAGGACATCACCTTCATCACCTCTCCCACTCCAACTAGTTTCAGCAAACAAAAAAGAAAATAAAAATTAAAGGGTTCAGTTTTGATCACAAAGAAGCCAAGAAAAGATCAAAAAGATGACACATATAGCTCTACCTTGGTGGCCCAAAACGAGTTCCTCCACCACCAACTGCAGCTGCAGCGGCAGCGGCAGTGGGCCCACCACCACCACAACCAGTAATAACTCAACAAGAACAGAGGCTGCTGCATCAAACAACTGCTGTGGCCTCTCAAAACTGATAAGAAGGATCAAGAAGCGTACCAAAATGTTGCAATATGATCCACTCAGTTATTCCCTCAACTTCGACACAACTGCTTCAGGAGATTTTCTCGATGAAGATTACTACAAATACTATGCCTTTTCGTCAAGATTCGTCGCCACCCCTACAATCGACTGCCAAAGATCAGTACTTGTAGCTCCTTCTCACTGAACAAGTAATCTCTAGGATCAAATTTTGATCAATCATCATTTTGTATTGTATTGTAGGTACATTATATATATGTGGCTCTTCAGATCATTAAGACAAATTCTATTTATCACTCTTTCACAAATTTACTTTTCTGTTTTTCAAAGATTCAATGTTCAAGTAATGTACACAAGTTGAGGATCAACTAAGCATCAATCTAATCTCGCAGTACACGGCAAAGCTATTTGGGACTTGAAAAGGTTTCATCACATTTTCAAAAGGAAAACAATTCGAAACGAAAGGAAAAATACAAGTTACTAACTTGAAATCCAACTCTAAAACATCAAGATCAATAATGTCAAACTCATTTATGGCAGCAGAATATAAAACCAAGATAAACCGATTGCAGTTCCTACTCACACAAATTGAGATATAAAGCTCTAGCAGTACTATCAAGATTCTGTGATGTAGGAGCAGCATTATACAACGTATTAGAAAAGCTTTAGCAATACTATCAAGATTCTCCTATACTTGCATATGGTGCCCTGTACCGCTATACAAACCTGAGCCATAAGATTACCCGATCCATTTCCCACATCCGTCTAGACCTCACGATATTGTTCCTTCTAGAAGGATCGAACATATTTTGCTCTAAACCTCAGGGCTCTGTGATTCCTTTACCTTTCACTCAGGGCAATCAAATAGTGCTGCAAATATAGTCCAATAGTCAGAATATTTTTCTAATTTTATGATTAAGATCAATGAATCAAATAGATAGGAGGAACCTACACAAGTAAAAGGCAGGTTTTATCAGGGACTCCAAGTCTCCAACAGGCTGAGTTCCACAAGGAGAGCGTAAGGACTGTTCAAAAATCTTTCTTTCTGTCTGGCACGAAGGTTGGCACTGTTAAACTATATAAATACATTCTAGTAATTATTTTCATGAAAAGCATTCGGTAATTAAATGGGATCCTCATCGAAGAAACATGAACAAGCTAAACTTTTTTTCTAAGAGAACATACAGTAAGAAAGAACTCTTACCATAAAACTCTCCCTTGTTGCGAATCATAACCTGTTAAAACATGCAACAGAGATAAAGAAGTCATCTACAACTGATAGTAGCAGCCTATAAATCTAAATCAACCATCATTTTCCGTAAATTCCATAGCAAAAACACAAGCATCTATTTATCCACGACTACATTCAGTTAGTATTTGGAAACAATTACTAAAATGTTAAATTTTATAGATCAAAGTGCTGCACAACTACACCGCACATACTGGGGCATACAAAAATATAATCGAAATAACATGCCACTCATGTACTAACAAGGGCCCTACTCCACGATTTACAGCCCTCTATATACAATCAACCGATGCCAACAAAATACATCAATAAAACCAGCCAAAATATACAAACGAAGTAGCAACAGATGTTAGGAAGAGAAGCCTGGACCCCTGACCTTCATCAAGCCAAAAACACCCCATAAGGGCTAACAATTCCATTCCTAGATTTACCATATGGATACTTGTTCCATGTCAAAAAGTCCATATTAATATTGGACGCTGTATCTTTTTACTTCCCTTTCCTTGTCCCTCGTATCACTGTCAGTTCTATATTTAAATATGTGAGGGTACTTCGTATGGACGGCCATCCAACTTACTTAAATCCTTGTTCATGTTTCTCCACTTGTCCCTCAAATCACCGTCAGTCCTATGTTTAAATACGTCACTGTACTTGGTATGCATGGCCTTCCAATGTCCTTCTCCAATCTCCCTTACTGCAGCCATCAAAGTATGTTCTTCCAGAGGAGTCCAGCGCAAGCGTTTTCTCCTCTTTCCATTTTCATTTCCAGGTCTGTTTAGAGCAGCAATTATTTCCGCCATCGGGCTAGGTAACCTTGCAGCTTGGTCATCTTCTGGTTCATCAATCGATTCACTCCACTCATATGTACGAGCAGATTTGTTCCGTTCCATCAAACTTGGTCTACGCACATTACCCACATTAATACCAGTACTCACTTGAACATCTCCATCACCATCCACATCAACTCGGTTCGATTCGACATGATTCTCTTTTACAGGATCCTGATTCTTGTTTTTTTCTCCAGCTGCCATGTTTCTTGCACTAGTACCAGCCATGGCTTCAGCCTTCCTTTTTAGAGTATCCTGATGCATGTTTTTATCTCCAGCTGCCATGTTTCTTGCACTCGTACCGGCCATGGCTTCAGCAGCAATTCTCAATGCATCGGGAAGGGGATCCTTCACAACCGCTCGAAGATCCAATGAACTCCGATCAAGGGCTTCCCGGACATTACGAACTTCTTCGCTCATTGGCGATTTGCTTCTCCTCTCACATGACAGCTCCATTGCATTTACATCATCAGGACCAGGATCGACAAGTTTGGCTTTTCCCCTATAACGTCTCACACTAAGAGGCCTTGGCCTCAGCTTCATTCTTATATTATTTTTCTTTTCATAGCCGACATTACCTACATCTTCAAGATGATGAGAAGGTGCTTCTTTTACAGTATCCACATCACTGCTTCCTACACCTAGAATTTCCATTAGATGTTCATCATCCTGCAGTTTCGCCGCAGCGAACTCCAGAAAGGGAGGGCCCATTCTATCCCACTCTCCCCTCAGAAAAACACTAACTGCATCAAGAGCATTAAGACCCTCGCCCTTCTTCACAATGCTCTCAAAAAGACTTTCATCCCATACGGCAGCCTCAATATATTCTTTCCACAGCGAAAGCTCTTCCGAGCACAAAGCCCCATTCCCTACCAGCTTCTGCATACTCCCTATCCTCTTCCTCCAAAGCCTCCTTGCATTATCGTAAAATCTGAATATGTTACTATTTGTCCCCTTTATCGTGCACTCCACCGCCACAGCACAATAGGCGTGTTTCATCTCATCCGAGACTTTCACGTTACCTTGTCTGAACTCTATCTCTTCCAGTTGCTCCAACAGTACAAGTGTGCTTTCAGAAATTGAAAAACACGCCACTTGATATTCCAATGTTTTCAGCAAAATCAGCTTTTTCAGCCTCGTGTTTGTGTTCGACAGAGGCAGAGCGCCAATCAAAGAAGTCAACGTCCGCTCCTCCAGCGGTTGTCTGAGATAAAACTCCAGAATCCAGTTCGCACTGTCTTCGTCGATGTCCATTCGAGAAACGTTGTACAAAACCCTAATTCGTAGAAGAAAATAGGGTTTTTATATGAAAATATATGTCGTGGTTCTTACTTCTTAGAACCTAATTCGCAGAACAAAAGAGGTATTTTCGTGATTCGTAGAACCCTAATTCTTCGCAGATGAAAAGAGGGATTTTTGATGGAAAATTGATGTCGTGGTTCTTGCTAGGGGTTTCATCTCATCGTGAAATTAAAGATGAATTCAAATGTGTGGTCCAGATTTCATCATCTACTCGGCTATAAACTATTAGCATAAATAGGCCCAACAGACAAAACGGGTCAAGCCCATAAACAACTATATTCAGAACAATAACTAAAAAGCCCATAATACAATTGCTGGGCCGATTACATGTAATGTCTTAATTAACCCAACCTCACCGCCAACAAAAACATTAGCGCGTGCTTGGTTGGCAATTTTGGGGGTAGGCGAAAAGAAATCGAAAAGGCCTCATAACTGTCTAACGGTAGATAATTACTACCCACGCGTTTCTACGCGCTTGTATTTTTTTTTTTTTTTTTTATAAGCAGAACATCGACATTCTTATTTATGAATCCAGAAAACAAAATCACAAATTATTGGGCAAAATTGAATGTTTATACCCATCAATTACTACATACAATGCAAAATACACCAAACGAAAACAGCGGTTAAAAATATCAGACGGAATTGACGGCGGTGGAAGTGGCGTCACCGCCGTGGTTTTCAATGGGAATGTTAAGTGGGGCGTGAAGAGTGGTTTGATCATCGGGGTCGTAATCAGGGTTGAGGCTTCGATCTATGGCTTCTCGGCCTTTCTCCAGACAGGGTTTGCAGGCGATCTCCATCGTACACCAGCCCAGCGCCACCGCCACGATCGCTATCAACGCCGTCGTCAACGCCCCCATCGAGATCTTCACTGGTTAGGCCCGGGGTTTGGGGGTTTGGGTGTAGTCAAGTGTCCTACGCGCTTGTATTAAACCGTCCAATCAGAGAGCTCCCAAATTGATGATATTTTCACAGTGAAAGTGCGCGTGGAGTTCCTATATCTACATTCCTGACTATTTAAACCTGGCAGACATTCCTATTTCTTCTACGGAGATTAAAGAAATATCTTGTGAGGTAAATCGGATATTGCGAAATGACGGTACTACCCTTTCCGTCCAGTGATCTTTCATTCAGTTAACAACAGTGCTCCTCTCTGTATAAACAGCGACTTTCAATTATTGAAAATGTAAAATGCGAGTTTAGTCTACACTTGATATTATTGGAGAGAAGTAACTTTGAAGAGGCGCAACTATATCAACGTCGCGAAAAGCCAGCGTGAAATTACAGATGTACGTGGAACCACTATATATACAGAGAGAAAGAGAGAAGACTAGAGCGAGACTTTCTGGTACGATCTATCAGACTTTAGCTTTACAACACAGAGTTCACGGGAAGATCACCAGTTCACACTATCGAAGGTATATTTCTTTTATCTGAAAACTTCAGATCGACCTGTAAAATTCCGATTGCTTTTCCGGTTAGTCGGATCAACATCTGTGTCGACTCTTTGCTTACGAAATTGATGGTGGTTGAATGGATTATGATCTCTTTTTCCGCAATTACTTCCTAACTGTGCACTTAAAATGAAGATTTCATTACTTTTTGTTGTGAAAATGGAGCTTACTTGTTTTTTAGGTCTGGGTAGTTTGTTCGGATGTTTAAGACTGGGTAGTTTTATCCTGCAAAATTTGTGTGGCGTGATCTGGATAAATGAATTCTGCCAATTGTCAATTGTGCTTAATTAAAGAGTATGATTCTTAAGTTCCAGCTCAGGCCTTAATTACGCCCAAAACTGTTTTCTGTTGTTTAATGTTTGATAAACATGATCGCAAAGTTGAATTATTGTGCAACCCATCTTCAAAAATACCTATCAATAGAAAATCAAAGTTTAAGGAATCTACCCTGTCGAAGTCAAGTTACCAATTGTTCTCCGAACTCCTCCTTGGTCGGTAAAAAATGGCGAGTATACATACACCTTGTAGGTGCAGATTCTGGGCTTATGCCGCGATTTAGTTGTTTCATTGTGATTCATGAGAAAAGGGATGTTGGGGCTTGCTTGAAATATCATCTGGTCTCCTCTCTTTATTTTGTTGTAATTTTGTAATCTAGGAAATTCTCTCCCCTTGTTATTTCTGTTATCGGAGCTAAAAGTCTATTTATAATTCATGGTTTTCTGAACACGGTATGCGTTTTTGCAGGTCTCTTCTAGCTTGAAGAAGCTCAATGAAGAAATGAGTAAAATCTTATTTCTTAATTTGGAGCCTGATTGAGAACCAAAATTTCCTCCGTTGGTTTAGTTGACAGATTGTGGTGAGGTTTTTCATCGGTGTTTCTTTGTCACGGATCTGCCCAAAAAGAGAACGGACATGGAACAAAAAATGGGAAAGTTCGTAATGGGGCAGCAAAACAACTCTGAGCAAATTAGTTACAACTCTGTGGATAACAGTAATCAAGGCATGGGCTCTGTAACTCAGAGATTTATTCAGGATCCCTCTAATTCTATGAGTATAAATTCAAGACCATCTGATCATAATATGACAGTTGGCGCAAGACCAGTTCTGAACTACTCCATTCAGACTGGCGAGGAATTTGCTCTTGAATTCATGTGGGAAAGGGTGAATCCCAGGCAGTATATTCCAAATTCTCCTGTTGAGGCTAATAGTGACACTACATCTGTGAATCTACATGGTGTGCTTGGAGCATCTCATACTGGTTCTGAAAGATATCCTGATGCTTACTCGTTTCCGTCCGTTGAAAAGGGTAAAGTCCAAGATCTTGTGAGTAATGTTTCTCTAAGAGATGAAAAGCCTATAGACAAGTCCCTTCCATCAGCGACTAGAACTTCATCAAAAATTTCAAGTATTCACAGGTTTCAGAGTCATTCTTCTATGGGTTCTTTTGGTGGCTCGTTGAAAATGTTGAAGTTACTCTGCAGTTTTGGCGGCAAGGTCTTGCCTCGTCCAAGTGATCAGAAGCTTAGATATGCTGGAGGTGAGACACGCATTCTCCGCATTAGCCAGGATATTTCATGGGAGGAGCTTAAGCAGAAGGCAATGATGATGTATAGTGAACCTCATTCTATTAAATATCAGCTTCCTGGTGAGGATCTTGATGCATTGGTTACCGTATCCTCTGATGAAGACTTACAAAATATGATGGAGGAATGCAATTTACTTGATGTTGGTGAATCCCAGAAGCTCAGGTTGTTTCTCATTCCAAACAACGACTTGGAAGATTCCCAGCTTGGTCTGGAGAACGTAGAAGGTGATTCTGAAGTTCAATATGTTGTTGCTGTAAACAGTATGGATTTTGGTTCAAGAAGAAACTCGGTAGTTGTGAAAAGCCATTTTGGGAACAATTTGGATGAGTTACTCAGCCTAAGAGTTGAAAGTGAGACGGGTCGTATTCCCGTCGCGGTTGCTGCAGGTGGTACTTTAAATGCCAGAGTAGTCTCACCTTCACCAAATCAATCTTCTCAGACGGCGCTGCCTAGTCCATCGCATGCTTTTGAGGCCAGTTCACTTGGTTACCAGGTCCAAACTATCAATCACCAACAGCATGGATGGCATTCATCACAGGCTTTCCACCAAATGGACACCCTCCCTAATGTATATCAGAAAACCATAGTTCCACCATCTGATAGGATTCAATATGGTTATGGTTCTCTTCAATCAACTCATGCACAAATTGCAGAAAAAATGGTCCCAGATCCTGTCCTTGGGCAGCCTTATGGGAGCTTGAACGCTGAGGTAGCAAAAGTATCAGGGTTGGAGACAAAACTTGACCAGGTTGAATCTGATAAAGATCATTCTCCAGTGACAGATGTTCCTCGGACGGACACACAGATGAACATGGAAAACTCAATCAAGAAAATCAGCGACCATACTATAGTGCAGTCTCTTGATGATGGCAAGACAGACTCTTTACAGACTTATGATACTTCATCTTTAACTATTGCACCATCAGAGGAAGCATTTACTGTTACTAGTGCTGCAACGCACAAGGGAACTTTGGTCATACCAAAAATTAGTGAAAAGAATCATGAAGATGCAAGGGATTGCGTGCCTCCAATTGTTGTTCAGGATCAGATGATGAATAAGTTTGATATCGACAATCATTCTCATACATCTGGTGCGTCCGTTCATGGAGACTCCCTGGTATATGCTCAAGACATCAGCTACGAACCAGATATTCTTCCTCACCGAATGTTCCAATCAGAAAGAATACTCAGGGAACAGTCAGGGCTTAATCGTTTGTTCAAATCAGATGATTCTATTGGTCCACAGCTCCTAATGGCTCATTCCAAATCAGATGTATCACAGAAGATTGCGGAAACAGCGGATAAGTTGACTGGTTGGAATGTGACGGACGATTTGGATCGTGCGTCTACTGAAGGGAACGTAAAAGAACCTCAGAACTTTGCTGATGATGAAAATGACTTCAGTGCAATGACTTCCAGAAAAAATCAGTCAAATCTCAAGGCTGAGCTTAATGTTGGGTCAAATTTTCCTTTGACAAAGCAAGGAACTTCTGAATTTTCCCAATATGAATCTGCTCCTGCATCAACAGAGACTCGTCAGAAAGAATTGCTTGAAAAAGCCAATGAGGAGGAACTACATGTTACGAGTAAGGAAGACATTCCTTCTACTTCTGCTTCCGAAAGTAAGCACCATTTAGCCGCTGGCACTCCAGAACATGGGGACATACTCATTGACATCAATGACCGTTTTCCTCATGATCTTTTATCTGATATTTTTTCTAAGGCCATTACAGAAGAGAGCTCTGCTGGTTTTCCACAACTGCATGGCGACGCAGCTGGCTTGAGTGTGAACATGACTAATCATGAACCTAAACATTGGTCATTCTTTCAGAATTTGGCAAAAGATGATCACAGAAAAGATGTTTCCCTTATGGATCAGGATCATCTTGCGTTCTCATCTTCACAAGCAAAAATTGGAGAAGATGCATCCATGGATTATGGTTATCTACCTTTTGAGACTGGTGCAACTGCAGCAGATGGTGTAGATTCTAGTAGTAATTTTGGTGCTAAAAATCCGAGGCAATCGTCTGGCCCTGTAGGACCTGACATCATGAATTTGCCTTCTGATTATGATATTTCTCAGGCTCCTGGTGTCCAAAGTCTGCAATTAGATCGTCCAATGACCTCAAGGACAGTTGGATCTGATTATGAGGTATTATTTGATTATAACCAATTTTGAGTGATTTGATTTACTTCTATTGCATCAGCTAATGATATTTTCTTTACACTTTAAGGATGGAAAGAAAGCAACTCAGCAGACAGGCTTCCCTCTTGTTGATTTATTTGATCCCAGTACCCTTCAGGTAAGCACCTCTATAACACGATACATTGTCATGTGGTCCAGCATTTCCATGTGTATTGATCAGTTCCATAATACCATCTTTTGATGTGATGAGACATTTTAACTTCATTCACTGTAGCTGATGTTATTCCCCATCTATGGCTATGCATGGATAACATGAAATAGTCTGCAGAAAGTCTTATCGGCTGATCATATTGGACGCTTTGATCCACTAGGTGGTAATAACTGTTTCTTTGTTCCTTTGCAGATCATAAAGAACAGAGATCTCGAAGAGTTGAGGGAATTGGGTTCTGGAACATATGGGACTGTTTATCATGGTAAATGGAGAGGAAGTGATGTTGCTATCAAGAGAATAAAGAAGAGCTGTTTTGTAGGCCGCTCATCTGAGCAGGAGAGGCTGGTAAGTTATTCAAATCAAATGCACTAATTGATATTTCTTTTTCTTTTTTTCTTTTTTTAATTTTCCTGATGAATAGTACTGGTACAAAGAAAATGCAACATTGCAAGATTTTTTGCCAAAATACTTAAATTTAGGTGATTATTGTTTATCAACCCTTTTTAACCAACAAAAAGATTGACCAAAAGGCTACATGATGTTAGGATTCTTAAGTTTAGATGAAAGTTTCAGTTATAATTCGTCCACCATGTTCTTCATGGTTTGATTTGTGACAGAAACCTTATGATATTCTGTAGTCGGCTGATTTCTGGCATGAAGCTGAAATTCTGTCAAAGCTTCACCATCCAAATGTGGTGGCTTTTTACGGTGTAGTGCAAGATGGGCCAGGAGGGACACTTGCTACCGTCACAGAGTACATGGTCAATGGGTCCCTCAGACATGTTTTAATTTCCAAGGACAGGTACAGGTTGGTCCTATATTTAGAATTCATGCCTCCGTCTCTCGTATGGCCACCCCTTTTAACATTTGCAATTTGTTCAGGCATCTTGATCGTCGCAAGCGGCTCATCATTGCTATGGATGCAGCTTTCGGAATGGAATATTTGCATTCGAGGAATATTGTGCACTTCGATTTAAAATGTGACAACCTGCTTGTTAACTTGAAGGATCCCTCCCGACCCATATGCAAGGTGACTCATTTGATCTCACTTAATTTATAGATCCCATTAATCAATCCAAGAAAAAAAAAAGGACAAAATATGAAAAAAGACTATACTTGTGCTTTTTTGAAGTATTGATATCTTTACTTGTATATAAATGAAAAATATCCAGGTGGGTGATTTTGGTTTGTCAAAAATCAAAAGAAATACATTGGTTACTGGTGGTGTCAGGGGAACCCTTCCATGGATGGCTCCCGAGTTATTAAATGGTAGCAGTAGCATGGTTTCGGAAAAGGTAATTTTTTTCCGATCCAAACAAAGACCTGTTCACATCGAGAAGTTAGTTGGTCAATGCAGATAATGATGATGCAATGTTTCATCTTTACAGGTTGATGTATTCTCTTTCGGAATAGTACTTTGGGAAATTCTAACGGGCGAAGAACCTTACGCCAATATGCACTACGGAGCAATCATTGGTATATTCACTCTTCCATTTGTACTAATTAATAAGATCGGTAGAGAATATGAAGAAGATTCGACAAATAAGATTTTGATGCATGGTGTTATTGTGAAAGCAGGTGGTATAGTAAATAACACACTCCGGCCGCCTGTGCCAAGCTTCTGCGATCCCGAGTGGAGATTACTGATGGAGCAGTGTTGGGCGCCGGATTCATTGGCTCGCCCGTCCTTCACCGAGATTGCTGCACGCTTACGCTCAATGTCTGCTGTAAGCTTCACTAAACCACAAGTCTTTACACCACTCAATCACTTGCCACCTAAGTGATCACTTCCAATTTTTCCAGCTGTGATATATTTATAATATTATTTTCAAAACATTAATGGTCATTATATTATGGCCAGTATATTTTGTATAGTATGTATATATATATATTTACATGGAGAGATAGATACTTCTCCTTCGTGTGCATTTGAGTTGAATTTGTCTTACTGAGTGTGAATAATTTTGTATTATTTCAAGGGAACTACAGAAACTGATGTCAATACAATCACAATTGTTTGCCATTTTATTTCTTACCTGAATATTTTATTAATTTTCCCCTTAAATTACAATTATCTCCATTTGACTTTCGATCAAAAAGACAAACTCTATTTGACCATTGACTTATTGGAAATATTAGTAAATCCAAAACTTGAAATCCAACGACCTTAATAATTAATTAATTAATGAGTAGGATCAACAAAAAAAGGTCCCTGTTTATTACTTGCTACAACAAACAAAAAAAATATTTATTTCATACAAAGAAAACCTGGCCAACATTCAAAAGGCTCTCATGAGGCACATTAAAAATGACACTATTCTCCCTGCAAATCTTCCTAAGAAACGCATATATGTAATCAATAGCTATCTTCTTATAAATCCTCGATTCCCGCCTTGCCCTAACTACCGTATTCCCCAGAATATGCACCACCCCGGCATCCCTACAACCACTCAGAAACTCCAACTCATCAACCTCCGTATGGCTGCTCTCTCTCCCGGACGAAGTCATTGTATTGTTACCATGCACCGGCGATCTAGCTGGCACTATTGAGTCCACCGAGGATACGGTGAGGTCTAGATTCGAAGTAGAAGTCTCGCCGTTATCTTTCAACAAATACTCCCTCGACCGTTGTGTTTGCTGACCGTACAAACTGTACTCATCGGAATCCGAACAACCTTCCATCATAGATTCTAACCTAACAAACATGAAAAGATTATCAAACAATTTCTTCTCGAATTCATCGTCTTTCTTGTGAAGATCTTTGTAGCCAAATCTCGCTACGCAACGGAACATGTGGAAGCTCTTCGGTCCGATACGTTTCACAAGGAATCTTTCTTCTTCCGGAACTGTGTAGACCGGAAGGTACTTCACACACACAAACACCACCACTGAGTGTATAGCTGGCAGATTAGTGACGAAGTGGGAGAATATATGTGGGACCCCACTTGCCAGCTCGGTGTACACAAGCCCAATTCCTGGCACACGGACCAGGCCTAGGCTCGGGCCCAAGCCTAATATCCAAGCCATGGAGACCTTGCTGTGCATTTCGAACTCGTAGCGTTTAACCGTACCGTAATGCCACACGTACATTATTACGAGGAAGGCGGCTGCGATAACGAGCGGGACCCACCCGCCTTGGTCAACCTTGAAAAGTACTGCTGAGAAGTAGGTGCATTCCACGAGTAGGGAGAAGAATGTGAAGAGCAGTACGAGGATCCAATGGCAGTGCCAAACCAGTAGCATTATTAGTATCATGAGAAGAGTTGTCACTAGCATGACAATCACAACCGCCGTACCTGTTTTTTTCCACATCGTACAATTTTAGTGTTGACGTAATTTTTCTTCTTTTTTCTTTTCAAGAAAACATATTTTTGCATGTAATGGAACTCACCATATGCAATTTCTATTTTTAGTAGGTGTCTTTTGTTTTTTGCCCTTGTTTGGCCTATTAAAAAAAACAAGAAGAAAAAAGAAAAAAAAAAAAAAAGCTTACCGTAAGCATTGCCGATTTGACTTTGATTTCTGAAACCGGCAGTTACGGCAATACAAAGGCCCATAAGGATCCAATTTATGTCGGGAATATAAATCTGGCCAAGAAACTTTTTCGATGTGTGCACAACTTTGACTCTAGGAAAACAGCCGAGTGCAAGTGCCTGCTTGATTATCGAAAAAGTGGCAGATATTGTGGCTTGACTAGCTACAATGGCAGCTAATGTTGCAATTATAAATACTGGCCAATATACTTTGTCTGCAAAGAGATAGATAATCAAATTAATGAGCCGGGAATTATAAACGTGTCTGATTTTATATTCGATTTGGACATGAACAAAGACGTCTGTTTTCAATTACCTGGAATTGATCGGTAAAATGCATCTTGTACATGGTCTCTATTTTCCATGAGGTATGCTGCTTGCCCAGAGTAGGCTAGAAGAAGACAAGGAAACACAACAACCGTAAAAGCAAGCTGTATCGCAGAAACCGGGAAATGAGCCAGGTCAGCAAACAGTGCTTCTGTCCCTGCAATAATAATAGCCATAAACAATAAGTAATTAATACAATCTGTGTGTGTGTGTGTGTGTGTGAGAGAGAGAGAGAGAGAGAGAGAGAGAGAGAGAGAGAGAGAGAGAGAGAGAGAGAGAGAGAGAGAGAGAGAGAGAGAGAGAGAGAGAGAGAGAGAGAGAGAGAGAGAGAGAGAGGAGAGACCTGTGATGCTAAGCATGATCCCTCCAAGTGAGGTCCAACCTTTTTTCTTCCCTCTTTTAAGGTAACGATATATGTAGAGAGGCGAAAACGCTTTGAGTACAGAGCTGTCGTATTTATATATGTTGAAAATACCAATGCCTCCAATCATGATGAACCAAATAAGTACGATTGGAGCAAATAACCAACCGACTTTATCCGTACCGTAGTGTTGCATGCTGAACAAACCAACTAGTATGAACACAGCCATCAGTACAACCACATCTGCATCGACAAATACATTCTCAATGATCATTATATAACTTATAATACAACTCAAATTCAACAAATTTAATTCCGAGAGTAGATTATTATACCATTGCTCATCTTTGGATGGTCCACCTTGATCCCCCCAGAAGCAGAAAGAACTGCAAATTTATTTTTCATCAGCAAATACATCAAGAAATTCGATAATTTTTATTAATAAAATATAGAAGAAAAAAAATGATTACCGGAGATAGCAGGTGTAAGAATTCCATCACCGATGACCATGCATGTACCTATGAGTACAAGCATAAGAAGGGAGTTCCTTCTAAAAGCATCTGCCTCGAGCCACTTCTTAGTTTTAGCAGCAAACGAATGCTCGTGAAATGTTGTTCGGCTATAAGTTGTCAGCTCCTCGTCGGTTCTATGTTGATTCGGAATTGTTTTCACTTTAGCGTGCCGACAAAGTAGTGAATAAAGAGCAAATGTTCCTCCTGAAAGAAAATGTCACATAGATCAAATGATTTATTCTATTTATATTTGGATTAAATTCTAATACATGATTCGCAGAAACACGTAAATTATGCAATTACAGAGAGAAAAAAAAAATCATGGATTGGAAGAAGGTTACCTTGACCATTGTCGTTTGCTCTACATACAATAAAAACGTATTTGAGGAGAGGTATGAGAGTGAGGGAGTATATAATCAACGAAAGAGCTCCAATTACATCTTCCGGATCGTCTATTCCGTGAGGAAAAGTATTGTAGAACACATACAATGGAGATGTACCCAAGTCACCATACACCACTCCCAGGCTCTGAAATGCAAGCCTTAACAGCAAAATCGCCGAGAATTTCTGTTCAACGAAACACAAATCGGATAACTGTTAACATCGAAATTCTCGACAAAAAAAAAAAAAAAGTAAACAAGAGGAACCAATTATAAAAAGAAAAAAAAAGGTGAAGGAGGTGAAGATCATGTCAATGTAAAGGCAAAGTCAACAGATATAAAAGTTGCTTACATAAATATATAAAAATGTATTTTGTGAATTGGTTAAAGATGAGAAAGTGAAAGAACTTTATATAAAAAAAAAGGATGTATGTATGTATGTATTGTATTGGATACCTTTTCTCTATACATATTCTTTAATCTACCAGCCTCTTCATCCATAGGCTGATCAAGCTTCTGCTCCAAAACCCACATACTTCCCTTTGTTTCACCCCCTTCATCAGATTCCATCCCAGATGCCATCTTTTTTTTTTCAACTAATTATTCAATCCCCCAATTTTCATCAAACCCCTCAATATCAACAATTCAATTCTTGCAAAAACAGAAAAACTAAATCTCCGGATAAGAAAGAAAAAAAAATCCGAGGAGACGAAACTAATTTGGTAAGGATGACAGCAAATACACACACATACACACATACACAGGAGGGGGGGAATAAAATGAGTAATAAGATTTATAGTATTATTACTCAAATAATTGGGAAGCAATTCTGAAGTGGGGTCAACTCAATATCAGCCACATAACCGCTTTCTCAGGAAATTAAAAAGAAAAGAACTTCACCAAGAACCTTAAAAAAAACCTCTGCTATTAAACTCAACTTTTCTCCAATCCTTCTTTCTGATGCAAAATCGCCACACTTGACAAAATTCAACTTAATCCTCAAATTCTGACATCACCCAGTAAAACAAAAACCCATTTCTATGATTCCGATATGGGCTACATAGAAAGATTCCGCTTTCGTTCTTCTCTCTTTCTTCTTAATAAGGTTTTTTTTTCTTCTTTCAGACAAGTCTGTAAACAGACATCTCTCTCTCTAATCTCTATCTCTCTCCATCATTATTACATTGGCACGAGAGAGAGAGAGTGCTGTGCTGTGCTGTGCGTCGTTAATTTCCTTGAGTTGTGACACGTGGATTTTACATGGAAAATGAGAAGAATGGAAAGAAAAAAAAAAACACAATATTGATTTATTTATTTATTTTCGGTCTAACAAAAACAAAATCTGAGTTGGATTGGAAGAATATATAATTGTAATAAAACCAAGCCTAAATCTTGAGTTGCGTGTTTAATTTGGTCAGTGTTTCATTATTTTCCAATGGTACAAGTTGCGATGCAGCGGGTCCAAACTTAATTGCAGATTGGAATGGCTGCTTTGACAATTGACATTACTCTAATATGTCAATTATGCATTTATACTAATTTATACCCCCACTACATCTAATTAATAATATTAAGATAATCATGAAAAAAAAAGGTTATGTGTGTTTCAGCACAAACAATAATAAAATATTTAATTTTGTCTTTTCTGAAAGACTAATATTTATTTTAATATTGTATTTCATTTTATGTGGAGTGAGTAGCTTCTATAACTGATTATGGTCACTATTAATGAAATGAATAATCTCTCACCATATAACCAATTTCATAATTTCCTAAAGTCAATTACGATTATAGAAAAAGGAATATACTAATTTCATAATTTGATTCTCTCTTTGTTGATAAGAACATATATATTGAGCATGACTAGACATTTTATCCTTGCATTTTAGTACATATAAGTAATAATTAGGAAATGAGTTTCTCCTCTTTTTTTTGTTTTTTATTTATTTATTTATTTATTATTTATTTATCTATTTTAATTCTCTTTGAGATGTCCTAAAACAACTAAAATTGACATTTCCTCTCAGCTCTTTCTTTATTGATGTGATTAACATGACATTTAACTAAATTTATTGAAACATCTTGCAAACTCTTATATGCTAACTGAAGGCATAGTTATATGCTAACTGAAGGACTATGCGTTCGAACTTACTCGACGTTTTAAACGACAAGATTTATATCTTAAAAGACGAGATTTAACCTAGAAAACAATTATTCGTGGTTGTTATGAATATAAAAAAGCGCTCCAACTGTATATAAGTACGAAACAGTGTGCCATATTCCTTCATAATTAGTTAAACGAAACTTGGATTGTAGATTTTTTATTTGTTTATTACGAGAGATTATGTCCTATTCTGAAACTATTTTGCTAAAATAATCAATGTAAAAATAAAATCACAAATATATAATTTAAAATTAAAGGAGTTCATTATTTATATTTTAAGTAGAATCTATGTTCTCCCAAAGAAACCGTCAAAGTTTCGAAAGCTTACAATTTTTCAATTGAATTAGTTCTTAAATTAATGTGAGAATGAATATGAAATTCAACATATGATTTAAAGTCAATTGAAATAATTAATTCAAATCATAATATTAAATTCAAAATTTTAATATGTAAATTGGGAGCTCATTAAGATAATGATTCAGGATTCCATTACCTGGGGAAGGTTTATATCACGTAGGGTATTAGCACTATCAGTATCAACTATAACATATGGGGTCCATATTTTTATAATGAACTAATGATGTATTTTATATATATTCATTAATATTAGGAGAATATTATTATTATCTGGGCAAATGTGTATTTATTAAAGAATACAAGGACGAATTAAATGAAATAAATATTTTCATATTCTTTATGGCAATTATTGATTCGTGACACGCACGTGTATCGATTTTCTGCCGTACAGCTTTAAATCAAGCGCACATGTTCATGTTGAATATAGTTTCCATTGCATATATGTTGCTCACGTAATTAATAAATAACTCCAGTGATGGACCGAAGCGATCCTTAATTCCTAAATGTGACTATTTCCCATTTTTATGTTAATTAAATCATATTTTTCACTTGTCCAAAAAAAAAAATAATGTGCTAGTTCGTGAAAATGGAAAAGATAGTTGGTCTGAAGAATTTAATTTAAAGAGAAAAAAAAAAAGAAAAAAAAAAGAAAAGGAATATTCGGAAACAAATTCCTCTTCAATGATATCGTGGTAGGAAAAAGAACACCGCACCTGCAGGACAAATAACGTTGGACCCAATTGGCATGACAAGACATCACACATATCTGTGACTGGACAAGTACGCATATGCATATGTACTTTCTATGTAGGTATGGTATGAGATTCATATTAATGCATAATTCATCAAGATTAGCATAAAAAAAATAAAAAATAAAAATTACATCAATCTGGTCATTTTCCTCTCGTAATAATTTAGTAGAAAACTCTTGCTTTTAATGTTTGGGCTTTTACAAAATAAGTTTTTTTTCCCCCAATATTTTGGACCTTTTTCAAAAGAACTTATAAGCAAGCTGATGGAATATCATCTTATTGTGAACAAAAAAAATCAACAACTAGATAATTGATAATACCAACTGACCCATTTCTCAACCGAGGAAGTCAGTTGCCAGTTATTCTCCGACCCACGATGATTTGGTCAATACTAGTTTTCAGTATTTAGCTTAGTTAGCTAGTTGGTTTGGGTCGATAATTGGCCGTTAATTACCCAACACACCCAAATTCTTCACACAGCAACATATTTTACATCAACTCAATTTATGTCATATTAAGACACCCATACTACATGATGTTACTGCAATCCATTTGGGAATGGAAGAAGTATACACAGTCTTAACCCGAGAAAATAGCCAGACAACCCCTATCAAGCGTGGATAAACACCACTTAATCTCAATTCATACATTCGACACCTTCCTTAGATTCATACGACTGTTTAGTGTTTCCCAGAAAAAAAATGGATGTCTCAGAGTTCTTCACTTGCTTATCCTACAATATGCCATATCAACTTGCCCTAAATTATTATAGGGATAAGTTGCGCAAATATAGCTACCAAGTTTTAAACCTCAACTATCATCATGGCACCATAAATATAATAAACATACTGCAAGGAGGTACTTCATCATTTATCCAAAAGAAAATTCAATCCATAGAACAAAAGGACATCAAAAAAATTTGATAAGGCACATTAACAGTAGAAAGTAGACCCATTCGGTATGAGAAAATTCCACATTTAATCGTATATTCAAAATGATATTCGACAGAGTCACACAGATAACCACATACGTTAGCAAAGACAAACAAAGACAGTCAAAATGAATCAAACCTATTAGTCAAAAGTAGTGTTTCATTTTTGCACCCTAGTAGATATTGCAACCAAAGCAAACACGTTAAAAGGTCAAGAATAAGTCGATATGGTACAACAAACAAGAGACGAAAAGAACCGCACAAGTTTAAGCCAAAAACATAAGACAAATTTGGACATACTAAACACCGAACACTTAACACTGTTAATCAATTCACCTTGCCTGCACCAAACAGATTAACAAGTAGCATCCAACATAAAGAAAAACATAAACTCTACACAACATAAAATAAGATCAAAGACAACCTTAATTCATCATCGCAACAACACAAACAAACTCACCCGTTTAAAAGGTTCTCCACTTTATACTTACACTTTTTTCCCTTCTAAGAAATGTACTGAGTGCTCGACTCTGCTATCAGGCATCCAAGTTTTCCATCTGAATGTTACTCTTAAGAGGCACATATTCCCCGAGGTATCCACCGAGATGATCACAAAGCGCACTCTTATCAATACTTTGATGATGATAGCTCTTGCAAACATAGTAAAACACACTCTGCACCAAAAGTCCGACCAGATTCACAATCACCAAAACACCAACAAGGAACCCACCTACCACAATCCTCACCAAGACCCCGTAATCATCTCCTCCATGCACCACAATCGACCCAAATATCCCGTTGATCACTCCGCAAATAGCCAAGTAAACAAAAACGATAGCGAAACCCATCCGAGTTTTCCCCTTCAACAACTCATAGCTCTTCTTCATAGCATCTATCCCATAAATAGGCTCTAGAACAGACACAACGCTGGCAAGATGCCACAGAGCGCTTATGTAAACATGTACGCCCAAAAACAACAGGAAAACCACAATGATGGAGAATAGAAACAAGAACACGTTCTGCGTATCCACGGCAATGATGAGAAGCACGAGAAACACCAGGAACACAATGTTGTACACGACCATCAGAGTGGAAACCCACATAAACGTGAGGAAGAGGCGCCTAAACACGCTGGGAATTGCGGCAATGGTGGAGGAGAACGAAACGGGCTTGGAGGTGTAGAGCGAGGCGACGGTGAATACGACGGCGGCGGTGGATAGGAGGGAGAAGGCGAAGAGGAAGATGAGGTAGAAGAACTGGAAGACGAGCAGCTTGGACCAATCGGAGGTGGCGGCGGTGGTGTCGGCCTGGAGCTGGGAGAGGATCGGGTGCGTGAAAAGTGAGTGGGCTAAGATGGCGAAGGAAAGCGGGAAAATTAGGGTTAGGGTTATGAGGTAGAAGGTTTTGGGGGATTGTTTGGGGATGGAAATTGATTCCTTGAGGATATCGGGAATGCTGAGGAACTGAAGCTCTTCCGCCGCCAGATCCATTGTACAGGAAAATATTTCCGATGAACTGATGAAATCTGAAAAATTGATATTGTGCGCAGTAGTAGCAGATCCGACGGGCAAAGGAGAGGCGGGGGTGGGGGGAGAGAAATTAAAAGGTGACGGAGAAACGGAGGAGGAGGAGCGGTGGTGATTGGTGACGGTGGCGATGGCGACGGCGTGAGGCACCGCCTTCAGCTACGGTGAAAATACTAGATTGAATTGAGAGTCAAAATAGGATACGCAACTATTTCTTAATTGCGATTTGAGTAGGTGGCGACTGTATTTCAGCTAATGCGATTTCAGCTTTGTCGGTTGTTGCTTCATTATTCCAGTCACCTAATAAAACTTACTAATTAGTAGATATAAAATTAGATATTGACGAAGAAAAGGGTAGAGAATTTAAAGTTATTATTTATTAATGTATGTAGAAAGATAAATTAATCAATTTTATTTATTCTTGGCTCCCCTTATTAAATGCATGTATCTATCTATATTAGAGAAAAGGGACTCGAGCTATCATAGTCAATATTCAATATATGTTGTGCTCTGTGGAAAATAAATAATTAATAAAAGAAAATTGAATTAAAATAGAGAGGGCTCGTATTTAAGGTCAGCCCATTAGCCGTATCAATCTACAGTTGTAATGAGATTGGGCTATGATTTTGTTAGGGACAACAACCAAAAGGCCCTTATCCTCAAAAAAAAAAAAAAAAAACCAAAAGGCCCATTATATGATCTGTCACGCGAAACACGTGGAGGAAGTCCACGCGCAGGCGTCGGTAATAAGAAAGCGATGTGGGAGGACAGAAAGTTATAGAGGTTTTGAGAATAAGAGGATATGTTTATCCCTCACACGTGAGATAGATATTAAACAGAGGATGGCGAATTTTCTATCGAACAATTTCAGGGCTTTTTCTGTGTCTGCTTCGATTTCTTCTAATGGTAATCTCTCCTTCTACTTCTCTTCTCATTTTCTCTCCCTATCAATTCAATTTTTATGATCCTTGCTGCTTCGATCATTTACCCCCATTTTTTTTGCTGAATTAAATATTATTTTTCAGCCAGAGCAAAGATGGAATTATCTACTTTTTGGTACAATTATGCTCTCTTGTGACTTGGTTGTGTGTTCCGACTGGCTGATGTGCTTCAAGATTGTTTTATTTATTTATTTATTTTTCTCTCCTCTTCCAATTTGCCAAACAGGGAAGATTTGTTGATCAATTTTCAGGTGAAATGATACTAATGTGTAGAGTAATTTGTGCAATCTTAGGGTCTCCGCCAAGCGTGCCTCAAAATGCAGGGACGGTGATTATCGAACTTCCTCTTGATAAAATCCGGAGACCCCTTATGCGTACACGATCAAACGACCCACAAAAAGTGAAGGAACTCATGTCTAGCATTAGCGAAATCGGCCTTCAAGTACCTGTAAGTAAGCTTACTAATTTATAGCATCATGTACCGAATTGAGGTCGTTTGTTTTCTTGATTAACGGATAAGTAATGTTTGTTAAAGCTGCTCTCATAATTTCTGCCGCTTACGTATTTCTATCTCGTTTATGATGAAGATTGATGTGCTCGAAGTTGAAGGCGAATACTATGGTACATGGGCTTCCTCTAAATAGTATTCCAATTCATACACATAAATGCATTTTCTTATTTAGATATCTCTATATATTCGCCCTTGTATCTCTCGTCAGGTTTTTCTGGTTGCCATAGATACGAAGCTCACCAGCAGCTAGGTCTACCAACTATTCGTTGCAAAGTTCGACGTGGTACTAAGGAAACTTTAAGGTCTGCTTTTACTACCCTTCTCACCTTTTCTATCTAATTTTATATTCCGATGAGCTATTATTATATACCCCTTTGGCTCAATCCACCGTCCTCTGTATTATAATAGAGACTCTGCTTCAACTTCATCTTGTAGGCATCACCTTCGTTGATGCTGCTCGTGTAGCACAAGGACGACGCTCTGCACTCATCGAGCCTTCTTTGGAGATGGAGAATTTAATGATAACTATATAATTTATATACACTACCATGTATCTAAAACTAGCTAAGATGCAATATTCTGTTGTACTTTGCAAACAATATATACGTATAATAATTTATGCACGAGCAAGCATTGGTGTAAAATAGTAGATCTTCATTATAACCTTGTTGATGAGTTATGTCTAATCTAAGTCTGAAGTTGATAAAAAAAATTACTATTTTATCAACATTACAAAATGATGCCTCTCAGAACAACAAAATAATACAACAAACAAAATTATATCTTAAAAACGTTTAACATAAATTAAAACATCATTAATGGTAATTAACATTCAAAAATATTTTTGACACAAGTACAACTAATTTTAAGGGATGAAGAGTTCTTTAGCAAGCTATTTTCCACTAACATAAAATAAATTAATTGTTCAAAACAATTATTTACTTTTATTTAATAATAATATTCGATACTGTAAAAATATTTTGGTACGGTAATAATTCGATGTAAATACTTTGGAATGTTTTGATATGGCAATTGGTTTACAGGACAATATGGTAAAAGAAGTTGGGCCCTAGGCATAACGACCATTAATAAGGGGAGTCAACCCTCAACCGACAACCATTTCTCACCACTCACTCACCCTGTGTTCTTTTCTAGTCTTTCCTGGTTGAATTCTTCTTTCTTTTCTTTTTTAGCATAGCCGCCATGAATAAATTTATATATTAAATATATATTTATTTCGGAAAAATAGAGATACATTATTTTCTTGGTTGAATTTCTAGTTATGAGTATAAGAGAGTCAGTGGCAAGTTCGATCGATAGAGATGTGTGTTATAACATATTCTGCATGATCACATCACATCTACTAAATTAGTTATATATATATATATATATATATATATATATATATATATATATATATATATATATATATATATATATGTGTGTGTGTGTGTGTGTGTGTGTGTGTGTTGCCGTCTTGTGTTCATATCGTCAGTGCACGAGATCCTGTGGCTACACATATATATGATGGGGGATTTTTTTTTTGATATGAGGGGGGAATTCGTTATTATATATATAAATAAATATATATATATATATATATATATTATGTGTATACAGTATATACACATATATATACATGTACACACAGAGAGAGAGAGAGAGAGAGAGAGAGAGAGAGAGAGAGAGAGAGAGAGAGAGAGAGAGAGAGAGAGAGAGAGAGAGAGAGAGAGAGAGATTAACGAATTTACATGGAGGTTTCGGCATTGACCATATGTGGGTAGCTAAAAGAAAATTCAAAAAAGCAATTCCTCCACTATTCGATCATAATTCATATATATATCTAGGGTCCAGTACTTACTGCTGGAAGTGATCATCTTCTTGCTCCGAAAGAAGCGCAGTGGGACCAGAGTTTTTCTTTCTCAAGGTAATCATTAATTATCTCGATATATATATGTACATATGCATGCAATATAATATCTGTAATTTTTCATTCCAAAAGTAGTAATTATAAATTAGAGATACGTACGGATATATGATTTATCCATGATATGGTATATGATTGATGTATGATCTTCTTGTTTTGTAGAAGTGCGAAGAACAGCTTGCATATTTAATTGGAGATTCAGCAATCAAAAATTGATTGGAAAGAAGCTAAGGGAATTATATGAATCCCAACGGAAGCGCATCTGCAGGATCATATGTATTTACTTCACCTGCTCGTAAGTCTACACACACATAATACACTTCTTCAATTTCTGATCCAAAAAAATTATCATCTCATATATATAATACAGAGGGTACGTATATATATATATTGGAACAATATATCGCGAATTAATATTACAAGAATTTCCCATCATTTTATCTGACGCGTGTGCGATCATATATATAATAATGCTATAATGATTAATACCTCCTAATAATGAAAAACATTTGATAAAATTACCATCAGATTTGTCAATGCACATTTGGCTTTTTCTCATATATATATGGACCACTAATAATTTTATCATGAAATATTAGTAGACTTCAAGTCAATCAATATTAATTAAAAAAAAACATTAAATACAACCTTCTTTTCCAACTGGTTGTGAATTAATTAAGCAAATTCTATACATCAAGTACGTCCATGAAGATTAGGTAATTAGATTAAAACATTACTAATTGTTTCAATTCAACGTATAGTATTAATTAGCTAGCTAGGTCCAAATAATTGAACAAACTCTTTTTTTTTTTCATATATATATGATTACAAATGTATATCAATACTAAGTCTTAATAATATATATATATATATATACTCCTAATTAAGATCGATAATATTAATAATAATAATATAGGAGAAAGATATTTCACTCAGTTTGTGCCCCTACATAAAGCTGCATTAAAAGGGGATTGGGAGGCAGCTAAAGAATTGCTGATAAAAGATCCTTCATTAGTTAAAGATTCCTTAACTGAAGGTGGAGAAACTGCTCTACACATATCTGCTGTCGAAGGCCATTCCTTTTTTGTTCATAATTTACTTAAACTGATGCAAGATTCCGACATCGAAATTCTCAACAAAAAAGGAACCACCGCCCTTTGTTTTGCTGCTGCTGCTGGAAACCTTAATATCGTCAAACTCATGGTACATAGAAACCCTGATTTGCCAACAATCCGTGGTCCCGATGGTGTTACCCCACTCTATATGGCTGCCTTTCTCGGACACACTCATGTCGCAGACTATCTTTTTCCTTTATCGGATTTCCAATCTTGGACTGTAGAAGATCAAATTACACTTCTAACCACAACCATCGACTCACAACTCTACGGTAATAAATTAAGTTATATTTCTATATCCGTTTAATTTATTCTCCCGGCCCGATCGATTAATTAATTAATATATCATGCATGACCTGCAGGCCTAGCTATGACCATTGTGGACCAATGGAAATCGTTGGCTGTAGTTGAAGATAGTAACGGCGAGACAGCGTTACAAGTGCTTGCGCGGAAGCCATTAGTATTTTGTCGCAGCAGTAATACATCACAAGGACTTTGCGGTAGAATCGCCAGCGCAAGTAATAATTTTATTACTCTATATTTGATTTTGTACGTGAGCGCGCGCGTGTATGCATATATATATATAATTTGAATATTTTATGTTGTACACGTATGCCAGTACTTTTACGTTACACGAAGGTGAGGACGCATGATATACGCGCACCGTGTGATGCATATACATTGCTCGATTGCCTTTGGAACATCGTGATATGCCAAGAGGAGGATGTCGAAACCACAAGAGTAGTTACCAAAAACACTACGAAATTGTTTTTCATAGCCGCGGAATCAGGGAATGAAGAATTTCTGGTGGAACTGATTCGTCGATATCCCGACTTTCTCTACAAAGTGAACGAGTCGAAACAAAGCATATTCCATATCGCGGTTTTGCATCGATACGTGCAAGTCTTCAACTTGTTGTACGAGTTACGAGGTGCCAAGGATCTCATGGCAACTTATGTGGATAAAGATGGTAATAATATGTTGCACTTAGCCGCTAGATTAGCACCTCAAAACCAGCTTAATCTTATTCCAGGTGCTGCTCTTCAGATGCAACGTGAAGTATTATGGTACAAGGTACCTACTATTATGCTTCTACTCATTACATTTAATTTTGATATATATATGGGGAGTTTTTTTTTTTTTTTTTTTTTTTTTTTAAATTAGAAGAGAAAAAAAAAACAGGGCTTTGAGATTGCAAGAAAACCGTTATACATTAGAACCTCGATAAATTAATAACCTCGCCTAAATAATAGTTTCTTCTGGTCCCGATTCGGTAAAAACCTATTAAATTATTAGTTCGATAATTTTTAATATTTCGCTAAATTAATAGAATTTTGCTATTCCCGACTGTATTAATTTATAGAGGTTTAACTGTATACATATTTTCGTATAATTTTGATAAAACTTTTTGATGGAAGATTGTGGTAATTTCTAATATCAGGAAGTAGAAAAGATTGTGCAGCCGTCGTACAGAAACAAGAAGAACTCGTCGGGGAAAACACCGTGGGAATTATTCGTGTCGGAGCACGAAGAACTGATGAAACAAGGAGAAAAAATGATGAAGCAAACGGCGAAATCGTGCATGCTGGTGACCATCCTGATAGCCACCGTGGTGTTCACAGCCGCCTTCACTGTTCCGGGAGGGTATGACAATGCGAACGGAACACCGATTCTGAAGAACCATAGGCTGTTTGTGGTTTTTCCGATATCGGAAGCGGTGGCGACTTTGTCCTCGTTGACATCGATGCTGATGTTCTTGTCGATACTGACGTCGCGTTACTCGGGGAATGATTTTCTGAACACGCTGCCGTTCTGGATGGTGGTGGGAGTGGCGGCACTGTTCGTGTCGATTGTGGCGATGATGGTGGCGTTCTGCACGTGTCTTTTGTTCTATCAACACGGGTTCGGGGCAGTGACTGTGCTTCTGGTTATGTTTGCAAGTGTGCCCATAATATTCATTGTCCTCAAATATCCTCTCTTGGTTACTATACTCCGCTGCACCTATGGTTGTAAGGCCCTCTTCCGCTCCAACAATCGTTTGTTGTCCTAGCTTGCTTTTTTTTTTTTTTTTTTTTTTTTTTTTTTCTATTTTGCATCAAACCTTTTATTTCAATATGCATAATACACATATATTTGAAGTTCAATATCTGATTAATGTTTCAATAACCTTTTATTTGTGTGGATTATTTTTTTTTTCTGCTTGTTTTTTTATTCTTTCGTTCTTTCCATTCCTACGTTTGTTAATACGTACTATTCGGATACATTACGTCCAACGACTAAGGTAAGGTTAAATTACGAAAAAACATTTTATGTTTGGGTAATTACAACCACCCGTCAACTATGAATGTTCTTACACGTCCACATTTGTGGTGTCAAATTTAGTGGAATCTTCTGGATTACGTGGAATATTCTCCAGTTTGTACCCGTTTTACCCCATCCAAACTCGACATTTTGAAACAAGATGATCATAAGATGTGTCTCTTGGCTTGTAAATATCAAATTGCGGTGGATTGGAAACTACATTTTTGCACAAAACGAGTACAAACTAGTGAACATTCCATGGAATCTAGAAAATTTTGTTGAATTTGATACCATAAAGGGTGGACATGCAAGAAGATTCATAGTTGAGGAAAAATTGTGATTACTCAGACATTAGGGTTTTTTTCATAATTTGATCAAATATCAGGAAGGTAACCGTAATTTTACCCATATTTAGGCTGCAAAATAACTCTCGTCCTCATATTTGGGCTGCATTAGAGACCACTCCAGAAATTAACTGGGCTTATTATTATAGTCGGCCCTAATTGGTTCGTAGATAATAACATTTTTAATTGGGCCTGTGCTTTATAGTTTGTACATTAACAAATCAAAACAAGAACATAATCTGCAAATTTCCCAATAACCTAAATGCAACTAAAACATTTGTACAATCAATAGATTTTTTTCCTTTTATTCTTTGGTCTGAACAACGAAATGTAAAAGAAAATCTGAACACGAACAATCCTCGTTCTTATTAAGTTGGGCCGTAACCCAATATATCAAAGTAGATTATTAATCCTCATATACACCTTGCGTGAATAGAAATTAATTCACGAGCCAACCCCACCTATTTTCCGATATGCGTCTCGTTGGTCGAAAACCCGCAAGGATGTGTACGTAATGTAGCAAGTAGTAAAGTTGATTCCTAAGAGTTGGATGTCGAACCCATATGGAATAATTAAATATCTAATACTAATTAAGTATTAGATTTTCGGAATTTATGATCCTATCTAGCTGAATCAAATTGAGTTTGTGATTATCGTTAAATAACTAAAATTATCAAATTTCTATATTGAACAAATCTTATGTTCTTTGTAGCGTAACATTTTTCAAACCGAAATCTACACAAATATATCTGAATTATATTAAAGTGTATAAAGTAGGTAGGCCGTGATAATTAATTCCTGTCGCGTTCGTGCAAAATATTAGGGGATAATGGAGAGGCCTAATTAGACTATGATTGGTTACTAATTACTAATTAATAACTATCTTAAATTTGATACTAAAATCAATCCACGGTATTTATTAGAGTTGAAATAATCATATACTAAAACCTAATCATGAATTTAAAATTAAAAGAATTTTCCATGTTATTTTATGATGATTATTTTGGGATATATTGATTGGCCCACATAACTTTTCTACCAAACATCACTAAGTGAGTCCAATCAATTCCTCAGAATATAAAAGTTTAGTAAGATGGGCCCCACAGGATCTAATTAATAATGGTAGATTTTGCCGCTTTCGGAATTGTACGACAACTTTCTAAGATGGGCCCCACAGGATCCAGGCAATATTATTCAATACAAGATACATATAATACAAAAAAATGTCAATCTATCCCATCAATATGATGTGATGATGATGTATGATGGTAGAGATTGCATTCACTTTTTAATACATTAATTAATTTGACTGTCTCATCCTTTAAAGTTTAAATACATATATATTTTTTTTGGTACAAGATATATATATGAAAACATTGGATATTCGATCAAACAATTGTTTATTTGAATATATACAAATAACGTTATGGTCTGTGAATATTTTTTCTCTTGCTTTATTTTTTTTTTCAAAACAAAAATTTCAGTACAAATGCAAAAATAGAAAACAAAGGAACAAAATTTATTCCGTAAATTAATAAACAAGAACACAGAAATATGTATCGATCGATCAACAACTCAATCAATGAAGTTGATTATTGCACATGTATCCCATTTTATTTGCACCTATAGAAATTCACAGCACGCAACAACGATATAAAATTAAAAAAGGAAAGGTGGTGCACATACATACATACATACATACATACATAATATTCCTAGCTAGCTGTCTCCCCAAAGGCGAGCTCCGCCGCGGCCACCGCCGGGATTAGTGGAGTAGAGTGCGGCTGTGCTCGACGCTCTGTTTCCGGCGGCGGCAAAGACATATTCAGCAGCGGCGTGATTGTTGGAAGCGGAGGCATCTGTATAGTTTTGATCAAATAGATGGGCAAACACGGCGTCGGATTGGGGCTTTTGATTGGCTGAATTGGAGGGGGCATATGAGGAATTAACATTAACAAAACCTATTTTTTCTGCAGCAGAACCCATATTGATTCTATGGATATTTAGATCTGATGAAGATCTTAATTATGAAAGAAATAAAAAAAAAAATTCCTTTTTTTTGGGGGTAAAGAAATAAATGTTTTTTATGATGATGATGAAACAAATGCATAGTGAAATCGCCATTTTTATAGGAGGAGTGTGCAGAGGGTTAATTTAGTCTTTTAAGTACTAGTTAATTTATAAAATGGTTAAATAAATAAGAGTTCAATTGCTTCACGGTGAAGTCTGTGGTGAATCGTTGACATGGAGGGGGGCGTGTGGGGGTGATGGGTTGGTTTTGGGCGCCATACGATTTTCTTTTTTTGGTTTCCAACTTTTTTTTTTTTGGGTATAATTTCGAGTTAATTAATTACAATAACTGCTTTAAAAAATTAAAGATTGAAAGTTGTGATATAAAATATTACGAATTACTATGACATTTTTATTTTAATAAGTTTTTGCACGGAATGGGGTTTTTATTGAATGGGTCTACAACCTCTAACTTCCACGTAATAGTGTGTGGCAAAATAAATAATGTTATTTTATTCATTTTAGCTTGGTGCTGGACATTAATAAATTAATTACTATATATATGTTAGTAAAATTTTATTTATAGTCCGATATTTTTTTTCTTTTCAATAAAATATGTGTAGTTCGTTTAAACTTATAATTAAGTAGTTTTTAAGAGGTTGTTGTAGTAGCTGCACGCAACAGCGAAGCCATAAATTCTAATTAGAGTGGATTTAAAATTTGCGAGGTTCAAAGGCAGCGTCGTCGATTTTTTCGTTTATTGATTAATTCACGTAATGTAATATTAATTAAAAAAAACAACTTGGGCTTTTTTGATGGGCTATATTATTAAAATATATGAGTGAGCTGAGCCCACCATTGCCAAAGGTGGCTCCACCACTGGTTGCAAGTGTCGAGGGTCAACGTTGTTTGACTTCGTTACCTGTTTTATTTGAAGAAACTTCTGTTTGACTTTGTTGCATGCACCTGCAGTACTCGTAACGGCGAAAAGCATATTTTTCTTTATTTTTTTATTTATTTTTCTTTTTCTGTTTTATTTTTTAAATAAAAATGCGGCTCAACTGCGTTGAAAATAAAATTGCAAATTCGTATTTATTTTTCATGGCAATATTACTAGGTAACGTTATGTTCATGAATTCATAATCATGATACGAAAATTTAATTGCACCGAAAATTTGGAAATAAGGTCCATAAATTAAATCAAAACAATTAGCAAAACTTTCACTCTTTTCACACTTGGGGGCCGTCTACGTGGTAACCGCGTCCTGCGTAATTGCCAGCTCTCTGGTTGACTGTTGTAGCTATTCATTATTATATAAAGAAATTAAACTTGTAAAATTAAATTATATTATGTCGTAACAAATAAATAAATTAACAAAAATCAACAACTCATGTGGCTTTTGAAATTGGGCCACATCTTGTACTTGTCGGTTTTTGACTTCAACGACACGTTAAACTAATTAGAAATGGAATAAAGACAATGAACAAGCATTAAAATATATATTAAAAAAAATACAAAAAAATAATTGCGGCAATCTAACAGGTTTGACAACGTTGATTGTGACCGAAAACAGAAACGAGTAGTCAGTAGATATTATTTTTTCTGTTAACAGAATGAAGGGAAAAGAAAAAGAAAAACCATTTTTCACATATTAATTATGTTTTGACCGGGTATTATAAGGCAATATCCATGCTACACCCGGTGATTATAACCAGGCACCCTAATTAATAAGATTCCCACTACGGGTTCAGTTATGGCCCATTGAGTTTTTAGAAAAATAATTATAAAATAAATTAAAAAGGACATATGTCAATAAGAGAGTTACCCGGTGAATATCACCGGGTGTAGCATCGTATTCCCCGTATTATACATAGAGCATCCACAATTCTCAACTCTTTTTCCTCACCTACTCGTTTTGATCCTAGTCATAAAATAAGTAAGAAAATTGAAAAAAAAAAATGGTTAATTCAATAATTATTTTTTTTCCTGGAAACGTTCACGAAATCACTACAAGTCTACAATGGTATGGCCCAGCTTATGTTATTAATAACTAATAAACAACTTTCTTTCTCTCTCACAACTTGTGTCAGAGAAATATATATATATATATATATATATATATATATATATATATATATATATATATATATATATATATATGTATATATATTAATTAATATGCGTGCCTATCTTCACTATAACCTTCTAGACGAGTTATGTCTAAACTAAGTCTCAAGTTGATTGAAAATTACTATTGTTTATCTTCATTACAAAATGATGCAACAAACAGAAATGAGTAGCTATAGACTCTCATCAAAGACACAGTAAACAGTAAATACATCTACAAGAATAATACAGTTTCCACTGACATCACATCTTTCACTACAACACATAATTATTATACTCAACATACAATCTTTTACTTCACAATTATAAGTATTTTATGTCTTAATTGTACGATATTGGACCGGATCTCGAGACTGCAAATCTAGGCAATGGGCTGGGACCAGTGCTAGCTGATGTTGAGCCTTCTACAAATTTGGACTTACGACTTAAGCTGTAGTCCAATGGGCCAGACCGCCTAACATTTCGATTTTTGTGGTCGATGCTTCTTATGCCAACACTGTCTGTCTCGTATTGATCTGGGCCATGTGCAGATGAAGTCTTGAAATAACCTGAGTCGTGGACATTCGACTGTGGAGAAATGGTGTCTCCACCACGGTGCTGCCTCAGTGATGGAGAAGCATGAGCCAGTGACATGGCGGGAGAATGGCGTGGCGAGGCACTACTCATCAATGCCAGGGGAGTCGAAGAATTTGAATAGTATTGGCTGTACACGGAACGTAGGATCGAATAAGGTACATGAGATTCCAGTGAACTCCTCGGCAGGTATGGTGAGATCTCACATACTTGATCGAGAAATATCAGCTTTGCAATAAGGTGAGACCTGCCATAATGTCGAAACCAACAAAAGTTCGTCAGCTTTGGAAAGGGTCGAGTTTCGAATGTGCTCAAGAGCCGGCAAGGTGGTTCTGCGTGTTTTGTCAAACCTGTAAGAGAGTGTGTGTGTGTGTGTGGTGAAATGGAACATGAACTTACCGATTGCTTTCATTCCAAGAATCGAGAATAATTCCTGCTGAGAACTTGATGAAAAGCTGCATTGTGGACTTTATGCTTGCCTCTATTGACAGATAGTTTAGTGTCTCGGCAGGATCCAACGTTTCACTGATGTGGCCATTTGAAAGAGATTGTTTCTGTTGAAATTCTCTTTCGAGTCTGATCAATTCACTTCCCGCAATCACAGCACATATGCACCTGATAAAAAGAAAATATAGTCATCAAAATTACCAAATACTTTCTAGTACATGTAGTAAAGACCCCACAGATTTATTCAAATGCATCCTCAGTACTATCTATTATGCTTGTTATACTTCCCCTAAAAACAACAAAATGAGATTATACTCACCTGGCCAAACAGTGAACATTGTTGCTGAAGCCCCCAGTGTCAACATTAAAGGCTGTTGTGTTCCAGATAGAAGATGTCATAAACGTTGCAAATAAATAGGGCAACAAGCTCCACGAACCATCAGTTGCACCCCCAACCTCTTCCAGTATAGATCTAACCCACTCAAAGTCATGATCACCAACTACATTAACAGTGTTTGCCACTCTTCTCATTCTCCGGATCTCTTTCTTCTCAGGTATCTCATCAGGTAAATGCTTAGCAACACCTGCTAGCAGTGAATAAATCAGAGGAGCACCTTCTTTAAGCACATCCCCCGAAGCTTCTGCTAAAAGAGAACCAAAAGCAATGGCCTGCCCCGCCTGAATACAGAACCTAACCATAGTGTCCATATCAACTATCTGCTTTATATTCACTTCTGTTTCCATTCTGTCACCAGAATGCATACTTCCAGCAACTGCCTCCAAATTCTCACGATTTGCCCGCAATGTCGTGTCAATGCAATTTAGAAGTGCCGCAGTATGTTCTTTAAGCATCCTGTCTAATCTGTCAACTCCATAGGTGCCAAAAGTGCGAACGAAGGATTTCAATTCTCTGAGATCTGTCACTGACTCGGCAAAATAGCCACCAACAGGCCGTGTGCTCTTAAAGCATCTATGGAGTGGTGCAAAGATGATTCCGGCACCAGAGACATCCTTAACAATGTTTTCGATGTACCAATTGCACACAGCTTCAGTAGCTGACCCAGTCTGCTGTTCTGCAGTTTTCTCAAACAACTGTAAAGAAGAAACTGGACCAGAGTAGGTCTCTGCAAGGAGAATTTCACGAATACCCTGGGTGAGGTCCATGCTGACATGTTGCTCTGCTAGATGAATTATAGAAGTATGTCTATGAATAAGTGATTCCAGGACAGAAGGTCTCTGTAGATCAGAATCAGTTTTCAGCACGGTGAGCAGTCTCCTTTTGAAATTCCCAAGGATGCACTCTCTCATATACTGCATCGGAATGTATAAAAATTGATTAGAAGTACTCAAGGCCAATAATGTCAAGTTAAGGGTATTGTTGGAACTTTTGTAGAGATGTGGTAATGCAATTTACAGAAACTGAAGCTGTAACCTTACCTCTCTAAGAACAAAAACATGGTTCAGAACACATATAGGCTCCATGTCGTTCAAGACTGAACAAAGATTTGTCAACCTCTGCAGTGCAGCTTCTAACCTGGCACCAAAACAGAAGATGGCAAATATATGTCACCAGAAGAACCATATAGAAAAACTAGAAAACGAATAGTTCAATGAAATTAACTCACATTTTGATGGAATTATTATTTTCTGGATAGCTCTCGTATCCTGGCAAATGAAAACCATAAGAAAGTTTTGGAGATTTTGCTGAAGGAAGAGATAATCTGGATGTCAAATTCATGAGATTTGCTGCTTGGTCTGGGAGAAGCTGAAATATTCATACGATTAGTACAGTAAGAAAATATCGTAAATTTAACTCATATATCAGAAGCATGCAAAAGAGGGAAAACCTGCATCTCCAGAGATCCAAATCCTCCTTCTGAGTCAAGAATATTTATTAAACCTTCCAGCCCTCCCATGATAGATTCGATAAGGGATTCAACATACAGTACTGCGTCGCGTCCAATTTTAGACATCTATAATCAAAAGAGATGAAAGTTACGCACTATGATGGTGGTTATTGGACTGTATCAATTATAAGACAATCAACGTATGACAATTGTTTGAGTCAGTGTTGGCAACAGCATGGTTGAAGTTGTTCGTCAATACCTCTTCTGGAACAATTGGTGAAGCACATTCTGGGAAACTGCTAGCAACACCAAGCCAGGCACAGCAATGTTGTGGACGACCCTCAGGGCCAAACATGGTGTTACGAAAAACCTATAGTACCCATTGAGTGAGATTAAAGCTACACACTGTTCTTAGAAGACTACATAAACTGCATAACACTTACAGTTGTAAGATGTTGGTGGTAGAAATAGAGTTTCTTCAGACTCCCATATTTTGATAACTGACTTTCAAGCTCATCAACGCATCTGTATATATGAAAAATGCATCAGCAATGTCTCTTCACCGTGGAAAAAGAAAGTTCATGTCATGCATTTGCTATTATATAAGTTGAAGAAATGAAGAGCAACCGTAATATGCTTTAGATTATTCAAAACAGTGGAGCCAACCCTAAGATGCTTGCAGGACAAATCCAAACCCCATGAACATATATATTGACGTATTGAAGAGAGTGAAAGTCCATAAGCTTATTATGAGATAAATACCGTTTCCAATAAAGAATATGGTATAATTTCGCATCAAGATCAGTTAAAGTGAGAGCAAGCACCTGGACCAATTGTATGCAGCATTTCCTTCTGACAATAAGCCCTCTTTGCCAGTAGATACTGTAGCTTTTTCCAAATGTCTGATGTTAATAGATGAACGAGCAGAAGTGACAATCATCAATATGGATAACCAATCTGTGCGTAACTCCTGAAAGTTTAAACACAGTTCACAACTAAAAATAACTGCAAGCGAAGTGGTAAGCAAGAGCATGCTGTTTGATACGTTCAGCAGCATATTTGGAAGCCTGTCATAAAGCACGAAAGTGTAATTTATCGTTTGCATGCTTATATGATTTGATCAATTTACGTTCTTATTTTCTGAAACAAAATCTACATCAAGTTTTACTCTAGTCCCGACATCGACATAGCACAAATTGAAGTGTTGTAGAGAAGGAAAGAACATGTTTGGGAAAAAACTTACTGATAAATCACATGTGATGGCGGAAATATTTTCGCCCTGAGGTTTTGGTATGTTTTCTAAATGCTGAACAATCTTTTGGAAAAGTCCCTTCAAGGTAGCATCAAGGTCAAGAGCCACCATTCCAGGAGTACCCAGCAGAAAGCGGATTCTACCAGCACAGGATGATAGGTATGATAAAGCATAACCTCTAATGGCTGGGAGAAAAAGAAATTTGTATATTTCAGAGATAAAATAAATAAATAATTACAGTTCAACTTGCCTCACTTAGTTATATCGAGTAACTAATTCTAACAGTGCCATAATACTGATTCTAAAGGTTAACATCTTATTCCAGCAGCAAGACATTGTAAAAATGTCCAATGTAATGTTTGATTGAAGGAACTATCAGGTCATCATAATCCAGATTCCATGTTTAGATATTAATTTACAGGCTGGTTACTGGACCACATAAACAAATCAGTAACACACAGGTCACTGGAGAATATTACATTAAACTGAGGCATTATACTTCACAATCCCATGCAATCTGACATAATTTAACAGGATTTATAAATGAGCACATATTACTAAATAAAAAACTAATATGTTTCAAGAAGGAACCTAACCTGCAATATACTTCCGGACTAGACAGCAAAGTCTGTCCATACCATCCAATAAAAATCCAATAGTTGGATCATTTGGATCCTGCAATTGTGTAGCAGTAGATGAAAATCAAGTGCTTTTTGCTGATCGAATTCAATAAATATAATTATATTTAGTTAATATACCTCGGTAGATAACATACATAATGAAGACCGACACTATGGCAATAAATATAATTCAAAAAATATTCTTACAGTTTCTACTGGCACAACCCGAGTTGTTTTAGATTTAGAAGCCGCTACTCCAACATGCTGAAAATACCATAGCACCTCACTCTGTGCAAAGGCTAAGGCCGAAAAAACCATCTGTACAACCACCAGTAGCCATGGAATTGTATATGTTTAGACTAGATCTACAAGTAACTAATGCAGCCACTACCAACATAAATGACTTGCTAATGGAGATATAGGCAGATTGCTTACTCCAGTTCTCACATTATATCCATAACCATACACACCTGAATATTAGGAGCCAACAAACTTGGTTGGTCAGTAAAAAAGAGAACCATCCTCCCAATCTCCTGCTTCAACAATATTCTTCTTTCGTGGTGTATAGCATCACAGGAGTATAGTGCTTGCTCATGGACTTCACTGCTACAATCAAAAACCAAATTAATCACTAATTTGGAAATAGGGGTACAAACTACAACTTCTACTTACAAACATAGCTAAATAATTGGTAACATTTCTGAAATTAAAGCACTATTGGGCAAAATTGAACATCTCTCCATTTAAAATACTGCTGCTAAAAAGGTAAAAAGGTTATGTTACAAGAACTCTAACAAATATGTATCAGTGTATCATTTCAATGTGCAAGGATACTTTAATGAAACGATTACTATTTTTTACAGATGCAATGTTAGCATTTTTTCACTACCTCTCGTGATCACTGTATCAATAGCCTCAAATCTTGTTTCTTCCTAAATCACTCGCTAAGTAACAAATAACTAAATCAGAAGGTCATCTTCAAATTTCATTACCTTATCATTTTCTCTACCTGCTTTGCAACACTGTACTCTAGATCTGCTTCTTTTTGCTTTGTTCGTCCAGATTTTGCCATCTTCTTTGATTCTAATATCCTTGGTAAAACATATAGCTGATACTCATCGTGCAATAAAATATACTGCACAAATAAAGTAAAATTGTTTTGAAAGATGTGTGTGACAAATTCTAAAATCAGACAAAGGCACAAAGCATTTCAAGATTTGAGGTTAGGTGTTTGTATTTTTTCTTGATTACTTATATTTTTAAGAATAGCTAGTAAAATGTGAACGTATACATTCAAAACAGCCATACTAGTGTTCAACTAAACTCTTTGGGCGGGCCAGGTCTTGTCTGTCTTATTAAACAATTGGAGCAGAGTTCTCAAACTCATATTGCACTTTCTAGAAAAGAGAAGATCTACTCCTTGCTACTTAATGAAAAATACGAGGAAAAAAATTGTTCTCTTAAGAGTAACTGGCATATTAAACTCACTTCGTCCCTGAATAACGTCAGAACTAGGTTTTCCTTCATTACAACCTGAAAAGAATAGAAGAAACAAACATGAAGGGCTATTAGTCATATATGGGAGGGCCAATATCAAGCAAATGAAAGCGTCAAGGTTATACTGCGCACTAATATAAACTGACCAAAGTCTCAATGCAAATAAGGCTTATTAGAAGATAGAGATCATATCAGATAAAGAAGAAAAGGATGGTCTTGTAGTGTACCAAAGCAATGTCAACGCTTGTGACTCGAAGAAGCTCATCTGGACAAACCAAATACCCAAATAACACCCATTCACGATACGAAGTAACATTTGCCAGGTCTTGAGCTCTCTGAAGAGGAGAAAATGTTCAGAATTAAGAATCAATGTGAAAAAGGTAACAAGTCAGTCGTTATAAAAGGTTAAAGAAAATGTTTGGTCATTCATGTTCCAGAACCTATAGGGGCTGCAAGGATAATATCAGAATAGAGCAAGTGCAACTTTAGTTACCATTGGATGAGCAGAGTTTGTAAGTATGTCAGGATATCTAGGATGAAACGGACTTAGGAAACCCTCGTTTCGCAGCTTCCTTGTATCTGTAGACAAAAAGACAATGGGACCCACAGCCTCTAAAACCTGATAGAAAGATGCATCATGCTAATTAGTTAGACTCGCTACTTTTGGCATACTATGTAAAATTTGTTTAAGATCATAAATCAAGAGGTAACAAGTTGACCATCATACGAAATCATCCCATTTTATGTTATGATACATAATCACTGGAATACAGACAAGCTCTCGTTTTACATGAGCAACACTTCCAAATAGCACGTATGCATTGCATCATTAGCTTCAAACAAAGGCAGGTTTTTCACAGATACAAAGAGAGATTGTACTTTTAACTGGAAAGCGAAACATGCTTCAACCAAACGAGAATGGGATACTAAACAAATAAAGGAAACAATTATCCAGGAGTGAGGAGACCTTTCATACTAACACAATGGACCTACTGAATGGTCAAAAAACGTTGCAAATAATCTGTTAATGAAGCCAGAGTAAGGAAGCAAAGTACCAAGGAAAGATTAATTCAAAGTTGGCTTGAGATTTGGGAACAAGGAAAAAATTTGGACGAAATTGACCTTCACAGCAAGATGTGGCAGCCAAGAAAGAATATTACCTCTCCAATCCGAGGACTGACAAAATTAAGATCTTCATGTAACCCCTTCAATGGTGGATCATAAGAATCTACAAATTGAATTAATCTGATATTCAAGAAAGAGAAATAAATTAGCTGCAATTGAAGGAATATTTTAATTTGAATTTGATGAGAATACAGAGTATTCTCACTATATACACAGGTGCTTTCTTCAAGCCAAAAACATTACTTAAAATATAAATATCACCTACAAGATGTGCAAGTGTGAATTTTATTGCATTTCTCAATCATAAGCATGTAATCCTATTTGAATGGAAATTCATTAATGACTTAGCAGTAGATGCATCAGAAGCTAAATTAGGGCCCATTAACCAGCTAGGTGCTGTGAATGGGAATATTCAAAGAGCAATACGTGAATTTTCTTGCACTACATCAACATGTAAATCTTATTAAATAAAAAAATAAAAATAAAAAAGTTCATGTATGACCTAACAATGGACACGTGAGAAGCTGACTTAGCACATAGAGTATTGTAAACAAAGAGTCGCAGACATGAGCTTAAAATTAATTATAAAAAAAAACCAAAGAAATTTGGCAATTAAAATGTTAGTTGTAGTCTCACCTATGGTAAAAATCACAATCTCGATCATTCCGTGCCATGGCATGCAAAAGATTGTACGTTTGCAGTATCATTTTCCTTGGTATCTGAAGTTCATGGGTTTTGCATTCATATAAGCGACACATCAACAAAACTTTTCAGAAGGAAAAAAATGATAAGGGAAATAGGTCAATCACACTGGCAGTAGACTTGCCTTATCAGAAAATAGATTGACCCGAACAAATGAGCAAAACAGATCCATAAACGCATGTAGGATGAGAGAATTTTGGTGGGGCTGCAAGGGAAGTAGTCAAACCATTAAAAAGTTATGATCAAATAAATACCACTCCGCACTTGATCACAAATTTATCTTTTACATTCCGCAGATAATAATTTCATAACATATAGCATGGCTGATGGCTTATAAATAAATACGCCATAGCCAATATGTGAGTAATGTTAAATCAATGCATCTTTACTTCTCAAGAAGTTAATTGATATCGTTCTTCACTGCTCACCAGCAAGGTAATCACAGTACTGCTCAGATCCAATATGAGCCGCAGGGATTGTTCTCGGAATGCCATCAGGTCAAGAAGCAGCTGATCCATGCAAAGGAATCAATTTATGAGATAACATATAAATAAATTTGATATTAATACAACATAAACAAGAATATGCAGGCAAACAAGAACATAACTCAGCAAACTTTTAAGTTTAACATTTCTAGCTTTCTGAAAGTGGTTATGCCTGGCACCCACTTTACCAGCAATTCCATGAACCTTTTTTCCCTCAGGTTATGAAACTCAGCCAAATTATGGCAAACAAAAAGATAATTGATCTAAGTCATAAGTCACTTTGCTTTAATTACAAGGAAAGAAGCAAATTCTTACTAGCCAGAACAGCCAAGTTCATGTCAATTACGAACACAGTATAAGATTAAACATGAAATATTGGGGTTATGTTCATCCAAAATAGTAATCATGGGATAGAAATCAAGACTGATGATGGCTCACCTGAACCCATGGCTCCAAGCCCTGCAAATGAACCTCAGCGCTATCATTCATAGCGTCCAAAGCAAGCTTATCAACCTACCACAGACTTCCACGAATCAGTGATAAAAAATTCCAAGTGACAGAAAAAAGTGAACCGGATGTTTATGAATCCACAAAAGGGATCTAAGGTGCTACCCGTTCAAGCTGCAACTTGCTGTGGTGCTCAGGAAATTTCTTCTCAAGCAAAATACAAATTCTGGGGTGGTTTGGGAATAGACCTGCTTTCCAAAATGCTTCGGAGTAGACATGACTAACCAAATCAGGATAATCCAAAATCTGATTCAGTCTATACATTTTTGCCATTAGTCCTTCAGCTACATGTGTGAGCTGGTAAACCCACTGCATGTTCAAACCCTTCTGCGACGAACTGCTTGAGGTTTGAGTTGCCGCACCTTCAGCACCACCATTATTTCTGGATGCTATTTCTGGACCCAAGTATTCAGTCCACCTTGTTGGACCCTCCCATTCTCTCGACCTTACTGCGGCCTGTGCAGATGATAACACGTCTTGAGTTGGGAAATGTGATCTCGACTTTGCCATTTGGGTCACTCAAGCAGAAGTCTCAAACCAAGAAACCCTATTTTCCCTGCATATTTCAGAGGTCTAATATGATATACAAGATTGTTCAAATCAGAACCCTAGTTCTCATCCCAAACGACCGAGTGAAAATCACTTCACTTGTAAAAAGAAGCAAAAATCATTGCATTACGAGAGCACATATCATCTCTAATCAAGACATGAAAAAAAAAACTCCAGGATCACAATCTTACATTTCTATAAACAGTTAAAAAATTACCACCCCCAGCATTCCTTTCCATTTTTTATTTCTTCAAAATAAGGTATGAATAATACAATGCATAATCCACAAGTCTGACTCTCAATTGCCAGCAACAATTACCGGAATAATTTGTTTTCGCCTCCAAGAAAAACAAGTAAGCATTTGAGAACTACACACAAATAGAAAAAAAAAATCCTAGAATTCTGAAAGAGGAGAGGAGAGGAAAAGGGGAGCACCATTAGAACGAAATGCAGAAGTAGAGAAAGCCGTAGAAGCTTCCGGAACAGAATTTGAGGGCGGGAGCTTCTTCAACTTCAGATCTACCTCTTGACACTCCCAACTATTACTATCTACACCAGAAATGCTATGTAATTATGCGAGAGCAGCGAGACAGAGAAAGGGGCAATTTCCTGAAACTATATAGAGTAGTGCTTTTACTGTGCACCAGTAAACTAATACAGACGCAGGGGGGTTGACGACGGTACGTATGTGTGTGTGTCAGAGAGAGAGAGAGAGAGAGAGAGAGAGAGAGAGAGAGTAATTTTCACGGATTTACCCTTGGTTATAAGTACTTTTTTGTTTGTGCTGGCTTTCTTTCTGCTTTCTGTGTGTGAGTGTTCGATTAGAGAGGGAGCAGCAGAAAAATTGGAAATCAAGCCCCGCACGATCTCTATAGATACAAATTACGTTAATTCTTATTTAACCCACTTCTTTCTGAAATTACGTTAACGTCCTTTTTCAATTTTTACCAACTTCAAGTCATTAGTCATTACTCATTACTACATAATTATTGCGTCAGAAATAGATGTTGATGTATAATTACCTCCTTAAAATTAAAAGCAAAATTATTGCTATATGTAGCTTCTTTTTTGCAAATACAAACTTTAAAAAATACAAACATGATTTTTTTTAATACAAACATAAACAGATATGTCTGAGTTATTTTGATTACAAATGTTTGGATCAATCAAAATTTGGACGTTTGAGTTATGTATATATAAAAAAAATCCCAATGTTGAGACTTGTCATTTTACTTCCTCCGGTGGGCGAAACAAAGCCCGTCGGGCTTAATTGCATTTATGCCATTTACATTTAATTATTAGAAAAGTCCCTCTTCGTCTTTTCGACTATTTTAAGTAAAATTTCTCAGCAATGGACCCAGTTAGTAAATGGTGAAATAAAAAAGAAGTGACATAAGAATGATGTAATATATATATATATTTATTTTATTATTATTATTATTACGATATATGAGCGGGAGTGGATGTTCATGCGTGTGGAGGAAGTGTTGGATCCGAATCGTGGACAACATACTTAGCTTTGACATCAAGCCTGAATCATTATTAATTTACTGTAATTGTATAGCTAATACAGTAGGCTTAATGAATATAGATATAACTTTGAAAATATACAATATGTACCAAACAACAAATAATGATTCTACCAATGATGTTGCACCAAGATTAAAGGGGGATGAGAAAAGTTCCACTTCCACAAATGGTTGCACCAATTGCAACTATTCACGGCCAAAAACGAGTGCCGACTAAACATCGTGGAGTTCTAGATAACAAGGATAAGAGAAAGAAAAGGACAAGTAAGATAGTTGAGTTCTACCGGTTCCGGCACAAGTCTACAATATCTCCATTCTCCACCACCATCATCATAAATCTCTGTGTCGGGCTTGTAATTCAATTAGTAAATAATCAAACGATTCGAAAACGGGATTCATACATAAAGTAACGAAAATCATGTAATATTTATGCAGCTATGTCAAGAATGTCCTTCAACGAACATATTTCGTCAACCATGGTGGCGGTATGGTGCTATCTATAAAGAAGCAAGAAATACAGCGTCTTCAAGTGAAAAAGAACCAAATTGTATTCTTCAAACAGGCACTTGTTCGACGAAGAAGCACTTTAACTACTACTCTTGTGTAAGCTTTAAGATTTTTCTTACAAACCCCAGCCCCAATAATTTAAGGGGATATACCAGGAATATGTGGAACAAGTGGCTTAGGTGTCTTAGTTTTCTCTACTAATATGGCTTGGGTGGTAAGAATCATACCAGCAACAGATATAGCATTCTCGAGTGCACATCTCGACACACGGCAAGGATCAATTACTCCAGCATTCATCAGATCTTCGAATCTCCCATTCATTGCATTATAACCGATTCTTGAATCACAAGCTTTAATTTTTTCCACAACTACGTCTCCATCAACTCCTGCATTTGCTGCAATCAATTTTGCAGGTGCAAGAAGTGCCTGAAATTCATTACCAAATTAACGGTTTTAGATAAGTAATTATATAGAACAATCGTAAATAAAGGGTTTTACAAACATCTGTGCCGTAATATCAGAATATATGAAAATATACAAGATTCAGACATGCAAAGTAAGAAAGAAAGAATGTGAAACAAACCATTCCAACAATGTCTGCACCAATCTGTTCATCAGGGTCTTGGAAGGCCTTCTTAATCGAAGGTATTTGCTTTGAGAGATGTATATAGGTGGCTCCACCACCAGGTACCACACCTTCGGATATTGCTGCAAAAGTGGCACTTTTTGCATCCTCTATTCTTAGTTTTCGATCTTCAAGTTCAATGTCTGTATGCGCCCCAACCTTAATTATACACACCCCACCACAAAGCTTTGCCATTCGTTCACTAAGCTTTTCTGCCAGATATTTGCTATCTGTCTCAGCAATATCTTTCTTTATCTGCATCACTCTTGCCTGTATTTCAGCTTTGGTTGAAGAGTCTGCAACTATCGTAGTGAATTTGCTTGTTATGGTCACTTTTCGAGCAATACCAAGTTGATCAGATGTGGCAGTATCAAGAGTCAAGCCCAAATCTCCAGATAAAAAATCAGCTCCTAATTACAATGAAGCAATAACAATTGTGTAAAAGTTATTATCGGAGAACAATTTTATTTGAACAAAACATGGTGATTCATACTAATGTGAAGTTTCTATCTTGTAAAGTATTTCTAAATATCACTTTATGAATAAACCGAAAGGTTTGAGAGAATACAAAAAATGGAAGCAAACAACTAGCTCTTTATTTTTTAATTTATTTAAATTCTCTAGGCTAAGATAGCAAAATGCCTCAAACTGAAGATCATTCAATCATCACTTAAAATTTTAAACGCACCTGTCATAAGCGCAATGTCTTGCAATACAGCTTTCTTCCCATCCCCAAACCCTGGACATTTTACAACAGCAACATTAAGCACGCCTTGCATTTTATTCATCACTAGAGTTTCCAGCACTTGCCGAGAGATATCTTCAGCAATAATCAGCAATGGGACACTCAATTGTGTAGCCTTTTCCAGCAACGGAACAATCTCTTTTACAGTGGATATCTTTTGATCAGTCACAAGAACTCGGGCATTTTCAAATTCCACAGTAGATTTGTCCTTGTTTGTGACAAAGTGTGGCGACATATACCCTTTATCTATCTGTAAGAAAAGATTGCCTGAAGACAAATCAAGAAAATAATGAAAACTCAAGAAAAGCGAGAAATACTATATGTACAGTGAAAAGATAGGACATTAGATGAGGCTTCAGAATGAGCGATTAGCGGAACCCTAAGTTCCAGGAGGAAGAAAACGACAAAAACAGCAACAGGAAGATGGGGTTGTTGTGTGAACATCTTATTAATTTAAATAAATTACCTTCATTCCTTCATCAACGATCACAAAAGTTTCTGATGATGAAGATGATTCAATTGATATTACTCCATCGGGACCAATTTTATCAATAGCTTCAGCAATTAGTGTTCCAATACTTTCATCATTTCCAGCAGATAACGAAGCTACAGCTGCAAAAAGGTGCGGATATAAAAATACTTGTAAAATAATTAATCTATAGAAGCTGGATAAAGGAAAAGAAAGGAAATCAAACCTTTAATGTCGTCACTTCCTTTTACAGCATAACTTTTCTCCTTCAAACTTTTCACCAACTCTTTTGATGTTTTCTCCATTCCCTTTTTTAGAGAAACGGGGTTAGCTCCATTAGTGATAGCCAACAATCCGAATTTAATCATTTCTCGAGCCAATACAATTGCAGTTGTTGTACCATCACCAGCTGACCCGTTTGTTTTAGTAGCGACCTGCAAAAGCCATAATCTAGACCAATGTGATATCAAGAAGATTAATTGCAGCAATTTCTATTTAGCACAGAGTCTGTAAGAAGGCTATGGTGACTGACTGACCTCTTGGATAAGCAGTACTCCAGTATTCTCAATTGTGTCGGAGAGCTCTATGGCTCGGGCAATAGTAACACCATCGTTTATCACTTTAAGTGTATCGGCCTCCGAAAGGACCACATTTCGCCCTGCGTGATTTAACAGAAAACCAATAAGAAGTAAATTGATCGAATACTATTTTTCACGCCTAAAACAAACTAGGGTAGTAATTTCAATGCATTATAATTAAAACCGTGGCAACATAAACAGAATAACATTATCAACCATTGCAAATCATAAACTGAATTTATCCAATTTCATAAGCTACTAGAAACAGAATAATAGTATCAACCATTGCAGATTTACCACCTCAGAATCATAAATAATAACAAATATATATTAAATTGTCCAATTTCTGCTTGCACCAAACATAAATAAAAAATAATCATAAATATTGTAAAACACCTTTGGGTCCCAGTGTAACGGAAACAGCATCGGCAAGCTTATTGATCCCAGAAAGTAAAGCATCTCTGCACCTCCCGTCAAATTCGATTCTCTTAGGACCAGCTTTCACCACCAAAAGTGATTTTCTTACACTGTTTCTTCTCCACAGCCCGTACGAAATTGATTTTCCGCGGAAATCCTACACAAATATAAAAATAATTTAGAAGGAAAATTTGCAGAAACTTAATCTGTGATGGAATTAAAACGCATGACTTACGGAGAATGAACTATTAGGGTTGAAGTACAGTGGTGAAGAAAATGGTAGTGACATTTTCCGGTGGAGATTTTCTGGTAAATGGAAATAGGGTTTTGAAGGGGTTTTATCGCTTTAGGGAAGGATGCTACAATTGTTGCAAGATTTAAAGCATAGTCGCGTTTTAATTACGCGATTTTAAATAAATAGAAGAAGGCCGTGTTTGGAAATCATAAAACGAAATGACGAGGAAATAATTTAAAATACTTGAAATTTAAATAATGGTTTATTTCATTCTACTTATAAATAAAATAATTTAATTATTAATTCATGTATAAATAAAATAAACTAATAAGAAATACATCTTATAATTTCCATATATATTATCTTAAAAGATTTTTTTTTCATAAAACCAAATAGAAATTTATGAAAAATAAAACAATGTTATGGTTTTGACATTTCACAAATTGTAAACATGTATTCAATAATTAACTGCCAAAAAAAAACATTTATTGTCATAATAAAACGAAAAAAAAAAATCGAATATTTTTCGATAAGAAAGAGACAATGGTTGCAGTGGCTTATCGTCCTAAGATCAATCACATAAAGACAAGAAAATCGAAAAAGAAAGAAAAAGAGAACTGCAACATAGCCCTCATGAGCGAATTATTGTAATGAAACTGCAATCCTTGTCTCAGTGCTTAGCATCTTCTTCTTCACAAAACTTGGAGTACTTCTCAGAGTCCATTAAGTTATTCAGTTCATCAGAAGTTGCTATCTCTACCTTTATAATCCATCCGTTTTCATACGGGCTCGCATTAACCTGAATGGAAAACGTGACAAGATTAACACAATAGAATAACCACAATAATACAAAGATCGATATGCGATAACTTCGAAGATAATTCGTTGAGTATATTAAGCTTATACACTAGTAAATGCAGAAAAGGGGAAACGTGCACTTTTAACTAGTGCCATTTGTCAAAATGTGCGCCATAACACGACCACTTTGTAATATAGTATCAGATCATAGAAGTGTAAGCAGTCGAGTATCACAGTCCTATAGAAGCAATAAGTATAGTACAATTAAGGTGCAGGTCGTGTCACTCAAAGCAAGAAACAGAGCATTAATTCCACTTGCTCAAGGCGCATTTAAACCAAATAATCTGACTAACGTCGGAGAATTCAAAGTCCGTCACAGTATTAATCCCCATTTCAGTGTCTATTGCTAATTTTTTTACTTACTATTAACTATTTAATTTCTTTCTGTTACGATGATGTTACTTTGCAAGTACGTACCCTTTTGCACACTCTCTTTCATTCATACTTGCAAATCCAAAATAAGGAGGAAAAAAAACGATGGAACTATTCATAAATAAGATGCATCCACATCTACAAAAAAGAAACACGATTTGGTCAAAGAAGACTCACTAGACCAGGAGATTCGTTGAGTTTGGAGTTAACTTCAACAACTTTCCCAGAAATAGGAGAGTTAATGTCGCTAGTTGCTTTCACACTTTCAACAGCACCGAAACTGTCACCTTGTGTAACTTCAGTCCCCGCTTCTGGTAGTTCGACATACACAACATCGCCCAAATGGTCCTGAGCGTGATCCGTAATGCCTATAGTAGCCGAATTCCCTTCAACTTTCACCCATTCGTGAGAGTCGGCGTACTTTAAATCCTTCAGCACTGCATTTGTAGAAAGGTAATAATAAATTA